TGTTGCTACCGAAGTGGCCGGCGTATAGGACGTCGTGGTATTCTTCGAGTAGTAACTGGCGCAAAGGAGGGTAATTGGGTACCCAAATTTTCGTTGATCCTTTCCGGTACGCGATGTCACTGTCCCACTGTAGCAGGTGTCGTTTTTCTGCCAAGGGAATTTCGGGGTCGATGGCGTACCCGTGTGTGAAGAGTCCCTTGAGTAGTGGATTCATCCCTTCAGCCTGAATAGCGGCAACGTGTGCAGGCCGGCTGAGAGCGTCTGCTTTGTTCTTGTGGCCGGGCTTGTACACGATGTCGTAGTGGAAGTGCGTCTCGAGGAAGTCGATCCACCGGACCTGCCGCCTGGAAAGGTTAGGTTGTGTCTTCAAGTATTTCAGGCTGCAGTGGTCGGTGTAGACGGTTGTTCTGCGTCCTTCGAGATAACATCTCCATGCTTTGAAGGCGATGACAATAGCAAGAGCCTCTTTATCGTGTATCGGGTAGTTTAGTTCTGCCCCGTGTAGTTTCTTGCTGAGGTAGGCAATTGGTTGCAGTCCATTCCCCTGGTCTTGCATCAAGACTGCCCCCACGGCCTGATCACTGGCGTCAGCTTCGATTACGTAGTCGCGTTCGGGATCTGGCAAGATGAGCACCGGTGCGGACGTTAGTGCTTGTTTCAGCTGCTCCACGGCTTCCTGGTGCTTCGTCTCCCATTTGTAGGGCGTGTTCTTCTTCAGCAGATTCGTGAGTGGTGCCGCGAGTTTCGCATACTGTGGCACGAACCTGTTATAGTAATTAGCGAAGCCTAGGAACTGCTGCAACTCCTTCACGTTCTCGGGTGTCTTCCACGTACGTACGGCTTCGATTTTCTTGGGGTCGACGTGAACTCCTTGAGCGCTCACCATGTGTCCTAGGAACTGGACCCTTTCAAGGGCGAATTCGCTCTTGGACAGTTTGACGTAGAATCGTTCTGGTCGAAGAATTTCGAAGACGCGTCGCAGGTGTTCGACGTGTTGCTTCATGTCGCGCGAGTAGATGAGGATGTCGTCCAGGTACACCACCACGCACTCGTCCAGAAGTGGTCGTAGAATGTGGTTCATTTCGGCTTGGAAAGTTGCCGGTGCGTTGGTGAGTCCGAACGGCATTACCAGATACTCGTACGATCCGTACCGAGTTCGGAAAGCAGTTTTGTGGATAGAGTTGTCCGCCATCCGTATCTGCCAGTATCCGGACCGCAGATCCAGTTTGGAAAATACCGTAGCTCCCCGAAGCTGGTCAAGCAGGTCATCGATTCGTGGTATCGGATACTTGTTCTTGATGGTCTGCTTGTTAAGAGCTCGGTAGTCGATACACGTGCGCAGGCTTCCGTCCGGTTTCGGGGTGAAGAGTACTGGGGCACCGTATGGTGAAGTAGATGGTCGGATGAGTCCTTTGGCCAGGAGATACTCGATTTGTTTCTTCATGTCGGTCAGCTCCGTAGGACTTAGCCGATATGGTGCTCGGAAGGTCGGCTTCGAACCTGGTTCCTCCACGATCTCATGTTGATGTGTGCGGTATGGCGGTAGCTCGTTCGGTAGGTCGTCAGGAAGAATGTCTTGGAACTCCTTCAGCAATTCCTTGATTTTTCCTGGAGGTTCCGAGATCTTCTCCTTGCCGTCTTCCACCTCTGTCGCTATTGCCAGGAACCCGGTGTCGGTTCGTTTCACGTCCTTCTCGAATCGTGCGAGTGTCTCCACTGGGATATCTCCTGTATCGTCCCAGTTGGGTAGCTGCACTCTCCGTCCATTGTTGTAGATGCTTGCGGTGCGGTTTACCCAGTTGATCTCGGGGTTGAATCGTTTCAGGAAGTCTCGCCCGAAGATCAAGTCAAGCCCTTTGATGTTGGTGATGGGGAGTGCCGGTCTCCAGCGCAGTGGTCCAATTTGTAGGTGTAACACTGCTTCGCCGTGCACTGGTAACTTGCTGCCATCCACCATCGTTGCAGAAAATCCCGAAGGCTTGTACTCTTCTCGAAGTCGGTCGATTGCTGCCTTGTTGCAGACGGTGTGAGACGCTCCGCTGTCCACAAGTGCTTGGAGGCGTCGTCCTTTGCAGATGACCTCGAGCACGAGAGGCGGGCGTTGCTCGGAGTACCCAAAGATGGTTTCATTAATGGGGTCATAGGGTACATCCCAATAATCCGTACACACCTTTTCGTTGCTATCTGCTCCTGAGCTAGCAGCTGGCCAAGGCTGCTTGGAGAACGGCTCTTCTCCAGGGCCCGGAGTTTCCTTGACGACTGTGCGTGTCGTTGATGCCGAAGAACTGGATGCATCCGTTGAAGGGGTTCGGGGTTTTTGCAGCTTCTTGTAGACCCCCAGCTTCCTCTTGAGCTGCTTCAGCTCCACCGACGTCTTCCCTGGGGAGCGGGTAGTCGTTGTGGGCTGGTGTCGGGAGAGGACGTTGACTCCGTGGAAAGGTCGGCTTCTTTCCACACTCCTTAATTTGGTCCCCAAGTTGTCCGGTACCGGTATAATCTCCACAGCTTTCTGCTTCTTTTGGAGTCCCTCCCGTATTTTCTCCAAGGCTCTAGCCCCTCGAAAATCATAAGTTTTCATTAAAGCATCTTTATAGGATAGCTTTAACGAATTCTTATAATTTCTTGGGTCTTCAAGGAGTTTCCCCGTCTCGGCAGAGTCTTTTTTCGCGGAGTCTGATTTTTCCTCGGCGATTTTCCCTGGCGAAGACTGGTCGTGGGGTGGAGATTTTCCCCCATCATTTCCTCCTTCTCGCGTCGAATCAGCTTCGTCGAAGTTGATTTTCCCGGAATCCCGCGGCCGTTTCCGGATCTTTTCTTTTTCGCCAGCTAGATCCGCAATCACTGGCGACTCCCGTTTTTTGGCTTCTGATTGGCCGGAAGATTTCCGCCACTGTTGCGTGCCCGATACTCTGCGCGTGCGGCCTTCATTTTGTTGCAGTCGAAGATTCGGTGGCCCGGCACCCCGCAAAAATCACACGTGTAGTTGGTGTTTTTCGGACGTGGCCGCCCCTCGAATCTGTCGACTTCCATCGGGTCGGCGAACGTGGTGTGAGCCGAGCGGTCGCCCTGTCGCGTACTGCCGACGTGCGTCCGTCGTGTTCCGGCGTTGACCATGTCGAAGCGCTCCGCGGCCGAAACGACGTCACTGTAGCTCGCGTAGTTTGACGCTGCCACCTGTCGTTTGACTTCGGTCTTCAGCCCGGCGAGGTACGATTGTACTTTTTCCCCTTCGGTCAGGTCGGGAATGCGGTTATAAAATTCCTCCATCTGCTGCGTGTACTGCGCTACACTCCCGAACTGTCGGTGTCGATGAATTTTTTCGCGGGCAAGGAAACCTGAATTTATCGGCTCGAATCGTTTGAGCAGGTCGGCGCGGAACTGCTGCCACGTGGCTTCACCGTGGATGAAAGTACTGTTGCCGCCAATCCACTCGAGTGCCGGCCCTCGCATCAGTGTCGCCGCGAGTCGTACACGTTGACCGTCCCAGACTGGCGAGCTCCATCCGACGGCTGCGAAGTAGATCTCCATCCCGGCGATCCATCTGCGGGCGTCGGAGTTTCGTTCGCTCGGATCGAACGGCTCAGGTGGGCGCGGTTTTGGAGCCTCGAGAAATTGCTGCGACTGCTGCGTCGTCGCCGTTGTCGTCTCGTGCTGCGCTCCGGCGAGTCGAGTTACTCGCTCGAACTGGTTTCGCCACGCTTCGCGATCCGCTCGCATTTCCTCCTGAAGGGCTGCGATGCGCGCGAAGAGCTGCTGGGTAACCTCGGCGTTGTCGAAGGTTGCCATCCTGTTCAAAACACGCACGGAGGGGGTAATTCGAAAATCGCGGAGCTGGTGCTTACCAGAATCGGCGTCGAATTGGTCGCCCCCGGCGGTTTTTCGAAGCAGGTTTTCCCGCTGCTGCTGCTTTGTTGAGCGCGGCCGAGTGAGAAAAGCTCTGATACCAAGTGTCACAGGATCGAATGACTCGAGGATCGATTGCACTATCGATCAGTACAAGGCGCTTTTATACTTCCAGAGTACATCAGGTAACCAGGTTTATCCTATCTAAAGGAATAGACCCTTCTAGAAAATAGAATCACCCTGCGTATAGCCACGCGAGGCTATTGGCTTTAAGGGATTACGGCAGGATTACGCTAGATAGCGTGTCTGGAACATTCCATGCCTGGTCGGTGATATAATAATAATAAAGGAAGAAACCAAAGGATAAGGGAAAATGGGAAATATGAGGCCACAAGAGATGAGATAAAAAGAGGAATGAAATGAAGATGAAATATGGAAAAGGCCAAGTGGTGTAACGAGGTCGTACTCTCACAGCGCTCCTTGGCGCTACGGCAGGATCCTTACTGCTGCGCGGCTCATCACCGTCAGCAGGAGCATCATCGGCGCCATCCTTTTCAGGCATGGCGAGAGGAGGAACTAAAGAAAGCGACTACAACTATGCCTATGTCTCAGACAAATGAACAAATGGAACAATTCCCCCTGTAAAACTTGAAGCAGTGCGTTCAAAGCTGATGGGTAAGGAACGATTGGAGAAGAAGGGGTCCATCAAACCCGTGTCGCACCTTTCTTGAAAGGTCTGCAAGGCTGGCATAGAGGGCACGTGCCCGAGGTTCGCGCATGCACAGAGAGCAACAGAGCAGAATCTACGGTCCTTATTGTCTCAGCATGGCAGCATTTTTGCCGCGCTGGATAGCAAAGTGCCCACTGTGGGCAGAGTTTACATTGGACTTGGCGGAATTTTATGCGAAGTGTGGATTCTGCACGTGACGCGGGCGGGAAGCACTGATGGCAGGCGAAATTTCTGGGGATCTTGCGTGCCCCATGGAAATCTGTTTCAGGGTTCGTACCCGATGTACTCTGAAAACTCAGTACTGGATTAGCGTGTACTCTGATTTTTTCAGGATCCCCAAAGTCTTAGTCTGAATCAATCAGGATTGAGAAAATGCCTTATCTGGAAATTCAGGTTTGGCAAAAAAACCGGTCTGAGATTTCAGACTAATCAGAGTAATTAGTCTGATGAAATCAGCCCTGACTATGACATACACACACCAGGAAGTGACACTGGATTGCTTGTGGGTTATATAAAGATGTCATGTCAATCTTGCCTTGCCAAGCATGCTCCAGTTGATCATTTGAGAAGCGCATGACTATGTTGCAGGAATATGGAACTTGGACACCATAAAGCACCACAATAGTACAATCACTACACTATATTGGTTCAACAAGGAAGACTGAATTGCGCTGTTATTCTTCCATCGAATCCCCCTCCACCACAGACACGAGCCGTCTAAGGTCTTGGACTTTGGTGGTCAACACCTCTGCGAGCATCAGAACGAGAGTGTGTTTGGAATGGTGAGACAGAAAATATTAAACCAGGATGAAGGGAGTGTGTTTGGAATGGTTGTGTAGAGGGGAGCAAGACACAGGAGAATGGCGACGAGCAGCTGTAGACCAACACAACACAGAACTGTAAGGGATTCTGGTCAGCAGTTACGAGACACACACAAGGCACGCGCTAGGCACACGCTAGGCACACGCGAGGCACACGCTAGGCACATGCTAGGCACACGCAAGGCATGTGCAAGCGCATGCAAGGCACGCTCACCTTGCTGAAGGAAAGGAATGACTTACTCGTCGTGCCGGGAGGGAACTTGTAGGCCTTCGCCCTGTACGTGCGCGGTGTGGGCTACCCATAGTTCCGCTAGGCTCACCCTACACTAACCCTACTGCTTGAGAACAGAGCGAGTGACTTACTTGTTGTGCCGGGAGGGAACTTGTAGCCCGTTGCCCTGTACGTGCGCGGTGTGGGCTTCTCGTAATTTCTGCGGACCTCCACTCCCTCCTTCAGTGAAAGGATAAAGGGGGAACGTTCGGGGAGGAAACAATTGGAGTTATGAGACTTAATACGTCTGAGAATCCTAAATATCTCACACGGGCTTATGAGGGGAACAATAAGGACGTTCAGGAAAGAAGAATAAGGACGTTCAGGCAGAACAATAAGGACGTTCAGGGAGAACAATAAGAGTTACAAGTCTCAGAAAAGCATATTCTCAACGTTTCTGCGCACCTCAACTCCCCCCTTCAGTGAAGAACAGAAAGAGGATTTTCTTGGAGTTGTGGACAACTTGGGCAAGTGGAGTTGTGCGACGCGAGCATCTTCTCATGGGCCCTGTACGCACCCCTGTACGTGCGCAGCGTGGGCTCCTTGAAATTTCTGCAGCCACCCACTCCCTCCAGCAGGGAACTAGAAAAGATAGACCTGATCCGTCTATTTCCGCAAATGTGAAAAGAGTGCGTACTGTAGTAATGATGATGATGTCGATGTTGCTGAGAATTTGACGAGGTGACTTTTGAGTCGACTCGAAAGTCACCTCGTAATGATGATGATGTCGATGTTGCTGAGAATTTGACGGATTCGAACCGCAGCAAGCCACTGACCATGTCGTTGAAGATACCCGCTTGGATGGCTGCTGGTTGCCAACAGCGCATTTCAAGGCGCCTCAACAGGATAGACAGCACCTATCTAGAGCGTACCTTAGTGATGACGTTGATGTCCACGTTGCTGCCGCTCCCCAGGTCGTTGAAGATACCCGCTCGGATGGCTGCTGGTTGCCAACAGCGCATTTCAAGGCGCCTCAACAGGATAGACAGCACCTATCTAGAGCGTACCTTAGTGATGACGTTGATGTCCACGTTGCTGCCGCTCCCCAGGTCGTTGAAGATACCCGCTCGGATGGCTGCTGGTTGCCAACAGCGCATTTCAAGGCGCCTCAAGATAGACCGCACCTATCTAGAACGTACCTTAGTAATGACGTTGATGTCGACGTTGCTGCCACTCCCGAGGTCATTGAATATACCCGCTCGGATGGCTGCTGCCACCAGCGCCACCGCCTCTTCCTTCTGCTCTCCAGGGGTAGGGGGTGGGGGGGGAAGAGATGGGGAGGTTAACAGAAGACAGGCACAGAATATGCCCGCACGAATTGCTGACGCCACCAGCGCCACCGCCTCCTCCTTCTGCTCTCCACAGAGGGGGGGGGGGGGAAGAGATGGGGAGGTTAACAGAAGAGAGCGTAGAAGACACCCGCTCGAATGGCTGCTGACACCAGTGTCGCCGCCACCTCCTTCTGCTCTCCAGAGGGAGGGGGGGGGGGGGAGAGATGGGGAGGTTAACAGAAGAGCAGCATAGAATATACCCGCGAGAAAAGATTCCACCACAAGTGCCACCCCCTTCTCCGTCTGATCTCCAAGGGGGGGCAGGGGGAAAAGTTAACACAAGAAAAACATGGGGTTTTCAGTGCAAGCATCGAATATACTAAGTTTTTTTTACGTTTGCTAGCAGCCATTCCCCATCGAATGGCTGTTTTAATACACGATGCAAGTAGCCATGTCCTATCAGGGGATTTGTTGCACTGCTGAGGACGGCTCTAAGCCCCATTTATCCTCGTTATAGCACTCACCATCATGTTCTCCTTGTACTGCAACTCAAGAATAACCATGGCATTGGCAGCCAACCAGAGCACATGGACCCGAAGGGTAGGCGGTCCGTGCTGCCGTGCGGATAGATGGTGTACAGCTGAGGAGTACAAAGACCCATCTCTCGTGCATATCTATCATCCCCCCTTACTAGCACTCACCGCCATGTTCTCCTTACTAGCACTCACCGCCATGTTCTCCTTACTAGCACACTCACCGCCATGTTCTCCTTACTAGCACACTCACCGCCATGTTCTCCTTACTAGCACACTCACCGCCATGTTCTCCTTACTAGCACACTCACCGCCATGTTCTCCTTACTAGCACACTCACCGCCATGTTCTCCTTACTAGCACACTCACCGCCATGTTCTCCTTACTAGCACACTCACCGCCATGTTCTCCTTACTAGCACACTCACCGCCATGTTCTCCTTGTACTGCGACTCAAGAATCGCCATAGCAGCCAGGGAGCCAGAACCCATGGAGCCAAAGGGCAGGCGGTCCGTGCTGCCATGCGGATAGATCGTGTACAGCTGAGGGCCCGTTACATCCACGCCTCCTAGGACCAGTGCTGCTGAGATGTGCCCCTGGTAGCTGGGGCGAGGCAAAGGGGTAAGTGGGGTAAGGGGGAAGGGCAGTCAAGCTGAGGGCCCGTTACATCCATGCCTCCTAGCACCAATGCTGCTGAGATGTGCCCCTGGTGGCTGGGGCGAGGGGGAGAGGGGGGTCACGAGGGGGGGGGGAAGAGAGAGCAGGGCCCATTAAAAGGGCCCGTTACATCCATGCCTCCTAGCACCAGTGCTGCTGAGATGACTTTTGAGGCGCCTCAAAAGGGCCCGTTACATCCATGCCTCCTAGCACCAGTGCTGCTGAGATGACTTTTGAGACGCCTCAAAAGGGCCCGTCTTTTGAGGCGCCTCAAAAGGGCCCGTTACATCCATGCCTCCTACCAGTACTGCTGAGGTGTGCCCCTGGTAGCTGGGGCGAGGAGGAAGGGGAAGGGGGAAGTGGGCCAGAAAGGGTGTTCCACTCATGAGAAGAGGTGCCACGCTCACGAAAAAATGTTACATGGTAACACCCACGAGAAGAGGTGCTGCTTGAGCATGGTGAGCGCGCTGACGACCCGCGACTGCCTGCCCGTGGCCTGGCTGATAAGCCCGCATTTGTATTGGAAAGAGCGCCCACGAACAGAGGTTCTGATCCACGAGACGAGACGCTCTGACTCACGAGAAGAGACGCTCCGACTCACGAGAAGAGACGCTCTGACTCACGAGACGAGACGCTCTGACTCACGAGAAGAGACGCTCTGACTCACGAGAAGAGACGCTCTGACTCACGAGAAGAGACGCTCTGACTCACGAGAAGAGACGCTCTGACTCACGAGAAGAGACGCTCTGACTCACGAGAAGAGACGCTCTGACTCACGAGAAGAGACGCTCTGACTCACGAGAAGAGACGCTCTGACTCACGAGAAGAGACGCTCTGACTCACGAGAAGAGACGCTCTGACTCACGAGAAGAGACGCTCTGACTCACGAGAAGAGACGCTCTGACTCACGAGAAGAGACGCTCTGACTCACGAGAAGAGACGCTCTGACTCACGAGAAGTGACGCTCTGACTCACGAGAAGAGACGCACTGACTCACGAGAAGAGACGCTCTGACTCACGAGAAGAGACGCTCTGACTCACGAGAAGAGACGCTCTGACTCACGAGAAGAGACGCTCTGACTCACGAGAAGAGACGCTCTGACTCACGAGAAGAGACGCTCTGACTCACGAGAAGAGACGCTCTGACCCACGAGACGAGATGCTCTGACTCACGAGAAGAGGTGCTGCTTGAGGATGGTGAGCGCGCTGACGACCCGCGACTGCCTGCCCGTGGCCTGGCGATGCAGCGCCAGCTGCCCTCCCACCATCTCTGCACCCGGGTAGTAGGGGGCGAGAAAAGGGGGGGTAGGGGTGGGGGGGGGAAGAGGACGCTAACAACTCGCGAATGCCTGCCCGTGGCCGCGAGAGCCAGCTGCCCTCCCACCATCTCTGTAACGAGTGCGAGAATAACGGGGCAGCAGGGGCGCGGAAGCGGGCGGAGGGGGGTGTGTGGAGGAGGGGGAGGGAAGGGGGAGGGAAGGGGGAGGGAAGGGGGGAAAGAGGGGAGGCAGAATGCAGTAAAACCCCCACAACAGCGGCGTATCAGCACTGCAGCAGCTGATGCTGGGCGCCATGCAGTAGTGATCTGGTAAGAGCCCATTCCTTCCCCCCCCCCTCTTCCCCCTTCCGAGTACCCCAACCCCGCACACTCACCACACACTCACCACACACTCACCACACATTGACCACACACTCACCACACACTCACCACACACTCATCACACACTCACCACCACACACTCACACGCACAGACGCTCACCCGTGACAAACGCGGTGTCAGCGGCGGTGCCAGCGCCGCAGCAGTAGATGTTGGGCGCCATGTAGTGAATCTTCTCGCAGTTCTTATCCGCTACAATCGCCCCGTTAGTAGCTCTTGTGTCCGCTCCCAGCACCACGCCATCCTGCCGTGCAAAACCAGCAAACAGAATACCAGATCCCTAAAAAACGGATCCAAAAGTCTGGAATCGGATCACGCAGCTCCTGCGACTGAGATTCACAACGAATTGGATTAAATCGAATCCACGAGCCTAGGGATTGCCGTGCCTGGATTTTCCCGAATTCGAACTACTGTTTCCCGAATTCGGACAATTATTTCCCAAATTCGGACTAAAGCTAGAAACAAATCTTCTGGCGCGATCTGCGAGGCTAACGAATCGGATCGTACCCAAAAGAAAACGTCCTGCGACGCGGTAACCTGATTTCGCGAGCTACCTTGAAGACGGCGCCGACGATGGTTGTGCCGGTCTTGAGGAACCCCGGTAGCTTCACCCCCTGCTTCCCGAGATACTCGTTTCGGCGACACAGCTCGAACGAGAACCCGCGCTGCTCCTCCTGCTCCTCGTGCGCCATCGGAGCCATGGATCCGCTATTCTCAACAAAAACTGAGGATCGGACGAGCAACGGCTGCTAAAAGCAAGAATGGTAATCGGTCAAATGTGAAGAGTGTGAGATAAGAACCTGTGGACAAGGAATGGGACAAGCAACCTGTGAAGGTGACAGAAAATGGAAGGCGAGAAGGAGGTGACATGAATCTAACATTTGGTCAACTGCATCTTGAGCTAGAGATTGTACTACAGAACAGTAGTTGGTATTAACACGTAGTGCGTCAGCTTTTAGGAGGATATGTCAAGGTCTGTAATGTTTCAGCTTTCGCTTGGTTGGTTTGTTTCGCAGGATGCCCTTGGGATCTCCAGTTCGCCGCAGCCACGTCAAACCAGCAGAAGGTGCAGTCAGCTTTCATGGCTTTGCCTCGACGCAGTTCCCTTGCGTCAAGCCGACGTGTTCAAAGCTGCTGAAGCAACCTGGTTGGTCGTAATTGCTTCGAACCAGAAAGGGAGGTTTGGAAAAGTGGTCCCCACAGTCATACACTCTCTACAGCTGCACTCGCTGAAAGCAATCAAGCCAATTTATCCTCTCAAAATTTCGTACAGTCTACACTTATTTTATTTCGCTCAGCTTCCTATTCCTTCCCTGGCGCACCATCCCTACTTCCTCCCAAACCATCCATACCATATAATCCCTAGGGCCAAACCAATTACCTTGCACACAGCATGCTGCTGCTTCAGCTTTAGCAGGGTGCCTGATGCCTTCGTGTGCTTCAGGAGGGAGCATGCCCTCGTGATCATAACTTAGTCTTGAGTTCAGGTGTTGGGTCGGGAGTGGTCATAACTTCGGGGAAAATATTGCCGTCGTTACCTGACATTGAACGGCAACCTTCACGATTTTCCATAAATTTGAGCTTTCCTGAACGAAGGCGGTATCATGACGTGGCATCGTCTGCTGCTGCTTGCGCGAAGGGCCGGTGGACCCTCTTCCGGCGCTCCCACCTCCTCTAGATCCGCGCCTTACCTCCGTCGGTAAGTGCAGTCGGTTTCTTGATCGACAGGATACTAATCTGACGACTGTAGACAAATCTTAGTCTCTTTCCCCCTTATAGCTTTAACCGCGTTTTCCCTTGCGACCTGGACGGTGAAGGGTCAGGCTGTTTCTACTGATTCCTAAGGGTAATGTCTTGGTGTCTTTTTTCTTCGTAGAATGTGTCTGTTTCGATTATTTTCTTCCTCATACTTGAAGTCATACTGTACGCGTGTGGGATGCCATTATGTCGTAGGTGATTTTTGAGAATTCTCAAAAGTCACACTTTACGCGTGTGCATCACAGGGATGCCATTATTGAACTCGTGTCCTCTCACATTCATCTTTCTGCCTCCGTGCTTCTCCTCCTTTTTCTCGTCTCCCCGATCCTTCAGGTATTTCACAACCCGCATAGCCGCAGCACCCGCAGACACCGTTATTACCGCCCATGGCCGCGGAACGCCCATCCTCCTCGCCCGCCCGCTCATCCCCGCCGCTTCCGCCTCCCCCCTCCGCCGCTCCGCCTGGCACTCGCCATCCGCCTCCGCGCACTCCGCTTCCGCCTCCGCGTCTTCCCCATGCTCGCCCCCCACCCCCCTCTCCGCCTTCTCCCGCGCGCTCCACTCCGACTCGTCCGCTTCCGCCAAGCTTTCCGCCGCCCCTCCTTCCGAGCCTTTTGGCTCGTCCGCGCCGTCTGCAGCTTCGGCCGCCGGAGCTGCAGGTTCGGCAGCCGCTGCGCCAGCCTCGGGATCGTCGGTTTCCCCTCAGCTGACGTCACCACCACCTCCCAAGGCGGTGCCGCTTTCGAACCTGATGGACAATTTCCTGGATGGGACAAGCAGGTGCGATGCAGAGCTCGAATTCTAAACAATCTAAGGCTAGACTTTCTCAGTCCCCCCTCACCTGGTTTCCCTCCCTCCCCTCCCCCCTGTTCCTCCCCTTCCCCACTCCCTCCCCTCCGTTTCCAGCGTGTACCTGGAGGAGTTGCACCGAGCGTGGGAACAGCCGGACTGGACCGCCATGCTCATGCTAATCTTCCTGCCTATGCTGCGTCCCTCTCTGTGCGCTGTGTCCCGTTTCCAGCGTGTACCTGAAAGAGCTGGAGCGCGCGTGGGAGCAGGACAGGGCCCCGCCAGTGTGAAAGCAGACAGATGAAAAGGCTTATGCTGTTTTGCCGCATTACGCATTTCTCCCCTCTCTGCTCTTTACTCTGTGCCCCCCTCCCAGGGTGTACCTGGAGGGATTGCCGCGAGCATGGTAGTGGCAGGACCCCACCAGTGTGGAAGCAGTCGGACTCGGGCTGTCATGCTCATGCTAATGTTCCTGCCTATGCTGCTTCCCTCTCTGTGTGCTGTGCTCCGTACCCAGTGTACACCTGGAGGAGTTGCGCCGAGTGTGGGAGCAGGACCCACCACTGTGTGGGTGGGGTGGGGAAGCAGCCTGATGGGAAGGCTCATGCTGTTTTGCTGCCTTATGCCTTTCTCTCCATTTTGCTCTTTCATCTGTGCCTTCCACGCAGCGTGTACTTGGAAGAGCTGCACCGAGCGTGGGAGCAGGACCTCACCACTGTGTGTGGAAGCAGACAGATGGAAAGTCTCTTGCTGTTTTGCCGCCTTATACCTTCCTCTCCTAGCTGCTCTTTGAGTTGTGCCCTCCACGCAGTGTGTTTCTGGAGGAGCTGCAGTGGGCGTGGGAGCAGGACCCCAACAGTGTGGACAAGTCGTGGGACACCTTCTTCGTCCACACTTCTGCTTATCTTTCCGCCTGCGGTGCTCCCTCTCTGTGCGCTGTGCTCCGTTCCCAGTGTCTATTTGGAGGAATTGCAGCGGGCGTGGGAGCAGGACCCCACCAGTGTGGACAAGTCGTGGGACACCTTCTTCCGGAACTTCACAGGTCAGCGACTTGACACATCAGCAAGCTTGACAGGTCAGCACCTTGACACATCAGCAAGCTGGTAAGGTTGCCACGTAGCAATGTCAATGGTCAGCCATCGGTCAGCCAAAGAAGATTTTGAAACGTCTCAGGTAACTTTCACATCCATTTTTCGCAATCCGTACACCCGTCTACTCCCTGTAGGTGCCGGTTCCTCCCAGGCCAGCAGTCCTCTGAGCCTGTTCTGCGCACAGAGGCAGGCATATTAGGCAAGACGATCCAAAAGACTTTGCCCTTGCTGTTTTTCCCCCTTTACAATTTTTGTCCTTATACTCACCCAATTCTCTCCCCCAAGCAAGCAGTCATCCGCGCCTGTGCTGCGCACGGAGGCGGGCATATCGGGTCAGACCATCGAGGAGAGCATGCGTCTTCTCTTTGGGGCCTTCACAATTTCCCGTCCTTTTCTCACCCACTGGTCTCCCCCCACCAGGCGAGCAGTCCTCCGAGCCTGTTCTGCGCACGGAGGCGGGCATATCGGGCCAGACCATCTAGGAGAGCATGCGCCTGCCTGCCGCTGCTGGTGCGCCTTTCCAACCTTCTTTCTCATACCCTACCCTTCTCTCCGCCCCACCAGGCAAGCAGTCCTCGGAGCCTGTGCTGCGCACGGAGGCGGGCATATCGGGGCAGACGATCCAAGAGAGCATGCGCCTGCTGCTGCTGGTGCGCGCCTACCAGGTCAACGGACACATGAAGGCCAACTTGGACCCCCTGGGCCTTGACAACCGCAAGCCACCGAGTGAGTTGGGCAGCACAGAGAGAGAGGCGGGGGGGGGGGGTCTTTGGGGGTGGAGAAGTTTGGCAATCTTGAAAGAATCGGGCTGCTGCTGATGCGTGCCTATCCGGTCAATGGGCACATGAAGGCCAACTTGGACCCCCTGGGCCTTGACAACCACAAGCCACCGAATGAGTTGGCCAGCACTGTGACGGGAGATAAGGAAGAGAGGGGGGGGGGGGGGTGGGGCGTGGGGCGTGGGGTTCTCCTTCTCAGCTTCTCTGGCTGATGCCCCAATCCTTTGCCAACCCTCGTCCACCTTCTCCTGCTGTATCCATCTGCTTTCCCTCTTCCAGTTGAGCTGGACCCAGCCCTCTACGGGTTTTCAGAGGCAGATTTGGATCGGGAGTTCTTCCTAGGCATCTGGCGCATGTCGGGCTTCCTCTCGGAGAACCGCCCCGTGCAGACGCTGAGGGAGATCCTGGCGCGGCTGGAGCAGACGTACTGCGGCACGGTGGGGTACGAGTACATGCACATCGCGGACAGGGAGCAGTGCAACTGGCTGCGCGACAAGATTGAGACGCCCGCCAAGAGGAAATACGGCAAGCAGCGCCGACAGGTGAGGGAGTGTTTGAGCAGGTTAGCAGGGGTGCTAGTAGGTGAGGAAGCAAGCTTCAGATGGCAACCAAGAGGAAACACGGCAAACAGCGCCGGCAGGTGGATATGGGTCTGTTGAAACAGGGGGTGTACCTTGGGCAGGTGATTCTGGGCAGGCTTATCTGATTCTCGTTGTGAGGCGCCTCAAATAACCCTCACACTGTTGCGTGGACCCGTGGGATCCTCCTTCTCCCGCAGGTGATTCTGGCCAGGCTTATCTGGTTCTCGTTGTGAGGCGCCTTCAAATTCCCCCCACACTGTACCGTGGGATCCTTCTTCTCCCGCAGGTGATTCTGGGCAGGCTTATCTGGTTCTCGTTGTGAGGCGCCTTCAAATCCCCCCCACACTGTCCCGTGGGATCCTTCTTCTCCCGCAGGTGATTTTGGACAGGCTCATCTGGAACACTGCTTGTCTGAGGCGCCTCAAATATCCCCCACCTTCAAACTGCACCTGTTTGCCTCTGCAGGTTGTTCTGGACAGGCGTACCTGGGGCTCTGAATTTGAGAGTTTCATTGCCAACAAGTGGGGAGCAGGAGCAGCGAAACGGTTTGGCTAAGAAGGATGTGAAACCCTGATCCCTGGGATGAAGGAGATGATCGACCGCCCGGCGGATCTCGGCGTGGAGAGGAGAGTGTGGTGATCGGCATGGCCCACCGCGGGTGGCTCAACGTCCTGAAGTCCCCCCCTCCTCAAACCCCCCCCCCCCAACCCCACCCCCCCCCCCCAACCCCCCCTCTCCCAAACCCACCCCCCGTATTTGGCAGGTGATTCTGGACAGGCTTATTTGGAGTTCCGAGTTTGAAAACTTCATCGCCAACAAGTGGGGAGCGGCGAAACGCTTTGGGCTTGAAGGATGCGAAACCCTGATCCCGGGGATGAAGGAGATGATCGACCGGGCAGCGGATCTCGGCGTGGAGAGCGTGGTGATCGGCATGGCGCACCGCGGGCGGCTGAACGTGCTGGGGAACGTGGTGCGGAAGCCACTGAGGCAGATCTTCAGCGAGTTCAGCAGCGGGATCAAGCCGGCCACTGGGGAGGACGGGGAGGACTCGTTTTACACTGGTGAGTGGGGTTGAGCAGGGTTGGGTGTGGTTGGGTGTGGTTGAGGTGTCTCAAGCTGAACGTGCTGGGGAACGTGGTGCGGAAGCCCCTGAGGCAGATCTTCAGCGAGTTCAGCAGCGGGATCAAACCGGTTACTGGGGAGGATGGGGAGGACTCGTTTTACACTGGTGATTGGGGGTTGGGCATGTGTGTTGCATTGACGGATGAACCTGCTTGGGAACCTGCAGAGTTTTTTTTGTTTCCAGCTGAATAAGCTGAGCAGCTGTGGGCAGATGTTCCGCAAGTTCAGCTGTGGGATCTAAACCGGTTGCAGGAGAGGCTAGCGAGGACTTGTTTGAGACTGGTGGGTGTGCAACGCATGATGTGGTGGAGTAACGTTAGGTTTGAATGGTTTGGATGGGTAGGGCGTGGTTGGAAGTATTTTTCCAGGTATTTTCTCGCCCTGAACCATGCCTTTTACACCCTGTATAAGGATTTCCTGCCTTGGCCCGTCCGCTCTCCGTCCGTGGGTGGATTTTCCTGCCTTGGCCCGTCTGCTCTCCGTCCGTGGGTGATTTTTCCTGCCTTGGCCCGTCCGACTCAAAAATTTCCTGCCTTGGCCCGTCCGCTCTCCGTCCGTGGCCTCCACCTGACTATTTTAGGGTGGTTGAACGCCGCGTATCTGATCTGAACCTTCTAAAACCCGACACCCTGACAGACACCCCGCAGGCACTGGAGATGACTTTTGAGCCGACGCAAGTGTCATCTCATCTCCTGCGTATTTTGGGGTGGTTGAATTGAACGCCTCATATCTGAACCTTCTAAAACCCAACACCCTGACACCCCGCAGGCACTGGAGATGTGAAGTACCACCTCGGAACGTCCTATGACAGGCCGACACGTGGTGGCAAGAGAATCCATCTCTCACTCGTTGCCAACCCATCCCATCTCGAAGCTGTAAGTCTGCCCGCACGCTCCGGCATAGGGTTGAGCATACTACCCGCCCGGGTCGGGTACCCGGTACCCGGATCCGCTTTTAGGGCGGGTCTGGTATCGGAAATCCTGAATATTACCCGGTGGGTCGGGTCCGGGTTACCCGGGCGGGTATTCAATAACCCGGTACCCGAAATGCTACCCGATGCGTTGGGTAGCGGGTACCCGACCCGACATCGGGTAGCGGTCTACCCGACGGAACCAGCGAGACATTAGTCGCGCTGGTAGAGAAATTTCATCAAGTTTCTAGGTTACGTGAGCAGCTAGGTCACTTAGAGCATTGTAGATTGGCAGGGGTTGGGTTTCGTAGATACAGATGCATTCAGTGTGGTTGAATTGGTTGGAAGTCAAACCAATCGAATTTCCCCAATCGAATTTGCAACCCAACCTTAATCCAGCCAACCGCACAGCACCACATTGGTTGGAGTTCCAACCAATTGACTCTGGGGGTCAAAGAATCAAACCCCCAGAAATCGCACACAACCCCATCCCAACTAGAAAACCCAACCAACTCCCCACTCAGGCCCCACTCACGACCCACTCACCACACCAGAACTGTTAAAGATTTGGCGCACCTCATACTCCCTCCCGCAGCTCACGTTTTTTGAAGCACTATCTAGGTCGTAGGCTTAGTAGCCCAACAGGGTAGAAAAACGCGGGTAATACTACCCGCTTTTCAAGGAAACCAGGTCGGGTATACCCGGACCCGCCAGGTGGGTATTAAATTACCCGCCCCCAAATCCCGGGTCCGGGTATTGGTCCTGGGCATGTTACCCGACCCGTACCTGACCCGAAAATACCCGACCCGAAGTCGGGTATAGCAAAACCGGGTCGGGTCGGGTAAATACCCGGTTTTGCTCATGCCTCCGGCGTATCCCTATTTGGGTGCGCCTCGTTTCTTCCATTGGAAATGCAGGGAGTTTTTGGAAATTGCTGACCACTTAAAAGAAAAAACTCCTCCTTCCACTGGAAATTGCCAACCACTCTCTGGCCTGTCCTCACCTCGTCTCACCAACTCCTCTCCCCCCCCCCCGCCCCCCCCCGCCCCCCCCGCCCCCCTCCGCCCCCCCCACCTTCCGCGCTCCCCATTCCCCCGTATCCCCTCCGCCCCTCCCCCTTTCCTCTCACAAATCCCTCCAGGTGAGTCCGGTGGTGATTGGCAAGGTGCGTGCGAAGCAGTGGTACGCGCGGGACGTGGAGCGCAAGCGCAACATGGCAGTGTTGCTGCACGGCGACGGCAGCATGTCGGGGCAGGGCGTGGTGTACGAGACGTTCCACTTGCAGGATCTACCCAACTATGAGACTGGCGGCACCATGCACATCGTGGTCAACAACCAGGTGAGGACCCTGCATAGACGGAGGAGCAGCCTGGGAGGTGGAGGGAGATTGGGTGGTAGTGCTGCTGCAAAGGGAGGATAGCATGTCGGGGCATGGGGTGGTGTACGAGACATTTCCCTGGCAGGAGTTACCCAACTACGAGACTGGAGGCACCATGCACATCGTGGTCAACAACCAGGTGGGTGGGTGGGAGGGGGGGTAGAGGCAGCCTGGAGGTGTATTTGGGTGTTGTGTGCTGCTGCGCACGGCGACGGCAGCATGACGGGGCAAGGCGTGGTGTACGAGACACTCCAATTGCAGGATCTGCCCATTTGCATCTCGTTCCCTCGTTTTCCCCTCCTATCTGGTCCCAGGTTGCGTTCACCACCGACTCCAAGTCCTCTCGCTCCTCCGTCTACTGCATGGACGTGGCAAGGCGCGCAACTGCCCCATATTCCACATGACGGGGGTGACTTGGAGCGGGGACGATGTGGAGGCGGTGCCACGGTGGTCCACACCATTGAGCCCGCGTCACTGGTTGCGTTGTGCGGCCTCAAGAAACACCAGCAACTCGGTTTTCTCCCCTTTTTTGTCTCCTTTCGCCCCCTATTGTAATGCAGGTTGCGTTCACCACCGACCCCAAGTCCTCCCGCTCATCCGTCTACTGCACGGATGTGGCCAAGGCGCTCAACTGCCCCATATTCCACGTGAATGGGGACGATGTGGAGGCCGTGGTGCATACGATGGAGCTCGCAGCGGAGTGGCGCCAGCGCTTTCACTCGGACGTGGTGGTCGATATCGTGTGCTACCGGCGGTTCGGGCACAATGAGATTGACGAGCCATCATTCACACAGCCAGTGATGTACAAGGTGAGCGGCGAACCCACAGGGTTCCGGTTCATCAAAGGCTTTAGTGCACTCCCACACCATAGAGCTCGCAGGGGAGTGGCGGCAGCGCTTGCACTCCGATGTGGTGATGGATATCGTGTGCTACCGGCGGTTCGGGCACAACGAGATTGACGAGCCATCGTTCACACAGCCTGTGATGTACAAGGTGAGCGGCGAACGCACAGGGTTCAGGCTCATCAAAGGCTTTAGTGCACTCCCACACCATGGAGCCCGCAGCGGGGGAGTGGCGGCAGCGCTTGCACTCCGATGTGGTGGTGGATATCGTGTGCTACCGGCGGTTCGTGCGCAATGAGATCAACAAGCCGTCCTTCACACAGCCTGTCATGTACAAGGTGAGCCGCGAATCGGCAAGACTCGCAGGTTAGGGGTTAGGCTGTGCCCAAGGTTAGGCCACGCCCCATGTCCCATGCCCCTTGCCCCTTGCCCCATGCCCCATGCCCCATGCCCCATGCCCCATGCCCCATGCCCCATGCCCCATGCCCCATGCCCCATGCCCCATGCCCCATGCCACATGCCCCTTGCCCCATGGCCCATGCCCCATGCCCCATGCCCCATGCCCCTTGCCCCATGCCTCATGCCCCATGCCCCATGCCCCATGCCCCATGCCCCATGCCCCATGCCCCATGCCCCATGCCCCATGCCCCATGCCCCATGCCCCATGCCCCATGCCCCATGCCCCTTGCCCCTTGCCCCATGCCCCATGCCCCATGCCCCATGCCCCATGCCCCATGCCCCATGCCCCATGCCCCATGCCCCATCCCCCATGCCCCATGCCCCATCCCCCATGCCCCATGCCCCATGCCCCATGCCCCATGCCCCATGCCCCATGCCCCATGCCCCATGCCCCTTGCAACATGCCCCTTGCAACATGCCCCTTGCCCCATGTCCCATGCCCCATGCCCCATGCCCCTTGCCCCATGCCCGATGCCCCATGCCCCATGCCCCATGCCCCATGCCCCATGCCCCATGCCCCATGCCCCATGCCCCTTGCCCCATGCCCCATGCCCCATGCCCCTTGCCCCATGCCCCTTGCCCACCATGGACTTCGCAGCGGAGTGGCGGCAGCATTTTCACTCAGATTCCCCTCCCCCCTCTCCTCTTCTCTCTTTTCTCTCCTGATTCCCCTCCCTCCCCTCCCTCCTCTCCCCTCCTCTCCCCTCCTCTCCCCTCCTCTCCCCATTCCCCCCTATTCCCCCTTCTATCCCCAGGAGATTTGCAACGACCTGCTGCCCCTGGAGATGTACAAGCAGCATCCGGTGCAGTGCAGTACAGGCACACGAGCATCTCCCCCCCCCCCTCTTCTGCTCCTCTCAGGTGGTCCGCAACCACCCCCCGCCCCTGGAGATCTACAAGCAGCAGCTGGTGCAGCGGGACTGATGAGCGTCTCTCCCCTTCCTTTTCCCCCGTGCCCCCCAACCGCCCCCACCCCCCGGTCACACCTCCCCGCTGCGCCCCACCCTTCGCCACCCTCTCCGGTCCGTTAGGTAATCCGCAAACACCCGCCGCCCCTGGAGATCTACAAGGAGCAGCTGATGCAGCGCCTGAGCATCTTTCCCCTTCTTCCCCCCTCTTCTGCTCCTCTCAGGTGATCCGCAACCTCCTGCCGCCCCTGGAGATCTACAAGCAGCATCTGCTGCAGCGCAGTGCAGGCACATGAGCATCTCTCCACCCTCCCTTCCCCACCTCTACCCCCCCCCCCATTCCCTCCTATTATCCCCAGGTCATCCGCAACCACCCGCCGCCCCTGGAGATCTACAAGCAGCAGCTGGTGCAGCGGGAGCACATGAGTGAGGAGGAGATTGCGGAGCAGGAGAGCCGCATCGACGCCATCCTCAACGACGAGTTTGCCGCCAGCAAGGAATACGTGCCCTCCACCCGGGACTGGCTAGCGGCGTACTGGTCGGGGTTCAAATCTCCGGAGCAGCTGTCCCGCATCCGCAACACCGGGTAAGCCGAAGTCTGGAGCGCTAGGTACGCCGGGTAAGCCGGTGGCATTGACTTTGGAGTTCGCTGCTTTCAAGGAATTTGAAAGAACGGAGCAGGAGAGCCGCATCGCCGCCATCCTCAACAGCGAGTCCGCCGCCAGGAAGGAATACGTGCCTTCCACCCAGGACTGGCTCGCGGCTTATTGGTCGGGGTTCAAGTCCCCCGAGCAGCTGTCTCGCATTCGGAACACCGGGTAAGGCAAATGCAGTGGTGGTAGGCCAAGCACTGGGTGAGCTGGTGATGTCCAAGCACTTGGGAATCCAAGCACTGGGTGAGCTGGTGATGTCCAAGCACTTGGGAACTGGGTGAGCTGGTGATGTCCAAGCACTTGGGAAGCCAAGCACTAGGTGAGCTGGTGATGTCCAAGCACTTGGGAAGCCAAGCACTGGGTGAGCTGGTGGTGACCTGAGAGATCCCAAGCACTGGGTGAGCTGGTGGTGACCTGAGAGATTGATGCCAGTGGGGAATGCGCGCCCTCCTCCCGGGACTGGGCTTGCGGTGTAACGGTCCCTGGTTCAAGTCCCTGGAGCAGCTGCCTCACATTCGCAGCACTGGGTAAGGCAAAGGGCCGAAGCAGCAGGTAAGGAGGTTGGTAAGGAAGCACCACATTCCATCTCTCCGTTCCTTGTCCACTGCCCCTTCCACCCTCCCAGCGTCAATCCCGAGGTCCTCAAGGAGGTTGGTTGCTCGTCTTGTGAGCAAGCTTCCTCAACTGCAATATACTTTTATGCTCGATTACCCATGCCTGCTCCCCTCCGCCCTTTCAGCGTCAATCCCGAGGTCCTCAAGGAGGTCGGTCGCCTCGTGTGCAAGCTTCCCCCTGACTTCAAAGCCCACCGTGCCATCAAGCGGGTGTATGACGCTCGCCTGCAGTCGATCGAGACAGAGGAGGTGAGGGGATGGGGGGGAGGGAGGTGAGGAAATGAGAGGGGGGCTGCCCACCGTGCCATCAAGCGGGTGTATGTCGCTCGTCTGCAGTCGATCGAGACAGAGGAGGTGAGGGGATGGGGGGGGGGAGGTGAGGAAATGAGAGGGGGGCTGCCCACCGTGCCATCAAGCGGGTGTATGTCGCTCGTCTGCAGTCGATCGAGACAGAGGAGGTGAGGGGATGGGGGGGGAGAGAAGGGTGGGTGAAGATTGGGGGGCTGACTTGTAAGACCGCTTGGGAGAGGGAGGTGCGGGATGGGGAGGGAGAGTGGGGACGGGCAGGGGGAGAGCAGGTGATGGGTTGATGTCTGAGTCGACTTTAAGTTGGGGTAGAGTGAGGGGGACGGGAAATGGAGGTAGAGTGAGGGGGGATGACGTGTAAGCCGGGTTCAAAGCCCTCCTTGCAATCAAGCGGGTGTATGACGCTTGCCTGCAGATGATTGAGTCGGAAGAGGTGATGGGGGTTGCAGGAAGAGGCAGGGGGGTTGACGTGTAAGCCGGCTTAAAGGCTCACTGTGCGATCAAGGGCGTGTATGATGCACGTTTGCAGTCCAAAGAGACAGGAGACTTTTGAGTCGACTCAAAAGTCACTGCGATCAAGGGGGTGCACGATGCGCTTTTGCAATCCATAGGGACAGGAGGGGGGAGGGGTTGAGGTGGTGAGGGAGGAGTTGGGGTGTGGCTTTTGAGTTGATTTCAAGCCCACTGCGCGGTTAAGACTTGAGGGGAGGTTGCTGGTTCAGTTATCTGCCTTATGTGGTGGTTACAAATGCCCCCCCTCCACCCCCAACACCCCCCCCCCCCGCCCCGCCCCGCCCCGCCCCTCTCAGGGTGTGGACTGGGCAACAGCAGAAGCCTTGGCCTTTGGCACACTTCTTGTCGAGGGCAACCACGTGCGGCTGAGCGGGCAGGACGTGGAGCGAGGAACCTTCTCCCACCGCCACGCCGTGGTGCATGACCAGGAGAGCGGGCGAAAGTTCGTGCCGCTGAACCACGTGCTGAGGAACCAAGTGGACGGAATGTTCACAATCAGCAACAGGTGAATGCTCAGTGAATGTTCAGCACGAGTAGCAGGTGAGAGTTCAGCACTAGTAGCAGGTGAGTGTTCAGTGAAATTTCGCCACGTCGTGGTGCACGACCAGGAGAGCGGGCGTAAATTCATGCCGCTGAACCATGTGCTGAGGAACCAAGTGGACGGAATGTTCACCATCAGTAACAGATGAATGTTTCAGCCCTAGTAGCAGAGGAATATTCAGCACTTGTGGGTGAGTGTTCAGTGAAAGTTCCCCACACCGTGGTGCACGGCCAGGAGAGCGGGCACAAGTTCGTGTCGCTGAACCACGTGCTCAGGAACCAAGTGGACGGAATGTTCACCATCAGCAACTGGTGAATGTTCAGAGAATGTTCAGCACTGTAGCAGGTGAGGGTTCAGTGAGTATTCATCACTAGTTCGGCCACTTTGCCAATGGCGCGCAGGTCATCTTCGACCAGTTCCTTTCTCTGCCCATCCCCCTTCCCCCCTTCTCCCCTTTCACCTCTCCCTCCTCCCCCCCTTCTCCCCCCTCCTTGCCCCCTCTCCTTGCCCCCTCTCCTTGCCCCCTTCTCCCCTCTCACCTCTCCTTGCCCCCTTCTCTTTCACTCCCCCCCTTTCCCTCCTCCCCCCTTCCCACTCCAGCTCCCTATCCAAGTTCGGGGTTTCGGGTTTCGAACTGGGCTACTCAATGGGGAATCCGAATTCCCTGGTCCTTTGGGAGTGGCTCCGCTGGACAAAAACTGGTGCCTTCTGAGCCGCGCTGTTTAATGGAAATAGCGAATTCTCCTTAACCAGCTCAGCTCCTCCCGTCCCCCGCTCCTCCCATCTCCCGCTCCTCCCATCTCCCGCTCCTCCCATCTCCCGCTCCTCCCATCCCCCACTCCTCCCATCCCCCGCTCCTCCCATCCCCCGCTCCTCCCATCTCCCTCTCCAGCTCTCTGTCCGAATTCGGGGTGCTGGGTTTTGAGCTCAGTTACTCAATGGAGAACCCCAATCCCCTGTTTTTTCGTAGGCTCAGTTTGGCGACTTTGCCAACGGAGCGCAGGTCATCTTCGACCAGTTCCTGTCCAGTGGCGGGTCCAAGTGGCTTATAAGCTGCTCTGTTGTGAAGAAAGAACCAACTCTCCTCGTCCATTTTCCTTCTGCCTCTTTCTCCTCCCGCCCCTCACCTCGGTTCCCCCGCTGCAGCTCTCTGTCTGAGTTCGGAATCTATTTTTGAGGCGCCTAAAAAATAGACTCTTCTGTCTGAGTTCGGAGTGCTCGGTTTCTTTTGAGTCGACTCAAAAGTCTCCTTCTCCTCCCGCCCCTCACCTCGGTTCTCCCGCTCCAGCTCTCTGTCTGAGTTCGGAGTGCTGGGTTTCGAGCTCGGTTACTCGATGGAGAACCCCAACTCGCTCGTCCTCTGGGAGGCCCAGTTCGGTGACTTTGCCAACGGTGCGCAGGTCATCTTTGACCAGTTCCTCTCCAGCGGCGAGTCCAAGTGGCTGAGGCAGACGGGCCTCGTGTGCCTGCTGCCCCACGGCTACGACGGCCAGGGGCCGGAACATTCTTCTGCAAGACTTGAGCGGTACCTGCAGGTGAGAGGCGGTGCCTGCAGGTCAGTTGAAGGGGCATTTGCATCGAGTTGCTCCGGCAGATGGGACTCGTGTGCTTGCTGCCGCACGGCTATGATGGCCAGGGGCCTGAGCACTCCTCAGCAAGATTGGAGCGGTATCTCCAGGTAAAGAGGGGTGACAGTGGGTGGCTGAACTGAAGGGCCCCGTGCACTGATACGCCAGGCTGGAACGGTACCTCCAGGTGAGCAGGCGTGAGGAGCAGTAGCTGCAGGTGAGTTGGTGGGTAGGGAGGGAGGTGCTTCTGCAAGACTTGAGCGGTACTTGCACGTGAGAAGCGATATCGGAAGTTCAGTAGGTGGGTAGTTAGTGAGGAATAGGGGCGTAGGGGTGTGTGCACCTAGTGGCTCCAGCAGACGGGCCTCGTGTGCCTGCTGCCGCACGGCTGTGACGGCCAGGGGCCCGAGCATTCTTCAGCTCGTCTAGAGTGGTATTTGCAGGTCAGTTCATGGGTTGGGGGGGAGAAGAAGGGGGGTGAGGAGCGGTGACTGTAGGTGACAAATCAGTGGTTAGGGAGGAGGGGGCTTTGTCAATCGAGCCCCACGGGTACGATGGGCAGGGGCCCGAGCACTCGTCTGCTAGGCTAGAGCAGTCCCTGCAGGTGAGGAGATGTAGCTCCCTCTTTGGCTCTCTTTCTTTCCCCCTTCTTCCCAGTCACCAAAGTTCGAACGAAAATCCGTCTGTCGACATGTCCCACGTGTCGTTATCATTTCTGCTGACCCCCTCTCTCCTTGTTGCAAGCGTGCCCACCCTTCTGGCCCTCAGAGTTCCGACGACAGCCCGTTTGTCATTCTGGAGCTGGAGGAGACGACGACACGCCAAGTGCAAGAAGCATCGTCCTTATTTCCTGCCCATCCCTATCCCTTGGCCCCGCTTTCCTTCCCCCCTGTACCACCTCACCAGAGTTCCGACGACAACCCCTTTGTCATTCCGGAGCTGGAGGAGACGATGACACGCCAAGTGCAGGGCGTCAACTGGCAGGTGAGCTTCAGCTAAGTCTTGGGTGAGATCTGTCGTTTGAGGAGCCAAGTCTTAGCCTCAAAAGCCATCCGGAGCTAGAGGAGCCAATGGCGCGCCAAGTGCAGGGCGTCAGCTGGCAGGTGAGCTGTGGTGAAGCATCTGTGATTGCCGATTCGGTTGACACCATCATTGCCGTGCCGGCTCTCTAGTGGACCTTCGCACCTTCGCTCCCACCCTGGCGGAATTGAACAACACTTCCTCTGTGGATACACAAGAGGGAGGGAGGAGCAATGCTCAAGACAGGATTGATGCTCCTCCCTCTCTCTTGTGTGTCCGAAGGGGGCAGATCCGCCGACACTTCCACAAGCTGCTCGCCGTCATGTCCCCTAAGCTACTCACTGTCACGCCCCCCAAGAGCCTGCTGTTCTGTTCCCTACCTCCCTGCTCCACCCCTTCAGTTCGCGCTCCTCCCACTCTCTCAGGTTGTCAACTTGACCACCCCAGGCAAGTACTTCCACGTGTTGAGGCGGCAGATTCACCAGGACTTCCGCAATCATGTCGCCCAAGAGCCTTCTGCGCCACCCGCGGTGCAAGTCCCGTCTGAGCGAGTTCAACAACTGCGAGGGCACGCTCGGCACTCTCTGTACAAGACCCCTCAAACCACCTCCTCTCCTTTCCTGGTCCGCCTTCACCTCTCCCTTCTTTCCTATCCCCTTCTCTCAGGTTGTCAATGTCACCACCCCAGCCAACTACTTCCATGTGCTGAGGCGGCAGATCCACCGGGACTTCCGCAAGCCACTCATCGTGATGTCGCCCAAGAGCCTGCTGCGCCATCCGCGCTGCAAGTCCCCTCTGAGCGAGTTCAACGACCGCGAGGGCACACCCGGGTTTGAGAAGCGCGGGACCCGGTTCAAGCGCCTCATCATGGACTCTAATGGGCACGGGGAGCGTGAGGAGGGCATCCGCCGAGTGGTCTTCTGCTCTGGCAAGGTGCGTGGGTGCTTCTTGACGGGAGGGGAGGGTTTGAAAGGGGAGAAGGGGAAGCATGCCACGCGGTTCAAGCGCCTCATCATGGACTCGAATGGGCACGGGGAGCGGGAGGATGGCATCCGCCGCGTGGTGTTCTGCGCTGGCAAGGTGCGTGTTCTGGTGGTTTGGGAACGAAGCGGGGTCTGGAGTAAGCACGGGATTGGGGGTAACGAGGGTTTGAGAAGTGCGGCACGCTGTTCAAGCGGCTTATAATGGACTCGAATGGACATGGAGCGAGGGAGGAGGGCATTCGCTGCATGGTGTTCTGCTCTGGCAAGGTGCGCTGTTGCGGTGATGGGGGGAAAGCACGATACGGTCGGCTTTGGGTGAGGGAGGGTGGTTCAAGCGGCTCATAATAGACATGGAGAGAGGGAGAAGGGCATTCGCCGCGTGGTGTTCTGCTCTGGCAAGGTGGGTGGGTGCTTGTGTTGAGTCAGTGGGGGGGTAGATGGGGGGGGCGAGTAGGGTCTGGATGTAGGGATGGCTTTTAGATGGTCCAAGTGGGTGCTCCACACTGTCGCTCGTTTTGGATATGCTACTCCTGTTAGGCCCCTTGGCCTGGATCCGCTTACATCTAAATTACCCTGTAACACTCCGATGACCGCAGGTGTACTACGAGTTGGAGGAGGAGAGGGAGCGGCTGGGGGCTGATGACGTGGCAGTGGTGCGTGTGGAGCAGATCTGCCCCTTCCCCTTCGACCTCGTGCAGCGCGAAGTGCAGCGCTACAGCAGTAAGTGCTTCTTTTAGCAGTGCTGCAGCAGCAGTATTTCTATTGGCAGCGCTACAGCAGTAAGTGTTCCTTTCTTAGCACTAGCAGTTAGTGTTTCTTTCAATACAGCAGTAAGTACAGCATCACATCGGTATGTGTTTCTTTTAGCAGCTACAGCAGTAACTTTTTTTCTTCTTAAACAGCAATGAGTGCTGCTTCCACAGCAAGTTTTATGTTTAGCTGCACTAAAAGGGGCAGATGCCCTTGTGGTTTCTTGTCTACACTCCACTTCGCATTAAACACGCGCACACTTCTCCACCCCCAACCCCATCACATGCCCCCGTCATGTACAAAACAGGGGTAGCCAAGGAACATGGGGGCCTGTGCCTACATTGTGACCATCTCTTATCACCTCTCACGCAAACCCTCCTCTCTACTTCCCCCTGCCATTCCCCTCTTTCCCTGGTCACTCTATTGGTCAACCCCCAGAGGCTGAGGTGGTGTGGACGCAAGAGGAGCCAATGAACATGGGGGCCTATGCCTACGTGGCACCCCGCCTCACCACCGTGCTACGCAGTGTCAATCGGGGGGGCTTTGAGGATATTAAGTACGTCGGGCGGCCTCCGTCGGCTTCTACTGCCACTGGATTTGCGTCCACGCATGTGAGGGAGCAGAAGGAGCTTGTGACCAAGAGCTTCCAAAAGGAGGACATTCCTCTATTTCCATGAGAATGCCCGTTGCTAGTGTGAAAACTGTAGAAATGTTTTGAGAATGAGTTACACCGTAGCAGAACATTGTTGCTCGGATTCTGTGGCGCTAGTGCACATTGTACACAAGGAACTTCGGGGCAATATTGCAACTGGAGTTTTCTTTAACGCAATATACCGTAAGTGAAGCGCAAACCAGTGTTACGGGAGTGAGATTTTGCATTGACGCGGATGCTTGACTAAGTTGTGAAGCGGGACCTCTGGAATTTCTTGTCCGCATTATTGCAGCAGGCGTTACTGGTCGGTCCTTTCTAGGGGCGTGTTGCTGCACAGATCAGTAAAGAATAACTTTCCATCACCCAATGAGGCGCACTGCTGTTAACGCATTTCCCCTTCGCGCCAAAGCTTGCAATATTGATTGGCCAACGTGAAATTTGCTACTGCTGACTTTCCTCCCTCGAGCCGCTACAACTTCACAAACAACCGAGCCGCATCTCTGCCAGAATTCCCACAATTCGGGTGAATTTGGCAATGACTCAGCATTCGATTGAGAGGTTCCGCCCCCTCCCCTACCCCTCCCCTTCCCCTCCTCCTCTCTGCCCCTTTCTATTCGTCCGCATGCAGCATTTCGTCCGTTATCCATTAGCAGCCCGTTTTACTTCCACTCCACAGCACAGAGCAAATAACACAGCAAACAGCAAGCGCCAAACAGCACAAACCACGGGATCACAGGGAACTCCACACAGCACCCCCAAGGATCTAGAAACCGCCCCTCTTGCTCTCCCATTCCCCACCAGGACGGTACAGTATGTGCGTCGCACAGAAATTTGGACGCCCGCGGGTCAGCCCTCACTGTACAGGTCGGCAAATTCCACCGAGGCGACGACTCTACAGAGGCTCGATCTGGAGCAGGTCGCGGAACCCTCCGCAATTCCACTCTCCCCCCCTCCCCCCGCCCCCTCCCTTCCACCCCCGTCTCGCATCTCACAGCTTGCATTTGGTGGATCTGTCAAGTCCAGATTAACTCGTACTAGGATCGCTCGTCAAGCTCTTAGATCTTCTATTCGGAAAAATCCGTCCGAATATTGCGAGTAGTGCCTCGAGTAGCTCTAGTAGCCTGTTCTAGAATGCTCAGAAACTTATCACTGTCAGTACTAGCCCCGTAGTTCAATACCACATTCCTGCTTGAGAAAAGTCTTGAGCTTAGCGTTCTCGATAAGAAACGCCTGCACCCGCCCGTGTAGACCAACCGTGACAGAAGAACTGGATCATTTGTCGCTCTCTGCCTAGTCCGCACCATCACAAAGGGTGGACGAGCACTAGGCTACTGGCGCGACATCAGAGTCTATTCTCGCATCAGAATTTATTTTTGAGGCGTCAGAGTCTATTTTTGAGGCGTCAAAGTCTATTTTTGAGGCGTCGGAGTCTATTTTTGAGGCATCGGAGTCTATTTTTGAGGCGTCAGAGTCTATTTTTGAGGCGACAGAGTCTGATACTGCTCGCATCAAGGAATCCGACCAACCGCATGAGGCTATTCTCGATTGCAATGTGACTTGCCCGCATTCGTCGCTCTCATCCAACCGTACATCCTGCTGGGCATCATCATGGCATCCGACGGCCACGATGCGGCTGCGGCCGTTTCTCTCTTCCGCTGCCGCCGAGCCCGCAGGCGCCCGACGATCCTTCTCAGAAGCGGCGGCCGCTGCGCACCGAGCCTCGAACTCCCGATGACGCCGGGTCGTGAAGGAGCAGCGGGAAGCTCGGGGAAGCCGCCAGTGGTGGCGGCGGCGTCCGCACTCGTGCGCGTTGGCGGCACCGCAGCGTCTGTTCTCCTGGAAACGGCATCGCATCCTGAGTTCAATTCACGCTGCTCCCCCTCCCCGTCCCCCTCCTTGTCCGCCGCCTCCTCCCCCTCCGCCGCGTCTTCCGCGTCCCTACCGTCGCACCCGCAATCCCCCTCCCCGCCTTCGTCCGCTTCCCCTTCCACTTACCCCTCCGCCTCCCCGCAGTCGTCTTGCCCATCCGCTTCCCCACGCGCACTCGAGTCCCCCATCGGCCTCCGCAGCTCGTGCGCAGCATTTCGCGCGGAATTTCCCCGCACATCCGCGTCCGCGCACCGTTCCGCATCCCCTCGGGCCATTTTCTCCGTTCCTCCGCCCGCGCTTTCCCTGCTGCATTCCGCCACACCCTCCACTCCCGTCACGTCCGCCATGCCGTCCCCGCAAGCAGTCCCCCCAGAGGCGGAAAGCAGCGAAATCGCCGCTTCCGCCGCCCAAGCAGTCCCCGCCGTTTCCCCCTTCCTCCGCTCTTCCCCCCGTCCGGTGTCTGTTGCGACCAGCCCGCATTTCGCCCAGCCGCTGCCCTCGCAAAATTCTCGGCAAACGCTGTCGCCAAGTCTCCGAGTATCCGTTACTCATGCTCTTGATACGCCTGCTTCCGCAGCTACTGATGCTTCCGCTGCTACTGATGCTGCCGCTACCAGCTGTTCTTTGGCTGCTGCCATCGCGGCTACTGTTCCCGTCGCTCCATCCGCTCTACCAGACGCATCCGCTCCATCCGCGCATTCCCCCGCCCTCATCCAGCCCCCCTCCGCCCCTGCTGCCTCGTCGTTCTCCGCCAAGTACCCCTTCCCGCGGAAGCTCCGGGTTCGAATCCCGGCGGTGCCATGTTGCACCCTGGACCCCGTTGATATCGACGCGATATGGGAAGAACTGGCTCTGGGCGAGGGGGAGGGAGAAGAGGAGCGCGCGGGGGCGGAAGGGGGGGAAGAGGGGGAGAGAGGAGGTAGAGAAACGCGTTTTCAGGCAGGTCGGAAGAAGAGGGGGAGGGAGTTTTCTTTAGAGCCGAGTGGGAAGAGAAGGGGGAGGGAGAACAAGGGGGGGGGGGGAGGAGGGGACGGGCCGTGAAGCAGCAGCAGAATGGCTTGAGGGCTGGGCGGAATGGGGTATGGCGGAAGACGAAATCGTGGGATCCGAGGGAGTGGAAGAAGGACCCTGTATGGGGGAGCGGTGATGCTGGGGGCAGTGTTGCCAGTGTTGGTAATGTGGGCAATCTGGGCAATGCTGGCATTGTTGCCACGCCTTGCACTGCTGCTGGCGATCGAAAACGGTACAGGTTTCCCATGCTACCGAGCCCGAGGCTGCAGAGTCCGAGGCTACCGAGCCCACGACTGCAGAGCCCCAGGTTTGGGAACGCAAGAGCGCCGCTCACACCCACGCTCTTGGCTGCTCTCATTCCCCGGGGATGGATGAGCCCTCGTAACCCCGACACTCCAAGCAAGCCCAACACTACGAGCCGGCCGAACACTACTACCCAGTTTGCCCCTCCAACCAATCCCGTCGCTGCAACCAATCTTGCCATTCCAACCAATCCCACTGCTCCCTCGAATACCGCCCCTCCAAGCAAGCCCACCACTCCAATCCCGTCCAGCAGTCTAGCCCAATTGGCCCCTCCAACCAACCCCGCTGCTCCTAGTGAGACCCGCAAAACAGCTAGCACCATGGCTGCTAGCGCCATGGCTGCTGTCTTGGTGCAAGCAGAGGCTGACGCTTTCCTCCCTGCCATTCCGATCCACCTTCGCCGCACTCGGAGCACTGCTCATGCCAGGCATACCAGCAGCAGCAGCGGCGGCAGCAACAGTGGCAACAGCAACAGCACCACCACCAACAACCCTACCAGTGCCACAACCGCCGCCACCGCCACCACCGCCGCCACCGTATGTGCTGCTACCAGCCCCACCGCCACCGGCGACCAGTCTCCTGCCCACCTTCGATGCACCCGCAGCAGCACTCATCTCAGCAGCACCCCAAATGGCACAACCACTACCACTGCCACCGCCGCCGCCACTGTCAATGCTGCTACCAGCCCCACCACTACAGCCGACCAAATTCCTGCCCACCTTCGACGCACGCGAAGCAGCCCTCATGTTAACAGCACTTGCAGAGCCAGCAGCAGCAACAGCAGCAGCAGCACCACCAAGAGCACCACCATTGCCCAAAGCCGCTTCGTCAGCAGCAGCGCTTGCCGTGGACTGAGCCGCAATAAGAGCATCAACACCAGCAGCGCTACCAGCCCCACTGTCACTGCCGACCAAACTCCTGCCCGCCTTCGACGCACGTGCAGCAATATTCATCTCAGCAGCACCCACAGCGGTTTGGGCAGCCGCAGCACCACCGCCACCATCGACCACCCTCCAGCCCAGCTTCAACGCACCCACAATGGCTTAGACAGCCACAAGAACGTCAGCAGTAAGTGCCCCACCCTTACCGGCAGCACCACTTTGGCAACTGATATCCAAACCCCTCCTGCTGACTTGCATTGTAGGCAACCCAGCATGCCACTCCGACGCACCCGAAGCAGTATCACCAGCAGCAGCAGCAGACATGGCACCAGCAGAGGCGGCAAGAACAACTGCAGCCTTTTTAAGAGTTTGTCGCTTACTCAAAGTGCTCCTGCTGCAAAATCTAATCCTGCCATGCACCCGCCTGCTACAGACCCTGCTGCTACAGATCCTGCTGATACAGACCCTGCTGCTACAGACCCTGCTGCTACAGACCCTGCTGCCACAGACCTTGCTGCAGCAGCCATTTCTTCTACTGCGATCACTGCTCCTGCTGCAGTTACAAGTCCTGCTGCCGCCGCTGTTTTTGAGGTGCCTAAAAAATCTTCTGCTGCGATCACTGCTCCTGCTGCAGTTACTAGTCCTGCTGGCGCCGCTGCTCCTGCTGCAACAGTATGCTTCTTGCTCTCGTTTGAGGAACGACGCTTCATGCAGCAGCTGCTGGTGAAACAGCAACAGGTACAGCAACAGGCGCAACAGCAGGTGCAACAGCAGGTGCAACAGCAGGTGCAACAGCAGGTGCAGCAGCAGCAGATGCAGGGGGGGGAGCGAGCGCAAGAGGAGGAAGAATCCTCCCCTTGTGTATCTATAGAGTCACAAGAGGTAAAGGGGTCCCACATGGGGTCCCATGGAACCCTGAGACCTGGAGGAGAGCGGGGAAATAGGTCATTTACATGGGCTGAAGAAACCCCAGACTGTGTTGGTGTTGGTGTCAATGCAGAAAATGGTGACTATAGCAAGAATTGTGACAATGGGGAGCAGGAGAGCCTCGAGAGAATTGGAGGGGCTTGGCATGGTTTGCGACAAAGTATTGCAGGAGCTGGGGAAAGGGGCCTTGCCCTACTATCGGGGTTCCGAAAGCTAAGGGATGAAGTCAAGCGTAGGTGTAAAAAGATTCTGCAGAATGTCAGAAGGGGAAGGTGGAAGGTGGAAGGGGGAAGGGGGGAAGGGGGAAGGGGGAAGGGGGAAGGGGGAAGGGGGAAGGAGGGAGGGGGGAGGGGGTAATGCAGCAGCAGGTGGGCTTGCATGACTGTTATGCAGCAGCAGATGTCAGGGTTCGGAAAGTTAAGGCATGTGGTGAAGCGTAGGTGTAAAACGATACTGCAGAGTGTTGAGGGGGTGTGTGGGTATGTATCTTGCTTAGTTGATGATGGGACGAGGAGCAATGACAGATCAGAGCCGAGGCAGCAAATTGAGGTTTCATTTGATGATCCAAACTTGTGAGCTGGGTTGGGTTGGGTTAGGTTACCGAGATTCAAAACGCGATGGTAGGTGCTTTTTAGGACTTGTACAAAGACATCACTTCTGATTTTAAGACACGTACTTGCACATGTGATGCGAAAGAAGCTGCCGAGTAGCTGGGAGGGCAAACGCGAATCTGTGAAAGCGTGAATCACGAAAAATTGGGCAACGAGAAAATATATAGCAACACCTAGGCTGATCTTGGTCATAGGATGCAAAGGTTTGGGAAGGATATCGAAGGGCCTCGAAGAGTCAACGAGACGCCTAGAAAGCCTTGAAGGCTCGGATCGAAAGTTATGGAACTGTAGCCACGGTTTGGGGTCTCAGAGTAGAGTACGCACCTATCTAGCCTATAGTGACATACCGTATTCCCCCGTATATAACACCCGCCGGAATAGTCACTCCGTGGGTGGTTTATGCGGGGTAGAGCTTATGATAGGGTGCATTTAGGAGAGCACCCGCTTTTTTTACCTTGCATTTTACATAACACCCTCCACCTTTTTGCTACAATGTAATCGATTCAATATTAAGAATTGAAGTATACAGTGACGGAAACAATTGTCCATATGTTTTGCATTAATTAGGGTTTTTGAGCTTTCCGACCACTATACATAAAGTCTTTATATTTAATGGTGGTACGCTTTGGGATGGGCATATAGTGGATGTCTTCACAGCGCTAAATTCCATAATAGTACACTGGATCTAACTTAGTGCCAAAAGATATACAAAGAGTACATCCGGACAATTGTTTCCCAGGACAAAGAGCAAACTTCCGAGAAGCGTTTCTAGTACCTAGTCCACCAACACTTGGCCTTGATAACCACCAGCACCCTCCTAGGCATGCTATCTACGAGGTTAGTGCAAACCTTTACAGCGATCTTCTCGCACTCTTCCTGGACCCACCCTTTTGCATAAGGGGGTGAGCACAAGGAAAATCGCGAAGTATTTGAACGTATGCAAGAGTACTGTGCACGATTTCATGTTGAATGTTATCTGAGAATAGCAATGCTGAGGTGTGGCCAAAGATGTCATAAGTTAATTGGTCCCATCTTATCATGACTTGTCTTCGTCGTACCATTGTAGGGTAAAATTACAAGCAGAGTGGCGAAAACCAGCGTGTCCGCCACGAAACTTAGGGTAACATAGCACGGTCGACTGTGCACCCTTTCATTAATAGAATCACGTTAAAATCTATGGGTCTTGTCACGGTTCAGTAGTCGAAGTAGCCCCGTCTGGTGGGAAAAATATCCGGGTTCAGGTCTGGTGAGGAAGAGGGTCACTTCACTGCTACAAAATCATGCTCTCCGAGCCATTCCAAGCCTAGGCGGGACACACGGCTTAGAATGGCTTGGACAATATGAGTATGTTACGTTGGAGTGACCCTTTTCCTCACCAGATCTCAACCCGGATATTCTTTCTGAACAGTCGCGACTTCTTCTACTGCTGCACCGTAACAAAGCCTACGGATCCTAGTGCGATTCTAATAGTGCAAGGATGCACAGTCGACCGTGCTATGTTACCCTAAGTTTCGTGGCATATACGCTAGTTTTCGCCACTCTGCTCATAAATTTTTACCTACAACGGTATGACAAAGACGATCCACGATAAGACAGGACCAATCGACTTATGGCATCTTTGGCCACACCTCAGCGTGGCTAGTCTTAGAGATAACATTCAATATGAAATCGTACACAATACTCTTGCGTACGTTCAAATCCTTCTTGATTTTCCTAGTGCTCACCCCCTTATGCAAAAGCGTGGGTCCAAGAAGAGTGTGAGAAGATCGCTGTAAAGGTTTGCAATAACCTCGTAGATAACATGCCTAGGAGGGTGCGGGTGGTGATCAAGGCTAAGTGTCGGTTGACTAGGTACTAGAAACGCTTCTCGGAAGTTTGCTCTTTGTCCTGGGAAACAATTGTCCGGATGTACTATTTGCATATCTTTTGGCACTAAGTTAGATCCTGTGTACTATCATGGATTTTAGTGCTGTGAACACATCCACTATGTGCCCCTCCCTAAGCATACCACCATTAAACATTAAGACTTTATGTACAGTGGTCGAAAAGCCCAAAAACCCTAATTAATGCAAAACATCCGGACACTTGTTTCCGTCACTGTAGGTTACTAGAGAACTAGAGGATGTGCAGGCCTGTAAGAGAACCTGAGGGCATCGCCGGACAGGGAAGGGTGGTGGAGCTACGGACAATTACCGGACCTGATGAGGGGTCAACAAGTGCGACAGCGACGGGGGCGGCGAGCGGCGTGAGCGCAGTGTGGTCGCGGAAGAAGCAAGCTCTAGAGTCGAGCGTGAAAGAGAGCGAAGCACTAGCGTCAACCGGTCAAGAGGCTAGTGTGGAGCCTAGGCTAAACAAGGTAGGGGGTTCTACGCCTGATGCAGTAGGGGGTTCTACGCCTGATGTAGTAGGGGAGGTTAGACTACACACAGGGGACACACCTACGTTAGGGAACAACGGGTAATAGGGTCCAATCACACTAGAATTATCATCATACATAACAGACATAACAGTCCTTATCTGATCCACGTTAAGCTCAAAGACAGGCACACGGCGGCGTATGAGTCAGGGGGGTCTGACGTGGGACCGAAGCGGAGAAGGAAGAGGTCGTCGAAGCGGCAGTAGCAGCGGGCGGCGGTGTGACTGGGACGGTCGCAAACGGTGTCGCGGTGGGGGCCAGACTGAAGCTGGTATGGGCAGGTGACCACACTGGAGCCGCCACCCGACACCGAGCTGCGCCCCCCACTACCACGTCCACCACCACCAGCGCCGCTAGTCCACCACGGCAGCAGGGGTCCCCACGATGACTGCTGCTGCTCCGGGGCACCAGCCCCGGACCCCTTGTCTGAACCACCGTCCCCGCCCCAACCTCCACCACCCCCACCACCCCTACCACCCTTCCATCTGCCACGCCCCCCCTTCGGGCGGCGGCCCCTACCCTATCGTGGATGTGCTGAGGACGCAGCGGCGGTCTCAGTAGCAGGGGCTGTCTCAGCGACAGCGGCTGAAACTTCATAGTAAGTGCACTGAGAGGGAGCACGACCTTGAAAGACAGGGATCGCCGCAGTATCGCTAGACTGAGCGATAGTGCGCTTGCAGGTCTCTATCGCGTACAGGGCGGTGACAAAGGCGGTAAGGGTGAGGTCACCTGGGCGCTGACTAAGGAAGTGGTGGCGTGCAATGGCTAGGCAGTCTGGAAGGTGTGTGGCAATGAGGTAAAGGGTAACACAAAGCGGCGGTGGAAAGGCAGTGAAATGAGCCTTAGTGGTAGCGGCGCGGCAGCTAGCCTCAAGTGCGCGGAGGTGAGTCGCAAGATCGGCGATAGTGGGGAAAGGCGCAAGATCATTGAACAGCATGGGGAGGGTCAGGCGACCAGCAAAGGCTGAGGCGGGGGTGGAATAGCACGCAATAACTGCATCTAAGAATTCCTTGGTGTTCGCTACAGTGGTAAAGCGGGGACGCTCAGACATGGGAAGGGCGTGACTAATACCAAGCTGCGCAACAGCGTTGCCCGACTCCCAGACAGCGCGAGCAAGCGCAGCAGTGGAAAAGCCCTCACGCTCAGCAGTGGTGGGGGCATCAGGGAGGGCAGCAAGCGCAGCGGGGCGGGGAAGCATGCCATCGACATGAACAACCATGGAGTAGCCGTCCTGGCGCTAACCTGTAAGGTGACGGCTAAGGTCTACGAGCCACACCTCGAAGCCGATCGCCCGCCCCTCCACGTCCAGGTGGAACACATCGTCCGCCATCCCACGATTTCAACTACACGGCGGCACGACGACACGGCGACACGGCGGCACGGCGACACGGCGCCACGGCAGCACGGCGGCACGGCGACACAGCGGCACTGCACCACAGCGGCACTGCGGGACGACAGTACGGCACCACGGCGGCACGGCTCCATGGCGTCACGGTGCCATGGCGGTACAGCGGCACGGCGACATGGCGGTACTAGGCACGGCGGCACCGCGACACGGCGGCACGGCGGCTCTACACTGCGGCACGGGCCAGCGGGTGCGAAGCTGGCGAGCGCATGGGCCAGAGGATAGTGGCTGGCGACGAGCGGCTGGCGAACGCGGGGCCAGCAGTCCTGGGGCTGGCGAAATCGGGGCCAGCGGGCTCGGGGCGAGCGGGTGCAGGGCCGGCAGGCGCAGGGCCAGCAAGCGCGGGCTGGCGAGCGCGGGGCCGACGGGCACGGGGCTGGCGGGCGCGGAGCTGGCGAAAGCGGGGCCAGCGGGCGTGGGCGAGCGGGTGCGGGGCCAGTAGGCACAGAGCCAGCAGGCTCGGGGCTGGCGAGCGCGGGGTCGACGGGCGCTGGGCTGGCGGGCGCAGGGCTGGCGAATGCAGGGCCAGTGGGCGCGGGGCCAGCAGGCACGGGGTTGGCGAGCTCGGGGCCAGCAGGTGCGGGGCTGGCGAGCTCGGGGCCAGCAGGTGCGGGGCTGGCAATTGCGGGGCCAGCGGGCGCTATGCGACGGGCGACTAGCTACGGGCGGCTAGGTCTAGGGCTAGCACTATGGCGGAAGCGTGGGCGGGCGGGATCCTAACCTCGCGTGATAGCATGTTAGCGTAGAGAGATTAACTAGAATGAGGGAAACATGGTGGTTTTGTCTAAGGGGTTGTACTACGCACCTATCTAGCCTTTAAGACATATACAAATATGTTTGACAGTGAACCCCGCGGATAGATTTGTGTTGAGTGACCCGCTGGGGTTGCCCTTGAGATCCTCGGGGAAGGGCCACAGGTGCAGAGCCTGGGGGGCTATGGGCGCACTTATCCGCTATTCAACAAGCCCTTTTAACCCAGTGGTTAGTGACTGGGTTTCTGACAAGATTGTCGTTTTTTCTCCTGGACACTTCACGCTAAGAATTTTGTTGATTGTTGTCGGGGGGGGGGGGGGGGGGCTGCTTTGTTTTGGCAATCATACATAACCATGAGTGATTTGGTGATAAGCATAGACCATGGCAGAAATAGTATAGTAGTGTAACGCATTGTGCAATTAGCTCTTTACCAAGTCTCGTCATGGGACTTCATTTCCAATCCTGCTAGTGCCCTAGTTGAAGGAAGGGATGGTTGGCTCACAGAAAAGGGCGCAATAATGAGCACTCGATTGCCTGCCAGCATTTGTTGTCCGCTTAGAACTCCGACCAGTTATGGTTAAAGAAGCAGGCATGACATGCACGCACGATCTCATCTGTACACCCTGATGGGAAGATGGAAGAGGGAGGAAGCAGGAGTGATGCATCATTTACCGGTAGGTGTATGGCACAAGCAACTCGCATGGACGAGGTGCAAGCCCCTCGATTCTTGGCGATTCCCAACCTCATTTCCCTCCCACCCTCATTTCCCTCCCACCCGAGGAGTCTATTTTTGAGGCGCCTCAAAAATATTTCCCATTCACCAATCACTTCTCCCCAAGCATCACTATAAACAGCTGCCTTCTCCCCCTAACGGTAAGTCTTCCCCTACTCTTGTTACATGTTACTCACCTCCCATCCGCCCTCTTCTCCCCATGAATGGTGATACAGACTTGCCTTGCTCCCCCATAGTTGCGGTGCTCGTTCAGATATATGCCCTGCGGTGTTGGGGTTGGGGCAGAGGTAATTGGAATCATAGTGACACAAAGTGATGCATCGTCATGACACACGCAACCTGCCTTGCTCCCCCACAGTTTCGGTGTTGGGGTTGCGATCGTGAACAAATGTGATATGGGGAGAGGAGAGAGGAGGAAGGGAGAAGGGGCATTGTGACACACGGCTGCCTTGCTCTTCCACAGTTGCGGTGCTCGTTCAGATATATGCCCTGCGGTGTTGGGTTGAGTTTTGAGGCGCCTCAAAATCAGGTATATGCCCTGCAGTGTTGGGTTGGGATCATTGTGACACATCGTGACACACACAGAGCTGCCTTGCTCCCCGTAAGACCCAGGGGAAAGTGAGACCCAGGGGGAAGTGAGACCCAGGGGGAAGTGAGACCCGGGGGAAGTGAGACCCGGGGGAAGTGAGTCCCAGGGGAAGTGAGACCCGGGGGAAGTGAGGGTGCTCGTTCTAGTAAAAGCCTTGTGGCACGTGAGCAAATGTGACTTAGAAAGTGAACGCCCTGCGCTTATTAGCATCCAATAAATAAATAAGCCAACCTAAAAACTAGATGAATATGATGGGAATGGTGAGAATGGTGTATGAACCTGCCAGATGCCGAGCTTGAAGCGACCGGCCATGATGGGAATGGTGAGAGAGCACCCCATGAGTGATGACTTGACGTGGGCTGGAGGGAATAGGGGAGAAAAAACGGGTGATGGCAACACGGGTGTTGGCAACACGGGTGATGGCAACACGGGTGATGGCAACATGGGTGATGGCAACACGGGTGATGGCAACACGGGTGATGGCAACATGGGTGATGGCAACATGGGTGATGGCAAACAACCATGAGAGCACAAAGGCATGATGGGAATGGTGAGGGAGCACGCCACGAGTGATGACTTGACATGGGCTGTAGGGAGGGAATCGGGGAGAAGATGGCACATGCGACAAAGGGGAAGGGACGACTGGGAGCAAGACAGAACAAGAAAAGGCACGCAATGTGAAACGGGTCTTTTCTGCACGACGCTGCTGATTCTCTCAGCAACTCGAGGAAGGACTTCAAATTTTTAGGCGCCTCCAAAGACGACTCCTCAATGCAAAAGGTGTCTCCTCAATTTTTAGGGACGACGATTTTATGTACACAAGGGACAAGGTCGTTCCTGCATCACGCAACGCTGCTGATTCTCCCACCAACTCGAGGCAGGGCTTAGGCCGCGTGATGTGGACAAGTGACTGTTGAGTCGAGTCAAAAGTCAGAAGGCATTTTGAGTCGACCCAAAACTCAAGACAGGACGTGGGGTGCGTGATTTGGACCAGTGGGGAGACGGGGGAAAGGGGCAAAGGGGAGGGGTGTGGGGGGGGGGGGGGGGGGGGGGGGGGGGAGGGTCGGGGGTAGAACTTACCTGGCATGTCGTCATAGCCCTCGTCCAGGTGCCGGTAGTGGTTGCCTTCCGGTGCAATGCGGTTGAGAGCGTCTTCCATGTCCAAGGGAACGTCCGGGCTTGCATTTTCATTGATGGTCAGGCTGGCTGAGGTGTGCAGCACTGGAGGAAAGCACGGGGGGAAGGGGGGGAAAGGCCGGGCGGGACGTTCTTGAGAATTCTCAAAAACACCCCGTGTGACCTGCACGCACAGTCATGCGTATAGGACTGGAGGAAAAGAATGAGGGAAAGGGCGGAAGGGGAGAAAGGCCGGGCGGGAGGTGAAGGGAGCGAGAAAGGGTGCGTGAGAAAACACGGTTGGGAGCATCTTCCATGAGTAGCGGTACATCTGGGCTCGCTGGTCGTTCATTGACAGGCTTGGCTAGCGTGTGCAGGGGTGGGGATGGATGGGGCGCACCCGCCTCCCTCAGCTGCAGCTCGCCCTTACACTTATGACTGCCGGCGGGCGGGGGTGCACGTGATATATGGTTTGTTTCGAGACATCTCAAAACAAACCACATGATGTAAGGTTTGTTTTAAGACGTCCCAAAACAAACCTTATGTCAGGGAGGGCACCCGCCTCCCTGAGATGCAGCTCGCCCTTAATCCGTGTGTCATGAGTCGATTTTTGACTCATTACACAAACCTTATGTCACAGGGCACCTGCCTCCCTGAGCTGCAGCTCGCCCTTACGATAATGAATGCGGGTGGGTGGGGGGCGGGGGGGAGAAGGGTGAGTGAAGGGGGAAAGGGGGAGTGAAGGGGGAAAAGGGGGAGTGAAGGGGGAGAAGGGGGAGTGAAGGGGGAGAAGGGTGAGTGAAGGGGAAAAGGGGGGAGCAGGAGGGGGAATGGGAAGTCTGAGCGCCCTTCATGCCTAGGGGCGTGTCTCGTCTGGTCTGGCGTCTCCTTGATAGAAAGACTGGCTGACGTGTTGGGGGGTGCGTGGGGGGTGTTAATGGGGGAGGGAGGGGGGGAGAGAAGGGGGGAGAGAAGGGGGGAGAGAAGGGGGGAGAGAAGGGGGGAGAGAAGGGGGGAGAGAAGGGGGGAAGGGGGGGTGGAAAGGGGGTGTTGGTGGGGCGAGGGGGGGGGCAACGTGCACGAACCAGCCAACCAGCCCCCTCGTGCACGAAGTGGAACCAGCCGGTAACAAAAGACCCTCCACTTACCACTCACCAAAGACCGCTCGGATGAATGTGGAGAGTGAGAGTAGTCTCTTCTTAAAGCGCCTCAGAAAAAGACATCTCGGATGAATGTATGTGGAGAGTGTGCTACCAAATGTGGCCGCACTTACGGGTCCGCACCCACCAGAGGCAGCCTCACCAGAAGCAACCTCACCAGAGGCAACCTCACCAGAGGCAACCTCACCAGAGGCAACCTCACCAGAGGCAGCCTCACCAGAAGCAACCTCACCAGAAGCAACCTCACCAGAAGCAACCTCACCAGAAGCAACCTCACCAGAAGCAACCTCACCAGAAGCAACCTCACCAGAAGCAACCTCACCAGAAGCAACCCCAGCTCACCGAAGAGGTTCGCGATGCCGACACGGAACTCAGCAATCTCGGGGACGGCCCGCATGATCTGGGAGGTGATGACGTGGCAGCCTCTGATTGGTTGGAAACGCACAGGTCAGGAGGGAGAGCATGGGAAATGGAGCAACGACTGTGAAAGACAACAACGGAAGCGACGCAGGAATGCGAGGGAGAGTGGGAGGGTAGTGGGACGGAGGGAGGGAGGGAGGGAGGGATGGAAGGAGGGAGGGAGAAAGGGAGGGAGGGAAGCAAACGATGGTTACCGTTTGTAGGGCGGCAGCTCGATCGTCTTCTGCAACCACACCGTCTTGCCCGGCGCTTCCGCCGCGTTGGCAAGATCAGCGGTGGACGCGGAGGCCGACGCGGCGGAGGGGGAGGCGGAGGGGGGAGGGGAAGGGGAAGAGGAGCCGAAGAGCGAAGCCGACACGCGGGCATGGCGGAAATGCCTGCATCGATGGCGGTTGCTCTGCGGCAGCGTCGGACCTGTTTCTACAGAAACAAAGCATGTGTTGGAGTTGGCTGGGACAAGGGGAGCGAGCTGCGGCCGCAGCGGAGCGCCACGGGGGAGGCCTATCGCGACGCGGCTTCCGCCGAGCGCGGCGGCGGGGGAGGCCATGGCGGAACGGCGGGGGGGGCACTGTTTACCAGAATGCGGTGGAGGGTGCAACAAAACCTGTCGGCTCTGTGTAACGACGCGTGAATTGCGTGAACAAGCTGTTGCAACATTTGGTGCACGGCAGCAGGGCAGCACAAGCGCGTATGATGTATTGCAGCTCGTTACCGGAATTATCATCAGATCGATTTTCTTATTATTATCATCAGTTTTACCCCAAAGCAATACCCGCAAATGGCATCAGGGTGAGAAGTACTCCTGAGTCAAAATAGCCTCCCTCAACTAGCACAAGCGTAAACCAGCCGAAAGTCTGACACACTGCACGAATAAGTAATTACAGGGCAGCACAAAAGCTCCCACCGCAGCACTCCCTCCTCCCACCCTACGAGCCACATTGCCTATCCCATCCAAAAAATGCCAGGAAAAAGAGCCGAGAAACACTCACTGAGGGAGCAATTCCCATTTTCCTCTATGGAATTTAGTTTAGGCGCGTCTCAAAAGGATGGAGCAGCAGTCCACTCCAAGTATTCCTCTGGGGACCCATCACTCCCATCAGCAACATCCAATACCCCCCAACATGCCCCCCACCTACCCAACCCCTCTCCCTCCTCCCTCCCATCCACCCCACTACTCCTCTCTAGGAGATGCCAGCAGGAGCCTCGATGATTGTGGAGGTGGCTGTTCCCGTGCTGCCATTCAGAACCGTCACGTTCCCATCCGCGTCCACATCGATGATGGCGCTGTCTCCCTCCTTGATCTCCCCCGACAGCATCCGCTCCGCCATGCTGTCCTCCAGCAGCCGCATGATGGCTCTCCTCAAAGGCCGCGCACCGTAGCTGGGGCTGTAGCCCTCGTCCACAACACGGTCCCTGAAGCGCTCGGTGACCTGTAGACCCGGGTGTACACGGGGGTGAGGGGGGGGAGGGGAGGGGAGAGTAAGCATCCGCTCCGCCATGCTGTCCTCCAGCCACCGCGTGATGGCTGTTGGGAGGGGACGGGCGCCGTAGCTGGGGCAGTGGGCCTGAATCGCTCAGTGACCTGTAGCACAGGAGAACTGAGGTTGGGGGGGTGAAGGGAGTGAAGAGTAAGCCTCCGCTCCACCGTGCTGTCATCCAGCAGGCGCATGATGGTTCCTCGGAGAAGCCTAGCGCCATAAGAAGCTGTAGCCCTCATCCACCACACGGTCCCTGCATTGCTCCGTCACCTGTGAGAAGGGTAGCAGTGAGAAAACCGATAACATATAAGACCACAGCCGGGCAGAGCACGGAAGATAGAAACACCAAGGCAGGGAGCTTAATTCAGCAAGTCCACAGCAATTAGAAGCTTCAAACACCTCCATACTGACCTACTACTGACCCACTCCCCTCCCTGCAGCCACTCCCTTTCTAACATAACACCTGCACTCACCTGCAGATCAATGTCCTTCTTGAGGCGCTCAAACACCTCCTTGAGCATGATGTCGCTGATCTCCTTCACCTCCTGCTTCACCCCTCCTGCCGCACATGCCCCTCTCCATAACAACAACCAAGGCGCCACACCCTCTCTCACCTGCAGGTCGATGTCCTTCTTCTTGAGCCGTTCAAACACCTCCTTCAACATAATATCGCTGATCTCCTTCACCTCCGGCTTGGTGAGCTGGCGGAACACAATGATCTCATCCAGCCGATTCAGGAACTCGGGGCGGAAGTACTGCTTCAGCTCCTCATTCACCAGCGTCTTGATGCGGTTGTAGCTCGTGTCCTTCTCGCCATAGTCCAGCTGGAAGCCAATCCCGCCGCCACCCTTCTCGATCACTGAGGAGCCCACGTTGGACGTCATGATGAGGAGAGTGTTCTTGAAATCGACCGTGCGGCCCTTGCTATCCGTGAGGCGACCGTCCTCAAGAATCTGAGGTCGGGGAACAGGGGAGACAGTAGGGAATGGAGGCACGGGGGAAGGAGGAGGGACAAGGGGCCCACATAGAAAGTCACAATGAGCAGCGAGTTCTCGCAGTCAGCCATGCGGCCCTTGCTGTCCATGAGGGCACGGGAACGGGAAATGGGGGGGAGAAAGGAGTGCGACGAGCCCAGAATGACCCGGGACCTCCTGCTAACTCCAGGTGACTTTTGAGTCTACTCAAAAGGCAAGGGAACGGGAGATGGGGGGGAGAAAGCAGTGCAACGAGCCCAGAATGACCTGGGACCTCCTGCTAACTCCAGGCCTAGTCAAGCCACACATACCTGGAGCATCATATTGAACACATCCGGGTGTGCCTTCTCAATCTCATCAAACAGCACCACGGTGTACGGCCTCCTTCTGACCGCCTCAGTGAGCTGTCCGCCCTCGCTGTACCCCACGTAGCCTGGGGGCGATCCGATCAGCTTGGACACCGTGTGGCGCTCCATGAACTCCGACATGTCCAGCCGCACCATCGCCTCCTCCGACCCAAAGTAATACGCCGCAAGGGACTTCGCCAGCTCCGACTTCCCCACGCCCGTCGGGCCCGAGAAGATGAAGCTCGCGATCGGACGGTTGGGATTCTTCAGCCCGACGCGGGCGCGCCGGATCGCGCGGGAGATGGCCTTAACAGCCTCGTCTTGCCCGATGACCCGCTGGTGCAGGGTGCCCTCCATCTTGAGCAGACGGTCGCTCTCGTCGCTCGACACCTTCTCCACTGGGATCCCCGTCCACGCCGACACGATGTTATGGATATCCGCTTCGGTGACCGTCGGGCCGATAGCGCCGCCGGAGGCTTCAACCTCGGCCTTGTTGGTCTCCTTGCTCTTCTCCATAATGGCGGTGATCTGCGTCTTGAGGTCCATTTCCTGGTCGCGGAGCTCCCCGGCCTTCTCAAAGTCCTGGTTGCGCACCGCCTCGTTCTTGTCCTTGGTGATCTGCCGCAGCTGCTTGTCCAGCTCCTTGGCCTCCTCCGGGAGTTGCGCGTGTCGCAGGCGCACGCGGGATCCAGCTTCGTCGATCAGGTCGATAGCCTTATCAGGGAGGAAACGGTCACTGTTTGGGCAGGATGGGGGGGGAGAGAGAGGAGAAAACAGGTGAGAACTGATACCCAAAGACCTGTTCTAGTCCTGGTTGAGGACCACCTCGTTCCTGTCCTTGGTGATCTGCCGCAGCTGCTTGTCCAGCTCCTTGGCCTCCTCCGGTAGTTGGGCGTGCTGCAGACGCACGCGGGACCCAGCCTCGCCATTGAGGTCAATGGCCTTATCGGGGAGGAAACGATCACTATTTGAAGGGTTGGAGGAGGGAGGGAAGGAGGGACGGAGGGGGGCAAGCGGAGCAACTGGGAAGGGAGAAACAGGATGAGTGGGTAGTGCCGCAGCACACCTGGCTTGTCCAGCTCCTTGGCCTCCTCGGGCAGCCATGCCTGCTGCAGGCGCATGCCGGAACAAGCTTCATTGATCAGGTAAATTGCATTGTCATCAGCAAGTGCATCATCCGTGCATCATCGCTCCCTCCCTCCCTCGCTCTCTCACCATGCACTACAGCAACACAGATCCCCTGCACCACATACCTGATGTACTGGTACGAGAGCTGGGCCGCAGCAGCGAGCGACTCATCCGTATACTTGAGCTTGTGGTGGATCTCATACCGCTCCCTCAGCCCCTTGAGGATCAGAATCGTCTCATCCACGGACGGCTCAGGCACCTGCACGGGCTGGAAGCGGCGCTCCAGAGCCGGGTCCTTCTCAATGTGCTTGCGGTACTCGTCGATCGTCGTCGCGCCAATGCACTGCAGCTCGCCGCGGGCCATCGCCGGCTTGAGGATGTTGGCTGCGTCGATCGCGCCCTCGGCTGCTCCTGCCCCGATAAGCGTGTGGACCTCGTCGATGAAGAGGATGATATCGTCCGCCTGCTTGATCTCATCCATCAGCTTCTTCAACCGCTCCTCAAACTCTCCCCGGTACTTCGTCCCCGCTACAAGCAGACCCATGTCCAGGGTGATGACCTGAGAGGGGAGGGGGGGGCAGGGGGGCAAGTGGGGGGGGCGGAGGAGGGGGGGGGGGAAGGGGGGAGGAGGGGAAGTGGGGACGGGGGGAGAGGGGAAGGTGAGATGAGAGAGTGCACAAGAGGGTGATATCGTCCGCCTGCTCGATCTCCTCCATCAGCTTCTTCAGCCGCCCCTCAAACTCTCCACGGTACTTCGCCCCCGCTACAAGCAGACCCATGTCCAGGGTGATGACCTGTGAGGGGAGGGGATGGACGGAGGGGGGGTCAGCGGGAAGGGGGCGTGGGGAGGGGACGGGGGAGGAGAGGTAGTGGGGGCAGGGGGAGAGGGGAAGGTGATACGTGCGTGTGCACCTCATCAATAAAGGAAACCTCTTTTTCCCTTGCCAGTTCTGAATCCACCAGTCCCAAACCAGACACCCACCTTCTTCCCCTCGAGCATCTCAGGCACGTCTCCAGACGCGATCCTCTGCGCGAGGCCCTCAGCGGTCTTGCCCACGCCAGGCTCGCCAATAAGGCCCAGGTGACTCCCCCCAGCAGGCCACGCACACACCCCCCTCACCTCCCCCAACAGCCAAACTCACCTTCTTTCCCTCGAGCGTCTCAGGCACGTCTCCAGACGCGATTCTCTGAGCCAGGCCCTCAGCAATGGCGGTCTTGCCCACGCCAGGCTCGCCGATGAGACACGGGTTGTTCTTGGTGCGGCGGCCCAGAATCTGTGTCACGCGCTCAATCTGCGCAATCCGGCCCACCACCGGGTCGAGCTTGCCCTGTGAAAACGAAGGGGAGGGAGGGGAGGGAGGAGAGGAAGAGGAGGGAGAGAGAACTGAACTCTGGGCTCGCCAATGATCAATCGATTGTTCTTGGGGCGGCGGCCCAGGGCCGGCGTCACTCTCTCGAGATCTCATGGACGCGACCAACGAAGGAATAGAGCTAGCTCGCAAGAGCAAGTGGCGGCAGGGAGAGGCGCTCGCGGATGAGCACAACATTGCTAGGTTTGTCTGCTGCAACTGGAATCTTTCTGTGCGTAATGAGTCGAATTTTGGGTCGACTCAAAAATCGACTCATTACACACGGTTTGTCTGCTGCAACTGGAATCCTTCAATTGCTTACCAGGAAGTGTCTAACAGATGGAGGTCTGAGGTTAGTGCCGTATTCCCTTTGAGCGCCGGCTTGCTGTTAGTTTGCGCTTTTTCACTTTACAGACAGCGCTGAACAAGAGAGCTTGCGTCCTCAGCGAGCTTGGTGAGGTTGGTGCCGTACTCCTCCAGAGTCGGCATCTTGAAATTGCTGCTGATTTCCGAGACCTCAACGAGCTCGCTCTCACCACAAAGCACGATTGGTGAACTCACGTCCTCAGCGAGCTTGGTGAGGTTGGTGCCGTACTCCTCGAGCGTCGGCATCTTGGAGTTGCTGCTGCCGCCGCCCACGCCTGCGCCCACCGCCTCCGCGCTCTCCCCCACCATGCGGATCACCTGCGAGCGGATGTTCCCCGGATCCGCGCCCAGGTTCTCGAGAACCCGCGCGGCCACCCCCTCGCCCTCGCGCAGGAGACCGAGCAACAGATGCTCCGTGCCGATGTAGTTGTGGCCTGGGGGCGGTGCGATGGGGGCCGACGAAGGGAAGACAAGGGAAGTGTCAGATGTAGAACAGCAGCGTATGACCAGTTGAGATAAAATCTATGTCCGATGTGGTTTGCTTAGCGTGCGATTACGACGACAAGACATCCCCGAAGGAAAATGAAATGGAGACGCGTCGAGCCGTAACTGAGGAGGTGAGATTGAGTGGAGAACGTAGAGAACGACTGCTCTACTCTCACATCCTCGTCGAAAGCGAGTCTGGAGCTGAGCGCTACACTCGATCACTGTGCAATCAAGAAACACTTGTGACCTCCAGATCTAGCCTTACCGGATGGATAAGAGCAAACGCACCGAGATGGCGCGCTTGCTCAAGGAACATCACCACACGCTTGGCGCGGCAGGTAGATTGTCGTCGATTCTTAGAAATCGACGCACATGCCTGCAGGCGTCAATCATAACTGAGAATCAGCGTACCGAGTTGGCCCGCCTCTTCAAGGGAGAGCTCCAGCACGCACTAGACGCGGGCACGAGAGGGGCCCAAACCAGCCAGAAGCAAAATTCTACGTACCGAGTTGGCGCGCTTCTTCAAGAGAGAGCTCCAGCACGCGCTTGGCGCGCGGCGTGAATGGAATCTCGACGGCGACGAAGCCAGAGCCGCGGCCGATGATCTTCTCGACCTCCACGCGCGCCTCCTTGAGATTCACCCCCAGCGACTTGAGCACCTTGGCGGCGATCCCGGTCCCCTCACCGACGAGCCCCAGGAGGATCTGCTCCGTGCCGACGAAGTTGTGGCCCAGACGACGCGCCTCCTCTTGCGCCAGCATGATCACCTTAATCGCCTGTTCGGTGAGGCAGTATTCGAAATACGGGAAAACAAACGAGTGACCCGAGCAGCCTAGTGACCAGGCGACGACGTAGGCGAGATTATTAATACCAAAAGTGGTTTCATAAGCTCAACACATGAGCGCGGATCCCAGGAAGGGAATTCAAGTACTTGAGGAGACCGACCTTCTCCGTGAAGCGCTCGAACATGGCGACAGCCACGCCGCGTGTCGCGACGCTGGAGGAGCCGGGCTTAGTCTGCTTCGCGACGACCGCTGCCAGCGACGGCGAGCCCCTGAGAGCCACGTCAGCTCGGCCAGGACGCCTCAGGCCGGAGAACGACTGGAGCGTGCGAGGAGCTGCGACGCTGGCGACGGTGGACGACGAGCGTCGCGACCGTCGGCTGGCTTTGTTACCGCCATGGAGGACCACGCTCGCGGAGACGAGCGACGACTGAGCGATAGCTCCAGCCATATTGAATATGTGCTTGGGAGCTGGCAAGAAGAATCTGCGAATTTGAGACAGAAAGGGATCCTGAATTAGTCAGACTGCAATACACCAGCGGTCACAGCCTTACAGCAGGCAGCCAACTACCTGAAAAGCATGCACGTACCTTGTACGCGGCAAGCACAAAGAGGCCCCTGGGGACGAGAACCTGTTTGCAGAGAGGTGGCAAGGTCCCTAGACAGAAGCAACCCCTTCTAGTCGAGAATCTCGGAAGAGCTACTGCCTACGAATTTCAGCAACCTCCTTATGGGGAAATCGACAACGGAAGAAACCGATAATGGATGAAACAGCTGAAGCCTACTTCAGGCCTGCTGACTGCTGTGAGGAAGCAGACTGTGTGCGATTGTGGCGTTTTTGTGGTCAGCTTCAGGTTTTGGTAACACGTGTCTCGCTGTTTTGACTACATTATTCGCGTAAGTTCTGGCAGTGATGGGAAACCTAGCGACGGCAATTTATGCGACGGAAATGCCAGCAGTGGTTGCGGGTGAGGGTGATTAGATGAATCTGGACGACCCTAGACACTTCGTACACCGAAACGAGACGTCCTGGACGAGACTTCAACGCCGGCTAGCGGTTAGCGACTGACCTCTGCGTTGTCGTGGATGTCACTGATTGGGTGAAAGCGTTTTGTTCGCTTGACATACAAGTAACCCGTAAGCGTTCAGCTGGAAGCTCGCGAAAAGTTCCACTGAAGGCGAGGTTCACTGAGAATAAGAGCCAATCGGTGCTCGTGAATCATGAACCTGCCATCCAGCCCTCCAACAGAACTGAAGCAGGAAATGCACGTGGCTCCATCGTAGAAAGCCACATCCTGCAATCGCAAAATGGAGGCTGCGGATTCGCTCCTTGCCTGCTGAAAGTTAGGGACAAAATCCCAAAAGCGGAGTCACAAATTTATGTGACAGCAATGAGGGGTGCATTATTAGGCACCTCGACATAGGCGTACCTAGGTGGGCCACGTGTTATATGTGGGCATCAGAACCCTATCTGGCAAACCGACGTGTCACGCATTCTGTTGCCGCTGACGTCAAAAGTGATTCTTGTCTTAGCCGAGTCAACTCCGACCAGCTTCGAGAGCAACACTCCGCTCCTAGCAGAAAAACCTGATTCCTTCAGATGCCTGATTCCTAGGCCCAATAGGTTCCCCTCTTGCAACAGTCTAGGCGCTGCTGACCAGCCCAGGTGCTGCTGGCATACAGTATCTGCGGCACTACCCATCTAGGTTGTCTAGTCTAAATCCCTATTTCCACCGTCAACTCGACGCCGGGCGTACCATTCTCGTCGCTCGTCACTTGCTGACGCCATGGAGATGGTCCTGCTGCATCCCACATCGATGGTTTTTCCGCCAGTTCCCAATGTCACCCTAGCCACGTCAGCCTCGAGGCTTAGACTGCCGAGCTACTGTCATGGTCTTGGGCTTCCTCTGCGACAATCACGCCCGTTGGAGACACATAGGCATGCGAAGAAATCCAGATGCATTGTCACAAGAGCGGTCCTGGACCCGTCTGGTCTTGATGCCGTGATTTCCGCAGGATCGATCGCCGCACACAACCTTCTGTTCGCGGTTGCGGATGCTGCTGCTGACGTGGCACCAGCTGCTGCTGAGGTGGTGCAGGATCGTGGTTGGTTCTCAGGCCTGGCTGATCTCCTGGAAGCCTTTCTTAAGGTGCGGCCTCCACGGGATATCTCATCTCGTGGTTTTTACAGCGTAGAGAAGCTACATGTGGTATTTCTTCTAAGGAATCCGCACTGTCAGGCAGACAATCCGCCCTCAATCCTCATTGAGCATACCCTCATACCTCCACTCTCTCACTTACCTCTGACAGGTCTTAGAGGAAGGCCTAGTCTTTCTCTCTGCCGTACGCGTACGGCTTCTCCATCATCCTGCTCACGATCATCGTCAATCTGGCTACGTACCCGCTGACGATCATCTTCTTCATCCCCCTTTTTTTTCCCACCCTCCTACCCTCATTCGTCCACCCCTACACTAACGTCTTTCAGATCTTAGAGGAGGGTCTGGTGTCTCTCAAAGTCCCCTACGCGTACGGCTTCTCCATCATCCTGCTGACGATTATCGTGAAGCTGGTGACGTACCCGCTGACGAAGAAGCAGGTGGAGTCGACGCTCGCCATGCAGGCCCTGGCGCCGAGCCTCAAGGAGATCCAGGCGCAGTTCGCGGGCGACCAGGAGCGCATCCAGATGGAGACGGCCAAGGTGTACCAACGCGCGGGAGTCAACCCCCTCGCAGGTGAGGGTCTAAATTGGTGGCTAACAGGTTTCGGGTATAAAGGCGAGGAGAATTCAACCGGGCACGTAGGGGAGCTCACCGGCAGGGTAGGGAAGCAGCACCCTGGCATGTCTCTCCGCGGTCCTGCTAGCAGTGATTTCGCCCAGTAGCGACAGCCGAGTCTGGCGCCGCGGCTGAAGGAGATCCAGGCGCAGTTCGCGGGCGACCAGGAGCGCATCCAGATGGACCAAATGGAGACGGCGAAAGAGTACCAACGCGTAGGGATCAACCTTCTCGCAAGTGAGGAGATTGTCTGATAGACACGTCAGGGTGTTAAAGCAGAGGAAACTAAGTTAATGTTTTTTCGCTCCAAGTTTCGCATCCTTCTGGTAGAGTTCGAACGTATGGAACACATGAGCAGAGCATAGATTGAACGAGAATTTCCGGTAGTAGCTCTGAATCAAACAAACGAATAAAAAACTATCACTATCACTATCACTATCGCAATCCCATCTTTCATCACCACCATCCACCTCCCATCACCATCGCCATCACCATCACCATCACCATCGCCATCGCCATCGCCATCGCCATCGCCATCGCCATCGCCATCACCACCATCCACCTCCCATCACCATCACCATCGCCATCGCCATCGCCATCGCCATCGCCATCCCCATCGCCATCTCCCGTCACTATCTCCCGTCACTATCTCCCTTCACTATCTCCCTTCACTATCTCCCTTCACTATCTACCGTCACTATCTCCCTCCCGTCACTATCGCCCGTCACTATCTCCCGTCACTATCTCCCCTCACAGGCTGCCTACCCACGCTCGCCACTCTCCCTATCTTCATCGGCCTCTACCAGGCTCTCAGTAACGTCGCTAAGGAGGTGAGTGAAGTGCCTCATTCCTTCTCCCAGTATTCCCTCCCTCCCCATGTGATTTTTGAGTCGACTCAAAAATCACCTAAGGAGGTGAGTGAAGTGCCTCATTCTTTCTCCCAGTCCCCTCCCTCCCCACCCGCAACACCCTGCTCCCCTCGCTCTTCCCCAACTTTTTTCCTAAAGATCTCCATTTCCTGCGACTTGCTTCTGTCCGCTCCATCATTAACACTGCAAGAACTTGTTGCGCCTCGCTCCCACTTGTGGCCGCTATCCGCTATTGAGTCGACCGTTTACGTCACCTTCGTCCCATCTTTTGTGCTCCGTTCTGTTCGTTGCTGTGCGCCACGCCACCCCATCACCACTTCCCATCACCACACCCCATCACCACACCCCACCCCTTTCAACCAGGGCGTGCTGACGGAGGGTTTCTTCTGGATTCCCTCTCTTGCCGGTCCCACCTCCATGGATCCTACTGTCGAAGGTTCTGGCATCGCCTGGCTCTTCCCCTTCGTTGTAAGCAGCACATGCTGCCACTCTTGTCCTTCATTGTTAGCACATGGTTGCTTGGCGCGCCTTGCGGATCTGCTAGGGGCATTCTGGCCCTGTGTCGCCTCGCATTCTTGTTGGCTTTGCGCTTCGGAGCATGTGTTCTGGTACAGCCTCAGTTTGCATTTTTGCACTACAAGGAGTAGCAACCGTGTGCTCGTATTGCATGTGTGTTTGTGTTGAGTGTGTTGAATGTATGGATGTATGCGTGCGCTGCCACTGCTGCATCGTTTTGGTTGGGATGCCACAGTGGCGTACCTTCCTGGTGCTGCCAGGTGCTGCCGCAGGTGCTTTTCCCTCATCCCTCTCCCCACCACCCCGTTTCTCCCCCCCTACCCCCACCCACCCCATCCCCCACTCCATGGTGCAGGATGGCGCCCCTCCCCTGGGTTGGGAGGCCACAGCAGCATACCTGGTGCTGCCAGTGCTGCTGGTGGTGTCACAGGCTCTCACCATGCAGATCATGCAGCCGCCACAGACAGACGTGAGTGCTCGGGCTTTCTTCTGATAAGTGTGTGAGGGTCAGTGTTCAGGGGAGCTGTGATACATTGCTGCTGCTGGTGGTACAGGCTCTCACCATGCAGATCATGCAGCCGCCACAGACAGACGTAAGTGCTGCCAGTGCTGCTCGTGCTGCTCCCAAAGCTGCATTCAACAGTCCCACCACTGCGTTTGGAAGCATTCAACAAACACACTCAATCATCGATGTTTGAGGCGCCTAAAAAATGCATTCAACAGTCCCACCACCTCGTTTGGAAGAATCTAACAGACACACTCAATCATCGTCCCGGCACTCCTGTCACATTCTCTCCTCTCACCCTCCTCTCCGTCCTTCTCATCGCCTCTCCACCCCTCCCTTCCCTTCTCCATCCACCTTCCTTCTCCCCTCCTTTCCCCTCCTCCCTTCCTCCTCCCCCCCCCCCCCACTCTCACGTCCTGTCCCCTGCTATCTCATGACCACCAGGACCCAGCAACGCAGCAGAGCCAGGCCATTCTCAAGTTCTTGCCTCTCATGATCGGGTGGTTCTCTCTCACTGTGCCCTCCGGCCTCTCACTCTACTGGTAGGTAAAGCATATTGTACTCTCCTCTCTTGTTAATCAGCCTCCTCGAACCATTCTCAAGTTCCTACCTCTCATGATTATTATCACACCACCATTTCACCTCTTCCAGTCTATTTTCCAAGGAACACCGATGTTCAACATCCCCCACTTCAAAACCTCGTGTTCAAACCTTCCTGTCCAACCAAACCCCTCCCTTGCTCCACCCCCCAGGTTTGTGAACAACGTGCTGAGCACGGCGCAGACGGTCTACCTGCGCAAGATGGGCGGCGCAACGGCCCCAGTGCTGAACACCATGGGGGCCGACGGGGTCATCGATGTGGGCCTCGTGGAACCCTTAGGGGCACCAAGCACTACTGCGCCTGCTGCCTCTGCTTCTGCCGCCTCTGCACCAGCACTGGCTGTACCCAAGGCGTTGAGCAAGGAGGAGGAGGAGATTGAGAGGGCTCGTGCTGAAAGGTGATAGCCAGGGGGAAAGGGAGAGGGGAGAGAGCACAAATGCAAGGACACAGAGAAAAGTTCTGCCTTATCTACTCGCCTTTCACTCATTTTTTTCTTTGGTGCCATTTTCAGGTTCCGGAAGCGCAAGGAGGCAGAGGCGGCAAAGCGAGCGGGAAAGACAGTGGAGGAGGGAGCGACTGCAGCGGTCAGTGGGGACGACAAGGACAGAGAACGGGCAGAGAGGTGAGGAGAGTGTTCGATTCAATGCAAAAGCGATTAGGGGGTTTGCAAGTTACATGGGTGAGGAGAGGACATGTGCAGCGGGGCGAGGAAAGGGTTTTGGCAAGGGGAATACAGTGTGTCATTTTTGCTCACTCTCTTTCTCCCTGCCCCCCCTTCCCCTCTCCCTCCTACCCTCCTGTGTTCTGGCCGCGTTTGCTCAACCGTTGTGCCACCGTGAACATTGGCCTTTGTAGGTTTCGGAAGCGGAAGGAGGAGGAGGCGGCAAGGCGAGCAGCTAAGGCAGCAGCGGAGCAAGGCGAGAAACCAGCAGCACCTTCGCTGTCTGAGGCAACAGTGCCAGTAGTGGAAGCTGTTGTCTTGTCACCGGATGAGAAGAGGGAAGGAAGGGAAGCACCCAAGGAAGAGGTGAGCGGTTTGTAGCCCTTGACTAAAATAGCAAAACCTATTTAAGTTGGACCCAGCTTGAACAAGGGGGCTTGGTTTGAAGTAGTGTTGGGGTTTTACTTTTTGGGCAGTTGGCTATGTTCGAAATAAATTCGGAAGCAGTGCATGAAAGGTTTCCAATTCGGAGCGGAACCACTATTCACTTGCGAGTGTCTCGACGATCTCGCTCGTCGTACGGCTTGCGAGGTGTCGCACTGATTCTGAACACCCCTGTGAGACCCGAGAAGCAAACCTGGTCCCAACTTGAAAATCGATTTGGGTTCCAGGGAAAACGATCGCACATGCGATCCCTTCTGACATGCTAGTCGCTCAAGTCGCAAGCGCGTCAGAAGTGTCGCACTGTACATTTTGCTAAGCTGATTGTTGCGTCAGCCAATCGAAATAGAGCAACACATTTCGGATTCCTTTCCATCCGAAATTCTCAACAGTAATTCTAGTCAGTCATCCTATACTAAGACGGATTCTATAAGGCAGAGGTTGAAGTTGGGCCCCTTAGCTATTATAGCTTGGGTCTGAGTGTATTTGAAAATCAGTATATTGATGAGAGATTTTCTGACTACTCATCGTTTGAGCTTTTATTGTTACAGGTGGTCATTGTTGAAGTTGTGGAGCCTTCAGTAGAAAAGCCCGAGGGTAGCTCAAGATGATATGCAAAATTGAAGGGATTGAAGAAGGGTTTTGTGTGATTACCTTTCATTGTGATAATAAAGTGTTGGTATGAAAGTTTTTAGATGTGTACACTAGATGAACGCAATCGAATTGGAGTTAATGTGCTCATCGTCTGTTGCTTGGTTTCATTGGTCGCTTCTAACGAGAATTCCGCCACGTCCGTCATCGTCCAAGCACAAGCATCCGTCATGGTCGCCGGCTTTCTCACGCCCTCACTACACTGCCACCACGACACGACCAGTGTCAATGCTTCGCACGTCTCTCGCAATGCCTCCACAACATTCGCACGGATCTTCTCGCGCAAAGGTTGGCCAATCGCATGTACCCTGCCCAGCCATACATCGCAGGTGTCGAATGGCAGGCATTTGTGCATGATGTAACACACATACTTCGTTCTCGGCAACGTCTAACCCCTAACCTGGTTCATTCCGGTACAAGGAGATTTTAAAAACGAATAAACCGATACAGTGCGTTGAAGTTCGGTGTTTATGCTAGTCCCTCACTGCAATCCCTCCCCCACCCTCCTCTCGCCTAGTTCCCCTTTCCTGTCTCGGTGTTTGCCGACCTCTCTTGGTCATGAAAGCTTGTCGTGTAGCTTGGGCTGTATCTGCTCCATTGCTCATTCTTCTTGCTTCCTTGGATCAGGTTCCCTCGTCGCCCTTCTCCGTCTGTCTGTCGAACCATGGAAGCGTGCGACGAGAGCAATGCGTGCGGTGGCGCGTGACAAAACCAGGGCGGTAGAAACGTTCTTCAAGAACTAGCTGCTGCTGTTCTCCTCCCCTGGCATTGCTCCTTGTGGCGTCAACGCACATCTACTGTCACCAAGATCACAGTTTCATCAATGCATCGAGGCAACCCTGTCACCTCCGTAAATGTCGCCACTGTTGCGAATGTCGCTTATGTCGTCAGCCTGCCAACCGTTCGCATCGCCTTTTATTCGTCGCCATGCGACCCTTCCCCGTCAGTCGTCGACGAGTTCATCCATTTCCTCTTCGCCGCTCTCCTTCTCGCTCAAGCTGCCTGCGGCGCCGCTGCAGTCTGGCTGCTACACGTGGCGAGGCTGTCCTTCCGCCACGTGTCACTCGACCGCGAACCTTTCGAACATCGCGCAACTGACGGACAGAGCTATTACTTGAGAACGGAAGATTCCGCGAAGGTTTCGTCTTTGCCGGCTGAACCGCCTCAGGATAAGCCTGTGGATGCGATAAAGTTTGCTACTACTGATGACGTCACCGCGATTGATCGAAATGCTGATGACGTCACTTCCAGTCTGGAAATTCCGGTTAACAGCACGGCAGGTGACGTCATTCCGTGTTGCAGCAGCGAACGTGGGAAGGCCTCCGACGGCCAGGAGTTTGTCCAGGTGCTTTCAGCAGAGGTGGTTCAGGTGGTTTCAGCAGAAGTGAGGAGGATGCGGAAGGAACTGGTGGAGGTTGTATCCGGTGTAGCTGAGGGGAGGAGGGAGAGGGGAGAGAGTGGGGAGAGTAGGGAGAGCTTGGAGAGGAGTGAGAGGAGAGGAGAGAGGGATCAATTGGTAGAGGAAGAGAGGAAAGAAGAGGAGGCGAGAGGAGAGGGAGAGGAGGACGAGGGGGAGAGGGAGGAGGAAATCAAGGAGAGAAGGAGAGCGGAAGTGGCAAGCGAGGAAGAGGAAGAGGAGAGAAAGGTGGAGGAAGAGAGGAAGCAGGAGAGGGAGCAAGAGAGGGAGGCGTTAGTGGGTGAGTTGGTTAAGAGACTGTCGCCCTTGATCAAGCAGAGAGAGCAGGAAGAGCAGAAGCTACAGCAGCAGCATCAGCATCAGCAAGAGCAGCGTTGGCAGGAGCAGCATCAGCAGCAGCAGGCTGAGGAACTGCAACAGCAGCAGCAGCAGCAGAGGGAGGAAGAGGGAGTAGAGGAGGAGGAGCAGAAGAAGAAAGAAGAGGAGGAGGAGCAGAAGAAGAAAGAAGAGGAGGAGGAGGAGCCGCAGCAACATGGGCAGCATGAGCCACATGAGGCACATGATCTCTTGCAGAGGATATTGCAGGAGTGGGGGAGGGAGAGAGACGCGTGGCTGCAACGAGTGGAGCAGCTGGTGACTGTAGCGAAGGCGACTGAAATGAGGGAACTCGGGCGGGAGTTGGTGCAGCAGGCGCTAGAGGGGAGGGAGAGGGAGAGGGCGAAGGAGAGAGAGGAGGACAGGGAGGAGAGGTATGAGGGGTTGGCAGAGAGAGTGGGAGAGCATTTGAGGAGAGGGGAGGAGGATAGGAGGGCGGATTTGGTGAGGGAGCTGCTGTGTGTGTGGAGGAAAGAGAGGGAGGAGTCGGAAGGGGGATGGGGGGAAGGCAGAGGGGAGAGGGGGGAAGAGGTTTGGCAAGAGGAGGTGCAGGCAGGGAGGGAAGCAGGCTCGGAGGAGGGTTTGGCAGGTGGGCTGGGTGGCTTGGGTGGGAGTGGGAAGGGGGGTATGTGTGCTGATGGTGGTGATGCTGGGTATGCTGGTGGTGCTTGTGATGGTGCTGCTGGTTTTGGTGATGCTGCTGGTGGTACTGCTGGTGGTACTGCTGGTGGTACTGCTGGTGGTACTGCTGGTGGTACTGCTGGTGGTACTGCTGGTGGTACTGCTGGTGGTACTGCTGGTGGTACTGCTGGTGGTACTGCTGGTGGTACTGCTGGTGGTACTGCTGGTGGTACTGCTGGTGGTACTGCTGGTGGTGCTGCTGGTGATGCTGCTGGTGATGCTGCTGGTGGTACTGCTGGTGGTACTGCTGGGAGTGCTGCTGTTGATACTGCTGCTGCTGCTGCTGCTGCTGCTGCTGGTGTTGACTCTGTGGTTAAGCGCCCTAAGGAGAGCATGCTGACAGAAACGCAGGAGAGAATTCCGGGGGACGCTCAGGGGAGTTCACAGGGAGATGCAAACAAAAATCTCCAGTGGGGTCAACAACAGACCGCCCCTGAAGGTGCGGAGGGGGGTGTGCTTATAGAGAGCGGAAGGAGTGCACAGGGAGGCGTGACTGTAACGGGGGGAGGTAGAGCAGGGGAGTGCACAAGTGCACAAGGGGAAGCAGCTGGTGCCGATACACAGGAAAGCGTGGTTATACAGGAGGGAGACGTAGCGGGATTCGTGGGGGACACTGCAGAAAGTGTGATTATAGCAGAAGGAGAGGCTGCAGGCACTGCGGAATCTGTGACCCTAACGGATGGTGCTACAGAAGGGGTGAGTGCGCGCCTCGGCCTTGTCCTTCCAACCCTCCACCTGCCCTTAGAGCGACGCAGGGTACCTGGGAGGACACCTGGCAGAACACCTGGCAGAACACCTGGGAAGGGACCTGGGAGAGGAAGTCAATGGGAGCTTATTTCGCCCAGTGCTGCTGGCGCTGCTGCTGCTGCTGCTGCTGGTTGGAAGGGGGATAGGGGCGTGAGACTGAGAGTGGGTGGCAGGCGGTCGTTTAGGAGCGTGACTGAGGCGTCCCTGTACAGCCTATTGGCTGGATTCATGGAGAGGCATGGGGGGGGCAGGGGAGGGAGGAGAGAGAGGGTGAACGAGGAGGAAGAGGAGGAAGAGGTGGAAAATGTGGAGGAGGAGGACGCGGGGTGGAGAGGGGAGGAGGAGAGGAGGGGGGGTGGAGAGGGGAGGAGGAGTGGGAAGATGGTGCGACAGATGAGTGTGGTGAAGGAGGAGGGGGAGGAGGAGCAGGGGAAGCAAAAGGGAGGGAGGTTTACTGGGGAGGGGGGGGAGAATACTGGGAGTAGGCTGGGAGGAGGCGGGGAGTGGCAATTAGAGGCGCCTCAGAATACCAAGAGGGGGAGGGGAGGAGATGGGGGGGAAGGAGAGGGAAGAGAGGAAGGAGAGGAAGGAGAGGAAGGAGAGGAAGGAGAGGAAGGAGAGGAAGGAGAGGAAGGAGAGGAAGGAGAGGAAGGAGAGGAAGGAGAGGTGGCTATGGAGTGGACTCAGGAAGCGGCAGCATGTGGTGGTGCTGCTATGAACGATGCGATTGGTGACCAGGAAAGAGGGGTGGACGGACGAGATGGCGACAAGGAGGAGGGAGCACGGAGAGCGGAAACACCGCCCTTTGCATTGACTGACAACGACATGCTAGACCCTTTTGAGTCGGCGCAAATACCAGAGCAGCAGCAGGAGCAGGAGCAGGAGCAAGAGCAGGAGAGGCAGCATCCGGCTAATGAGGAGGGGATTGAAAGGAGCCCGCCTCAGCAGCAGCAGCAGGGGCTGGAGCAGGTGCAGGAGGAGCAGTGGTTGCACCATGGGACGAAGGACAAAAGGGAGAAGGAGAAGGGTGGAGAGGAGGAGGAGGAGGTGATCGACCGAGCGAAATTCCTGAAGATACTGAAGCAGCACCAGCGGCAGCTGAGGCGGCAGCTGCAGCAGCAGGCAGAGGAGAACCACCGAAGCAGCCAGGGGAAAGGCCGCGATGATGCAGGGGAGGAGGAGGGGGAGGAGGAGGAGGAGGAGAAGGAGGAAGAAGATGAGGATGAGGATGATTTGGCAGTGCTGCGGCGGGCACTAGAGCAAGAGATGGAGCTAGTCGACTCTTTAAGAAGGGAGTTAGACCAGGAGAGGGCGGCCGCGGACAGTGCTGCCCAGGCCAGCATGGAGCTGATCCGGCGCCTGCAAGAAGACAAAGCCGCCGCCCACCTGGCCGCCCGGCAGCGGGAGCGGATACTAGAGGAGAAAGCGGTGTATGACGAGGAGAGGGTGGAGGTGCTGAGGCAGATCATGCAGCGGCAGCAGGAGGAGGTCGAGTGGCTAGAGGGCGAGCTGGAGCGGTGCAGGAGACAGCTGGCCGTGCTGTGGGAAGCTGGTATGGCTGTGATGGGTGAAGGGGAGGAGGGGGGAGAGGGGGGAGGGATGGGCGGGGTTGAGGGGGAGGGGGGGAGGGAGGGAGTGGGTGGAGTTGAGCTGGATTGGGCGAGTTTGTTAGGGGAGGAGGGGGTGGGGGGTGGCATGGTGGGAGAGGGGGAGGACGGAGGGGGGGAGAGAAGAGGGTGGGAAATGGAAGGGGGGATGCAAGGGGAGGTGATGCAAGGAGATGTGATGCAAGGGGATGTGATTCAAGGGGATGTGATGCAAGGGGATGTGATGCAAGGGGATGTGATGCAAGGGGATGTGATGCAAGGAGATGTGATGCAAGGGGATGTGATGCAAGGGGATGTGATGCAAGGGGATGTGATGCAAGGGGATGTGATGCAAGGAGATGTGATGCAAGGGGAGGTGATGCAAGGGGAGAGAGTGTTGAGTTGGGGGATGGGACGAGGTGCGAACGTGGATTCGGCAGTAAGGCTTGGGGATGCGATGGAGATTGAGGTGGGTGGGGATGGGGGCATGGGTAGGGACATGGATGGGGGCATGCATGGGGAGGAGGAAGGAGAAGGGCAGGATGGCAGGGAGGGAGAGGGGGAGGAGGGAGATGAGGAGGTGCAGGAGGATGGAGGAGGGGGATTGGGTGGAGAGGGGGTGGGCCAAGGCCGGGGGGAGGGTGGAGAGACGGAGTGTGTTGAGGAAGTGAGAAGGCTCCCCGAGAGTAGCAGGGAGGGAGAGCTGGTGCAGGGCGAAACTGGTCTTGGTAGTGGAAAGGATGTGACGAGAACGGATGTGAGTTTACAGGAGAGTGGTCGGGAGGAGGAGGAGGAGGCGGGAGGAGGTGGTGGTGTTAAGGGGAGGACCCAGGAGGGTGCGATGGATGTGGGGGAGGGGCTGAGGGTGCCTGTGGAAGAGGGAGCGGAGCAGGGGGAGGAGGCGGGGAGAATGGTGCAGGGTGGGTCCGTGGCAGCTGATGGGTATGAGGGGGAGGGGGGGGGAGGGACGGAATTGGCAGATTAGACTGTGAGAAGGAGGGAGAGCGTTTGGTGGAAGACAAGGTGATGGGGGGTGAGCGCAACAGGCCGATATGCCAAGGAAGTGGGGGAGATCCAGTGGTGACTTTCGACTCAAAACCTGAAATTAAGTTTCGAGATGAACCTGAAGGAGATGGGGAGTTGGCTGGTGCTGTTTCGGAGGGGGGGAGCGGGGATGGGGGGAATGGGGGGAATGGGGGGAATGGGGGGAATGGGGGGAATGGGGGGAATGGGGGGAGGGATGATGAGGGGCGGGTGGTTGCAATTGGAGGGGAGGAGGTGAAGGAGGGAGGAGAAGAGAAGGATGAGGAGTATGACAGGGAGGGCGAAAAGAAGAGGATGGATGAGGGTGGGGGAGGGATGGTGGGCAACAATGCTGCAAAGGAGGAGGAGGACGAGGAGGAGGAGGAGAAGGAGGAGGAGGAGAAGGAGGAGGAGGAGAAGGAGGAGGAGGAGAAGGAGGAGGGGGAAGAGGAGGAGGAGAAGGAGGAGGAGGAGAAGGAGGAGGGGGAAGAGGGGGTTAAGGAGGAAAGTGTGGAGGGAGAGGAGAAGGAAAACGAGCAAGGAGGGGGGGAAATGGAGGTGACAGCAAGTGAGAACCCGGAGGATAGGAAGGAGGAGCAAGCGGGAAAAGGTGAGGAAGCTGAGGAGAAGAAGAAGACGCTTTTTGAGGCGCCTCAGAAAGGCGAGGAAGCTGAGGAGAAAGAGAAGACGATTTTTGAGGCGCCTCAGAAAGATGAGGAAGCTGAGGAGAAGAAGGAGGTAGAGGAAGAGGAGGCGGAAGGGGAGAAAAAGGAGAAGGTGGGAGAGATGGAGGTGGATGTGGAGGAAGAGGAGGAGCAAAAGGAGCAAGAGGAGGGGAATGAGGAGGGGGAGGAGGAGCAGGAGAAGGGGGAGAAGGGGGAGGAGATGGAGCATGCAGAGGAGGAAGAGGAGGCAGAGGTACAAGGAGAGGCGAGAGGCGAGAGAGGGGAGGAGGGAGGGGAGGAGGAGGGAGGGGTGGAGGACGGACGAGTGGGTAGAGATGAGCTGAAGAAGGATGGGGTGATGGATGGAGAAGGACGGCAAAGAGAGGCGCACACAGGCGGGGCAGAAAAGGGCGGGGTGGAAGCAGGGGGGGCGGAAGTAGGGAAGGCGGAAGCACAGCAATCAGCGCCAACCACGCCGATCGATCCAGACGAAGTGTGGCGCGAGTTTGAAGCGCAGATAGACCCAGAGGAAGCAGGGATGATGATGCTGATGCAAGGCGCAGCGCAGGGCATCACTCCTCTGGGCTCCCCCACAGCCATAGGGGCAGCTGCAGTCAGTGGCACAGGGAGCGGAGCAGGGAGTGCATTTCGTTTGCCGCGGCAGCTGACTCCGAATGACGAGACGAAGCGAGCTGCAGCGGCACGGCAGGTGAGGGGAGGGAATGGTAGGTGTGTTTTTTCTGGGTGTGTTTCTGCGCGGCAGCTGACTCCAAATTATGAGACGAAGAGAGCCGCAACAGCACGGCAGGTGAGGGGAGGGAATGGTAGGTGTGTTTTTTCTGAGTGTGTTTCTGCGCGGGAACTGACTCCGAATGACGAGACGAAGCGAGCCGCAGCGGCACGACAGGTGAAGGGAGGGAATGGTAGGCGTGTTTTTTCTGGGTGTGTTTCTGCGCGGCAGCTTACTCCGAATGATGAGACGAAGAGAGCCGCAGCGGCACGACAGGTGAGGGGGGAATGGTAGGTGTGTTTTTTTCTGAGTGTGTTTCTGCGCGGCAGCTGACTCCGAATGACGAGACGAAGCGAGCCGCAGCGGCACGACAGGTGAGGGGGGAATGGTAGGTGTGTTTTTTCTGGGTGTGTTTCTGCGCGGCAGCTGACTCCGAATGATGAGACGAAGAGAGCCGCAGCGGCACGACAGGTGAGGGGAGGGAATGGTAGGTGTGTTTTTTTCTGGGTGTGTTTCTGCGCGGCAGCTGATTCCGAATGATGAGACGAAGAGAGCCGCAGTGGCACGACAGGTGAGGGGAGGGAATGGTAGGTGTGTTTTTTTCTGGGTGTGTTTCTGCGCGGCAGCTTACTCCGAATGATGAGACGAAGAGAGCCGCAGCGGCACGACAGGTGAGGGGAGGCGGAGGAAATGTTCGGGAAAGGAAGGGAAGGGTGAGAGACAAGTGAAGGGGGGGGGGGAGGAGAGGTGAGTGACAGCCATGAGGGCCCATCCATACCATGTGTTCTGGGGGGCATGCAAAAATCATGCCTCACCCCGCTTGGATCACCTCACCTCCATTCTGCTTTTGAGTCGCCCAAAAAAGAGCCCAAAAAGAGCCCAGAAAGAGCCCAAAAAGAGCCCAAAAAGAGCCCAAAAAGAGCCCAAAAGAGCCCAGCTTCCACATGATTTGTGACTTGTCCCCGAGATTGTTTCAAGGTAAGTTGGTTTTTGAGAATTCTCAAAAACCAACTTATCCCCGAGTGTGTTTCGAGGCCTGTCAAGAAGCGCTTTCCCACTACATGTTCCTAGGAGTTTGAGAAGCGCTTTCCCACTACGTGTTCCTAGGAGTTTGAGAAGCGCTTTCCCACTACACGTTCCTAGGAGTTTGAGAAGCGCTTTCCCACTACATGTTCCTAGGAGTTTGAGAAGCGCTTTCCCACTACATGTTCCTAGGAGTTTGAGAAGCGCTTTCCCACTACGTGTTCCTAGGAGTTTGAGAAGCCCTTTCCCACTACATGTTCTTCGGAACCTCGTAATACGTTTGAGTTTTGAGTCGGCTCAAAAGTCGCCCCGTTTTGAACCTGTCAAAAAGCGGACCATGTACTCCACAACATGTTCCAAAGAACCTCGCAATAAGCTGTTACCTCACCTCACCTCACTTACGTTGATTTCGTGCATGTGTGCTCTGCTCATAGGTCTCTTTTCTCTCCTCCCCTCCCCTCTGCTCCGCTCTTCCCTCCCCTCCGCTCCTCTCCCTTACCGCACACATCTCCCTTCCCATCTCACGCGTGCGTGCAGGAGGAGAAGAGGAAGCTGCTGGACTGCTTGAATGCGCTGGACATGGAGAGCGAGATCCGCCTCATGGAGCTTGAAGGGGGGCTGCCCAAGTGAGGGTGAAGGGGGGTGGACAAGTGAAGGGGGGCTGCCCAAGCGACAGCCCTGCCGTGGTGGCTGCATGTGAGTTGGCCAGCAAAAGGTGTCTCTGCGTGTAAGAGCAGCCTTCTTGAATGCGCTGGACATAGAGAGCGATATCCGGCTCATGGAGCTCCAAGGGGGGCTGCCCAAGTGGAGGGGAGCTGCCCAAGTGAAAGGGGCCTGCCCAAGTGAGTAATGTGGCAATGACATGGATGTGCCTAGGTGGCTCTGTAGGGAACCTGCCCAAGGGCTCTTTTACCATGCCTGTGAGAAGGCAGTGTGACATGGACCTTGCAGCAGGGATGGTTGATTTCCGTACTGCGCGAGTAATTCTTGATCTGGATACAGTGCCAGCCAGGTTAGTTGTGTGTAGAGTCGACTCAAAACACTTCTTGAACTAGATACAGTACCGTGCTAGGTTAGGTTCACTTTTGTAGAAGCTAGGTCAGCTTTAAATCTTGCAATCGCTGCCAGCCATCTTTGGTATAAAGGCGGTGGCTATTAGTGGCTAGCTACATTGTTAGTATAGTACCATGCCTACTACTGTAGTTCTGTTATTTTTCGAATCATCTGTGTGTTTGTGACAAAAGCAAATGGTTCCATTCCAGAGTTGCTGCCTCAAGTTAAGCCAGTGCAGCTTATGGTACTGTACTTCATCACCCAATATGCCACAACCAGGTTCCAAATAATTAAGACAAGCCATGTTTCATCACAGCATTGGGTGCATTAACATGGTGCAACGAAGCCATCAGCACACACTATGCCACTAACGGGGATGTCAGATGCCTCCATGGGTAGCGGCGTGGGTAGAATCTGAGCCTTGTAGGCCAATGCCACTGGTGGTAGCAGGGCCGAGGGATAGATTTGAGGGGGGGGGGATTTACTGCTTGAGAGATGGCGAAACCACAAACCGTGGTTACCAGCAAGGGGGGTTAAAGCTAAGAAGAGCAGAAGGGATTTGTGGAACAGCGTACCTATAAGAGGCTGCTTCCACTGTTTGGCCTTGGCATGCGCCATGTACTGCGAGAGAAACACGTCGTAATACCTAGCAGGACAACATAAAATAAGGGGGATGGTTGGGGACAGCACAGAGGTGGGGTTGGGGAATCAGGATGTAGGCAAGATGGACGGGAGGCGAGTACGCGGCTTGGCCTTGGCATGTCCTGTGTACTACACGAATACCTTGAGAAAGACGTTGTAAAACCTTGAGCACAGGGGAGAGAGGGAGAGGGGAGAGAGGGACAAGCACGGGACAGGGAAAAGAAGAGGTAATTTGAGCAAGAATAGGGGAGAGGAGGAGACTAGTGCCAGGGGCAGCAATCATTGTCTGTTGGCTGGCATCAACCATTACCCTACCGAAATGACTAAACTTCAGAGCAAATACAGTATTGCCCCAAAGCCTCAGAGGTTAAGCCAGCCCGAAACACTGTCCAGCACACCAATAGCCACGATCTGCACGGGGTTTGCTTTTGAGTCGACTCAAAAGCACGACCTGCACGGGGTTTGCTTTTGAGTCGACTCAAAAGCACGACCTGCACGGGGTTTCTCCATAACCTCACCGGGGTTACTCCAACAAACCCCCATGCTGCCCCCTAACAGTTATTCTAAAAGACACATCACCCACCTCATTTCCCGCCACCCAAGAACCCCATCACCCACTCACCCTCCTCCCCGCCCCAGTCTCCCACCGCTGCAGTCAAACGCCAGCCCCGGCACCAGAATCAGATCCAGCGGCTGCTGCTCACTGTACACTGTAGATGGGGGTATGAAGCGAGAGGGGAATGATGAGTGAGGGGAATGATGAGCGAGGGGAATGATCACAACTTTTCACTGGAGAAGGGGATATGACGTGAGAGGGGAGCGATTCCAGCTCAGCAAGGGCTAAGTGAGGACTGAAGCAGCAGAGCTCCAGCCTTGCTTTTGCAGGGTGTTTTTTAGAATTCTAAAAAACACCATGCAAAACCGAGGGGAGCGATCCCAGTGGAGCAAGGGCTAAGCAAGGGCTAAAGCAGCAGAGCTCCAGCCTTGTGCATGCCCTCACCGTCTGTTCTGGGTCGTCCATCGGGGAGGGTCAAGGTGGGCTCCAGAATCCCCATTGAATTGCGCTCTAGGTCCCCTCCTCTTTCTGCTCCTCCTCCTCCTCCTCCTCCTCCTCCTCCTCCTCCTCCTCCTCCTCCTCCTCCCCCTGCTCCTCCGCTATCTCCTCCTTGCCCCTCATTCTTCCCCTCCCCTTCCTCTCCCCCTCCTTCCTCCCCTCCCTGCTCCCCTCCTTCCTCCCCGCCCCGCTCCCCTCCCCCCTCCCCCACCACCCGCACTGAGGCTATCTGGAGCATCCGCATGTGGCTCTCACTGTCCAGGACACGTGGCACAAACAGACTGGCTGGGAGTCAAAGGGGAGGGCAGGGAGGGAGGGCAGGGAGGGAGGGCAGGGAGGGAGGGCAGCGGGAAGAGTTGCATAGTTTGGTTAGGGCATTGCGTCAGGGGCACTCCCTTCCTCTCGCTCACACACTCAGCTCAGCCCCTCCCCTTCCGTGGCCTCACGTCCTTTTCCTCCCCTCATCTCCCCTTCCCTCCCCTCCCCCAACCACGCATCCCTCTACCCTGAGAGGAACGGACCCTTTCCTCCCCATTTCCTCTCGTCCTGTCCCACCAAAGGGAACAGCAACCAGCAATCCCTCTGCCCAGCCACAACCCGGGGAGAAAGGACCCCTTCCTCCCCGTCTCCTCTCCTCTCCCCCACTCCCCTTCTCACCTCCTCTCCCCAGCAGGTTGCTGATGACGTCACCAGTCTCCACCTCCCTTAACTTCCGACAGCTGACATACGCAGCAACGCGCCGCGCGGACCTGAACCAATCAGCTTGCAACACGTGGCGCTGAACCGCCTCGTCTGCGTAGAAGAGATCAGGGAGCGAGGGGGAATGGGGGGGGGAGGGGGTGAGGTTGGGGAGGGGGGAGAACGGAGGTTGGAGAGGGGGGAGAACGGAGGTTGGCGAGGGAGGAAAAGGGGGTTGGGGAGGGGGGAAAGGGGGGTTGGGGAGGGGGGGGAAGGGGGGTTGGGGAGGGGGGAAAAAGAGAGGTTGGGGAGGGGGGAAAAGGGGGTTGGGGAGGGGGGAAAGGGGGGGTTGGGGAGGTGGGAAAAGGGGGGTTGGGGAGGGGGGAAAGGGGGGTCGGGGAGGGGGGAAAAGGGGGGTCGGGGAGGGCGGAGAAAGGGGGAAGGGGGAGGGGGGAGCTACCTTCGGCCGTGCGTTGTTCCTCCGCCATTCCCCGAAGCGCCTTCTTCACGTCCTTCCGGAGCCGCGTCTTGTCGCCCACCAGCGACCCCATCGCCAGGTCGAGCCGCTCCGGATGGCCCCATGGGATCGCGCGCGACTCGAACGCTCCGCCTTCGACGGCGCCTTCGGCGGAAACTATCAACTCGGGAGGCGCCATGCAGGCTCGCGACTGTAACGCGCGGGACTGTAACGAATGATGTTGTATTGGGGATCCGGCGAACGGGAGTGTAGCGGCGGGTTTTAGAAGGCGAATGGGGAATGGAGACGAATGACGGGGACAAAGGAGGAGGCTTGGAGTCAGCGAGGCGAGAGAAGAGACGACGCGAGACGCAGCAGCTGCGACGGCGACCGCCGCGGGAACCATGCGCGAGAGAGCACGAGGATGCTTTTGAGTGGACTCGAAAGCAGGCGAGAGAAGCGACGAGGCGGGATGCAGCAGCTGCGACGGCAACCGCCGCGGCAACCGCCTCGGGAGGCCACTAGGATCGCACCGCTAAACACGCTGCAGAATTGTTCCCACCACCAATACGTGTCAGTACCATTCGGAACGGTAGTCTCGAGGTGTGGTGACAACAGTCTTACCCTATTCTGTCATCACCGCTATAGCTGTCGTGTTTGTGGGAATATGATTTGTACTTACTTCGTTTATACACAAATAATTCATCGTACTGGTATGTTGCATATTGCAGCAATGTTTCCGACTGGTTGAGAACACTGTTTTTCAGGGTCGGATTTTGGGCGTGCCATGTTTGTCATGCAAAAAAAAATAACGCCTGACTTATCGGGCCTACACTTTTTTTAGTTCCTGATTTTTAGGTCAGATCGGACTTCACTGCGTACAAATTATGCCTGCGTGATTTTGGCGAAGGAAAAGTAGTGCCCCTCACACCTGCTCCAGCTCGCCTCGGACCTGTGTCATTTTGGCGAAGGAAAAGTATCGCCCCTCACACCTGCTCCAGCTCCCCTCGGACCCGCAAAATTTGACTGCAAGGACCAGTCACGCCCCTTACACGTGCCACAACTCGCCTCGACCAATCAGAAAGGATTCTGTTTCAGGTCGAATTTCGATAAAGGCTGACTCGTCAGGCTTTACTAAAACAGAAACATACTATATTTCCAGCCCTAAGAAACGGAAGCACATAAAACTCGGGTTTGATGAAAATCAAAAGCTGAAAATCACGGTATGCCCTTAAAAAACACCCTGATATACAGCTTTTCAGCCCTTTTTGGCCTGAATTCTGAAGGCCTATTGCCACTCTTTCATAGCACCTTCAGATAGAATCCCGTCCTACAGCATAATATACCACCAAAGAAACAGCAATCAACGATCTATACACGACTATTATTTACGCATCAGTAGATGTTGCCGATCTGAGGGCTTGTAGCAAAACAGCAGGGGGTTGAGCACCTGAAAACTCTTGACCGCCGATCTGTGTGCGTACATAGAGAAGTAGGTATTTACATGAGTCGTAAACGAAGGGGACAAGGAGAAGCAAAAGGCATACTCCATGGACCACCATACATGAAAATAGAGAAAAGGCAAGGTTCAAGGCTTACAATGAAATGTGGGACGCCTGAAACTCGTGGCCGATAGCGTTGCAATTCAGCCTCTACCTGCAATACATGCAATTCACATGTCAATCATATGCCATTTGCGTTCCATTCACATGCCATTCACTCGCAATTCACATGTCATTCACTCGCCATTCACATGCCATTCGCTCGCCATTCACATGCCATTCACTCGCCATTCACATGCCATTCACACGCAACAAGAGGTTGTGCATCACAAGAACCTAGCGTAAGTCTAGCATTATGGCAACAACCCAAATACACACACACACACCCATCCGTCCACCCAACCAACTAATCCATCAGCCAACCCCTTACCTCTTGTAAGCCTGCCTGTGGGTTGTCAAGCCACTCTGCTGCTCCCTGCAGCCCAGCCCTTTCCGCTGCTGACAGCAGCACTTGCCTGGGATGGGATAGGAGCAAATGCACAGGGGGGGGGGGAGGGATAGGTGCAAATGAACAGGGGGGGGGAGGGATAGGTGCAAATGAACAGGGGGGGGGGGAGGGATAGGTGCAAATGAACAGGGGGGGGGGAGGGATAGGTGCAAATGAACAGGGGGGGGGGAGGGATAGGTGCAAATGAACAGGGGGGGGGGGAGGGATAGGTGCAAATGAACAGGGGGGGGGGGGGGAGGGATAGGTGCAAATGAACAGGGGGGGGGGAGGGATAGGTGCAAATAAACAGGGAAAAATGTTACCCTTCCGGGACACAAGAAGAAACAACTGAGGAGGAAAGAAAATAACGGTTAAGAATCATTCAAGGAAAAATGGATATGAATCAATGATGAAACAATGGATTTAAACCATTCAAACCTGTTCGGCAACCTTACCTTTCTTTTTCTATTTTTCCCCTTTTTTTTATTTTAAACCTTTTCTTACCTGTCGTCAATGAACTTCTCCCGTGTGAAGTAACCCAGAAACAGCTCCTCCACCACTCGCTGCTGCAGCGAACTACCCCTCACTAATACTCTCCACTGGACGCCAATAGATCCCTCATCACCTGTCGCCAATGAACTTCTCTCGTGTGAAGTAATCCAGAAACAGCTCCTCCACGAGCCTGTGCTGCAGGGACGAGCTTGCAGGCAAACCGCCCTGCTCTCTGTCCTTCATCCCCGCTAAGCTGATCAGACGATGGCTGTCCAGCGTGTTGCCTCTGGTGAGAGGAGCAGTCAGGGGAGGGAGGGGAGGGAGGGGAGGGAGGGGAGGGAGGGGAGGGAGGGGAGGGAGGGGAGGGTCCTCAGAACCAAACCTCCCTTCTCTTTGTCCGTCATCCCCGCTTAGCTGATCAGACGATGCCTGTCCAGCGTGTTGCCTCTCGTGAGGGAGAACGTGGGGTTGCGGGGAGAGGGTGCGAGAAGGCATGACTGGTCCAAGACGAGCAGGTGAGGTTAAAATGGCGTGGAAGGGAGCCAGGATAGAGAAGTAGATGAGGAAGAGGAGCTCCTCAAGCCCGCCTGTCATGCAAACAGTAATGGACACTGGTCATTACTCGGCATCCTCTCACCCCTGGGAATTCAAAGCAAGGGTCAGTAATGGCCACTGCAAGCAAGGGTCATTACCCGGCATTCTCTCAACTACTGGTCTGGCAAACCGAACCGACCCTCGCTTTGAATTCCCAGGGGTTGAGCTGAGATACGCGCTAGGAGTTTTGACTTGACGTAATGGACTCACGTGAGTCCCCCCAGGCTGTGCTTGAGTGCCAGCTCCTCAAACACGCTTTCATGAGAGCAGATCTGGCCGGACTTTGAGTCGACTCACCAGTCACCAGATTGACTCAAGTTTGCAGTTCACTCACGAGAGTCCCCCCAGGCTGTGCTTGAGTCCCACCTCCTCAAACACACTTTTGATGCGTGAATTTATGGCCGGCAGTCCGTGATTCATCGCCTGCTGGTGCGAGGATCACCAGCGGATTTGATACAATGCGTTGGACTCATGAGATTCCCCCCAGGCTGTCCTTGAGCCCCAGCTTCTCAAAACACGCCTGTCGTGCGAGTATTAATGGCTGGCAATTGAGTCAGACAACGCTCACCTTATTGATTAAGGGGGGCTTGAAAATCACTAACATGAGTCCCCCCAGGATGTACTTGAGACCAAAACATGATTGTCATGCGAGCAGTGATGGCCCCCATTCCATCACCAGCAGGTGAGAGGATGGCCAGTGGATTGAGTTCAATAAGTTTGACTCACGTGAGTCCAATACGTTTGACTCACGTGAGTCCCCCCAGGCTGTGCTTGAGCCCCAGCTTGTCAAACACGCCTGTCATGCGCGCAGTGATGGCCGGCATTCGGGTCAACTTACCGGTCACTGATAAACTCCGCATCCCATCTCAACAGCCACTTGATTCACTCACGTGAGGCCCCCCAGGCTGTACTTGGGCCCCAGCTCTTCGAACACGCCTGCCATGCGCGCAGTGATGGCCGGCATTCGTGTCAACTTACAGGGCACCTGATCAACTCAACAGTCACCTGGCTGACTCACTCACGTGAGGCCCCCCAGGCTGTAATTGAGTCCCAGCTCCCCGAACACGCCTGTCATGCGCGCACTGATGGCCGGCATGCCAAAGGAGTCTATTTTTGAGGCGCCTCAAAAATAGACTCCACGCACTGATGGCCGGCATGCCAAAGAGAGTGTTGAGACACCTGAAAGCTTGACCTTGTGCAAATCACTCACGTGAGGCCTCCCAGGTTGTACTTGAGCCCGAGCTCCTCAAACACGCCCGTCATGCGAGCAGTGATGGCCGGCATTCTGTCGCCGAAGAGGGAGCGGTAGAGGTCGAGCTTGCTCACGCCTTCCTTGGACGCCTTGGGGTTCAGCTGATAGGCGTGCCAGCGGACCTGTGCCACGCAACGGATGAGTTTTTGGGAATTCTAAAAAACACCCTGCAAGATCAAAGGCACAACTGCCTGCAGCTTTGTAGCGGCAAACGGAGATGGCTGGGCCGCCATTCTGTCGCGGCAGAACGAGCACCGGTCGGGGTATTTTTTATAATTCTAAAAAATACCCTGCTTGCTCACGCCTTCTTGGATGCGTTGGGATGCTGGCTCGCGTGAGATTGTAGCTTTGCCACGTTGGGATGGAGCGGCAAGCACGCCAAGGCTACCGTGTAACAGGGCTACCGGGTAACAGGGCTACCGGATAACAGGGCTACCGGGTAACTGGGCTACCGGATAACAGGGCTACCGGGTAACAGGGGTACCCGCTTCCCGTGACGTGACCGACTAGCATCTTACTGTACCTCGACATCTGCCACGTCAGCAATCTCCGCGATCGCCTTATCCAGATTTCGCTTGCCGACGAAGCACCACGGACACACGGTGTCGGAAACAACGTCCACGGCCACTCGCGCGCGACGAGCAGCTGTCGCCATGAGTACTTGGCGATGATCAAGGAACGACGACGAGCGGCGTCTCCTACGGAAGTGATTGGCCAACAACGAAAGAATTTGGCCAGCTAAAGAACTGAGAGCGGTGAGGCGAGGCGCTTTCGGAGACTAGACTGTAGATTCCAGAACCTTCGCTAGTCCCTAGTCGCCATGCTTCAGTGGACTCCAGGCGGTTTCCTACATCGACACTCCCAAGGGCGTCAGCGAACGGACTCGGTAAAATGTCGCTCGTAACATGAACAGGGAGAACGAAGTAAAGGGATGTGCAGATCGGATATAACGAATGACGGCCTGTTTTAATGTCATTTCAAACCTTTTTGTGTGTTTGCCATGATGAGAAAGATTGATCATATCCCTCAGCGAGCAGAATACAATAATATCGATATATTTTCCGTATTGCGTCGTATTACACAATTTCCTTCTGATCCCCCTCCGCTGTTGGAGGCGTGCTAACAACTGGAGCAATGCCCGACCCACTGGCTTCATTTCTCACGCAGCCGCTTCCACTAATGATCTGCGGTGCCCACCGTCTTAGTAGCTTCATAAACAGCTGATACAAGCCCATTCCTAGAACTAGGGCAGACACCCACGCAATCACCGGCACCTGCACAAGTGGGGGGAGGAAAGCAGAATGTCTCAATCATGGAAGTTTCGATAGTGCGAGGAAAGGAGAACGGAGGTGGGCGCAGCGCAGGAGGGAGGGAGGGACGGATGGTAGGACGGATGGAGGGGAGGCGGGGAGGTGGCACTGAAAAAGGAGGGAAAAAGGAGGTGAAGGGGGGATTAGGGGAGAGGAGTGGGGGATGAGGCGACTCACATTTCCAGTGGATAGGCTGACAAACGCAGGAGCTGGGCAGTACCCTGCTAGGCCCCACCCTGGTAAAGATGCAAGAATGGAGAGGCAATAAGAGGAGAATAAGATAACAATCATGCCACGTGTTCAGATACAATCTATCCTGCTCATAAATAAGGGGAAAATATGTGAACACGGTGTCAAAGATTTCACCAGACTCTCACCCATGCCGAAGATTGCCGACCCAACCACGAGCTCCCAGGTGATGTCGTTGCGAGTGGGGACAAAGAACTTGGAGTCGAAGAGCGGGTTGGGGCGGGCGAGCACGAAGCGGAAGGTGACCACGTTGACCGCCACTGCGCCGCCCATCACAAAGGCCAGGCTGGGGTCCCACCCGTGCACTGGGTCTAGGAAGTCCTTCACCTTGTAGGGGTTGCACCTGCACAGGGGATCGGATGAAAGGGACGAGGGGGATAGGAGAATTAGGACCATCACAAAGGCCAGGCTGGGGTCCCACCCATGCACTGCGTCTAGGAAGTCCTTTATCTTGTAGAGGTTGCACCTATATGGGGGATGGGATGAAAGGTGATGGGAGTAATGAGACCCATGGCAATGGTATGGCTGGGGTCCCACCGATTCCCAGGGTCTAGGAAGTTACTTACCTCATAGAGGGACGAAAGCTACGGTTGAGTGAGTAAGCTACGGTTGAGTGAGTAAGCTACGGTTGAGTGAGTAAGCTACGGTTGAGTGAGTAAGCTACGGTTGAGTGAGTAAGCTACGGTTGAGTGAGTAAGCTACGGTTGATTGAGTAAGCTACGGTTGAGTGAGAAAGCTACGGTTGAGTGAGAAAGCTACGGTTGAGTGAGAAAGCTGCGGTTGAGTGAGAAAGGTACGGTTGAGTGAGTAAGCTGCGGTTGAGTGAGAAAGCTGCGGTTGAGTGAGAAAGCTACGGTTGAGTGAGAAAGCTACGGTTGAGTGAGAAAGCTACGGTTGAGTGAGAAAGCTACGGTTGAGTGAGAAAGCTACGGTTGAGTGAGAAAGCTGCGGTTGAGTGAGAAAGCTACGGTTGAGTGAGTAAGCTGCGGTTGAGTGAGAAAGCTGCGGTTGAGTGAGAAAGCTACGGTTGAGTGAGAAAGCTACGGTTGAGTGAGAAAGCTACGGTTGAGTGAGAAAGCTACAGTTGAGTGAGTAAGCTACGGTTGAGTGAGTAAGCTGCGGTTGAGTGAGAAAGCTGCGGTTGAGTGAGAAAGCTACGGTTGAGTGAGAAAGCTACGGTTGAGTGAGAAAGCTACGGTTGAGTGAGAAAGCTACAGTTGAGTGAGTAAGCTACGGTTGAGTGAGTAAGCTACGGTTGCACTCACACCCCACTGAGTGTCATCTATCTCATTGGTATCCTTTTCAAAAGGGACCTCACATCCCACCGTGTGCCCGATGCCCAAGACGGCTCCGGTGACAAGAGACATAGGGAGCACGGTTCCGTTTCCTTATTATTCACACTCAAAACAACTCACATGCCACTGAGTGCGAGCCCGATGCCAAAGATGGCCCCCGTGACGAGAGACGACCGGAGCACGTTGATAGGATGGAGGAGGGAGAAGCAGGAGGAGGGGGAGGCGGAGGAGGGTGCGGAGGAGAGGGAGCAGGCCTGCAAGGGAGAGCAAGGGAGCAAGGGAGCAGGGGAGGGGCCATAGGAGGGCAGAGAAGGGAAGGACAATGAGACATGGAACGTGCACTGCAATGACACCAACTCCTGACACAATGCAGTGCAGGAGATGGTGTCAGGAGATGGTGTCAGGAGATGGTGTCAGGAGATGGTGTCAGGAGATGGTGTCAGGAGATGGTGTCATTGCACCATCACCATCTCATGCACAGAGTACAACAACCCTCCATTCCTCATCGCTCACCTCACCCCATCATTCCTCGTTTTTCCATTCCCCACCCCATTGTACCACATCTAACCCCTCGGCACTGTTCCTCACCCCACTGGAGCAGGCCGGCTTGGCAGGATCGCTGGAAAGCGGTGCAGACTCCCCAGCAGCACCACCAGCCGCATCACCAGACAGACACTCGTTACAGAACGGGCATCTGTACGCGATAATAGCTCCCACGGCCACCACGCAAACCGCCAGCACGAGCAGCCACGTGTTAGTGAGTGGAATGGCCTCGCTGGGGGGCCGGGAGCCGGCTGTAGCGCCGGTGGCGATGGCACCGACAGTCATGGATGTAGCGGCGCCTGTAGCCATGAAGGTGCACGTGGCGACAAGGCTGCGCAGGGAGAAGCGAGGCAGGCCGCACACGCCATGGCCCGACGTGCACCCGCTGCCCAGCTGATCAATTGGGGGGGAGGGGGAGGGGGAAGAGGTGGGGAACGAGGGGAGCGGGGCGGAAGAATCGTGCATTTCAAGGCAAGCCGCGCACGCCATGGCGTGGGGAAAGAGGTGGGGAAAGAGGTGGGGAAAGAGGTGCGGAAAGAGGGGAGCGGGACGAGGTGGGGAAAGAGGGGAGCGGCACGTGCACCCACAGCCCAGCTAATAGGAGTGCGGGGAGACCAGAGGATGGGGGGCGGGGAAACGGGGGAATGGGGGAGAGCTGACTTTTGAGTCGACTCAACAGCGCTGCCCAGCTAGTAGGAAAGTGCGGGGAGACCAGAGGATGGGGGGCGGGGAAACGGGGGAATGGGGGAGAGCTGACTTTTGAGTCGACTCAACAGCGCTGCCCAGCTAGTAGGAAAGTGCGGGGAGACCAGAGGATGGGGGGCGGGGAAACGGGGGAATGGGGGAGAGCTGACTTTTGAGTCGACTCAACAGCGCTGCCCAGCTAGTAGGAAAGTGCGGGGAGACCAGAGGATGGGGGGCGGGGAAAGGGGGGAATGGGGGAGAGCTGACTTTTGAGTCGACTCAACAGCGCTGCCCAGCTAGTAGGAAAGTGCGGGGAGACCAGAGGATGGGGGGCGGGGAAACGGGGGAATGGGGGAGAGCTGACTTTTGAGTCGACTCAACAGCGCTGCCCAGCTAGTAGGAAAGTGCGGGGAGACCAGAGGATGGGGGGCGGGGAAACGGGGGAATGGGGGAGAGCTGACTTTTGAGTCGACTCAACAGCGCTGCCCAGCTAGTAGGAAAGTGCGGGGAGACCAGAGGATGGGGGGCGGGGAAACGGGGGAATGGGGGAGAGCTGACTTTTGAGTCGACTCAACAGCGCTGCCCAGCTAGTAGGAAAGTGCGGGGAGACCAGAGGATGGGGGGCGGGGAAACGGGGGAATGGGGGAGAGCTGACTTTTGAGTCGACTCAACAGCGCTGCCCAGCTAGTAGGAAAGTGCGGGGAGACCAGAGGATGGGGGGCGGGGAAACGGGGGAATGGGGGAGAGCTGACTTTTGAGTCGACTCAACAGCGCTGCCCAGCTAGTAGGAAAGTGCGGGGAGACCAGAGGATGGGGGGCGGGGAAACGGGGGAATGGGGGAGAGCTGACTTTTGAGTCGACTCAACAGCGCTGCCCAGCTAGTAGGAAAGTGCGGGGAGACCAGAGGATGGGGGGCGGGGAAACGGGGGAATGGGGGAGAGCTGACTTTTGAGTCGACTCAACAGCGCTGCCCAGCTAGTAGGAAAGTGCGGGGAGACCAGAGGATGGGGGGCGGGGAAACGGGGGAATGGGGGAGAGCTGACTTTTGAGTCGACTCAACAGCGCTGCCCAGCTAGTAGGAAAGTGCGGGGAGACCAGAGGATGGGGGGCGGGGGAACGGGGGAATGGGGGAGAGCTGACTTTTGAGTCGACTCAACAGCGCTGCCCAGCTAGTAGGAAAGTGCGGGGAGACCAGAGGATGGGGGGCGGGGAAACGGGGGAATGGGGGAGAGCTGACTTTTGAGTCGACTCAACAGCGCTGCCCAGCTAGTAGGAAAGTGCGGGGAGACCAGAGGATGGGGGGCGGGGAAACGGGGGAATGGGGGAGAGCTGACTTTTGAGTCGACTCAACAGCGCTGCCCAGCTAGTAGGAAAGTGCGGGGAGACCAGAGGATGGGGGGCGGGGAAACGGGGGAATGGGGGAGAGCTGACTTTTGAGTCGACTCAACAGCGCTGCCCAGCTAGTAGGAAAGTGCGGGGAGACCAGAGGATGGGGGGCGGGGAAACGGGGGAATGGGGGAGAGCTGACTTTTGAGTCGACTCAACAGCGCTGCCCAGCTAGTAGGAAAGTGCGGGGAGACCAGAGGATGGGGGGCGGGGAAACGGGGGAATGGGGGAGAGCTGACTTTTGAGTCGACTCAACAGCGCTGCCCAGCTAGTAGGAAAGTGCGGGGAGACCAGAGGATGGGGGGCGGGGAAACGGGGGAATGGGGGAGAGCTGACTTTTGAGTCGACTCAACAGCGCTGCCCAGCTAGTAGGAAAGTGCGGGGAGACCAGAGGATGGGGGGCGGGGAAACGGGGGAATGGGGGAGAGCTGACTTTTGAGTCGACTCAACAGCGCTGCCCAGCTAGTAGGAAAGTGCGGGGAGACCAGAGGATGGGGGGCGGGGAAACGGGGGAATGGGGGAGAGCTGACTTTTGAGTCGACTCAACAGCGCTGCCCAGCTAGTAGGAAAGTGCGGGGAGACCAGAGGATGGGGGGCGGGGAAACGGGGGAATGGGGGAGAGCTGACTTTTGAGTCGACTCAACAGCGCTGCCCAGCTAGTAGGAAAGTGCGGGGAGACCAGAGGATGGGGGGCGGGGGAACGGGGGAATGGGGGAGAGCTGACTTTTGAGTCGACTCAACAGCGCTGCCCAGCTAGTAGGAAAGTGCGGGGAGACCAGAGGATGGGGGGCGGGGAAACGGGGGAATGGGGGAGAGCTGACTTTTGAGTCGACTCAACAGCGCTGCCCAGCTAGTAGGAAAGTGCGGGGAGACCAGAGGATGGGGGGCGGGGAAACGGGGGAATGGGGGAGAGCTGACTTTTGAGTCGACTCAACAGCGCTGCCCAGCTAGTAGGAAAGTGCGGGGAGACCAGAGGATGGGGGGCGGGGAAACGGGGGAATGGGGGAGAGCTGACTTTTGAGTCGACTCAACAGCGCTGCCCAGCTAGTAGGAAAGTGCGGGGAGACCAGAGGATGGGGGGCGGGGAAACGGGGGAATGGGGGAGAGCTGACTTTTGAGTCGACTCAACAGCGCTGCCCAGCTAGTAGGAAAGTGCGGGGAGACCAGAGGATGGGGGGCGGGGAAACGGGGGAATGGGGGAGAGCTGACTTTTGAGTCGACTCAACAGCGCTGCCCAGCTAGTAGGAAAGTGCGGGGAGACCAGAGGATGGGGGGCGGGGAAACGGGGGAATGGGGGAGAGCTGACTTTTGAGTCGACTCAACAGCGCTGCCCAGCTAGTAGGAAAGTGCGGGGAGACCAGAGGATGGGGGGCGGGGGAACGGGGGAATGGGGGAGAGCTGACTTTTGAGTCGACTCAACAGCGCTGCCCAGCTAGTAGGAAAGTGCGGGGAGACCAGAGGATGGGGGGCGGGGGAACGGGGGAATGGGGGAGAGCTGACTTTTGAGTCGACTCAACAGCGCTGCCCAGCTAGTAGGAAAGTGCGGGGAGACCAGAGGATGGGGGGCGGGGAAACGGGGGAATGGGGGAGAGCTGACTTTTGAGTCGACTCAACAGCGCTGCCCAGCTAGTAGGAAAGTGCGGGGAGACCAGAGGATGGGGGGCGGGGAAACGGGGGAATGGGGGAGAGCTGACTTTTGAGTCGACTCAACAGCGCTGCCCAGCTAGTAGGAAAGTGCGGGGAGACCAGAGGATGGGGGGCGGGGAAACGGGGGAATGGGGGAGAGCTGACTTTTGAGTCGACTCAACAGCGCTGCCCAGCTAGTAGGAAAGTGCGGGGAGACCAGAGGATGGGGGGCGGGGAAACGGGGGAATGGGGGAGAGCTGACTTTTGAGTCGACTCAACAGCGCTGCCCAGCTAGTAGGAAAGTGCGGGGAGACCAGAGGATGGGGGGCGGGGAAACGGGGGAATGGGGGAGAGCTGACTTTTGAGTCGACTCAACAGCGCTGCCCAGCTAGTAGGAAAGTGCGGGGAGACCAGAGGATGGGGGGCGGGGAAACGGGGGAATGGGGGAGAGCTGACTTTTGAGTCGACTCAACAGCGCTGCCCAGCTAGTAGGAAAGTGCGGGGAGACCAGAGGATGGGGGGCGGGGGAACGGGGGAATGGGGGAGAGCTGACTTTTGAGTCGACTCAACAGCGCTGCCCAGCTAGTAGGAAAGTGCGGGGAGACCAGAGGATGGGGGGCGGGGAAACGGGGGAATGGGGGAGAGCTGACTTTTGAGTCGACTCAACAGCGCTGCCCAGCTAGTAGGAAAGTGCGGGGAGACCAGAGGATGGGGGGCGGGGAAACGGGGGAATGGGGAAGAGAGGGGGGTGATAGTAAAATAGATAGAAATTGATAGTAAAGGGATCTTACCTGGGACCCAAAGCCGCAGAGCAGCCCGGCGGCGATGGGCAGAATGAGCGCCAGGCCCGGATCGTAAATGATAGTAAAATGATAGTAAATGATAGTAAATGATAGTAAAATGATAGTAAATGATAGTAAATGATAGTAAAATGATAGTAAATGATAGTAAATGATAGTAAAATGATAGTAAATGATAGTAAATGATAGTAAATGATAGTAAATGGTTCTTACCTGAGACCCGAAGCCGCAGAGCAGCCCAGCGGCGATTGGCAGAATGAGCGCCAGGCCCGGATCGTCCCCCACTGACGGGGGCTTGGACCCGAACGCGTGCTCGCCGTCGATCAGCATGGTGAACGATCCGACGGCCGTCATGGACGCGAGGAACACTGCGCGCCAAGCCCAATCCGGCACGCCGGTTATAACGCCTGTGGGGAGGAAAAATGGCCCGTGAAAGGCGAGTTAGTGGGTGTGCGCAGTCCGAGTCGGATCGACATCGGAAAAGAACACGCCGGTAGCGGAATATGGAGCGAACGAACGTACCCGTTACTACTCACTCGGGACCTAAGTCGTATTTAGAAGCCGATCTATACGGTGGGGGAAAGCTGCTTTGATAGACATGACTCAAATGCGCGGGTTTTATTTCGTACGAGCTCCTTGTAGTACCAGTAAGCCTGATGCTGACGATACGAACCGACTACTGTTTCGTTCAAGCTATGTCGCAAAAGTCACTCGCACCGTTAACGATGCCTTTTGAGGCGCCTCAAAAGTCACTCGCACCGTTTACGACGCCCGACGAGCCCATGATTCGGCCCGTAGTCAGGAATATGCAGCGTGGCGGCAATGCCAATAGTGACTTTTTAGTCGTTTAAAAAACGCAACCATTCACCGTTGACGACGCCTGATGTGGCGGCGATGCCGCCGATAATGATTTTTCATTGTCGACTAAAAAAGCAGCGACTCACCGTTGACGACGCCTGACGCGCCCATCATCCGGCCTGTCGTGAGTTGCATTGTGGCGGCGATTCCGACAATGAATCTTCTTGTGTCGACTAAAAAAGCCACACTCACCGTTGACGACGCCCGACGCGCCCATGATTCTGCCCGTCGTCAGGAGGTGCAACGTGGCGGCGATGCCGATAATGTTGTTTTATAGTCGACTCTATAAGCAGCGACTCACCGTTAACGACGCCCGACGCGCCCATGATTCTGCCCGCCGTCAGGAGGTGCAACGTGGCGGCGATGCCGATAATCACGCCGCCCACCAGCGACTGCCATGGCGTGAAGTTGTAGATCTGCGCCATTCGGGTGGCTCAAGCTGGTCTAGAGTAACTCTCACAGGCTCAGCCAATGATCTTTGCTCTCTGCCTCTCTGGCTCTGCTTCTCAGGCTCTCTAATAAACAATTGCTTCCTGGTTCTCTAGCACTCTGGGAGGGTATGCGTGCTGTAAGATCAAAATCGCGAGAACGATAGACCGCTGAGAGCAAAACGCGTGTTGTGGAGCGACTCAGGCCTGCGGATGGTCTGTTTGAGGAATGCGTCTACTAGACGCGGCGTTTATGGCGAATGTGAACCGACGGGTACAGGGGACCGCGTTTATGGCGAATGTAGATAGAGCTGGTCAGATTGTGTTGTGTTCCTCTTGCTGCTTTTGTTTTGCTTGCTGGGCTGTCTGCTAGTCACTGCAGCTGCTGTGTGATTTGCACCGACAGACGTGTTGATCCTTTGCTTCTGCTGTGCTGTCGCTTGCTCTCTCCCAAATCTCTCGCTCCAAATCGTGGCTGCGCAGTGCGCACGCGACTCGGTCGGTTGATCAATTGAACGTCGGGCAATGTGGGAAATGTTTGTTTTCCAGCTGGTCTGATGGAGTATTCTTCCTTCGTGTCATCCGACGATGTCAGAAGCAGGAAGACACGTAAGAACAGTGACTTTTTTTTTGTCAAGCAGTATGCGATATCCGAGTATGCGAATTTTGGGGTCATGAAGGGCAACAGCTGTTCGTAAGAAGGGCAATTGAACTTGTCAACGCATTTAGGGGTCGCTTGAACGGCGTCAACACGCGACGCAAATGATCGCACATCCCATGCAATGCCTGACATTCCGTCAGTTTCGGAAGACACTCCCACGAATCTCGGAAGACACTCGATTCGCCCCATCGCACACTGACACCCATGGATGACACGACGCAGGAGTGCCCAGAGAGAATTTGAAAAGCAGGGGAGTAGAGTTTTGCAGGGCTGGTGACGATTCTCCAGTTGTTGGAAGTGTTTTTGGGGCTAATTTTCCTGTTGGGCCGACTCTCCTGTTGGTTCGTTTGCCCTCAAATGGTACCAAAGGCCAGCGGGGCAGTGCTAGTAATCTCTTGGGAGGGTTCCATTCAAAGACGAAGCATCGGTAGAGGTTTCGCTTTGAAACGCAGCTTCTACCCATGTTTCGCTTGGTCGGATAAGGGCGAACGCGTAACAATCAGCCTCGCTGTCCCATAGCGTTCTAGAAGCCAATAATCTCTTTCCTCTCACGGGTTGTGACGTAAGTGGTTCTCACATAGATAAGTGTACAAGCTCAAAGAAGTTGTTGACAAGCACGCACAATTGATACCTCCGCAAAAATAACAACAGTACCGTAGATGTCTTTAAGGGATAAATGACAAGTAGCTATCTACCATTCCTAGAGCAACTGTGGCACTTTGATGCAACCCACAATAACCAACCAGGTAAACAGTTCTGTACCAAACAAATAATTTAACAAACAAGCGCACGTCACCAGTGCCTGCCGCCTTGCTGAGATCCCGTAGACCCCTGGTTGTAGCTGCTGCGGTTGTAGCCACTGCTGCTGCTACTACTGGTTGCCTTGCTGCTGCTCTGGTGGGCCCCTGCAGTGTGAGCCTGCTGCGAACCGGGCCAAGGTCTAGACGCCCGTACCTCCTCTCCCCTACCCCGCTCCCGGCTTTCCCCCTCCCGCCCTTCCCTGCTCCCTCCTTGCACCCCCGCTTTGGTTCCTTGCAAGTGTGATTGGTTGGAGGATAAAGAGTGAGCGGTGGTGAATGAGGCTGTATCGGGTGTGATTATATCCCACACGTACTGCCTGGGCTCAGGTTTCTTGGAGGCTCCCCTCCCCCCTGTATGTTCCACTCTAGAATCGTCACTGTTGTAATCCTCATCCTCCTCTTCCTCATCCTCTTCATCGTCTTCCTCCTCAGTTTCATAATCATCCTCAGTTTCGTCTTCATCTTCCTCTTCCTCCTCCTCCTCCTCCTCTCCTTCCCCGTCCTCCTCTTCTTCCTCCTCCTCTTCCTCCTCTTCCTCTTCATCCTCCTCTTCCTCCTCTTCCTCCTCCTCTTCCTCTTCTTCTTCATCATCGCTTTCCTCCTCCCTCTCAACACGTCTCAGCTCCACCACCCGCCTACTCGCAACTACTCCCTCTGTCCGTCGATCGCCCTTTCCACCGCTCCTTTGCTCTCCTCCCCACGCACCACACAGCTCCCTATCCCCACTCTGCCGTCGTGTAACACTGCTCTCACTCTCCCGCCCTCTCCCGTCTCTCCCCTCCCGCCCTCCCCTCTCCTCCCGTCCCTCCCCGGTGCCTGGCTTATACCAAAGATCAACGTTAGCTTGACCTCCGCCCTCCTTCCCCCTCCCCTCATTCCCTCCCCTCTCCGCCTCCCACTCCCCGCCCACCTCCCTCTGCTTCCTGCCCCTTTCTACCTGTCCCTCCCCGTCAATCCATCCCTCCCTTTCCCTATCCCATTCCCTATCCCCATCCATCCCACCCTTTTCTCGTCCATGCTGGACCCAATCTACACTGCGCCTGTTGCCTTCTCTCCACCCTCGACCCTCCTCCCTCACACACTCCCTCACACTCTCCCTCTCCCTCCCCCTCTCCCCCACCCAGTGCTTCTCCCCCTCTCCCATCTGCCATGCCTTGTTCCTGGAAGCTTCCTGGTCCTGAGACACTGAGAGGTCAACAGATAGAGGCCTCACCCTAGCATGGGGAAGCGAAGGAGGAGCAGGGGTGGGAGCAGGCGAAGGAGACCTAGGCGCAGGTACAGGGGCAGGGGAGGGGGACCTAGAGTGCAACCCCCAACTCCCACCCCAATTCCCCGACCCCCCTCTTCCCCTCTCGCCAGTCCTCTCTCGGGCAGCTCCGGCTTCTCTTCGGACAGGCACACGTGGCGGCGGGGTGCGGTCTCTCGACAACGCAAGACTCTCCCTCTGAGGCGCCTCAAACGGCCGAGTGCTCTCCTTGAACGACCCACCATCACCCTTGGAGAACCCCCTGCGGTCTTTGAACGACCCACCATGACCCCTAGAAGATCTGGTCTGGTCTTTAACGGAGGCGCTGCCAGGCAAGGCGAAGAGAGCCGCCCGGCGCTGGGAAACACTGCTGCCTGACAGCTCCTTCCGGGGCCAGGGCGGGGGAGAGGGGGGAGAATGGGAAGGGGAATGGGAAGGAGACCAGTCGACGCTGCTGCGGTTGCGAGTGGAGCGTGAGCCTTGGTCGGGATGCTGATGATGGTGCTGGCGATGCTGGTGATGCTGACGACCTCTCTGGTGGCCGGGCTCCAGCAGCAAAGGATTTCTCCGATCGGCACTGTCTAGCGTGTGACTGCGGCCCCCCCTCCACTCTCTAGCTGCCTTGACCTCCTCCTCCTCCTCCTCCTCATCATCATCATCATCACCTTCCCCTTCATCTTCCTCTTCCTCCTCCGCATTCCTACCCGCTGCTCGTTTTTCGCTCGGGACTTCCCGCGCTCCCTTGTTGATCCAAAGCTTCTTGCCTTGGGCTGGAAGGAGGCCCACAGTGGGGGACACAGGGCTGTGAAGCGTCAGCACCTCTGCCCCTGCCTGCTGCTGCTGCTGCCAAACGCGCTCTCCAAACCTCCCCTTCCCCACACCATCCTCCTCCCTCTCCTTCCCCTCCTCCTCCACACTCCCCTCCTCTGACCCCACTTCTTCATCCTCCAAGCGACCCTCCTTCCTCCGAACCGCACTCAAATCCATCCCAAACCTCTCATCTTCCCTCCCACCCCGCATCCACTCCCTTCCCTCCGACCGTCTCTCGTTATCACTCCCGAACCTGCGCATGAACCTCGAGCCTGAGCCTCCTCCCAAGCCTCCGCCCTTCCCCCGGGGGCTCTTCCTCTGGCTCGGGTTGAGGTCCGGCGCGTCAGAGGAGGTTCGGAGGAGCCCAGTCTTGAGCTCTAGTTTCCTTGCATGTGGAAGCTCATACACCCTGCTCGGTACCTTAGGCACCCAGGGAAACTCCCTGCCATTCCCCTCGGTAGCCTCCTCGGTATGCTCTCTGCTGCGACCTTTGGGGCTGGAAGGTGTAGAAATGGTTCGCCTATGGTGCTGGTGCTGGTGGTGCTGCTGGTGGTGGTGGTGGTGCTGCTGCTGCTGCTGCTGCTGGTGCTGCTGGTGCTGCTGATGATGAGGAATGTATTGTGGATGAGAGGAAGACAGAAACGAAGCCTCCACCTGCTGCTGCTGCTGCTCAGATTTGCCCATCTCATGCCCCTTCTCGTCTTCCCACTTTGCCTGCTGCTGCTGCTGCTGGCGGAAATGTGATAAGAGGCTATCAGCTTCTCCGTCTCCCACTGCCTCTACTCTCGCTGCTGCTCCTACTGTTGCGCCTTGCCCTACTGCTCCCACTGGTGCCCCTCCCACTGGTGCTTCCGCAACCGGTCCCACTGCCTCAGCTCCCTTCACAGCATCGACTGCAGCATCGCTCGCCACAGGAAACTTCCGGGAAAACGTGAGAGAGACAGAGAGGGAGGGACATTCAGAGACCTTCGCAGCAACAGCAGCAGCAGCAGCAGCAGCAACCTCCTCACCCCTTACATCTCCCCTGCTCTTTGCCCCCCGCTCCTCCCTTTGACTCGGCTCAAAAGCCTCACCCCTTCCATCTCCCCTGCCCTCTGCCCCGCTCTCCTCTCCCCCACGTGCCTCCTGCGCAGTTCCATTTTCCTCCTCTCCTGCCGTCTCACCATCTGATGCACTAGGACTGGGCGCCTGGTCATTATCGAGGGGACTCGGGTGCACAGACCCCTTGCCTGCAACCGACCCTCTGCCTGCAAAGGCGTGGCTTGGGAAACAAGCAACAGCAGCAGGGTCAGCCTTGCTACCGCCGCCGCTGCCGCTGCTGCTGCTGCTGCTACTGCTGCTTTTCTCCCTCCCCGTGATGCGCTCACACACACTCCTGCTTCTCCCAATCCCATCGTCTCTTCCCCTGCTCCTTTCTGTGTTACCATCCCCCTCTCTGCTGCCCTCTGCACTGCTGTCTCTCCCCCTGCTCCTGCTCCTATCAAGCAGGCTCAAGGGGGATTTAGAACGTCTGTTTCTGTCAGACGAAGGGGGGCGAGGAGGGGAAGCAAAACCCCCTCCCCTGATGCTACTTTTGCCACTGTTGCTGCTGTGGTTACCGTCAGTGTTACTCTCACCACCAATGTTACCACCAGCGTTACAACTGTTATCATCATCACCTCTTTCGCTGTCTCTACCTCTGGCCTTCTCCGGCGAACCTTGGCCCGGACCAAGACCCGCCAAGCCTGTGAGCGCTGAGGCTACGCTGGAGGTTCGGATGAAGCCTTGGGGGCGCCGTGCCCCGAGCTCCTGTAGCAGGAAGCTCCGGGCGGCGCTCTGAGCGCGCTGTGGGGGGATTTGAGATGTCTCCAGATTGGCGCTCTGAGCGCGCTGTGGGGGGATTTGAGATGTCTCCAGATTGGCGCTCTGAGCGCGCTGTGGGGGGATTTGAGATGTCTCCAGATTGGCGCTCTGAGCCCGCTGTGGGGGGGTTTGAGATGTCTCCAGATTGGCACTCTGAGCGCGCAGAGGGGGGTGAGGAGGAGGAGAAGGGGTGCGATGGAGGGGGGAGGGGGATCGGGGCGGATGAGGGGAAGGGGAGTGCGCAAGCGGAGGGGAGGAGAAATGAACTGGGCTTGTGTGGTCAGGTGTAGTTTGTGAGGGGGAGGGTTGGTGTCGAGAGGGAGAGTGGGAATATGGGTCATCTGGAGAGTTGACTGCAGCAAATGTAGCAGCTGCAGCAGCTGTAGCAGCTCCAACAGCAGAAACTTCTGCTTCTGCTTCTGCCTCTGCCTCTGCCTCTGCCTCTGCTTCAGCACTACCTAGAGGAACAGAAGCTACTAACCCTGCAGCACCACCTACTACCCCTGCAGCGCCACCTACTGTAACCAAGCCACCATCTTCCAGTGAGAGGGCAGCTGCGAGCTGTGGCCTGTCAGACACTGCTGCAGACGACGACTCAGCAGCAGCCAGAGCACCAGCAGCCAAAGCACCAGCAGCCAAAGCAGCAGCGTCAGCTTGAGCCTCCCCTGGGTGTTGCAGTGCTCCTCCCAGAGGACCAAGACAGTCCTGTGGGACTTCAGCAGCACGGGCAATCCCAGAAATCGATGAGGTAGGCATTGCTGCTCCCACTGACCCTGCTCCCTCTGACCTTGCTCCCACTGGCCCTGCTCCTAATAGCCCTGCGTCTGCTTCTACACGCTCCCCTCCTCCTCCCCCTCCTCCTCCCCCTCCTCCTCCCCCTCCTCCTCCCCCTCCTCCTCCCCCTCCTCCTCCCCCTCCTCCTCCCCCTCCTTGTCCCCTTCTCCCCGACCGCTTAGCTGGCAGCTGCAGCTTTACCGAGGGGCGAGACCACGGCCACATCCCCCCTCCCAGACCCGAACCTCCACACGAAGCTCCATGCGGCCTTGCTTCCGAACCAGACACATCCGAGCCATTCGGTTCTGGTTCGGCGCCAGGGGCGGAAAGGGGGAGTTGGGGGGCGGCAGTTAGGGGAGTAGGGGTAGGGGAGGGGGAGCGGTGTTTGGAGAAGGAGAGAGGGAGGATGCGCAGGCCTTTCATGTCTGGGGTCCCTGGGAGGGACATCAGGCGACGGTGGCGACGGGGCTTCGGCTCTGACTGCGGCTGAGGCAGCTGCTGCTGCTGGGGCTGGGGCTCCTGCTGCTGCTGCTGCTGCTGCTGCTGCTGGGGGTCCTGCTGCTGCTGCTGCTGCAGTTGAACCTGCTCCAGCTGCAGCTGCAGGTGAAACTGCTGAAACACATTCTCAGAATCCAAACCCCCGCCCAGCCCCAACCCCTCCTCTTCCTCACGCATCTGCCCCTGCCCTTGCGCCAACGCGTCAACCACCACCCCAGGCCCACCAGCACCCCTCTGCACCGCGTTCAACCGCTCCCCACCTTGCCTCTCGACCTCCAACGGCCCTCCCTCTGCCGTGCTGCCCCCTTGCCCTTCTCCAAAGCCAGTAGATTTGGTGCTAGATGCCGGGGAGGGACCCAAGGAAGAATGAGCAGACAGCGAACGAGAGGACAACGAGCGCGCGGGCACAGCGCGAGCAGCGGGGGAATGCGCAGCCGAGGACGATTGTGACTGTGTTTGTGACTGTGGCTGCGACTGCGACTGTGGCTGTATCGAGGGTGACTGTAACGAGTGGTGGAAGGAGCGGAAGTCCTCGCTGGCAGTGCTGCGGTGGTGGTAGGGCGGCGGCGTCTTGTTCTTTCGAAGGAAGCGGGAGGAGGAGGAGAAGGAGAGGGAGGCCGAGGGGGGCAGAGGGGGAGGCGCAGTACACGGAGACAGTCCTGGCTGGTTCCCACTGCCGCCACTTACACTCCCCCCTCCACCTCCTGCTCCTCCTGCTCCCCCTACCCCCCCTGCTCCCCCTGCTCCTCCCCCTCCCCCTCCGCCTGGTGATCGTTTCGGCAGCCCCAGGTCGTGGTGGGAGGTGCTCCGGCGGTGGAAGGAGAAGCCCGACCGCCTCACAAACCCCAGCACCGAGCCGCCGCCTCCTCCGCTCTCTCTCCTGCTGCTGCTGGCAGGGATGTGGCTACTGCTGGTGAATTGGTTGCTGTTGCTGCCGATGCTGCTGCTGACGCTGACTGACGCTTTGGGGAAACCTCTCAGAGAAACTGGGAGGCTGGAACCCTCTCCTCTCCCTCCTGCTGCAACTGCTTCCAATGCACCCGCTCCTGCCGCCCCTGACCTGGCAGCTCCCCCTTCTCCTGTCAAATCAACCTCTGCTTCCCCCCCTCCTGCTCCTATTCCTGCTGCCCCCACTCCTCCTCCTCCTCCTCCTCCTGCTCCTGCCGTCTCCCCTGCCGCAGCCTCGGCAGCCTTAGGGAAGGAGAAGAGGCCCCTGGTAATGGGAGAGAGGAGGGGCACAGCAGCCACCACGTCCACCGAGTGCCGCCTCACATGCCGACTCCGCTCCCTCACACTCCCCCCTCCCCTCCTCGCTCCGCTCATCAGCCCCCCAAACAGCCCCCCGCCGCTGCTGCTCCCCCTGACTGACCCAGAGACAGTTCTACCCCCACTACCCCCCCCCCCACCAGCAGCAGCATCAGCAGCAGCAGCACCACCACCACCACCGCCACCACGAGCACCGCTATTCCCACCAGCACTTAGCATTCCCCCAGCGCTTAGTGCTTTACCAGGACTGAACCTATTCGGGCTGCTGCTGGTGTGGGGGCTGCTGGTATTGGCCCAGAGATGGGATTGCGGGCTAATAAGGGGACTCAATCCCCCACTGCTCCCACTGTGCGTGGGCGGAATGGCAGGGGGGAGCCCGGGGCTCATTCCCCCGCTACTGCCGCTGTGCGTGGGGGGGATGACGGGGGGAAGCCCCGGGGAGGGCGGGGGGATGGGCGGAAGATGTGAGAACGCGCGGGCAGAGCGGGAAAGGGGGCTGGATCTGGGGGAGCGGGTAGCATAAGGGGGAGTGGTGGTACCAGAGGCGGAGGAGGGGGGGTACGGGGGCGCAGGGGGGAGGGCGGAAGGTAGGGCGGAAGAAAGGGGGGAAGGGTGGGAGGTAGGGAGGGCGGAGGGAAGGAGGGATTCTGCTGGTAAGGGGCTTGTGTTGGGGGTGCCTTGGATCGGCTCTAGGACCATGCTGAGCGATCTCCGGCTCTCCCTACCCTCTCTCCCTTCCCTCCCCTCCCTCCCCTCCCTCCCCTCCCGCCCCTCACGGCCCTCACGCCCCCCCTCTCTGCTGCTTAGACTGCTGCTGCTGCTCCTCCCGCTGTTGCTGTCTATACTGCCGCCCATGCTTCCCCCAACGCTACCAGACGCGGAAAGCCACCCTGTGCTGCCATAACCCCCACCGCTACCCCCAGCGTTAACGCCCCACCCTCCACTTGCGCCCCACCCTCCCCCAGCCCCCGCTGATCCATCCCCAATCTCCCCATACAAGCTTCCCCCTACCCTCCCTCCTCCCTCTCCCCCTCCGCCTCCGCCTCCGCCCCCAGCCTCCTCCCTCCCCGCGCCTGCCCCCACTTCCCCCCCATCCTGGGAAGCTTCCGAGAAGCTATGACTCCTGCTATGGCGCAAACTCCTTCTGCGCGCCCCCCGGCTCCCCCCACCCGCCCCCGCGCCCCCAAAAGTCCCCCCAAGGCTGGCAAAGAACCCCGTCCCCCCGCGCGTCTCCCCCCCGGAGGCGGAGCGGTGGACGCCTGGGGAAGTAGACTTACTCCTAGGAACGTCTTCTAGCGTCTCTGGGCAGGTAGCGGGGGTGGGATGGCCGTTATAGGATGAGGAGAGGGGGGCGGAGGGGGGGAGAGGGGGGAAGGGGAAGGAGGAGGACGGGGTGGAGGCGGAGGAGGAGGAGGTGGTGGGGCCTAGGGCGGTGGGGGTAGGGGCGGACGATCCCCCCCAGGATCCCCCCCAGACGCTGCTCCGCCCCGTCGCTGTTCCCCCTGTTCCCCCTGCTCCCCCCGCTCCTCCTCCTGACCCTGCTCCCCCTCCTGCCCCCGCGCCTGCCCCTGTGCTTCCGCCCGCGTCTGCGCCTTCCCCCAGGAAGCTCCCCCCCTCGTTCCCGCCCTTGGAGGGCCTCCCCAGGTGCACATCCACTAGCAGGTTCCGCCACGCCTTATAACGGGACTGGGAGGCTGATAACGAGGACGCCGTCTGCGCTGCTGCTGCTGCATCCGCTTCCGCCCCTCCTCTCCCTCCCGCCCCTCGCGTCCCCCCCGTTGCTACCGCCTCTCTCGCCCTCCCATCCGCGGACCCAGCGCTGCGCGTGCGCCCAAACGCCCTGCTTGCGCCCCCCTGCCCGTCCGCTTTTACCCCAGGGCTGAGGGGAAAGCCCGAACCAGGATCAAGAGTGCCAGGATAAAGGTTTAGGGTCACTGACCTACGACCTTCCTCCAACAACGGACCCTCGTCCTCCTCCCCCTCATCATCCCCCTCCCCGCCAGCATTCCCCCCTGCCGCTCCTGCCGCTCCTGCCGCTCCTGCTGCTGCGGTTGCCCCTGCTGCGGCTGCATCCCCCCGCATTCCCCCAGCAAGCGCGCCGAGCTGCTGCAGGGCGGAGAGGTCCAGCCCCCCCAGGGCGTCGCTCCCAAACGCCTGGGATGGCCGGCGCAGCTTCCCCAGGAAACGGCTGACCGTCTGGCTGCCGCCCAGCTTCTTCAGCCCCGCCTGCCCGCTGCCGCCCAGTTTCTTCGACCCCCCCCGCACGCTGCCAAACCCGAACCCGCCCCCCCCTCCCCCCCCGCTCCCCCCTCCGCCTGCGCCTGCGCCCCTGTCTCGCCCCCTGCTTCTTCCCCCCTCCCCCTCCTCCTCCCGCTCATCATCATCACTATCGTCACTATGAGCTCCTCTTGCCTGCCCGCTGTCACTCCTCCTCCTACTCCCCCCTCCCCCTCCCCCGCCCATGCCCCAATCCTCGTCCGAATCCTCGTCCTTCCCCTTCCCCTCCCCCTCCTCCGCCTCCTCCCCTTCCATTTCATCCGGGCTATCCCAAGAGTCCACCATGAAGCTACTCCCAAACACCGGAGCCACCAGAGTCTTAATATCCTGCTCATCGATCACCGCCTTGTCTTTATTCGCGGAATCCGTCGCGTAGGATTCAGCGAATATCCGCACAGCGGGGCCGGACTGGGGCTTTCGCAGAAGGTTGGGGGAGAGGAGCAGGTCGCCCATACCCTCGTTATCAGCCGCCCCGCTACGGAGCAGCTGCCACGCGGCGTGTGCCCGCGCGACAATCTCCATAACCTTGTCCTGCCCGGCCTTGCCCTGGCTTAGAGTCAGCACCCGGGTCTTCTCGCCTGGAAAAAAAAACAAAGGGAGAACAGCTTTATTTTATTTCTAAAGAAAGAAACAAGTGATTAACAAGGGGACGGAAGGCAAAGAGGGTGAGATTATTGGGCAAGGGGGGAAGGAAGCGGGGAGGAGGGGGGGAGGGGAGGGGAGCACCGTGCGCCCACGTCGCAGTCTGCCTGGTCCACCCCACATTGCATCTTCTCACCTCCGCAATGCCGCCCGGTGCGCAGCAAATCTCGTATGCAGGCCAACAGCGCCTGCACAATACCGGCGACTTTCTCGTCGCGCATGGCCTGAAACCCCTCCTTTCTCACCGACATTCCCACGTCTCGCCTCCGCTTTCACCTCACAATCTCACTGCCTCCTGGCGTCTCACCTCCGCAATGCCGTCCTGCGCGCAGCAAATCTCGGATGCTGTCCAGCAGCGTCTGCACAATGGCGGCCACGTTCTCATCGCCCAGGTAGTCCAGGCCCTGAAACCCCTTCCTTCCCCCGACTGCATTTCCAGTTCTCACCTCCCTTACACCTTGCGTCGTCTCACCTTCCTCCCTTCTCACCTCCGCACCGCAGTACCGGCCTGCTCGCAACCAATCTCGGATGCAGTACAGCAGCGTCTGCACAATGCCCGCCACGTTCTCGTCGCTCAGGTCCTGGAACCCCTCCCTTCTCACCTGCAACTTCACGTCTCACCTCCCACTTCCACCTTTTCTCACCCTGCTTCCCGCCTCACCTCCGCAATGCCGCCCGGCGCGCAGCCAATCGCGGATGCAATCCAGCAGCGTCTGTACAATGCCCGCCACGTTCTCGTCGCTCAGGTCCTGGAACCCCGACGGGTCATCCGTCGCTATCCCCACCACCTTCCACGAAAGCTGGAACCCCCTCGGATCCACCAGCACGAATGCCGCTAGCGGCTCCACCGCGTACGCCTCGCCTAACTGCCGAACCTGACTGCCTATGTCGATTAACTCCACCGGGCTGTCGTCTAACGGCAGGTTGCCGAATTCCGGGCAGCGGGTGGAGGAGTCGGCCCACGTTTGCGGGAATACGCCGAAGTTCCACGGGATCGGGTCGGCGAATCGCACGGGCTTGTTACCGCGTAACCGCATTCGCAGCGGCGCGAGGCGTTCGCGAACGGCGACCTCGTAGTCGTCCTGGCAGCCCTTGGGCGTGAGGCAGACGGCGTTGAAAGTACCGTTGGCCGAATGCAGGGGCACGTCGTGCCAGGGAGACACCTCGTTACCGGCGTCGTCGATTAGAGTCACGCGGAACGATTTCCCTCCTGGCGTCCCTAGCGTCACGGGACTCCACATGCCTGGCTCTGGAGTCGGCACGTTAAATACCCGCTTTTCACTCGCCTCTTCCGGCTTGGCTCTCCCGTCTAACTTCTCATCTAGCTCCTCTTCCTCTTCCTCCTCCTCTTCATCCTCCTGTTCGGCGTCTGCGTCGTCGTCGTCGGTGTCCATTTCGCTTTCCTCGTGCCATTTCTCTCGAAGGTCCTGGCACATTTTCGTGTCGTCGACGAGAGCCATTGCTAGATTCGCTCAGGCGCAAAGCTACCCCCTTTTTTCAAATGCTAACGCATTGCGTCACGGCAGCGACCTACATTGCCCCACACGCTGTCCTACGGTACATTCGAACCATTGTCGGCTCCTATCCCTCGCCCCGGCTGGTGGGGAAAATATGAGGCACTTGACAAGTTCAATTTTCACCATGGTAGAAACTGCTCTCCAGCTGCAGCAAACCCTAATCGCGGCCCTCGTAGGCTGCCCTCCTAGACTGGACCTGGGTGGGTGGTACAGTACATTCATGGCATCCGTCCTCCATCCTACACCATCGTTGCACGCTCGTCGTTCTCCCCCTTTACAGTCACCTAGCCTTGGGATGCTCGGATTGGACGGAAGCATTCGACCAGACAAATGCAAAAATGTTGTCAGCAACAGTGACCCCTGAAAGTTATCGTCGAAACCACACTCCGTCTATTTAGTGGGAACGGGTTTGCTGCCTTCCCTCCCATACTTTGTGTTCAATCCCCGCGAGTAGGGCTGAACAAAATCATCTTTGTCAATTCGCCTTGTCTGGACTTATTTATGGGGTTTCTAAATGAAATGCCTGTTGAAGTGGGAGGGAACCCCGAAACCTTTCTTCGTTGTGTGGCAGAGTACCCAAGGTTTTGTTCGCGATAGGATGCGCCCCGCCTCCACGCTAGGCACTGAAGAACCGCGGCATCGCAGCAAGCTGGAGCAAGCTGTGGACAGCTTGGGACAGTGGTGTCCTCTCGTCTGGGTAACGGGGTGATGGGAGGTCGCTCGTCGCTCAAGGGATTCACGAATCAATATGGGAGATTCCTTGTTCTCACTGTAACACTCCGACAACTGTACGAGCTCGAGTGGCAACCAACGAACTTATTCGCCAAGCCACAGGTTGGTTGACGAATGACCAGATTTGGTGTTATTCTGCCAGCTTCGCCCGAGAGCTTCACTATACGCATGACAGCTTTACGGAGCTGGTCGTGAGCTGGGGGTGAGCTGGCCTACGGGGAACAGCTGTAGTTGTTTGTATACAAATTTGTTTTAAATCGTCCCGAAATCCGCCCTTCCTTGCACCTCAACACTAGAGACTTCGTCCATATTCAACTGCAGGGCTCAGCTAGCCTTTGACTCAGCCTGGTGCATAACGTATATACAAATATCCAAACTACAGTCACATTATCAAAACCAGATCAAAGTTGTTCCTCAAATGGAATGCATGCCCAGCTCCAGGTGTGCCATGTTATGGGCGCTTGGTCACTTAATTACCATGTCCATGCATTTGCTTTCATGTGCCTGGAAGCACAAGCACGTTGTCATAAGAAAACAACAAAGAGGCGCATCAACCAATAAGCAATAAAAAACACAATCTGCGTGAACAAGTGACAAGTCACAATTTCGAGGATGAGCGACTCACATTTCATGGCAGCCCATCCAACCCGATTCTCCTCCTGATCATGAACCACGAGGAAGTCCCTCATCCATAGCGCTGGCGAGGGAAAGAAGAGGCATAAGAAAAAAAAGGGGGGAAAAAAAAAACATTTCGAGTAATAGCGAAGGGTAAGCTGAGCACCTGCGAGGTGTAGCGTCTAGAGGAAAGACCCCTAATGAAGCAGCTTGTCGGCAGCTGATTTACTTACCTCCGATTATGAAGGCTGGGCTGTTGGGAGCTTTTATGGTGTCTGATCCCAGCACCACCTGCGTGCACACTATCTCCACCCCCTCGTCCTGGTGGTGGAGGGGGAGCAGGGGCGTAGGAGAGAATTGGAATACATGGGGGCGAACGGAATGAATTGGTGTCTGATCCCAGCACCACCTGCGTGTAGACTATCCCCACCCCCTCGTCCTGGTGGTGGAGGGAGGGCAGCGGAGGTGGAGGGGTGGGGTAGCCCGGGGGGGTTGGGGGGGGGGGGGGGGGAGGATTGGGATAGGAAGGGGTAGAAGGAATACAGTATCTGATCCCAGCATCGCCTGCATGCACCCTATCCGGAGGTACATTTTTCAAGTGCCTTAAAGATCGCTCCATACAAGCACCCTGGACTCTCCGCACAACCCATAACCTTAAACAGAGCCAAAAAAAAAAAAAAAAAAAAAAAAAAAAAAAAAAAAAAAAAAACGCTTCATTTTGTAGGTTCTTGCTGCGACATGGCTTTGGATGTGTATGCGTGCACCGAAACATCCATGTACATGCAAACCGCAAAGAGTCGAGCTCAACTACGAATACAAATGGCTCACCATGGCTTTAAACGTGTACGTGTGCGGCGGCACATTCATGAACACGCCTCGCCCTTCGAATTGCAGGTTGATGTGGGGGAAGCGGTTTCTGACGTCCTCTGCTGTAAGCCTGTGAGGACAAGGGGAGAGAGAACGATGAGGGCCGGGCCCTGAAGGGGACGATCGTAAACTACACCCCAGATTTTCAGGTTGACGTGGGGAAAGCAGATTCTGGCGCCACTAGCCCCCCGTGCCACTAGCCCCACGTGCCACTAGCCCCCCGTGCCACTAGCTCCACGTGCCACTAGCCCCCTGTGCCACTAGCCCCCTGTGCCACTAGCCCCCCATGCCACTAGCCCCCCGTGCCACTAGCCCCCCATGCCACTAGCCCCCGTGCCACTAGCCCCCCGTACCACTAGCCCCCAGTGCCACTAGCCCCCCGTGCCACGAGCCCCACATGACGCTAGCCCCCTGTGCCACTAGCCCCCCATGCAACAAAAAAACCCAATCACTCACTCGTCTGTGGAGGAAAAGCAGAGCGAGCCTTCTTTGCCAATGGAGAAGGCATAGCGAGGCAGCCCCACTGCTGTCTGGATCTGAGCCAGGGAAGGGGGAGGAGTAAGGAGCCACGGAAGGGGGAGGAGTAAGGGGGAGGAGTAAGGGGGAGGAGTAAGGGGGAGGAGTAAGGAGCCACGGAAGGGGGAGGAGTAAGGAGCCACGGAATGGGGAGGAGTAAGGAGCCACGGAAGGGGGAGGAGTAAGGAGCCACGGAAGGGATAAGAGTGAGGGGGGGGAGGAGGTAACGAGTGAGGAGATGGAAAGGGCATAGCGAGGCAGCCCCAATGCAGTCTGGATCCAAGCCGGGGAACGAGGAAAGAGAGCGACAGGTAACAGAAGAACGGCAAGAAGTGAGGAGAATGTACTTTTTCCTATCTAACACAAGGACAAATTGAGAACGATACAATGAGCCACAAGAGGAGAACGAGGAGGAAAAGAAAGGAAATTGCAAGGATAAGTCTCACGAGGTGGAAGAGGGGCGGGAAAGATAGGCGCGGATTCAGACAGGCAGGTGGGAGGGCAGATGGACTCATGAGGTGGAAGAGCCAGACAGACAGACAGACAGGCGGACAGACAGACAGGCGGACACAGAGACAGGCGGACAGACAGAGAGGCGGACAGACAGAGAGGCGGACAGACAGAGAGGCGGACAGGCAGGCATGGAGTGGGAAGAGGGGACTCACGAGGTGGAAGAGCGGCGGGACGAAGAGCGGCGGCATGATGGTGTAGGTGGTGCCGCTGTCGAAGATGGCGTTGCCGTGCGACACGTTGCCGTACTGCAACGGGCTCACTGCCACCTCAACCCCCCCCACGAACACCTTCCGAAGGGTGACCTTGTAGAAACTGCAGAAGGTGGCAGGCGGTGCAGCAACGAAGTGGGGAGAGGGGAAAGGCATTCATGAGTGAGGAGAGAGGGCGGCTGTCAGACAGACAGGGTTGCCGTACTGGGCTGGGCTCACTGCCAGCTCCATCCCCCCAACAAACACTTTGCGGAGAATCACTTTGTAGACGCTGGGAGGGCGAGAGGGGGCGGCGGGAGGGAAGAAAAGAGAACAGAGGGAATAGAGTTTCCGTACTGCGCTAGGCTCACTGCCACTCCACTCCGCCCACAAGAACTTTGTGCAGAGTCACCTTGTAGAAGCTGATGGGAGAAGCTCGACCCCCTTAGATGTCAACCCCCTAGGTCTCACTCCCCCTGGGATGCATGGGGGGAGATGCATAGGGGAGGATGCATGCCGCCCGAGGGGATACCGCCAAAGAAGATGCCGCCCGAGGGCATTTTCACCGAGCGCATGCCGCCCGAGGGGATGCCGCCCGAGGGGATGCTGCCCGAGGGCATGCCACCCAAGGGGATGCCGTCCGAAGGCATGCCGCCCAGGGGGATGCCGCCCGAGGGGATGCTGCCAGAGGGGATGCCACCCGAGGGGATGCCGCCCAAGGGGATGCCGACCGAGGGCATGCAGCCCGGGGCATGCCGCCCAAGGGCATGCCGCCCGAGAGCTTCACGCCCGAGGGCATGCCGCCTGAGGGCGTGACGCCCGAGCGGGTGCCGCCCGAGGGGATGCCGACCGAGGGCATGCCGACCGAGGGCATGCCGCCCGAGGGGGTGCCGACCGAGTGCATGCCGCCCGAGTGCATGCCGCTCGAGGGGATGCCGCCTGAGGGGATGCCACCCGAGGGCATGCCGCCCAAGGGGATGCTGCCCGAGGGGATGCCGCCCGAGGGCATGCCGTCCGAGGGGATGCCGCTCGAGGGCATGCGGGCTGAGGGCATGCGGACCGAGGGCATGCCAACCGAGGGCATGCCGCCCGAGGGGATGCCGCCCGAGGGGATGCCGCCTCAGGGCATGCCGCCCGAGGGGATGCTGCCCGAGGGCATGCCGCCCGAGGGGATGCCGCATGCCGCCCGAGTGGATGCCGCACGACGGCATGCCGCCCGAGGGCATGCCGCCCGAGGGGATGCCGCCAGAAGAGATGCCGCCCGAAGGGATGCCGCCCGAGGGGGATTCCGCCCAAGGGCATGCCACCCACGGGCATGCCGTCCGAGGGCATGCCGTCCGAGGGCATGCCGCCCGAGGGGATGCCGCCCGAGGGCAAGCCGCCTGAGGGGATGCCGCCCGAGGAGAAGCCGCCCGAGGGGATGCCGCCCGAGGGCAAGCCGACCGAGGGGATGCCGCCCGAGGGGATGCCGCCGATGGCAAGCCGTCCGAGGGCCGCCGGAGGGTATGCCGCCCGAGGGGATGCCCCCAGAGGGAATGCCGCCCGAGGGGATGCCGCCCGAGGGGATGCATGGGGGAGGGATGCGTGGAGGGGGATGCATGGAGGGGGGAGGATGCGGGGGTTGTATAGGGAGGGATGCAAGGGGGTGGGGATGCATGGGGGGGGGGATGCATGGGGGTGGAATGCATAAGGTGGGGATGCATAGAGGGGATACATGGGGGGGAATGCATAGGGGGGATACATAGGGGGGGATGCATAGGGGAGGGGATGCATAGTGGGGGATGCATAGGGGGGATACATAAGGGGGGATGCATAGGGGAGGGGATGCATAGGGGAGGGGATGCATAGGGGAGGGGATGCATTGGGGGGTATGCATAGGGGTGGGATGCACAGGGGCGATGCGTAGCGTGGGGGTGCATAGGTTGGGGGATGTATGCCGCCCAAGGGGATGCCGCCCGAGGGTATGCCGCCCAACTGGTTGCCGCCCGACGGGATGCCGCCTGAGGGGGTGTCGCCCGATGACATGCCGCCTGAGGGCATGCCGCCCGAGGGGATGCCGCCTGAGGGAATGTCGCGCGAGGTCTCACCCCCCCTAGGTCTGACTCTCCTAGGTCTCACCCCCTCAGGTCTCATCCCCCCTAGGTCTAACCCCCCCTAGGTCTCACCCCCCTAGGTCTCACCCACGCTAAGTCTCACTGTCAGAAAACCAGTCCGGCTGACCGACTGGGTTAAGGGGGCGTGTTGACCTGGTGGGATAGCCCACCCTTGACTCCCCAGGATAATCTGTAGTCCTTCCAGGACCTCTGGGTTGAGGTTCCAGTGGCCCTATGCAGCAACATTAGGTGACTTTTGAGTCGACTCAAAAGTCACCTCTGTGCAGCAACATTAAGACTAGGATCACACGAGCCAAAGAGAGGAAACTGGCACTCACATCTCGTCTGGTTGCAGGGGCGTGAAGGCCATGAGGGGGGGGATGGGCCGAGTATTGAGACGTGAAATTAGTGTAATAATATGACCCAAAGAGAGGAAACTGGCACTCACGTCTCATCTGGTTGCAGGGGCGTGAAGGCCATGAGGGAGGGGATGGGGATGTCGCCAACCGTCATCCACCCGCCACCTCCATCGCCACCCAGGCAGTGAGACACCACCTGACTGCTCGCCAAGGGGGAAAGAACGGGGGGGTGTGTGGTTTGGGGGGGGAGGAGGGGAAAGACTGAGGGAATAAGGAATGTCGAGCTGTCATCCACCATGAGAGGAGAGACTTCTCTTTTATGAGGTACATGGGGTTACATGGGGGTACATGGGGTTACATGGGGTTACATGGGGGAAGAAAGAACTCTTTGTAAGCTAGCTACACCAGCTGTAAGGAGTGATTGCGCTCACCTGGTTAGCCCTATCAGCCAGATAGCACCTACCACCATCGCACTGCACTGCAACTCACCACATCTGCCATGGTGGGCGAAGAACTCTTTGTAAGCTAGCTACACCAGCTGTAAGGAGTGGTTGCGCTCACCTGGTTAGCCCTATCAGCCAGTGAGCAGCGACAGCGTCCCCCTGCCTAGGCCCATCAGCCCGTCTAGCGCCTGGTAGTGGGTCCAGCCAAATAGCACCTACCACCACCGCACTGCACTGCAACGTACCACATCTCACCACATGTCACTGCGCTGATCCGCAGCATACCGAATGGGGAGGAACTCCTTGTAGGCGCCAACAGCAGTGAGCAGAGAGAGCGTTCCCCTGCCCAGGCCTATCAGCCCATCTAGCGCCTGGTAGTAGGTCCAGCCCAGTTTCATCTACCACCACCGCATTGCACCGCAACTCACCACATCCCACCCCATCTCACCGCACTGAACCACAGCTTACCGAATAGGAAAGAATTCCTTGTAGGCGCCAACAGCAGTGAGCAGAGACAGCGTTCCCCTGCCCAGGCCTATCAGCCCGTCTAGCGCCTGGTAGTAGGTCCAACCTAGTCCGTTGTAAAAATTACCCTGCTGCGAGTTACCACAGCTGAAGAGGGGGGGGGGAGGGGGGGGGCAAGATAAGTATGGGAGGGCACTTAGGGACACAAAGACACCAGACCAGAGACACTTAAGACACCAGAGGCACCTAGTGCGGTAGGCACTTAGTTAAGCGGTGCAGGCACCTAGCTAAAGAAGCGCAGGCACTTACCCGAACGTGATGGGAACTTTAAAAGCTCTCGAAGACCCCGAGATGGGCAGATGGATGACGTCAGCAAGCAGGCGACCTGACGTCCCACTGCCATCCCCATACGCCACGGAATACATGCACCCGTCCTCCTCTCCGTCCGAGCCTCCGTCCGAGCCTTTGCTCAGAGGCTTGGCAGTGACGTTGCAGTTGCGGATCTTGACGGTTCGGTCGGGGTTGATGCAGGCCTTGTTGGAGCATTGGAGCAGCTTGGCTGAGGTGGACTTCGCGGAATCGAAGGGCGGGTTGGTTTGCTGCACCAAGGGGGGTGGGAGCAGGAACAGGAGGGCGAGCAGGGGAGGTTTGAGTTGACTCAGAAGTCTCAGGGTTAGTTTTGGTACAGGTCGATGCAGGCGTTGTTGGAGCACTGGAGGAGCTTGGCTGAGGAGGACTTGGCGGAATCGAACGGCGGGTTGGTTTGCTGCAAGGGGAAGTTGCAGGGGAGGGAGACACAGGAGGGCGGGCAGGGGAGTTTTTAAGTCAGATTTTGAAGTCACAGGGTGCGGTCCGGTCGGGGTTGATGCAGGCCTTGTTGGGGCACTGGAGGAGCTTGGCTGAGGAGGACTTGGCGGGATCGAAGGGCGGCTTGGTTTGCTGCAAGAGAGGGGTGGGAGGGAAGGGGAACTGGAGGGCGGGCGGCAGAGTGTTGAGCCGACTTTGAAGTCACAGCTTGGTTTGGTCGGGGTTGATGCGGGCCTGGTTGGTGCACTGGAGGAGCTTGACTAAGGAGGCCTTGGAGGAATCAAAGGGCGGGTTGGTTTGCTGCAAAGGGGAAATTGGTGGGAAGAGTGGAGGTGAGGGGGAGAGAGAACGGGAGGCGGGCAGAGGAGTGTTGAGTCGACTCCGAGTCACAGATCAGATGGAAGGTCCAGGTTTCCGTCAGGGTTGATGCATGTCCGGTTGGCGCACTGGACAAGACACCTAGTGCAAGTAGCGTTTTGAGACATCTCAAACATCGGATAGTATCACTTGTTGGCGCACTGGACGAGCTTGACTCAGCGCCTCATAGTCAGACTCCTAGTGCAAGCAGCTAGGCTAGAGAAGGAGCAGTTGTGCGGTTGCAGAATGACTCGCTAAGAGCAGACTCACCAGCGTCTTAGAGAGCGTGCAGGGGTTACAGGGCAGGCAGTTGACCCAGAGCAGATTGCTCCCCGTGTCAATGTCAAGGTTGAATGTCTGAGGTGGCGTGCCTATGCCTAGCTGCACGTAGTATATTCTGGAAGGGAGTGGAGTTGGGAGGGGCAAGAGGGGGAGAGGAGAGAGGGAGAGGGAGGAGGGGGGACAATGGGCCCAGAGCAGATTGCTGCCCGTGTCAATGTCAAGGTTGAATGTCTGAGGTGGCGTGCCTATGCCTAGCTGCACGTAGTATATTCTGGAAGGGAGTGCAGTTGGGAGGGGCAAGAGGGGGAGAGGAGAGAGGGAGAGGGAGGAGGGGGGACAATGGGCCCAGAGCAGATTGCTGCCCGTGTCAATGTCAAGGTTGAATGTCTGAGGTGGCGTGCCTATGCCTAGCTGCACGTAGTATATTCTGGAAGGGAGTGCAGTTGGGAGGGGCAAGAGGGGGAGAGGAGAGAGGGAGAGGGAGGAGGGGGGACAATGGGCCCAGAGCAGATTGCTGCCCGTGTCAATGTCAAGGTTGAACGTCTGAGGTGGCGTGCCTATGCCTAGCTGCACGTAGTATATTCTGGAAGGGAGTGCAGTTGGGAGGGGCAAGAGGGGGAGAGGAGAGAGGGAGAGGGAGGAGGGGGGACAATGGGCCCAGAGCAGATTGCTGCCCGTGTCAATGTCAAGGTTGAACGACTGAGGTGGCGTGCCTATGCCTAGCTGCACGTAGTATATTCTGGAAGGGAGTGCAGTTGGGAGGGGCAAGAGGGGGAGAGGAGAGAGGGAGAGGGAGGAGGGGGGACAATGGGCCCAGAGCAGATTGCTGCCCGTGTCAATGTCAAGGTTGAATGTCTGAGGTGGCGTGCCTATGCCTAGCTGCACGTAGTATATTCTGGAAGGGAGTGCAGTTGGGAGGGGCAAGAGGGGGAGAGGAGAGAGGGAGAGGGAGGAGGGGGGACAATGGGCCCAGAGCAGATTGCTGCCCGTGTCAATGTCAAGGTTGAACGTCTGAGGTGGCGTGCCTATGCCTAGCTGCACGTAGTATATTCTGGAAGGGAGTGCAGTTGGGAGGGGCAAGAGGGGGAGAGGAGAGAGGGAGAGGGAGGAGGGGGGACAATGGGCCCAGAGCAGATTGCTGCCCGTGTCAATGTCAAGGTTGAACGACTGAGGTGGCGTGCCTATGCCTAGCTGCACGTAGTATATTCTGGAAGGGAGTGCAGTTGGGAGGGGCAAGAGGGGGAGAGGAGAGAGGGAGAGGGAGGAGGGGGGACAATGGGCCCAGAGCAGATTGCTGCCCGTGTCAATGTCAAGGTTGAACGTCTGAGGTGGCGTGCCTATGCCTAGCTGCACGTAGTATATTCTGAAAGGGGGGAAGAGGAAGGGAAGCGGGGCGGAAGAGCGAGGAGGGTGTGTGTGTTGGGGTGTTGCTTGTGGGGTAGACAGAGCAGATAGGTTCTTTTGACAATGCCAAGGTCGAATGTGAATGCAACAGTCCAGGACCACGCCTACCGGATTAAGTTTCTCAGGGACGTTAAGTGGTTGAGATGAGTTGAGATGGTTACAAACGATTGGCCTACCCGTTAGGGTACGTGGCACCCAGCAGCCCTGCTGTCGACGTTATGCTCAGTTTCCTGCCTCGATGGTTACCACCGCGGTTACCACCACCAACCCCTTCTCCTCCTCCCCCTATTCTTGAGTCATCGCCTTCTCCCTCCCCTCCTCCCTCCTCCCCCTCAGCCATCAACATCCGCGCTACGTGTCGAGCCTTGTCACTCTCCACAAGCGCCAAATAATGCCGCCCGAACGCATGCCCCGCGGACGAATTCTCCGGAGAGTTCCAGGAAGCTGCAAAAGCAGCTGAAACGTCAGGCTTGGGAACCGGTATGGACGAGGGTGAGGGAGGTTGGGGGGGCGGAGGAGCGTGGTCCGGCCTGGAAGAGCGAGCAGGGTGAGCAGAGACAGCAGGGTGAGCAGCCAGTCGGCTGTTGATCCGCATCACGTGCAGCCCGTGCACGCCGTCAACGAGATCAGCGAACGCACGGGGGCCCCGTCTACCATCCTCTCTTTTCCCGGCGGCTCTGCTGGGAAGCGCTTCAGCGGAGGTGCCACCGCCGCTGTGGTCACTTCCGCCCTGGTCAGCGCTGATGCCACGTCCCGAGCAATCCTCGGAGTCTCCCTCGGCCATGCAGCTCGACAGACCACCGAAACGCTCGTCAAAGTCATCTCCGCTATACGAAACGCTAGCGCCAGGCTTATACGTCTCGTGAACGGACGCCGGCGATGGTGTGGAGATTGTCGTTGTGGGATATAATAAGCTTAGGAGAGCGACGATCAGGCATATTAGTAGATGATGTTGCGATCGTAAGCGAGTGTAACGCCTCTGCGAGGGCCTTGTAGCGAGGGGTCGTTCCAGTGAAATCATTTTAGTAGAAGGACTTGTGGGGCCAATCGAGGCACTGTTGCACGCCAAGTGCATGCTGGCTGAGCTGCGAGATTCTTTTCTGCTCCCATTTGCACCGCATTGGATCTCTGACGAGGGGGAACAGACTGACTGGATGCGGCTACCACGATCAGGACATTTAGCGGAACACATTGCAAAGCAGCTTGCTGCGCAAACCATCAATCATTAATATTATAACATAGAGGTTGGTCGTATACACAAGTATTCGGTCAAGAAAGTCGGCGCTAATGTGAGACCTTGGCTGATGAATACCCTCTACGGAATTACCGTTAGGGGAGAGTGCTAGATCAGTCGGAAACGTCGCGTCTGGTAAGGTGCTGAAGGCTCTATCCTCGTTGGAAATCCAGACGAAGTAAACTATGAGTAGGTGGAAGGCTGCGAAGTGATCGTGAGGGGAACCTTAGCTCTACTGATGGTAGCCTAGTTGTACTGGAGCAACTCCCAGTTCTGAGGGAAAAGCTATTTCTTCTATCAGACACAGCAGCAGATAAGCTTCCCTGAACATCTGTAAAAGAGGCTTGATGTTGCCAATTGATCGCCATTCCCAGTGCCGTGGGACATATATTCGTGCTCCGAGGTCGCGTTTCTACTTGGACATTTTCCAGTGTTGCGCCTAGGCAATTTGGGATTGTCTTTTGAAACACGGGGGTTAAATACGCTATTTTGAGAACTGGAACCTCAGCACCAAGCAGTCGGGCTTGTTCCCAGCTGAACCTCCTGCCAATGAAATACGGACCCAGGAGGGCTCAGCGCGCGACTCCACACCATTGGTCCACCGCATCTCAGAAATGTCAGGGTCCAGCAAAATCTCGTCTAAGGTACTTCGTTTTTCCTTTTAGAAAACAGATAAAATTGAACAAGGCTAGAGAGTTGAACCATCTTTCAAACCCATGGCTTCAACAGGTTCACAAGTGCATCTTTACCACAATTTTGAGTAATCGATTTAGAACTAAGATAAATAAATTGCATCTTAACCCTCTCCTGTTGCAGGCCGTCTAAATGCAAGCCCATAGCAAAACACATTCTAGAATAGCCCAAATTACTTATGTAACGTAATTCTCCAGATATAAGAGCTGAAATAGAACTATATTCATGGCTCTTATAATAAAGTTTATTTGATTACAAAAGGTATTTTCTAAAAGGTATTTTCTGGGGGGGAGGGGAGGGAGGGCTTCACTCGCTCACCTCCTCTCAAGGCCTTCCCAACAGCCTTGCCAGCACTTGGCGCAACTCGCGCTTGCTTCGCTGCTGCTGACATTTCATGTCAGCTACTCGGCTCTGGTTGGACCAGGGGGCCGTTCGCTGGCCAATTTTTCACCGGCACGGCGAGGGAAATCAGGCATGGGGAACATCGATCGAGGCTTCGTGGGTTCGCCGAACCCAATTTGCGAAACGTGACGTCATCATGCGAAAACGTTGCGTCGGCTCGGTTTCCCCAAACCAATTGCCCCCAAATCGCGTGCTCCTTCTCATGCCAAACCCGAAGCGCGGCCATCAGCCGCCCAGAGCTGCCAGGCAAACTCCGTGCCACACCTCATACTGCAAAATCGTGGTATGAGGCAGGCCAAGATTGGCATGCCTCTTGGCTGGGCAGGTTTACGAAACCAAAAAAAAAAAACTGCAGCCACTTCCCCTTCAATCCTACCCGTCGATTTGCGCAATTGCGCCAGCTCATACCCATCCAATCGGTCACATTTTGAAATGTTAAAAAAATGGGCAGTTTTGACAAAATTGTGTGAATCTCATTTTCTCCGCTAGATTTTCCACGAAAGTGCGATGGGCTAAGAGGGCTTTTGGTGGGCCCCACTCTTCACTGTCCACGAGTTTGTCTTATCCAGTCCTGCAGTCGTGACAGACATAATCATGAGCCGGCGACGTTATGATTACCAAAGTACGGGGGCACACAAAAAAAATTTACGTAGGTTTGGCTGCACAGATTCCATGCGCACGGGATTTGGTCGCCCGTTCCCCTCCCCGTTCCCCTCGGAAAATTGCCAGCGAACACCCCCCAGAGCCTGTCAGGCTTCGCTGCTCCTCCCTCGACTTTTCATCAGCGCTGTTGGAAATATCTCAAGGACTTAAGCGTTTCTGAAGTGTAACACTGTACTCGAGGAAGATTACAGGGGAGCACGCGAGTCAACGGAGGTTACACGAGGGAGCGGACAAAGAATACGAAAGGACCCGAAAGGTCGCAACTGGAGGTTGCGACTGACCGTTACAACATCACGGATGGTAACCGAAGCGGCAATCGAGTCGCTGTGCGACTCGATAAACCGTTCCTGTAACTGCATTCTACAAACTGCTTTCTTATCTTCTATATATTGCTGTATGCTTGTTTCTTTAATCAATCACTTGTTCTCACATACTAGTACAAGGGTTCAACTGCCTCAACTTCCGCTGCACTACTCCAAGTCTCAATTCTCTACAGCTGGGACTTAGTCTCTGTAAAAGATCCTAAGGGCTTTTTCTCAGCCCAACATGGTATGAGAGCTGGTCAGAGACCAAACTCCCAGCAACTACGTTCTATCAACAACCTGCAACTCAACTCAATTCAACGACTTCATTGATTGCAAGACATGGACAACAAGGGCAAGAAAGTCTCTACGGGCTCACCCAGCGGCCAAGAAACTCAACACGGCAACTCTGGTCTGCACACCTCAGGACTGCAGACAGAGACCGGGACTGCTCAAGAAACAACAGGAAGAGTACCAGAGATGGTGACTCCGTCTCCCTCTTCAAGTGTGGACCCGAATCTCATGGAGAGATTCTTCAGCTTCATGTCACACTTCGACCAGCAACAGCAGACAAGGACACCTGCGCATTCAACGCAGAGCAATGGCGGAAACATGGGATTAGCACCGATGAGCCTCGACAATTCATCCTTCGGGCGACACAACCAAGCGCCTACCTTTGCGCCTTATCATTCTTCACCGGGGACGTTCGAGTTCATGCCGCCCCGCGCCCAACCAACAGCAGCTGCATCACAACAAACACCAAACGAGATTCTCAGTCTTCAGGCTCAATTCTCACACGTCATCAAGTTACAAACATCCTCACCGTTCAACGGACACGACTTCTTTACCTGGAGCTTCGAGTTCGAGCTGCTGATGGAGGCCGCGCATCTTCTGGGATACTTCAACGGGTCCCTGCCATTCCCAAGCAACGGCACTGGAAAGGAGCAAGAGATCTTCACGTATCAGTCGCTGCTGGCGTATACAGTCCTTCTGCGGAACCTGTCACCACAAGAGCAGCAGAGCATCAGAACATATCGGAGTTATGGGAACTCCGCGGAACTCGCATGGCACCACCTCAAGTGCCTTTACCAAGCAAACGACAGCGTGACACAAAGCAGACTCATGCAACAGCTGACAACAATACAGATGAAGACCGGGGAAAAGGCGATGCAGTATATGAGTCGCTGCCAGACCCTCCGCGACCGCCTGCTTCGGTGCGGAGGAACAATCACTGAAGAAAGCTTCGTGACACTTGTCCTCGCTGGGCTCGGGCCAGAATGGAGAACCACACGATCACTCCTTCGCGCCCACGGAAGAATTTTGGAGATGCACCTCTGCGCCGAGCTTCACGCTGAACAACAGGAGATGGATCTGTTCGAGGAAAGACAACCAAGGAAGCAACAGCAATTAGTCTTCTACACTCAAAGAAGAAATGACAACAACTACAACCGACGCAGCAAGCAAGATCAACGCGACAACCGAGGACTCACCATCGTACCGCCGTTCTGCCACAACTGCCAGACTTCCGGGCACTCCAAAGTCAACTGCAACCGCCCTCGCGTTTACCGTGCAGCAGACCCACAAGTCGCTTCCACTCAAGCAAGTCCTCCAAGACGCTCTTCAACATCTGCACAACAAACACCCAACATCATCAACTGCATGGTACACATCGACAACTGCGCACCCGGTTCACCACCCACTTACGCACCAGACGAAGAGGAATTCCCGCCGCCGCGCTCGCAAGGACTTCAGGTCAACCCGACATACGCTGCAGTCGCCAACGCCGAACCCACCGGGCGAAACACCTGGTTCTTGGACAGCTGCTGCGGTCAACACATGTGCTCCTCGGGACGCTTCGTGCAACAGGAGAAACGGCTCAACCGCGACGTCGTCATCACCGTCGCCAACAACGAAAACCTGAAGACAAACAGACAAGGCGTGGTTCAGTTACAATCCATGGAGACAAACGTAATACTTCAGCTCAACAAAGTACTCATCGTCGACAACTTGGGATACAACCTACTAAGCGTAAGCCAACTAATGGCCAAGGGGATTCACCTGGAGTGCGACTCCTTTTCCAACGAGTTCCGGCTTTACCACGGGAAGGGCGGCCTCTTCATAGGTCGTGCCCTCCTGAAGTCCGGCGTCTTTGTGTTGGACTTCGTCCCCGACCGCGGTACTGCCGATAGCGACGGTATCGTATCCTTCGCCGCCTGGACACACCCGCCGGATCTTGATCCAGACTTCGACAGTGACGGCTTCTGGCACTCCAACACCATACCTGCAGCAGAGAGAACACGAGCCTTAGCAGTTATCAGACAAGAAAGACAAGTACCAGCAAGTGTCCCAACAAAACCATCACCTGCAACATCGGCAGCAGGACCCAGCCGAGTACAACCACCGACGACACGAAGACCGCCAACCGAAGCAGACCAACTTATGCCCGCCACACGAGAAGCCTGTCGAAGTCCCGCCTCGGTCGTCGCGTTCTTCTCCAACGCCGACATCTACCACCGCTCGCCCGGTCACCGCGCTCCCGACGACATCTGGCACCAACGTCTCGGACATCCTGCAAACAGCACGATACTTCAAACAATCCAAGCAGAAGTGTTAGAACGCAACGCTCTTCTGACGACGAGCGGCCAGGAACTCCGACGACCACGCTCACGGTGTTTCACATGCCCCGAAGCAGATCTCCCTCATCAACCTTTCCCAGCCCATCACAATCCAAGCGCACCCACTTACGCTCCGATGGAAAAGGTCTACAGCGATATTCTAAACATGCCTCGAGACGACACCGAAGCCGACTTCAACTACGTCATCACGTTCATCGACGCCGCAACCAGATACGTCTGGCACTTCAATCTCAAAACGCGCGATCAAGCCTTCGAGGCCTTCACCGCATGGCTTCCAATCGCCGAACGAGAGTCAGGAACCAAACTCAAGAGTTTCCAGTCAGACGGTGCACTGGAATACCAGTCACAACGCTTCAGGACCTATCTCGCGGAAAGGGGAATCCGACGCCTGGTGTCTCTGCCCTATGCTCACCAGCAGCAGGGGGTAGCAGAACGCATGAACCGGACCTTGCAGACGACGATGCGAAAAGTGCTTCTGGGGATGAGGCTGCCCAACGCACTGTGGCCAGACGCGATGACACATGCAGTCCACCTGCACAACCTGTTGTCCTCGTCATCGCTCCCTAACAACGCATCACCACACCTGCTGTGGACGGGAAAAAGGGGCAGCACAAAATTACTTCGAGTTTTCGGCTGCATGGTACAATACAGACCCCACACAGCTCGAGCAGGACGCTTCACTCAACGAGCTCGGTGGGGACTACACCTCGGCATCGCCAAACATTTTCAAGCGTGGAAGATTCTCGACATACAAGACAAAAATACGGTGGCATCACGTGATGTTATCTTCTACGAGCGACTGACGCTGCAGCATTACCTGGACAACATTGACAACTCAGACGACCCCACCGACGGCTTCGCGGGCCTTCGCTCCTTCGCTGACCATGCTGCCGAGGCTGACGCAGCAGAAGAAGACGTACCTGGAGCCTCGGAAGCTGCCGGGCCACTCCCATTCTGTTCCGTACCTGTTCCACTCGATGAAGATAATCCCCTCGATAGCAACAACCTCGACACCTTTTACCACTTCGCCGACCAAGGATACGCTACACCTCACCCCGTCGACACGAATATTTCAGAACGCATCGGCCCCAATTTCTTACCTGACCCCGAAGACGGTGACGAAGCAGCTTATTCCGGGAATGACAATTCCCCTCGACACACACCCACGGGACTCCAGATTCTAGGCCTCTGGGTCTCCGTCCAGCATCCGCCGCCGCCTTCTACGCGTGAGCCTTCAACCTTGTCGCAGGCTCTGGGGGGGGAACATAAGGCAAAATGGAAAGAAGCGATGGAAAAGGAGTTAAAAGCTCTGCAAGACCGAGAAACATGGAAACTGGTACCTGCAACGAGCATCAACGGGAAGAACGTTCTCTCGGGGAAATGGGTGTACCGCATTAAGACCAATGCGGACGGCTCCATCGAACGTTTTAAAGCGCGATGGGTCGTACGAGGCTTCGACCAACGATACGGAACCGACTACACAGAAACCTTCGCCCCAGTCTCCCGTCACACCTCCCTGCGCATCCTACTCGCCGTCGCGGCCACGAAGAAATTACCACTACGGCAAATCGACGTCGCAAACGCCTTCTTGTACGCACCTGTGGACGCCGAAATCTTCGTCGAACAACCCCACGGATTCATCGACGACCCTTCAAAAGTATGCCAGCTGGAAAAATCCCTTTACGGGATCAAGCAAGCCCCACGGCTCTGGCAGCAGCACCTTCACGGCCGGCTCGTAAAAATCGGATTCCTACAGTTACCACATGACCAAGGCATGTACCGACTGCAGAAGGGAAGAGATTACATTCTGCTAATCGTCTACGTCGACGACCTGCTCTACATCGGTTCTACCACCGACATCGTCACCTGGTTCGAAGGGGAGCTGAAAGGGGACCTGACGCTCACGGTGTCCGACTCAGTGACCCAGTACTTGGGACTAAATATCGTCGAAAACAACTCGGCGTTCTACCTACACGCTGGAAAGTACGCAGGCACTGTCGCGAAGAAATTCGGACTAACACCGGCTACCGCCTCAACTCCCTACCACTACGGAAACAACAACAGCGCCTCCGCAAAACTCCCCGCGAAGCAAATTCAGGAGTATCAACAGAAGCTCGGCTGCCTACTATTTGCAGCAGTAACCTGCCGACCCGACCTGTCCTATAGTGCAAGTCAACTGGCGACGCATCTGAAGCAACCGGAACAGGAGGATCTCGAGGAGCTCAACCGGGCACTACTCTACTTCATCTCCACGCCGACGATCGGACTTACCTACAGCAAAGCGACAACATCGTCCGTACAACTACTCGGATACGTCGACGCCGACCACGCAGGAGATAGGGAAAATCGACGATCTAGGACGGGCTACATCTACCGACTAGAACCCATCGGAACTATCTCCTGGCAGTCGAGCAAGCAGGAGTTAATCGCACTATCCTCGGCTGAAGCAGAGTATATCGCCCTTTGTACTGCGACCAAGGAAGGACTCTACCTACGGGAGTTACTCGAAGAAGCGAAGATCGCGACCCTGCCCGCCTTCTCACTCCTCTGCGACAATCAATCTGCGATCAAAATCGCGAACAAGGACGGCTTCGCCAACCGAACCAAGCACATCGCCCTGCGGTACTTCTTCGTCAAGGATGAAATCGCGAAGGGGAGACTTCAACTCAGTTACTGCCCGACGACAGAAATGGCCGCAGATTATCTGACGAAGAAATTGGCGAAAGCAAAATTCGACTACTGCATGCTCCTAACCGGACAAACAAACGTCACCGGATCTGAACACTCCAGCACTCCAGAAACGAAGGGGAGTGTTGGAAATATCTCAAGGACTTAAGCGTTTCTGAAGTGTAACACTGTACTCGAGGAAGATTACAGGGGAGCACGCGAGTCAACGGAGGTTACACGAGGGAGCGGACAAAGAATACGAAAGGACCCGAAAGGTCGCAACTGGAGGTTGCGACTGACCGTTACAACATCACGGATGGTAACCGAAGCGGCAATCGAGTCGCTGTGCGACTCGATAAACCGTTCCTGTAACTGCATTCTACAAACTGCTTTCTTATCTTCTATATATTGCTGTATGCTTGTTTCTTTAATCAATCACTTGTTCTCACATACTAGTACAAGGGTTCAACTGCCTCAACTTCCGCTGCACTACTCCAAGTCTCAATTCTCTACAGCTGGGACTTAGTCTCTGTAAAAGATCCTAAGGGCCTTTTCTCAGCCCAACAAGCGCATCCTCCTTTGTGAGCAAAACCATTCGACCGAAAAATAGCAGCGCTACAATTTGATGACCTCAACTAGTTTTCCGTAAAATCCTTATTATAAGCGCTCCTCTTATATTATTTTATCTGATTACAAGCCCCCCCCCCCCCCCCAATAGTTTTTGAATGTTTTTCCTATAAGCGCCCCAGGTCTTATATCCGGAGGATTACGGTAATGGTTTATTGGGAGGGGCTCTATCTATACAATGATTTGTATATAAGGCTACGGTTTCAGCTACGCGTTACATCGAGGTCGAAGAAAGAGGGGTTCTTGCAGCAAGGGTCATGCCACTCGAACCTCCTCCAACTAGGCACCAAGCTGGTTGACTACCAATCACGATGCAGGAAAATATTTCATCTTGCCAACGCACCTCCACGAACGGCTCTGCTTGTGGTTGGGTTAAGTTTTGTCCAATCGGAGATCGAGATTCTACTCGCAATCGGAGGTCCTCGCCCAATAAAACACGTGCCACGGCCTTCATCCGCGATTCCACTTCTCCGCGGCTTCCTAAATCCTTGGATTTGTGGGTGACTGGAAGGGAACGCGTATCCACCGTCGTTCACATGATACTACAGAACTCCTCGGTCAGCCTTGCGTTCAATGTTACACCAACACCAGATTACCAGTCAACTCTATTCCAAATTAATGTGCCGAATTTTCCAGAAGCCTCTGTGGAGCTTCTTCGGTACATGTCCGTTAAGTACTATCTGATGTCAGTAGGAATATGTTTTTTCTGGCAGTGGGGGCCTCCATTTTCCAGGGATTCCAACGCTTAGCGGAAGTTGCAAGTAGAGCTGCCCTTTTTAATATAGTTCCAAGCTCATAAAAACCAGGTTTCTTTATAGTCTGCTAAATAGTAAGACGTCCGCAGATTCACCAACCTCTCCAATCGGTCGAAGAAATCATTTGGTGCGCAGTGCGAAACCTTTCCCCGTCAAAATTGCGCTCCTTCCTCCTCTCCTACCTCCTTCCCATTCCCTACCCCGTTTTGCTGCGTTGGAACCCGTAACATATTTGGTGCGCGTTAGTTGGCCGCGAACAATCCAGCGCAGCATTTCTCTTCCCCCCGCTTCTCCGACACAGGCACATGGTCCAACTCAGACTGTTTTCTAGCATCTAAGTGGATCAGCTGCCTCCGACACCACCCTCCTGCTCATCAGCACTCCGTGATTTACCAACCACGTTCACCGACCTTCGACGCATACCAGGCTGCTGACTCAGTGCAACTGGCACGCGAACCTTCTTTGGACCGACAGCAGTGCGCCGCACGACGCGAACACACCAGCACCAGGTCAACACTCAGACGGGAGACGCGGACCAGCGACGATTAGCCCGCTCTGTTGAAGCATAAACCGGCACCCAGAGTTATTCCACGCCATTATCGTTCATACCTAGTGCCCTCGCAACCGTGACGTTTCCGTCAGTCGGCTCCAAGCAATCTCCCTCCATCAGGTTCCATCAATCTCACAACCTCGCTGCAATTCCATCCGCGGCTCAAATATAACTCATCTGCAATCTACACATTACTGACAGAAAGATCATCTGCGCTTCGATCCAGACTCCAACGCGTTGCAGACAAGCAACCATGGCGGCCACAGCAGCAGCAGGCTGCAACCTTCGCCTCCATCACCCGCTACCGGCGCCGTCAGCATCCCGGCCAGCCGTCCCGCGACCAGCAGCGCTGGTAAACGCTACCGCGCGCGGTGCGTCGAAGCTCTCCGTCCGTGCAACCGCTGCGCCATCCGCGGGGAAACAGCAGCCGGCGGCATCGGCGGGGCCGGCGCAGTCGCAGTTCAGTTACGAGCCCGCGCAGCACGCATCGCTGTCGCACGGCGCGCGCGGAAGCAAGGACTCCGCAGTCCGCGCGATGCAGTCGACTTCCGTCATCGAGCCACCGACTGACGTCACATCCCCGAACGTAGACGGAAACGGAGCTGCTAACGGGGGCTCCGTCAATTCATCGAAGCAACAGTTAACTGAGCTGGAGATTTTGCCATCATTCGTGCCGCACGAGTTAACCGCCGCGGCAGACATTTCAGGCGCTCTCCTGGACCTCGAGTTCTCCTTCCTTCTGTCGCTGCCAGCGCTCGAACCCACGACCTCTCCGCGACGACAGGAGCCCGACGCGGAGGAGGCGGAGGAACGCGAAAACGGCAGCAGCGACGCAGCAGCGGAGGTCGCCGATCTGGAGAAAGTTGAAGAGGAAAAGGAGAAGGAAGAGACGGAATCGTCCATGGCGCGGCCTGGATACTCGAAGCGCCTGGAGTCTTGCGGAGACCAGTTTTTCGAGTCGGACTTGCGGCCTGTCGTCCTCTTCGACGGTAAGCGCGATAAGCAGGTGACTTTAGAGTCGACTCAAAAGTCACTTCGTTACAGTGTCACACGCCTGGAGTCTTGTGGAGACCAGTTCTTTGAGTCGGACTTGCACCCTGTCGTCCTCTTCGACGGTAATCTCGCGCAGATTAATCATCTGGACAGATTAAGGCGCTAAACCTCACGAATCTATGTCCCCTCTTCGTTTGCGCGCCTCTCTCTTCTCCCTCTTCTCCCTCGGCATACCGTCCCTTGGGGGCTCCTCCGCAAGTCCCCCATGTCCATTCATCTCCGCCTCTGTGTGTCTCGTGTTGTTTCTCATGCATGTCGTCTGGTTACCAGGTGTGTGCAATCTGTGTAACAAGTGGGTCAACTTTCTGCTCGACTACGACCCTCTCGGGTAAGCCACCCTTCCGTCCCCCAATCCATCGCCTTCCCCCAATCCATCTTGCCCTCTTCCCCAAAACCATCGCCTCTTCCCCCATTCGTCCCATTCGTCCCATTCGTCCCCTTCGTCCCAATGTATCCCGTCCGCCCTTTTTGTTACCACCCCCGTTTCCGGCTCCTTCTTCCCATCCCGCTTTGGGTGCCACGTGGCCTTAGCTTGATCACTGAGGTTGCTTATTTCTCCGCGTCGTTTCCTTGCTGGTTCTGCAGGAACCTGCGATTCGCCTCGCTCCAGGGTGACTCGGGGAAGGCTCTTCTGCGGCGAGCAGGCCGCGACGAAAACGACCACGCGGACATCGTCCTTGTCGCACACAACAAGTGAGTCATTCACGCGCGCCTTTTACCGCGTACGTACGCGTTTTAGGCGCCTCAAAATGGGCAGAATGGGCCGCCAAGAGGGCGACTACTCAGATATCGTCCTCGCACACACACAACAAGCATGCCCTCTTCTGCGGATGGCTAATCTTATTAAACCAATCGAGAAACTTACTCCTGTGCATTCTTCTTGCTCAATTCTATCCTCATTCCTGAAACTTTCTTTCCCCAAACCTCCGTTCTGCTCTACTCAGGGCGTATTTCGGCTCGGACGCCATCCTGGAGATCTTCTCCCGGCTGAAGCCGCCCTTCCCTCTGCTAGCCGCGGCCGGCCACATCACCCCCCACGCGCTGCACGATTTTATCTACAAGACCGTGTCTGAGAGCCGGTACACGCTCTTTGGCAAGGCCGACGCATGCAGACTGTTTGACCCCCGGTTTGGGCAACGGTTCCTGCCTAGCGAGTTGAGCAATGAGTAGATTAGGAGCCAGAATTGGCACCGGATCAAGCGTAGCGGGATCGGAGCTCTCGTTTGACCTGCTGTCTCTTCCTCATGAGAATGGATTGTTCGGGAGAGGGGAGGGTGGGAATCACAGTTGAAGTCAAGCTGAGACTGGTTTGTGGGCGGGGATGTACATACGCCGGCGCAGCGAGAACGAGGGGGGTTTCACCGCGAGAGGTCTTGTTAGAGAGCCACCCTAATGGTCTCATGCATGTACTGGTGCTAGTGCCGGTATTGCTACGTTATTGTTCTGCACATTTATGAAAGGGAGCATTTGCTCATCTCCATCACCACCCCTTCCACCTGTGGATATCACTTTGGGACAAAATCAGCATATAGGAATTTGCGCTTGTTGTAAGTGCACTTTGTCTAGACAGATAATGTGGAGTATACGGTAAGACGGAATGCATTGTGGTGTATTGAGATTTCTGCCTCTGTCCCTGTTGAAGGCAGCTGTTAATGAATGGAACTGCCGAGTAGCGCCGAGGGCAATGGCGAAACTGTGAACGAGTGAATGACAATAAAATGAAAGACAACACAATATATAGAAAACCTAGGGTGATCCTGGACGCAGGATCGGAAGGTTCGGGAAGAGTGTCGAAGGGCCTCGATGTGTCGAAGCGAGGTCCAGAAAGGCCCAGGAGGCTCGAACTGAAAGGTCTGGAACCCTATCGCTGGTTCGGGACTTTTCGAGTCGTACGCCGTGTAGCAAGCCTCAGTAAGGAATTACTAATTCCTTACAGCAGCTGCCCCATAGGGCTCCATACTTGGCGACTGGTGGTTGTGGGAAGAGGTCGGGACTCGTAAGCCAATCAGGAATGGCGGACACAGTCCGCGAAAGCTGTTTGCTCAATGCCCAGCTTGCACAATACGCGGGCACATTGCACAGGTGCTAGCCTGTGGTGGTTTGGCTTGAAGCGGCTCGGGAATCGAGTCGCGAATGTCGGTCCTATGGCCACGATCTGATGGCAACAATCTGTGAATTGGTGGGGTTCGGCAATGCGCGATGTGCATGTGGTTCTTTGGGTTGTCAGCTCCCGAATTTCTTCGCTTTGGCATGCTGCTGACTGGCGCCACATGCACTCAATTCCCTCCCATCCCATCCCGTCCCATTTCACTCAAGCCCTGTGGGGCACCTCTGTGATTATTTTCGGTATTAGTCACCTGTTTCGCTGAGGCTCTTTTCCAATGCCTTGCTTGATACCAGGCATTACCCCGCAACACAACACATCTCTACCGTAAGAGTCACCCGTGAGAACAACAGAGATATATGCACATCGTTCGTGAACAAGACACGTTACTATTCGAGAGCATCAATCAAGATTAGGCTAGGCTGAGACTGACACAGCGTAGACAGTCGTAAGTTTTTTCGCGTTTACACCATGGAGAGAGGACGCGGAACAAGCCTGGTCCTCGCACTTGTCCTCCTCCTCTCCACGATCGCCCACGCCTCGGCCCAAACCTTCCCGAGCCGCAGCCTCGGCCCCGACCGCAACCGCAGGCTCGGTGGAACGAAGATATCGCACGCTAGAAGACTGCTCGCTGAGCAAGTCAGCGCTGACGCGAGCCAGACTGCTGCTGACATGGACGATATTGGCGCTGCTGACGTGTCGAGCGCCGAAAACGCGAGTAAGGATGGAGCCGAAACGAAGCAGCCTGAGCCCTCCGAAAACGGAGTGACGTGGACCTTGGAGGATTTTCTTATATCGGATGACTCATCCGACGGCGACGAGTCATCGTCGAAAGATGATGAGATCTTCTACGAAGACTCCTCATCGTCGGATCTCTCTACTACCGCCGAATCAGAAGCGACTTTGGCCCCTGAAATCTCTGTCGACTCCTCCGAGGAGTCGTCGTCCGTTATTTCTACACCCGCCGAATCAGAGGAGACTACAGCCACTGACGAGTCTGTCGACTCCTCGTCGTCCGAGTCGGATACCGCGCAATCGTCCTCCTCCTCCTCGGAGGCTTCACCCGCTGCCGGAAATTCCGTCGACGACGACGGAGCTTCCACGAAGGAGGCGGACGGAGAGCCAGCTCGGGAGGAGGAGGAGCAGCCGCTGGCCGGAAAAGGACTAATTAAAGATGACCTGGCGTATGGCCCGGAAATCCAGGCGTTTGATGACGTCACTACTGACGACGGGGTTGAGGAAGCGGAGGAGGCGGAGGCGGAAGCGGAGGCGGAATCGGAGGAGGAAGCGGAGGGGGAAGAGGAGGAGGTAGAACTCGACGAGGATGTTGGGGAGATGTACCAGGTCGCTGGGGGAGGGGAGGGAGGATCAACGGCGTCAGTAGCGGGGCAGGTGGGTGCGGAGGTCACCTCTACTGACGGCGGACATGAGGCGGAAAGCGGAGCGGAGGGCGCAGCGCGGGCGGAAGTAGCGGGGGAGACAGGTGCGGAATGGACTAGTCTGGACGTGGGGGCGAGTGCGGAGCAGGCGGAAGGGGGAGAGTCGGAAAAGCCTGCTGCGGACGGGCGGGTTGCGGCTGAAACTGCTAAGAACGACCTGAATAAGGGGCCTGAGCTGCAGGTGTTTGATGATGTTAACGAGGCAGCGGCTACTAACGCGGATGGGGCTGAAAAGGCTACAGTAGCGGAAGGGAACAATGATGGATCTAGTGGCAAAGAGGAAGGCGGTTCAGAAGAAGGCAAGGCGGCGAGCAGTGAGATTGACAACAAAGATGGGGGCATTGACGAAGGGTTGAAGGAGCTTATTGCCCTTGATGCAGGGCTTACAGGAAATCCCATCAGCATGGTCCTGGATGGGGATATCGAGCCTGCTAATAAAGGTGTAGAGGAGGCGTTGGAGGTTGAGGGAGAGGGGAAAGAGGAGGGGGATGAGAAGGAGGGACACAGGAGAGTGCTGTGGATGCTAGATAACAGCATGGAGTTAATAGATGCTTAATCATTGTGTAATCATTGTGTAATCATTAATTGTGCTTGGCATCGTCAATGAAGGGGCTACGAGTGTCATGATGAGAAAGAGGGGCACAGGGGAGTGCTGTCCTGTGGATGCCATATAGTGGTCTGGAGTTAGCAGATGCTTGGAGATCGTCCAATTAGATGTCAGAACATGAATAAAGCAGCCTGCAGCATCTTTCTAGTAGGAGCTAGAAACGTCAGGCATGACTTATACCGTAAAATTTAAAGTGATAAGGACTTACTTATGCCGTCATATTATCAAAAGAAAAACTGAATGGTTGAATAGAGGGAGAGAACAAGGGTATATACCTAAGAGTGTTGTACCCTCTAAGAGGTGACCCTATACAGTCTATACAAATATGAGTTATACATATATTTGACACACCCCCTAGATTGCATAGGGGCAAATCCTGAACAAGCAGCTCAGGGCGGCACTACTACTAGTCCAGCCACTGAGACAAGGGTCTAAAGACCAGTCAAAAGGAGTACAGGCAAGACAAGAACAAGACCAGGGCGGCACTACTAGTCCGGCCACTGGGAAAGGACATAAGTCCAGTCTGAGTACATAAATATAGATATATATAGGACAGTACAAAGTCAAGGTCCTAGCAAGTGAGAGCCTACAGGAACTAGACCGAGCTGTACACAGTGCCGCTGATGATCTTTAGGCGCAAGCGCCTTCGTAAATATATCAGCTGTGTTGGCACCAGAGGCCAAGTGAACTACGCGGGCCTGGCGACGCTGCTGTAGCTCGCGCAGGAGGAAGTACCGCAGCTGAATGTGCTTCGCTCTGCCCTCAAGTCGAGGCTCCTGACACAGGAGTATCATGGCCCTGTTGTCAGCATACAGGACCGGGGCAGAGCTAGGCCGCTCACCTAAGTCTGTGAGCAAGAAAGTCAGCCAGCGGAGCTCCTGTGCCGCCATGGCACCAGCGTAGATCTCAGCCTCACAGCTCGACTGAGCAACAGACGACGAGCGAGTGGATCTCCAAGAGATAGCACCCGAACCAAGGCTAAAACAGTAGCCCTGTGACGACCTGAGCGTCTCAGAGTCGTCTGCCCAAGAAGCGTCTGTGTGCCCAGTGAGGACCACTGGCCTGCGTCCTCCCAAAACTAACCCCATGCCTGATGTACTTGCTAGATATCGCAAAACCCTCTTGGCTGCCGACCAGTGCTGTGGTCGGTGTCTGCCAGTGGCCACAAAGCGAGCCAGGATGCTGAGAGGGTATGCGAGATCTGGGCGAGTGCAGGTCATCAGGTACATGAGGGAACCCACCAGCTCTGCGTAGGGGCCGCTGGGCTCTACTGACTCCTCAGGAACAGGAGCGGAAAGCCCGTGGTCTACGGGTAGAGGTGTGGGCTGTGCAGAGGAGAACTGAAGACCGAACCTCTGAAGGACCTGACGCACCAAGTGTGACTGCGTGCTGCTCTGTCCCTGGAGATCTGCAGGCCAAGATAGCGACGCAACTCTCCAAGATCAGTGCAGGTGTGTCTCTTCAGCAGCTCAGTCTTCACAGAGGCCAGTGCGTCCCTGTCAGGAGTAGCGAAGACCAGGTCGTCTACGTAGACAAGGATGTAGAACGGAGTCTGGCCAGAACGCACAAACAGTGAAGGGTCAGCAGAGGACGGAAAGAACTGCAGGTCTGCTAACGTGGCACGTAGCGTGTCGTGCCACTCGCGGGGAGCCTGACGCAGACCGTAGACCGGGCGTCTGAGAAGCCACTGGGTCCCAGGAGGGAAGGTACCAGTGAAGCCCTGTGGTCGGCGCAGGTAGACCTGCTCGTGTAGGCTGCCCCGAAGAAAGGCAGTAGAGAAGTCGAGGGAGTGAAGCTCGTAGTCACGCTGTGCTGCTACGTGTAGCAGCGCCCGAAGAGTGGTCATCTTCGGGGTCGGGGCGAAGGTCTGGAAGAAGTCAACCCCCTCGCGCTGACTGAAACCTCTGGCCACGTAGCGCGCCTTGAAGACAGGCGGCTCTCTAGGGGGGCGCTTCACCTTGAAGAGCCACCGACCATCGACTACGCTCACCCCAGGCGGGGGAACTGCGTCGACGTAAGTGCCGGTGGACCTCCAAGAGGCCATCTCCTGCTCCATGGCAGCTATCCACTGAGAGGCCCAAGGTCCCGAGGTGGCCTCAGCGTAGGTGCGAGGGGTCGGAATGTCGAAGGCGTCTGGGTCACCCTCAGGGACTAAAAGCATGGAGCAGAGATGGGGAGCAGCCTCGGACAGGAAAGCCAGCTCGTACTGCCTGTCCTCTAGGACGTCACTTCCAAGGGCAGGAGCACCCCCGACGGACGGAGGACGGGTAGGGTCAGAGACCAGAGCGGTAGCGTAGTCAAGGCGGCGGGTAGAGGCGAAGTCAGCGACAGCAGCGACAAGCGCGTCAAGGCGCGAGACAGGAACAGCAGGGTCGGTAACAAGAGAGGCAAGGACCCGAGGGACAAGGGGACGAGCAGCGGGGAGGTAGTCAGAGAACGGAGGAGGTGCAACAGCAAGGGACGAGGGAGGAGGGGACGGGAGGAGAGGAGGACGAGACGAGCGGGAACGGAGCAACATAGGGTGGGTGGGCAGGACAGGAGAGACGGGACGAGCACGGGAGGGACGACGAGCCCAAACGTGAGATGGAGGGGTGGGGTCAGGGGACAGCAGAGGAGACACAGGAGGGGAACGAGGAGGAAGACGGGCCGGAGACGAGTCCGGCGGCGGGAACACAGGACCGTAGACAGGAAGGTCAGCGGGCGGTGGGGGAGACACCGGCACGCGGTCCGGGGAGGGAAGGCCAAGTAGACGGAGAGCGGAGACCGGCGGCGACGGCTGCTGCGGCGGCGACGACGGCTAGGCCGGAACTCTCGGACCAGCAGAGGCAAAACGACCGTCGGCAGAACACTCAACAGCAGCACCCCCAGAACCAACACCCCCAGAGCGAGAACCCCCTCCAACAGCAGCGGCACCCCCAGAAGCCAAGAGCGGCGGCGGCAGTGGCGGCGACGACTGCGGCGGCAACGGCTGCGGCGGCGGCGACAGCGGCGACGGCTGCGGCGGCGACGGCGACGGCGGCTGCGACAGTGGGGGCGGAGGCACCGGGGAAGGGGGACGCGGCAAGGACCGACCGGGGGTACCACCAGAGTCAGCAGACTCCTCAACTGGGACAACCGACGGAAGGGGAGTGACGTGAGAGACACCAGACGGGGCAGAACAAGGCGGGAGAGGGGCAAGGGCTACCGGGGGAGAGGGAGCAAGGAACAGGGGGGGGGCAACTGGGAGACCTCGGTGAGGGAAGCGGCGGTAAAAGGAGACGGACTCGTCAAAGGTAACGTCACGAGAGTGGAGGAAGCGGTGAGACGGCGGGTGATAGAAAAGCCAGTCAGACGAGTCCAGGGGGAAACCGAGGAAGACACAGGGGACGGTGCGGGCAGTGAGCTTGTCCGTGCCAGAGGCACGAACGTGAGCAAGGCAGCCCCAGACGTGGAACGCAGACGCGTCACCCAAGGACCCGGTCCAAAGAAGGGTCGGCGAAACCTGCGGCCGCTGGGAGCGTGGCCACAGGTTAAGCTGGTGAGCAGCGTAGAGAACAGCGAACGGCCACAGAAAATGGGGGGCATCGGCATGGATCATGGAGGTGCGGGCGACCTCCATGACCAAGCCGTTGCGGCACTCAGCAACCCCATTCTGGTGTGGCGAGTCTGGCAAGGTGTACGACTGGGTGATGCCCTCCGCAGGACAGAACTGGCCAAGCCGACCAGAGGCGAACTCGCCGCCACGGTCGGAGTGGAGACACAACACGGGGAAACCGCGGTGGAGACGCGCAGCCACAACCCACGGGAGAAGAACGTCGGGCACGTCGGCCTTCCGCTCCAGGGGAAACACCGTGGTGTAGCGCGTGTAGTCGTCGACGAGCACAAGGAAGTAGCGCTCACCGCGCGGTCCGGGGACGGGGGCAGGGCCCCAAACGTCCAGGTGTAGGGTCTGAAGGGGGGCAGTAGCCGGGCGCAGCGAGGAGGAGTGAGGGGCACGGCGGAGCCGGCCCTCGGCGCAAGGCGTGCACGGTGGCGCAGTCGAGGGAGGAAGGGCGGGGAGCGACACAGGGAGACCTAAGACAAGGCCGTGCTGGGACATGTGACGCAGACGAGGGAGAGCAGGGTGACCTAAGCGGTGGTGCCAGAGAAGGGACGGGTGAGTGAGGGAACGACACGAGCAAGCTGCAGCAACCTGGGAGGACGCACCAACCGGAGGGGAGGCGGTGTCTAGGGTAAACAGACCGGACACCGGGTCCCTGGGGAACGTCGCAAGGGGGGAACCTGAGACAGCCTCAGAACAGACAGCGAACCGCTCGTGCCCGGGGAACGTGGTGGTGACGCCGAGGTCCTGGAGACAGCCGACACCAACCAGGTTCCTCGAGAATGAGGGAACGTGGAGGCCTGTAAGGGAGCCCGAGGGAACGGCTGGACAGGGAAGGGACGTAGAACTGCGAGCGATGACAGGACCCGCAGAGGGGTCGGCGAGAGAGACGACAGTTGGCGTAGCAAGCGGCGTAAGTGCGGAACGGTCGCGGAAGAAGCAGGCAGAAGCACCGGAGTCGAGAGTGAAGAACAGCGCAACAGTGGCAGGGGCGGGGAACGGAGCCGGTGCAGAGACGAGGCTAGACAAACGAGGCAGTCCTACGCCTGACGCAACATGGGAGGCTAGGCTACACAACGGTGCAACACCTAAACTAGAGAACACAGGATAATAAGGTCCAGCAACACTAGCAGCGTCAGAATACATGGCATGCAAAGCAGAACCTATCTGATCCATGTCTAACTCAAAGATCGGCACGCCCTGGCGGAGCAGGCTATGCCAGTCGGGGAGGTCCTGGGCCAGGCCAAAGCGACGACGAAACAGATCGTCGAGGCGGTGGAAACAGCGAGCACTCGGGTGCGGGCGGCGGCACAGAGTGCCGCGAAGGGGCCCGGTCTGAAGCTGGTACTGACAGGTGACAGCACCGGAGCCGCTGGTGGACGCCAAACTGCGCGGGCCGCCACCACTGCCACCACCCCCTGAGGAGCCTGGCCAAACAGGCGGGAGGCGAGCCCACTGCTGCGGGGGCTGCGGCTGGGACGGCGGCTGCTGCTGGGACGGCGGCTGCGGCGCGGGCTGCTTCTGCTGCGGCTGGGGCTGCTGCTCCTAACCACCAATGCTAGTTCCCCCAGACGGACTACTCTCACGACCACCAGCACCACTACCTGCACCACCATCCCTACCACCCTGGCGACCACGGCCACCGCGGCGCAAGCGCTGCTGCGGGTGGACCGCATCAGCCGTCTCGGTGAGAGGGGTCGCCGTGGCGACCGCAGCCGAAACGTCAGTGAACGTGCACTGGGAGGGGGCACAGCCGTGAAAGATAGAGACTGCCGGCGCACCGCTCGATTGAGCGATAGTGCGTTGGCGAGTCTCGATCTCGGTGAGGGTGTCGACAAAGGCAGTGAGAGTGAGGTCAGCCGGGTGCAGGCTAAGGAAGTGATCGCGAGCACTAGCGAGGCGGCCTGGCAGGCGCATGGCAATAAAATAGAGCGTCATGCAGAAAGGGGGGGGGAGCGCAGTGAGCTGGGCAGCAGTGCTGGCAGTGCGATAGCGGGTCTCCAGAGCACGCAGGTGAGTGGCAAAGTCTGCGACGGTAGGGAAAGCTGCAAGGTCTGGGAAAAGCATAGGGAAGAGCAGGCGACCAGCAGAAGCAGACGCGGGTGTGGAATAGCGGGCAATAACAGCGTCTAAGTAAGCTTTGGCCGTCTCAATAGTAGCAAAACGCGAGCGCTCAGAGACAGGAAGGGCATGGCTAATGGCTACCTGAGCGACTGCATCGCGGGAGTCCCAGACCGCACGGGCAAGCGCAGCAGTAGAGAAGGTCTCACGGTCATCAGAGGAGGGATCAGCAGGGAGGGGGGCAGGTACAGAGGGGCGGGGGAGCAAGCCGTCAACATGGACAACCAAAGAGTGGCCATCCTGACGCTGACCTGTAAGGTGGCGGCGGAGATCCGAGAGCCAGGCGGCGAAGTCAACCGCATGGCCCTCGGCGTCCAGTCGGAGCACGAAGTCCGCCATCGTGCAGAGTCAGCGGCACAGCTCCACAGGAACTCAGCTACAGCCCCCTCCATCACAGTGGCCACGATGCCCCTCAGCACGGGCGAGCGGAGGAGACGGAGCCCGAGGCGGCACAGCAGGACGAGCCGGGGCGAAAGGGCCAGGCAGGGACGGTGGGGCCAGGCAGGCACGGCAGGGCCAGGCAGGCGCGGCGGGCCAGTCAGGGGCGGCGGGGCCAGGAGGCACGGCGGGGCCAGAAGGCGTGGCGGGGCCAGGTAGGTGCGGTGGGGCCAGGTAGGCGCGGCAGGGCTAGGAGGCGCGAGTGGGGCCCAGGTGGGGCGCGACGGGCTAGGAGGCGCAATAGGGGCCCAGGAGGGGCGCGACGGGCTAGGAGGCGCGACAGGGGCCCAGGAGGGGCGCGACGGGCTAGGAGGCGCGAGTGGGGCCCAGGAGGGGCGCGACGGGCTAGGAGGTGCAATAGGGGCCCAGGAGGGGCGCGACGGGTTAGGAGGCGCGGCAGGGGCCCAGGAGGGGCGCGACGGGCTAGGAGGCGCGATAGGGGCCCAGGAGGGGCACTACGGGGCCTAGGTGGGGGCGGCGCGACGGGGCCTAGGAGGAACGGGCGGAAGCGGTAGGTGGGGGGGGGGGGGGGGGGTCGAACCTACGGGTGATACCATATCAAAAGAAAAACTGAATGGTTGAATAGAGGGAGAGAACAAGGGTATATACCTAAGAGTGTTGTACCCTCTAAGAGGTGACCCTATACAGTCTATACAAATATGAGTTATACATATATTTGACACATATTACCCACTTCAATGTGAGATGCTCTATGCCTGTTTGTATTACCGTATATACATCATCACAAGAGGTCCTGGTTTGTGTTGCTACCGTACACCACCATAGAGCACCACCAACGCAGACATACCATTAAACCACAGCACCTTACATCATAAATACCACATGGCATTCTCCGCTATACTGCAGCGCCATACGCCATAAAAGGCACATGCCATTCTCCGCTACACTACAGCGCCATATACCATATAAGGCACATGCCATTCTATGCTACACTACAGTGCCATCCACCATAAAAGGCACATGCTACTCCCACGGCCATTGCCCCATACCCCAGCAATAATCATGCATTACTGCTATGGACAACACCAGCACCGCACTGCACCCCTCATCACCGCATCTGCTTGCTTCCCTCCACATATGCCAGGAGGTGCCTCATCGCTCGCCCACTATCCACCACCTCTCTCGCCCTCTCTACCACCGCTGCCAACCCAATAGCCCTCACCCCAAACCCCAGCAGGTGGTCCTGCACCGCTGCATTGAAGCACCGCACTGCACCCAGCATCACCGCATTTGCCTGCTTCGCTCCACATACCCCATGAGGTGCCTCATCGCTCGCCCACTATCCACCGCCTCTGTCGCCCTCTCCACCGCTGCTTCCAGATCAATAGCCCTCGCTCCATACCCCAGCAGGTGATCCTGCACTGCTGCATTGAACAGTTACCACCACTGCAGTGCACCCAGTATCACCGCACTGCAACCCTCATCACTGCATCTGCTTGCTTCGCTCCACATACCCCATGAGGTGCCTCATCGCTCGCCCACTATCCACCGCCTCTCTCGCCCTCTCTACTGCTGCTGCCAACCCAATAGCCCTCGCCCCATACCCCAGCAGGTGGTCCTGCACGGCTGCATTGAACACTACCCTATCGTACGCTGGCCCCTTTGTTCCTCGCAGTGCTTCCAGACCCAAATCCAGGTTCTTCTGGGGCTGTTGGCGTATGGAAAGGGGGGGGGGGGTGGGGGAGGGGGAGTGGGGGGAGCATGTGAGACCAGACTGATAGCCCTCGCCCCATGCCCCAGCAGGTTGTCCTGCACGGCTGCATTGAACACTATCCTATCGTACACTGGCTCCCGCACTCCTTCCAAAGCTTCCAGGCCCAAATCCAGGTTCGTGTGTAATGATTCGATTTTTGAGTCGACTAAACAATCGACTCATTACACACGAATCCAGGTTCTTCTGGGGCTGTTGGGGGGGGGAGGTAGGTTTAATGGGGGAGCAGGGGGGGGGGATGTGAGACCAAACAGATTCACGGACCACTTCAGAGAGAGAAATCTGCAAATGGCACCGACATTTGAGCCTTTGGCCGGCTACCACATCCACGGACGCGACTCTTGGAGCACTTCGGTTTGCAGGGTGTTTTTGAGAACTCTCCGAAGGGTGAGATAGCCGCATCAAGCGCTAAAACGAAGCGCATTCAGGAAGATTTTTGAGAACTCTCTGAAGCATTCTAAAAAACACTCCACGGCAGAGACTCTCGGAGCACTTCGGTTTGCCAAGAAATGGCAAACAGGTGTGATCTTGGAGTTGCAACCGGACAAATCGCATGGTGCGAAGCGAATCACCAGGTTAGGTAAGGCAAGCAAGTGATAGTGTGTTGGGGGTATTTTTGGTTTGCAGCACCAAGCTCACTCAAGCTTGCCAAATTAAGGAAACCGAAGCGATCCAATCATCCATCCAATAATCCATCCCCTGAAGGGAACTAAGGGAACAAAGTGTGTTATGAGTCGATTTTTGAGTCGACTAAAAAATTGACTCATTACACACGGATCCCCTGGAGGAAACTAAGGGAACAAAGTCTCACCGATCGGTCGATCCTCGGTGTGAGCGTCTCTTGAATTGCCACAGCCATGGCATCAGCTTCCATCGAAAACGTCTCTCGGTAGAACCCATCCTCCTCCCCTCCACTCTCACCCCCTTCCCCTCCTCCCCCTCCCCTCCCCCCTCCCCTCCCCTCCTCCCCACTCCCTCCGTTCCCCGGCCGGAAACCCGCGCAGTAGTTCACCGGGCGGCCTTTCTTGGGAGCATCTGGGGCGGGGCGGCGGGTCATGAGAGCAAGGGAGCCCTCCTCGCCCTTCACCACGAGCCCAGCCTCCACGGGCTGCCGGCGCATGAGCATCAGAAGAGGTTCCTCATAGCCCTCATGGTAGAAACCAGCCACCATCGCCTCCCGCCCTGATGCCTGGTGTTGGGAGGGAGAGTGGGATGGGAGGGACGGGGTGAGAAAGCCCTCTTCGCCCTTCACCACGAGCCCAGCCTCCACGGGCTGTCAGCACATGAGCATAATTAACCATGAGGGCTTCACCCCCAGCCTCCAAGCCTCCACGGGCTGCCGCTGCATGAGCATCAGAAGAGGTTCCTCGTACCCCTCATGGCAGAACCCAGCCACCATCGCCTCCCGCCCTGATGCCTGAGCAGCGGGAGGGGCGGGAGAGAGGGAGAGCGTTGGGGAAAAGCCCTTCACCACGACGTGATGTGGCCAATATCCACGGGCTGCCGGTGCTTGAGCACAGGAGGGGTTCCTCATAGCCTTCATTGTAGAGCCCAGCCACCATCGCCTCCCGCCCTGATGCCTGAGCAGCGGGAGGGGCGGGAGAGAGGGAGAGCGTTGGGGAAAAGCCCTTCACCACGACGTGATGTGGCCAATATCCACGGGCTGCCGGTGCTTGAGCACAGGAGGGGTTCCTCATAGCCTTCATTGTAGAGCCCAGCCACCATCGCCTCCCGCCCTGATGCCTGAGCAGCGGGAGGGGCGGGAGAGAGGGAGAGCGTTGGGGAAAAGCCCTTCACCACGACGTGATGTGGCCAATATCCACGGGCTGCCGGTGCTTGAGCACAGGAGGGGTTCCTCATAGCCTTCATTGTAGAGCCCAGCCACCATGGCCTCCCGCCCTGATGCCTGGTGTTGGGAGGGAGGAGTGCAGAGGGGCGGAGGGAGGGGAGGGGGGGTGCCGGTGCATGATCATAGGAGGGGTTCCTCATAGCCTTCATTGTAGAAGCGAGCCTCCATTACACCCACATAGACGATTTTTGAGGCGCCTCAAAAATCACCATTACACCCACATAGTTTGTAATGAGTCGATTTTTGAGTCGACTAAAAAATCGACTCATTACTCATTGTAGAAGCGAGCCACCATTACACTAACATAGTCGGTGCCTAAGAAGGCACTGCAGGACCTATTTTCTAGGCGTGTAAGTAATTAATCTTGCTTACATGTATGTAGCGTTGCACTTTCTCAGTGGTGGCAAACGTTGGGCACTTGAGTCGACTCGAGAGTCAGCTCGCTCTATGCACACGTAGTGTATACACAAGCACGCGCTTACATGAATGTAACGTTGCACTTTCTCAGTGGTGGCAAACGTTGGGCGCTTCTTGATGTGCCTCCGCATGTCAACCAATGAGTAGCTGCCACGCGGGCATAGGGAAAATCGATGGGGAAAGTGGGGAAGGGGGACGGTAGGACGCTATCTGATGTGCCTACGCATTTCGACCAATGAGAAGGTCAGGGAAGTGGAAGGAATGAGTGGCGGAACCATGGAGAAGAGTATCGGGGGGGGGGGAGGGGGGGAGGGAGGTATGGGGAAAAGTGTGAATGTGATAAAGTTGAATAAAGGGCGGCCAAAAGGAAAAGGAGTGCTGAGCGTTCCTGACACTCCTGAGGAAAAGACGAGGAGATGATGGGAAGAGCAGATGGGAAAAGAACCGTAGGAAAGGATGGTTGGGAAGGGAACCTAAAGAAAACAAGGAGGAGCTTTTTGAGAATTCTCAAAAATGTCTTTTGAGAATTCTAAAAGATCTCTCGCTAGGAAAGGGTGGTTGGGAAGGGAACCTAAAGAGAACAAGGAGGAGCGCGGAGGGAGGGAGGGGAAGGAGAGGTGGTTGGGGGGACGGAACCTACCAGGAGGGACCTTTGAGTCGACTCAAAAGTCAGACCCGGGACTTACCAGGATGGAGAGCAGTCCTTGAGGCTGAGATAGGCCATGCGCACTTGAGGGTCCTGCGAACACACTCATGGGGGGGCGGAGGGGAATGACGAGAGCTGAGAATGAAGAGAGCTGAGATGCGCACATGGCATGTGGCAGAGGAGTTTCAAGGCGCCTCAGAGGGGAGAGCACCCCTGAGGCTGAGATGTGAACTTGGGTGCCTGCCTGTGAGAACCTTCTCTAGGGCAGAGAAGGTTGCTCGACTCATTCATTCTTGTTTTTGAGGCGCCTCAAAAACAGAGAAGGTTGCTCGACTCATTCATTCTTGTTTTTGAGGCGCCTCAAAAGCAGAGAAGGTTGCTCGACTCATTCATTCTTGTTTTTGAGGCGCCTCAAAAGCAGAGAAGGTTGCTCGACTCATTCATTCTTGAGAATTCTAAAAAATCTCTCATAGTAACGAGACGAGTGGTGGTAAGTTGGTAACAGGACGGAGCTTCTCGGAAAACAGTGGAAGAAAAAAAACAGCAGGGTTCACCTCAGTGGTAGCAGTGGAGCTTCTCCACCCATTGCGTGGAGGAAGGCCAGCTGGGTTCAACTCAGCGGCTTGGACTCAAAGGAACATAAAGAGGGCCCCATATTGCCTAAAAAAATGCCCACATTACCTCGAGAATAGCAGCAGCTTGTGCCGGGGAGAGGCTAGTGTTGCCCCCCAGCAGCCTCAGCATCGCCTCCTCCGTTGCTCCGAGCTGTGGGCAAGCACGGGTGCAGGGCAGGGAGGGTGAAGGGGAGGGGAGAGATAGAGTCACTCAAAGTCCCCCAGCAGCCTCAGCATCGCCTCCTCCGTTGCTCCGAGCTGTGGGAAAGCATGGGTGAAGGAAAGGAGGCAGGAAAGGAGGCAGAAAAGGAGGCAGGAAAGGAGGCAGAAAAGGAGGCAGGAAAGGAGGCAGGAAAGGAGGCAGGAAAGGAGGCAGGAAAGCAGTGATTTGAAAAGCCCTCAGGTTGCGGCCGGGAGAGGGTGGTGTTGGATCCCACCACCTCAGCATCGCCCCCTCTGTCGCTCCGAGCTGTGGGCAAGCACGGGTGCGGGGGCAGGGGTGAGGGGGGGGGTAGAGATAGAGTCACTCAAAAGCCCCCAGCCGCCTCAGCAAGGCTCCAAGCTGCAGGGAGAACAGCGAGAGGGGAGGCGGGGAGAAAGGCTGGGGAGGCTCCTGTTGGGCGCAGCACTGACACTCACCTTGGGAGGAAAGGTGTCCACACCGTGCAGAAGACACGCCTCCCCACAGCTCGCCCTCACTGCCGCCACAAAGAGAGCAACGATCTTCCAGCGCTCCCTTGGTAGCCTCGGGCACAGCAGCACAGACACAGCGACAGACACAGAAACAGGCACAGACACTCACCTTGGGAGGGAAAGAGTCCACGCCGTGCAGCAGACATGCCTCCCCACAGCTCGCCCGCACTGCCGCCACAAAGAGGGTCGGGCGGAAGTAGCGCGTGCTGCCGTCGTAGGGGTCACCGTAGTGCGTCAGTGAAGGGACGTTGGCCACCGGTGCTGGACCCAGCTCCTGCACGTCCAGGGGAGGGGGTGAACAGAGGAGGGGGGGAGGGGGTGAACAGAGGAGGGGGGAGGGGGTGAACAGAGGAGGGGGGGAGGGGGTGAAGAAGCGCATGCTGCCGTTGCAGAGGTCGCCATGGTGCGTTAAGGAAGGGACGTCTGCTACTGGGGCAGGAACCAGCTCCTGAGGCGTGGGGATCAGGGGGGTGGACCAGGGGGGGGGACCAAGAGGGGGGGGGGGAGGGGAAGCATTGAATGCTGCCATCGTACAGTTACTCTGGCATCGTACGATGGCAAGCTGTGTGCTTGCAAGTCGTACGCAGCTGCCATCGTACAGATACACTGCTGCCAGCATATCACTCACATCTTGAGGGACTTGCAGGCATACGGCTTGTGGTCACACGCCTTGCAGTCACACAGCTTACAATCACGCCATACCTGATCAAACGCCAGGCAGAACGCCTTGAGCTCTCGGTCCGTCTCTCGGTTCATGCGAATGGCGATCAGGTACGCTGCTACCAGCGCGTCACTCACTCCCCCCACCCCCTCCTCCTCCCCATTGCCCCCTCTCATGGGCAGCAGGCTCTGCAGCAGCGACATGGTTTCCTGGGAAGAGGAGGGGTGAGGGGGGAGAGAGGGGCACATGGCACCGCACGGCAATCAAGTACGGCGCTACCAACGCATCACTCACTCCTCAGCCTCTCCTTCTCGCGACTATTGCCCCCGCTCATGGTTTCCTGCAGGCTCTGCAGCAGGCTCTGCAGCAGAGGGGGAGGCTCTGCACAGCCTGCAGAGCCTGCTGCAGACAGAGGGGGAGGCTCTGCAGCAGCGACATGGTTTCCTGGGAGGGGGGGAGGGCACTGCACAGCACACAGAGAGATGCTTTTCAGGGGGGGAACATGGGATCGCACAGCGCCCTGAGAAATACCCAAATACCAAATGACAGGGAGGCACGGGAACCTTGGGGTTGGGGTATTTGCAGATCTCCTGCCAGCCATGCCACACAGCCTAAATACCACACCGTGCACGCACACGCCTGTGAGTGAGAGAGAGAGAATACAGAAAGCGCCTCCGCACAGGTCAGTAAGCCTCGCCTGAAATGCCACCTGAAATGCCGCCTGGAATCTCACCTGAAAGCCAAGGTGCACGCCACAGAGAATGTCCCTCAGGTCCCCAACCACCTGAGCCTCCTCCTCGGACCCAAACCCGAGGAAGGTGGGGCCCACAGGCAGCGCGTCGTTGAAGATGGAGCCCTGGAGGGGGGTGCAGGGGAGCACACACACACAGGGGGGGACGGGGCATGAGGTTTGGTGCCAAAGAGGGCAGTCCTGAAAAGAAGTTGGGCTCGATCTTTCGGCAATGGGCAGCTTCGGAAGCCGCGCGCACGCACACCAGTCGCTTTGATAAGCTACACCCAATCTTCCAAGAAACAAACATTCTCTCTATAAAAGAACCATGCGTGAGGAGTCTATTTTTGAGGCGCCTAAAAAATGGAGCCCTGGAGGGGGGTGCAGGGGAGAACACACACACAGGGGGGGGACGGGGCATGAGGTTTGGTGCCAAAGAGGGCAGTCCCACCCACCCCACCACCTGAGCTCTCTGCTCCGTCCGACCCGTGGGAAGCCGGACATACAGGCAGAGAGTCGTTGAAGATGTATTTTGAGTCGACTCAAAATACGACCTACAGGCAGAGAGTCGTTGAAGATAGAGCCCTGAAGGGAGGCAAGGCACACAAGATATTATGTTTAGGCGCCTCAAAAACAGTCTCAGTTTACACACAAGAGATTGTATCAGGGGGGATACAGGGCAGCATACTGGTGCTTTGAACGGACCCTCAAACCCTAGTAACCAGAACCTGAGACCCGAATCCCTTCACCCCGTAATCACCTGTGGGTCGGCGAGGAACAGCACATCGCGGGGGAGGTGGTATCTGAGGGAGGGCCACATGTCGTCCAGCGCCCTCCTCTCCCCCTCCGTCCACTGGGTGGGCGGCGGAAAGCAGTTGGCGCGCACCGTCATGCCGGCGAAGAACGCGCCCATCTGCGCCCTTGACACGCGCTCGGAAGGGGGGAGCTCGCCCTTGGCTGTTAAGAAAAGGGGGAAGTTGGGAATGGGAGAGGGAAGGATGACAATAGGAGGGGGGGAAGCAGTTGGCGCGCACTGTCATGCAGGCGAGGAACGCGCCCATCTGAGCCCTTGAGACACGCTCGGAAGGGGCGAGCTCGCCCTTGGCTGCCAGGAAACGAGAGTACAAGGCAGGAGGTGCTCGCAAAGAGCGCGCCCATTTGCGCCCATGAGGCGCGCTGGGAAGGGGAGGAGCTGGAGTAGCGGCGGAGGCAGGGTTCAGGGTTGACGATTCAGGGTTCAGGCAGGGCTCAGGCAGGGCTCAGGCAGGGCTCAGAATTCGGGGTGTCTTCCACCGGGTGGCCGGAGGAAGCAGTTGGCGCGCACAGTCATCCCTGCAAGCAGCCTAGTTGACCACACTAACTGGAGGCAGACAGAACACCTGAAAGCAAAAATGAAAGCACACCTGTTAAAACACCTGAAAGCACATCTGACAGAACATCTGAAAGCGAACCTGACAGAACACCTGAAAGCACACCTGAGAGGAGGATCTGCTGCAGCACTCCCCGCATTTCCGCTTCACTTAAAGCCCGTGTCTCGGCCCCGTGCACACTTGCGCCAGCGCCTCTAGCACCACCTCCACCTAACAGCGCTTCCCATCATCTTCCAACTGAAGAAATCACACCTGGGAGGACACCTGAAAGCACACCTGAGAGGAGAATCTGCTCCAAAACGCGCCGCATTTCGTCTTCGCTTAAAGCCCTGGTTTGAGTCGGCCCCGTGCACACGCGCGCCTGGGCCTCCAGAACCACCTCGTTCGGTCCCACGTCATCCTGCAGGAACCTTCCGCGAGGCTTCCCCCCATACTCCTCTTCCCGGATCTCGCCGATCGTCGACCTGGACGGTTCAGATCCGCCCGGGGCTTGGCTCGCAGCGCTCGCGGCGGAAACGGCTATACGGTGAGAGGACGGCGAGTAGCTAGGAAGCTTTCGCGCGCTTCGGGTTCGGAGGAACCGCGTGGGATGGAGTAGCGGCGTCGCGCGCAGGTTATGCGCGGCGCGGCTCTTCGGTAACCCTCCTCCTCCTCCTGCTGCTGCTGCTGCTGCTGCGACGGTCGCGGTTGGAGCGGATCTGAACACCCGGTCGCACGACAGGGGGTTCCTCGCACGCGGCTCGGTTGATCGGCACGCATGCGACGCACGCACGTCGCATGGGTCGCAGAGGATCGCAACCGCGGGGATCGCCGCGGTGGTGCGATGCGGCAGGGGTGCACCGCGCGGGACCATCATCTGACCCCGGGGAACGCGGGTAGGGTACGATAGGGGTACGGGAGGGCTGGGTTCGCGGCACTAAGTATGTTTCGCAGACGAACAGGTCGGATCTAGACGATTACGGAGACACAAACGGAAGTATAGACGCCGAGCCCAGCAGACGGCCTGTTGCCGAAAAAAACGAGAGAAGAGAATATACGGTAAAAAAATTAGAGCGGATTAGCCCTTCATGAGCCTAGGGGCAAATTAACCCTTCTCCAAGCTAGGGGCGATTTAGCCCTTCGCGTCGCGAACCTAGGAAGAAATGACCCCTTCGTGACTTCAGGAGCGAATTAGCCCTTCGTGCGCCTTGAACCAGAATGACCCCTAAGCGAACCTAGGAGCAAATCAGCCCTTCGCGAAAGTAGGAGTAATTTGGCCCTTCGCGAATGCACTTCGTGATCAGCTTTTGTGGGCGTAGCAGGAGTGAGGGTGCCAGTTACCTGGATTGACGAATCAGCCAATTCTGAATTCGCGAATTTGCCTGTTGGAATTGACGAAGGTGTTCGTGATGGGTCGCCCGATTGGTTGACGCCGTTTTCAACTACAGTAAATCCACGAGAGTTACCCGTAATCACGAATGAGCGAACATAGAGGTTTTCGCGAACCTGCCTCTCTTGGGATTGCCGGACCTGTCAGGAGGAGTCCCAGCTCTGGATTCTGGAACCGGAACCCCCTGAAGATTCGCATCCTCCACACCGACCATTCTTGGCACAGTCCAGAAAAATTTGTACGGATCTGAGAAGTGAAACTCGGCACCCCAGCCGACACCACAAACAATCTTCTCAACCGCATCTAACCATTCTGCTTCACTTTAGATTTCACCTACCTATTCCCATCCGTTCCTTATGTTGCGTCCCACCATTAGGAGTTTATGCTACTAGTAGCCCTCTTTAGTTCCTCACTTCATCCCTAACCTAAACTCTGAACATCCGCCACCTGCGCCTGTTGCTCTTGTATACTTAGCTTCTGGAAGAGGGGTTCGTGTGGGCAGTCGCGGTCGCGGACCGTACGGCACCTGCGCCAGGGTTCATTGCCGATTTGCGTTTCTTATCTACTGTCGCAGATTACACTTCCGCGCTTGTCAGTTCTAGTTATCTCCTAACTTATTCGTTTCAAAGGGGCTCAACATTTCTCACTTATTGAAACCGAACTAGTCAACTAGCTAGCCTGACTGACGATAACGAGCTAATATTTCGTTCACTAAGTATTTCATTCGACTCAAAGCGACAACATCAACGGCCGTTTGAGCGACAATATCAACGGCCTAGCCTGTTTGACGGCGGCCTGGTTAGCAACGACGTTAGCAAGCCTGTCCAACGTTTCACGCTCTTGAAGAAACGCTCCTCCAAGCGTAGCAGAGCCAGCTCGCGGCTGTAGCAGAGCGAACGCACGTGTCGGTTGTTACAACATTGTTCGCGGCGATGGGGAACCAAGTGAGCGTGGTGGACGCGCTGGTCAACCTCGAGTTCCCTCCAGGCGCAGTCTCCCCCGCGGACCTCCCCGCGCGCCACGACCTCCCCATGGGCGTCCTGGCCTTCGAAGTCGCGTCGCTCATGCGGCGAGCTCTGGACCTCTGGCGGCAGCTCGACGCGCGGAATATCACCGGGCTGGAGAAGAAGCTTCAGGTGAAATGCGTGTGATAGCGATTTCGTTTTGAGTCGACTCAAAACGACTCCCCGAGTATCACCGGGCCGGAAGAGAAGCTCCAGGTGAAATGCGGGCATGCCTTGTAGTCCCCCTCCAGGCGCAGTCTCCCCTTCCGAACTCAATCTCCCCTTCCGACCTCCCCATGGGCGGCGTCCTCGCTTTCGAAGTCGCCGCGCTCATATAGCGCGCGCTCGATCTCTGGCGGCAGCTGGACGCGCGGAAGTAGCTGAAGCTGGGCTGGAGAAGCAGCTCTGGCGGGTGAGCTGATGAGTAGTACCATGGTGGGTCTGCTCTGCTCTGCTCTGCTCTGCTCTGCTCTGCTCTGCTCTGCTCTGGTCTGCTCTGGTACCATGAGCAGTCAGACTGGAAAACCAGCTTCATTCCTTTTATTACATACGTCTTCTCCCCCCCTTTCGCCCCCCCTCCCTATTCACAGTCGGAGGGACTGAAGCGGCTGGGCGTGGGCGACTACTCGTTCCGCTGGCGCCTGGCGGGGGCAGAGTACGCCTCAGACCTCACTGCGCTCGCTGCAGCTGCGGTGGGCGTGCTGGCGCGCAGGATGGGGGGGCCCGGGGGGGTTGAGGTGATGATGAAGCGGATCAAACAACAACACCCGTGCCAACTCTTCCTCCCCTTTCTCCCCCCTCGTCCCTCCCCCTGCCGTATCTCAACCCCCCCCTTCCCCGTTCCCCAGACAGAGGGCCTGAAGCGGCTGGGCGTGGGCGACTACTCGTTCCGCTGGCGCCTGGCGGGAGCAGAGTACGCCTCAGACCTGACTGCGCTCACTGCAGCGGTGGGCGTGCTGGCGCGCAGGATGGGGGGGGCGCGGGGCGGGGAGGTGCTGAAGCGGCTGAAGGGGTACAGCCGGGCGTGGAAGCGCGAGGACAGCTTTAGCGAGGGGGAGGCGGACGAACTCATGCGGTGAGTGAGGGAGTCGTTTCTTAGTCGATGCCAGACCTCACCTCTCGGCCGCCCTTCCTTTGTGTTTCCCCTTTGCTCAAGTTTCTAGGAGGCTTCTGGGAGGTTCTAGGAGGTTTCTAGGAGGTTCCTTTTTTTGTCCATACGAAGGTTCCTGGAATCCCCCCTTCTTTTCCCCTTTTTCCCTGCAGGTTCCTGAGGGACCAGTTGGAGCCAATGGGGGCTCTGCACAAGGAGATGCTGACGCTTGATGACGTCATCAACAGGTGAGGTAGAGGGAGTGGTAAGGAAAAGCCGCTCACTTATGTGAGTCTCTGTGTGCTGGTGTAGCCGGTCGGTTGGTGTGTTTTGAGTCTTTTCCCCTTTGAGCGTTCGCCCCTTTGAGACTTCTCCCCCCCTTTTAGCCCTGTCCAGCAGCCTGGGCTACTGGCTGGCTCTGAGCTTCCCTGCCCTGTGTGACTTGCAGCCTGCCCTCCCCCTTCACCCAATTCCCCCTGTCCCCCCCCTCTCACCCCACGTTCCCCCCAACCTCCCTTCCAAGTTCCAACCCCCCTTCCAAGTTCCAACCCCCCCTTCCAAGTTCCAACCCCCCTTCCAAGTTCCAACCCCCCTTCCAAGTTCCAACCCCCCTTCCAAGTTCCAGCCCCCCTTCCAAGTTCCAGCCCCCCTTCCAAGTTCCAACCCCCCTTCCAAGTTCCAACCCCCCTTCCAAGTTCCAACCCCCCTTCCAAGTTCCAACCCCCCTTCCAAGTTCCAACCCCCCTTCCAAGTTCCAGCCCCCCTTCCAAGTTCCAGCCCCCCTTCCAAGTTCCAACCCCCCTTCCAAGTTCCAACCCCCCTTCCAAGTTCCAACCCCCCTTCCAAGTTCCAACCCCCCCTTCCAAGTTCCAGCCCCCCTTCCAAGTTCCAACCCCCCTTCCAAGTTCCAGCCCCCCTTCCAAGTTCCAGCCCCCCTTCCAAGTTCCAACCCCCCTTCCAAGTTCCAGCCCCCCCTTCCAAGTTCCAACCCCCCTTCCAAGTTCCAACCCCCCTTCCAAGTTCCAACCCCCCTTCCAAGTTCCAACCCCCCTTCCAAGTTCCAGCCCCCCTTCCAAGTTCCAACCCCCCTTCCAAGTTCCAACCCCCCTTCCAAGTTCCAACCCCCCTTCCAAGTTCCAACCCCCCTTCCAAGTTCCAGCCCCCCTTCCAAGTTCCAACCCCCCTTCCAAGTTCCAACCCCCCTTCTCACCCCCCTTCCCACCCACTCCCCACGCTGCTCCCCTGTGAGAAGCAGCACTGGGGCGGAACCGGATGTGCCGCCCCCCAAGGGCCGCCGCGCCAAGGGCAAGCCGCGTTTGAGCCCTGACGAGCAGTCTGAGCTACAGGGTCTGCCAACCCCCCCCCCGCCCCCCTTCTTGTGTGAACTACAACGTGCTATCCATTCTCTCGCTCCCATCCTTTCACACCCTTCCCACCCATCCCCCCCTCCCCCCACCCCCCCAACCCTCTTCCCACCCACTCCCCACGCTGCTCCCCTGCGAGAAGCAGCACTGGGGCGGAACCCGATGTGCCTCCCCCCAAGGGCCGTCGTGCCAAGGGCAAGCCACAGGGGGCAGTGCTGGACCAGGTGGGGTGGGGGGGGGGATGGGGGAGGGATTGGGGAGGGAAGGATGGGGGAGGGATGGGGGAGGGAAGGATGGGGGAGGGATGGGGGAGGGATGAGGGAGGGTGGGATGGGGGAGGGATGGGGGAGGGAGAGATGGGGGAGGGATGGGGGAGGGTGGGATGGGGGAGGGATGGGGGAGGGAGAGATGGGGGAGGGATGGGGGAGGGATGGGGGAGGGAGAGATGGGGGAGGGATGGGGGAGGGATGGGATGGGGGAGGGATGGGGGAGGGATGGGGGAGGGATGGGGGAGGGTGGGATGGGGGAGGGATGGGGGAGGGAGAGATGGGGGAGGGATGGGGGAGGGATGGGGGAGGGAGAGATGGGGGAGGGATGGGGGGAGGGAGGGATGGGGGAGGGATGGGGGAGGGATGAGGGAGGGTGGGATGGGGGAGGGATGGGGGAGGGATGGGGGAGGGTGGGATGGGGGAGGGATGGGGGAGGGAGAGATGGGGGAGGGATGGGGGAGGGAGAGATGGGGGAGGGATGGGGGGAGGGAGGGATGGGGGAGGGATGGGGGAGGGATGGGGGAGGGATGGGGGAGGGTGGGATGGGGGAGGGATGGGGGAGGGAGAGATGGGGGAGGGATGGGGGAGGGAGGGGTGGGGGAGGGATGGGGAGGGAGGGATGGGGAGGGATGGGAGAGGGAGGGATGGGGGAGGGATGGGGGGAGGGAGGGATGGGGGAGGGATGGGGGAGGGAGGGATGGGGAGGGATGGGGGGAGGGATGGGGGGAGGGAGGGATGGGGGGAGGGATGGGGGAGGGATGGGGGGGAGGGGGAGGGATGGGGGAGGGAGGGATGGGGGAGGGATGGGGGGAGGGAGGGATGGGGGAGGGATGGGGGAGGGATGGGGGGAGGGAGGGATGGGGGAGGGAGGGATGGGGGAGGGAGAGATGGGGGAGGGATGGGGGAGGGATGGGGGGAGGGAGGGATGGGGGAGGGATGGGGGGAGGGAGGGATGGGGGGAGGGATGGGGGGAGGGAGGGATGGGGGAGGGATGGGGGGAGGGAGGGATGGGGGAGGGAGGGATGGGGGAGGGAGAGATGGGGGAGGGATGGGGAGGGATGGGGGAGGGAGAGATGGGGGAGGGATGGGGGGAGGGAGGGATGGGGGAGGGAGAGATGGGGGAGGGATGGGGAGGGATGGAGGGAGGGATGGGGGGAGGGAGGGATGGGGGGAGGGATGGGGGGAGGAGGGATGGGGAGGGATGGGGGGAGGGAGGGATGGGGGGAGGGATGGGGGAGGGAGAGATGGGGGAGGGATGGGGGAGGGATGGGGGAGGGATGGGGGGAGGGATGGGGGAGGGAGGGGATGGGGGAGGGATGGGGGGAGGGATGGGGGGAGGGAGGGATGGGGGAGGGATGGGGGGAGGGAGGGATGGGGGGAGGGATGGGGGGAGGGAGGGATGGGGGAGGGAGAGATGGGGGAGGGATGGGGGAGGGATGGGGGGAGGGAGGGATGGGGGAGGGATGGGGGGAGGGAGGGATGGGGGGAGGGATGGGGGGAGGGAGGGATGGGGGAGGGATGGGGGGAGGGAGGGATGGGGGGAGGGAGGGATGGGGGAGGGAGAGATGGGGGAGGGATGGGGGAGGGATGGGGGGAGGGATGGGGGGAGGGAGGGATGGGGGGAGGGATGGGGGGAGGGAGGGATGGGGGAGGGATGGGGGGAGGGAGGGATGGGGGAGGGAGGGATGGGGGAGGGAGAGATGGGGGAGGGATGGGGGAGGGATGGGGGAGGGATGGGGGGAGGGAGGGATGGGGGAGGGATGGAGGGAGGGATGGGGGAGGGAGGGATGGGGGAGGGATGGGGGGAGGGAGGGATGGGGGGAGGGAGGGATGGGGGGAGGGAGGGATGGGGGAGGGAGAGATGGGGGAGGGATGGGGGAGGGATGGGGGGAGGGAGGGATGCGGGGGATTGTGCTGCACTGTGCCGTGGGGAGGGGTTTTGAGGAGTGAGGAGTGCTGCTGTTGGCTGACTTATGCTCTTTCCTGTGAGCCGCCAAGATCCCTCTCCATCCATTCATCCATCCATCCATCCATCCATCCATCCATCCATCCATCCATCCATCCATCCATCCATCCATCCATCCATCCATCCATCCATCCATCCATCCATCCATCCATCCATCCATCCATCCATCCATCCATCCATCCATCCATCCATCCATCCATCCACTGACTATCCCCCCAAACGTCTCCCTTGGTCAGACTCAAGTGGTGCATCACCTGCAGCAAGCATCGCTCTGGAACCACCCACGTGTTCCAAGTGTCACCATCCCGTATTACCCTCCACCCATTCACCCCCTCCTTCTCTCTCTATCTCTCTCCCCTCTCAGATTCAAGTGGTGCATCACCTGCAGCGTGCATCGCTCTGGACCCACCCACTCGAGCGGCCGGTGCTGGTAGGTTTACTGCGGTGCTGGTAGGTTCACTGCGGTTCACTATAGTGCTTGCCTCACAAATCGCCTCGGAAGTTTCCACTGCCAGTGCTCCATTTTGCCTGTTCTGGCCGACCCCTATCTCTCTCTCCTGCTATTCGTGTATTAAGATCAGGTGAGTTGGTGGTTTCTCAAGATACACCTACCCAACCGCACTCTCTCCTGCGCCCCTCGGTCCCTGCTCCCCCTCTCATCTCTTGACGGTGGCGCTGGTAGTGCAGTTGCAGCAGTTCCGGACGGTCTTTGGCCGCCCGTCCCCACCCCCTCTGCTATCCCTCCCGGTCCCATCTGTTCCTCTCATATCCTTCTCTCCCCATCAGATCCTGGCAGTGGCCCTTGGGATGCTGTGGCAGCAGTACCGGACAGTCTTTGGCCGCCCGTCCCCACCCAAGCAAGAGGAGCTGAGCGCTACCCTGGGAGCAGCAGGGCTGCCAACGCTGTATGCGCGCGTGCTGCTGGGAATAGAGCAGATGCAGGAGATGAGTCCCACGAGCCCTCCTTTTAAGGAACAAAGGTGCGTCCTACACAATTGCCATCACTCGTTTCAAAGTAGCCTGGGGGCCACAGGGCTGCTGATGCTGTATGCGCGCGTGCTGCTGGGAGTAGAGCAGATGCAGGAGATGAGTCCGCTGAGCCCGCCGTTAAGGAGCAGAGGTGAGTCCCCACAGAATGCCAGCATTCCTCTTAGGTGACGCTGTATGCGCACGTGACGCTTGCTGCCGGGGATTGAGCAGATGCGCGTGATTCCTCTCAGCCCGCCGTTCAAGGAACAGAGGTGAGAGCCACTATATAACACTAGGAGTAGCAGGGCGTCTGACGCTGTATGCGCGCGTGCTGCTGGGGACTTAGCAGATGCAGGAGATGAGCCCGCTGAGTCCCCCATTCAAGGAGCAGAGGTGAGTCCCCACAGAATGCCAAAATTCCTCTTAGGTGACGCTGTATGCGAGCGTGACGAGTGCTGCTGGGGATAGAGCAGATGCAGCAGATGAGTCCGCTGAGCCCTCCTTTCGACAAACAAAGGTGAGTTGCCATTGCCAGCCACTGATACATCATTAATGTTAAAGCACGGGAAAAAAAGGGATATTTGCTGCCAGCGGGCGTTCTGCTGAGGGTGGGGCAGATGCAGGATGTGAGTCCGCGTAGTCCTCCCTTCTAGGAGCAGCGGCGGTGAGGACTTGTTAAGATTAACTATAAGTAGGGTCAAAAGTTTGAAGACTAGCCATCTTTACCCTATCCTTCCTTCACTGACCCGCTCCTTAACCTCACACCCTCCCCACCCTCACATCCCCTCCCCACCCTCACACTCTCTCCCCACCAATCAGGCGAGAGCTTTACGGCATCCTCCCTTCAGCTGTCCGCCGGCGCTTAGCTAAGCGTCTGAAGCAGCGGTCAAAGCGGCAGGTGGACGGAGCGATCGCCAAGGACCTGCGGGGGGTGGTGGGGGACATCCTGCGGTGGGCCGTGCCGGTGGCGGAGCGCACCGAGGTGTGGAACGGAGACAAATCCTTTGGAGCACAGAGAAGGACACGGCTGCACCGTACACTGCTGGTAGAGGTGAGACGCTGGTGATATGACATCACAGTCACTTGTGTCTTGGGGAGGGGAGGATTGAGCGAGGTCTAACTGGCAGGTGGACGGAGCAATTGCCAAGGACCTCCGGGGGGAGGGGTGGCGGGCTGGGGGGTGGTGGGGGACAATCTCTTGTGGTCTGGGGTGCCTCGGAAGGACCTGTGAGGCGGGGTGCGGGGAATCCTGTGGGGGGGCGTGCCTCTGGCCGAGCGCACCGAGGTGTGGAACGGAGACAAGTCGTTTGGGGTGCAGCGAAGGACGAGAGTGCACTGCACTCTGCCGGCAGAGGTGAGCTAAGCTGTGGTGGGCGAGGAGTCTATTTTTGAGGCGCCTAAAAAATAGACTCCTCATGTGAGGCGCCTCTAAAATACACTGCTGGCAGAGGTGAGCAAAGTTGTGGTGATATCTAAGCCTATTTGGAGGAAATAAAAAATTCACCTCGCACTGGTAGCATCTGAGGTTATTTGGGGCAAGTTAAAGGCAGTGCTAGTGGAGCTCCTATAAGCCTTCCCTTGTTACCACAGGCACTCCCAACGCCCCCCACCCTCCTTCCCACCCCTTACCCCTTCTCCCATCCCCCGTTCTCCCGCCCTGTCCCCATCCCCTGTAACAGACGCTCCATTACTGCGACAAGGACAAGTTCGAGGCAGTGCTGGTGGAGCTGCTGACCTCCTTCTCTCTTGTCACCCTCCACGCCAGACGCTCCCCACCACACCCTCCTTTCCACCCCATCCCCATCCCCATCCCCATACCCCATCCCCATCCCCATCCCCATACCCCATCCCCATCCCCATCCTCATCCCCATCCCCATCCCCATCCCCATCCCCCTTTCGATTCCCATTCCCATTCCCATCCCCATCCCCCATACCAGACGCTCCATTACTGCGACAAGGACAAGTTCGAAGCTGTGCTTGTGGAGCTGCTGGCCTCCTTCTCCCTCGTCACCCTCCACGCCAGACGCACCCCTCCACACCCCCACTCCAAAGCCCGCCCTGCCTCTGCTCCGCTCCGACGCAAGCTGCCAGGCTCGGCCGGACCTAAGAACCAGGCTGCACGTCCGACCAGCGCCCCCGCATATCCTGCTTCTGCTTCTGCTCCTGCTCCTGCATTCCCCACGTCTGCTTCTGCTGCGGCTTACCCCACCTCTGCTTCGGCTGCCGCTTACCCCACCTCTGCTTCTGGTGCCTCTGCTGCTGCTTACCCCTCCTCGGCATCTACTGCTGCTGCTGCTGACACGGACAATAGCAGTAACAGAAACGCCAAACCGAAGTCTGCGCCTGGGGCCCCGTCCCCCTCGCACCCTCCAGCTCGCACCGCCCCAATGGCCCGATCCATCTCCATTACAGACGCACCCGATGGCGGTATAAGGCATCTCCGCAACGCCCGTTCTCCCCGCTCCGCCGCTGCTTCCCGCTCTCCCCACTCGGCCGCTCCTTCCCCCGCTCCTCCCTCCGACTCTCAGCCCTTCCCTGCCTCTAGATCAACCTCCCAGGGGCCCCCATCCATGGCTCGATCCCCCTCCAATGCCCCTCCCCCCATGGCTAGAACAGCATCCGAACCTGGAAATAATGGTCCGGCCATGCCTGGGTCTTCTTCCCATGCAAGGCCCGGCCCCGGACCAGCTCCCGGACCTGCAGGGCCCCGAGGCAATCCAACTGGGCCTCGCCCAAGGCCTGGCGCTGGTCCTGGACCTCGGCCTTCCCCAGGCCAGGCGTTGCCTGGGAGGGGAGGTATGGGACCCGGAACTGGGGTTCCTCCAGGTTCGGGTGCCATGCGGGCAGGTCCGGCGGGGCCTCAGGCTCGGCCTGGACCTCAGGCCCGAGGTGGAGGTATGGCGCCGAGACCAATGCTGGGGCCAAGGCCTGTTGGTCAGGGAGGAAGTCCGGCAGGAGGTGTGGGAGGAGGCCGGGGAGGTGGGGGAAGGGGAGGTGGAGGAAGGGGGAATGGAGGTCCGGTCTACCGGCCATCTCCTACATCTCCGGCATTGGATGATATTGATGGGATGCCGATCCGACGGTCAGGAGGGAATGTTGATGCAGGGCAACGGCAGAAGATGCAGCAGAGGGAGTGGTTGAAGAGGGAAGTGCTGCAACAGGGAGGGTCTCATGCGATGGGATGATTTCGAGTGTTGGGGGATGTCTTGTCGATGGGAACGAGGAGGAAATATGACATCCTCAGGAAAACTATGGGAGGCGAATATCGTTTGTGCTGATGAATGCCCTGGTTTCAATTATCAATATGTTCCGTTTCCGTCTCCTCTAGTGAGAGGTGTACATTAGAAGTTTTTTGGGCCATCATTAATGTGGCAGGTGACAATAGTCTTCAACATGGAACCTGATTATTTATCGAGTTCTCCTGAAGGGTATTCTTTGCTGTTATCGAAGCTGGACGACGTCGTTGATGTTATATCGTGCGAATCCTTCGAATCGCGATGAAAACATAGCGCTTCGGAGTCGTGGGTACGTCCACTGGTTGATTGGCGGAGTGTGGCGGCAAGAGGGGCTGAGCATGGTTCCCTCCCATTGGCCAGATTAGCGGCCTGAGCAGAAAATTACAGCGTCGACGAATCACAGTTGACAGACCCCTGCTGTTGCTGAAGCTTCGATTGGCGCGCGACGGTGGTTTGGGAATCCCCTTCCGCAATTCCCCCCAACCCAGCTCCCCCAAGCACACCGAACAAATTGCACAACTCCGCAAGCAATCCCCCCCACAAATACCCCCGCGTCGCCTGTCTATCCCCCCAATCGCCTCGCCTCCCCTCGTATCGTCCCCCACACCTGCTCTATTCCCCGCAAATTCTGGAATTCCCCGCGGGTCCCCTCCTTGTCCCTGCTCGATGCGGGATGCCTCGCACAGTACAGAACAGTGCACATCCTTGCTGCGCCTCATTTCCGCAGCCACCACCAGTCTCCATCCCTCCTCCCCCCTCTCTCCCATTCTCGTTCCTTGCGCCACATAACGCCTCCTAACCAGCCCATGGCATATCGTCCAGCTCACAGCTCCAGACTTCTTGACCTTCCGTTCACCTAGAGCCCATTCTTCGAATCAGTTTCCAGCTTCGTAGCCTCAGTCCATCCTGGCAACAGAGAATCTACCGCCTCCTGAGAGAGAGTTCGTCCCGAGACGCGTCAAAGCCAGCCTCAGTCCGCCTTAGCAGCAGCGAATCTGGAGCAGCCGTCGCACGGCTTTCACCTAGCCACCTGTAGCAAGGCACGCGCTGGCAATGGCGATACTGTAGTATCAATATCATAAGATAGCTTTAGCGCGTGCAGTACTGGTGTTGCCCCTTGCGTCATTTTCGGAAAAAACCGCGTAGCTCTTCTGTAGGTCCCGTCTTCATTCTTTTTCGCAGCACCCATGTAGGTACGCTCAAGTTAGTGGGTACGCGCTGCTTGCTACACACTCGCATTCTCTCTCAAGTTTTCTAGGTGCGAACAAAAACTTAGCGTGGACTGCGACGATCGACAGAACAGGAAACGGTAGGCCGATCGCAGCCGTCGCAGCCGTCGCAGCCGTCGCTCCGAGCGCCTCTTACCAGTCGAACTGACGCTACCGTAATGGCTCGTTATAAGCGCCCGCAGCTGAGCCTCGTTATAGAGACGTGCGCCGAAGAAGAAGAAGGTAGTTTCTGTATCGGGGATCAGCAGCAGTGGAGACAGCACCAGCAGCAGCAGCAGCAGCAGCAGCAGCAGCAACGGTTTACAGGACGCACACTAGAGGCATTTCAGCAGGCGGCGGGTGCAAAGCCGCTGGCGAAAAGCCAGCGCCACCGCGCGGGGGGCTGGCTTGACACGCTCCGCCAAGCCTCTCGCATCCGCGCGACCGCTGCAAGAGCCCCCGCCTCCTCCGCTTCCGCGTTCCCCTCCGCCCCATGCGGGCTGAAGCGGAGCGCAGCAGACGCGGGGCTGGAGCTGTCCGAAGGTTCCGCGGAGGAGCCGAAGCTACTGCGCCGCGCGACCTGCCCCGCGGAACGCGCCTACGTCGTCCCCCAACACTGGGCCTCCGCCGACCCCGCTTCCGCCAGCAGCGCCCCCGCCCCCGCCCGCGGCCGCGCCCCTGCTGCTGCTCCCTACGGCGGCGCTGGCGCATCCTGGCCCCCGGGTCTCCTTGCGCTGAACGCGCTCGTCTCTCCGCGATACACCCCAGAACACCCTTCTCGGCGGCATTCCGCGCAACACCCTCCGCCTGCCTCCTCTCCGCTCCCCCGCTTTCAACAAGATTCAAAGCTTCCGCCTTCCCCCGCTCCGCCCTCCCTCGCCTCTCTACCTTCCCCCGCCCTGCCCTCCCCCGCCCCTCTGCCGACCCCCGCTTTGCGCCCCTCCTCTCGAGCCTATCCGAAGCCTCCGCGTTCCCCCACTCCCCGTGCTGCGCCCTTCCCCGGGTTCCGCCGCACACGGGGCGCTGAGCCTAGTGCTCCGCTATCATCACCACCACCACAGACAGAACGGTTAGATGCGGTACCGCGGGTGCCATCAGACTCCGCACCACTATACGCGGTAAAGACAGAGTCTGCAGCATCCAGGGGCTCGTTTGAGTCACAAGCCACGTCAGCGACAGCGCTACAGCCGTCCAACCCTGGGCAATCACAATCGTCAGAGTCACCGCTCGAAGTGCCACCTCAGCTGCTGTGTCTGCCAGCTCAGCTGCTGCTGGCAGACACGCGCCCTCCACCTCCTTTGAAAGAGAGAGGTTTGGGTGAAGAAGAGGGGAGAGGGAGGAGGAAGGGAGTGAGGGAGGAGAGAGAGAAGGGGGGAGGGGAGTGCGGAGAGTCCGGAGAGATGGTAGGTGGGACGGGAGAGAGAGAGGTAGCAGTGATAAAGGGGAGTGTGGAGGGGGGAGGGGATCCAATGGAGATGGAGGAGGTGGGAGGGGGAGGGAAGGGGTATGTAATGGCAGGAGAGGGGGAAGAAGCAATGGAGGGGGACAGTACCGGTGTGGGAGGCGATAGAGAGGGCCAGAGCGCGACCTGTAGCAGTGGGCTGAGACAGGACTGTGATTTGCAGGCCGGTGATGATTTGGCCTGCTGTGAAGATGAAAGGACTGTGGATAGGGCGGCTGATGAGGAAAGGGTTACACATGGCGTTGACGTGGTAACAGGTGCTGCTGATTCGGTTACTGGTGGTGCGGAAAGGATGCAATGTGGTGCTGAAGTGGTAACGGGTGGTGCTCGAGTGGTACCATGTGGTGATGAAGGGGTACTGTGCGGTACTGAAGGGGTAACAGGTGGTGCTGAGATCGTGATACTTTGTGATGCTGACGTGGATCTGGATGCCATGCCTGACGGACTGAGTTGCTGCTTTGGGTCCGAGAAGCAACAGCCCGGGGAGGCTCAACTGGGGCAGCAACAGCCTGGGAAGGTTCAAATGCAGCAGTTGCTGGAGCAATGCTCCAGTCAGGATCAGAAGAGTCTGGAGCAGCAGCAGCAGCAGCAGCAGCAGCAGCAGCAGCAGCAGGGGGGGGATGAGTGCTCTATCGAGCAGTTGACTCGCATTGACTCGATGGAAGATGACGACTTCTGGGAGAGGATGGTCGCCGATTATGGCACACTGGACGACCTGCCGCCCACACCTGACGACCTGCCGGCCACACCTGATAATCTGCCGCCCACACCTGATGATGCCCCGGACCCAGACACAGCTTCTTTACACTCTGCCCATATACCAGCAGACAGTCACACAGTTTCTGCCACAAACTCTGGAGCTGCGATCTCCGCAGAAGTTATGGCTTCAGATGCAATCTGCACAGGGGGCGCGCTAATGGGGGGGCTTACATCAGCAGTTGTAGGCGCAGCAGATGTGAGCTTAGCGCCGCCAGGTTTGGAAAGGGCACCTCAGGCTTCATGCTTCACCGAGCCTGTCAAATTCGGCAGTCCCGACCCTGCTTCCGAGCCTGCTTGTCCTGCCGAACCTGCCCACGCAGTCACCCGTGCCAAACCTCTTGAGTGCCAGTCCCACAGCCGTCCATCTTCCAAGCCTGCGGGGCTTGACGCCGAAGCTGGAGCTGCTGTCCTGCTGGCGCTGCTGGCTCGGCAACCAAACCTCAATCGAGAACCGTCCCAAGGCGTGATGTCTCCGCAAGAATCAGAATTCGCAAAAATAATTCTTCCAGGCAACCAGTTTCAGCCGTCCCTTGGGAATATCAGTGCAGCGGTGCAGCCTGCAGTGGAGTCACGTTCGTTAGAGTCACAGCTTCTCCAGGTGCTGCTGCTGGCGCTGACAAGACAAGGAGGGGGGGGAGGAGGGATGGCGTTGGTAGAACCACTACCAGCAGCCGCAGCAGCAGCCGCAGCAGCAGCCTTGGCGGCAGGAACACCGTTCCAGGCAGGCTTAGAGGGTTCCTCCTCAGGCATTCCTGTTCCCTCGGGGATGATTGTACAGAATAACGGTGATCATAATGGGAATGCTTTGCAGCAGCAGTGCCACGGCACTGTACAGCAGCAGGAGGGACTCCTCCTCAAACAGCAGCAGCTGCTGCTGCTACTGCCGCTGCTGCTGCAACGCCGGCAGCAGCAACAGCAGATTCAGCAGCAGCAGCAGCAAGGTTTGATACAGCTCGTCTCGCTGCTCAGCAGATTGCTTACCGTGGCAGGTCAACAGGAGGGTGCCTCCAACCAATAAGGGCTTGAATGGTGGAGCAGTGGGGTTGGAGATTATTGGGGGGGGGGGGGAATTCTATGTGACACATGTGGATCGTTCGGTCTAACCCACTACGACACTCTCTGACATAGTTTCCAATCAATGCCATGGTTGTTATCGTACACCGTGCAATTGTTGAATATACTGACTGTTCTTCCATTTCAAAGTACAAAGTCTAATTTGAAAGCGCCTTATCTCATACATATTAAAATTCTCAGGATACCCTTATAGCTTTCTCAGCCCACCCACAGCACACCCATTCGAAGGACTTGTCGTCTTATTATGAACTGCCTTATCGCGAACCAGCCGCTCTTTTCAGAGGCTCTTGTTAGTTATCCGTCCGAGCACTCGGAGAAACCGAGCACTCCGTCAGTTTCAAGGAGCTGCTGCCTGAACCTGAATGTTGCGCGACATTTCTGACCAAGGGCGGGGGACATTGGAAACGTAATGCCAAAATCCGGACGACGTCACAGTCCGAACCACTCCGCCAGTAGTCTGGACCACCACCCACTGGACTACTGAGCTGAACAGGCCCAACCACCCAATGTTCCATCATTCGAAATTTGAGCACCCTTTCGCGAAACAGCGCGAAAACGGCAACATGTTGCATGCGTCGTCGAGCTTCGTCATGTGTTGCGACAGCTCGTGACACATGCTCATCGCACTACCAACAGCTCCCTGTCAGATTTTGGTGACAGAGCATTTCGCGTCAACTTTTCGTGCGTTGCCTGTCATGCGACCAGGGTGGTGATTCGAAAGTGGCACTGTCCCGGTCCGGACGACGATTTTCGTGACCCGTGTTCCATCGTCAGTATGAATTGTGACGAAACATTCTGACGACGTGCGAAAATACTCAGCGACTCTCGCAAAACAGTAACCATATCAAAGTCCGGACTTTATTCGGGATCACGAATTGGAGGTCCCGCGCCCTAAGGAGACGCCTCGAGTCAAACTTCGTCATTCGTTGCCGCTATCTTCCTCTTCCACTTCGGCATCCGACCTAGCGACAAGACTGGCCTGTAGAAGTCTTTACTAGGCGCCGCAAAGAACGGGTCGGGAAGGTTATCTTAGGCTGGTGTCAATTTTAACTCTGCAAACCCTGTAGATATGACTTTTGAGTCGACTCAAAAGTCACCTCCTAACGCTGCAAGCCTGTAGATACTATCTTTTTACGCGATGACTTGCTCCCTTCCGGGTCGAATCCTGCTGACTCATCCGTTCTCCTCTTCTGTCAACTTTTGAGCCGATTCAAAGAGTCGCCATGGCTTCGTCATGGTCATCCTCGATATGGTCTTCTCCGGCTTTAACTTCATCTTCCGCCGCCTCTTCGCAACCTAGCGACGAGGTGATCCTTCGCCTGCTGCGTCTGGTTACCACTTCGTCAGATCTCAAATCCTGCTCGCTCGTTTCGCGCCGATGGCTTCGACTGCACGGGCAGATAAAAACTTCTCTCAAGCTCTACGATTGGTCCATGCTCGAGTCGGGCCGCCTGGCGGAGCGTTTCCCGAACCTGACCGAGCTCGACCTCTCCCCGGCCTGGTGCAACTCGTCCGACCCTGAGGTGTTTGGTTCGGCAGCCGTGTACATGACACGCGGCGCGTGCACGATGCGGCTCGACCCGGACGTAGTTAATCCGTTCGAGCCGGATCATAGACTAGAAGAGCAGAGCCCGGCGCCGGATAGTTTCGACCGCGGATTGCGGGAGTTAGTACAGAGTTACTCCAATTTACAGCGGCTGTGCTTGGTGGACGTTTTCCGCGCTAAGAAGGGGACTTGTAACGCGGATAAGGACGAGTTAGGGTTTCTGGGCCACTCGCACTATCGAGCGGAGCCAGCTGGTGATGCTAACGGAGCTCACTCTAACGGAGCCGCAGCGCAGCGAAACGGAACAGTGATTTTAGACAGTATAATTGCAGCTAGGGCTCGGTATGATGACGATTATATTGATCGCGATTCTGAAGGCCTAGATATTATCGCGGATGGGTGTAGCATTCTACAGGAATTAGAGCTCAGGCAGTGTACAGATGATTCGTTACAAGCAGTTTCGGGGTGTAAAAATCTCCAGGTGGTGAGACTAGTGGGGGCTGTTCCGGGATTTTATCACGCAACGTTTACTGACCGGGGGTTACGAATTCTTGCAAGGGGATGTAAGCGAATAGTGGAGCTGTCTCTAAAGGGGTGCGAAGTCGGGCGGGATGGTTTGTCTGTAGTGGCCAGGGAATGCCCGATGCTATCAGATCTGACCCTATCCGGGAGATATTTTCGCCCGGACTGGCTCGGCGCGCTCTGCTTCTGTCCGAACCTGCAGACGCTCAGGCTCGAGAATTTCCACCAATCAGAGCCCGACGAGTGTGCTGCAGCCGTTGGGTGGGCGGGGGGGGTTAGGCAGGAGCTGGGGAAGGGGGGGCAGCAGGAGCAGAACGGGCGGGGGGGGAGGAGTTAGGAGGGAACGAGCAGGAGGGAGAGACGAAGGGGGCGGAGGGGGAAGGAGAAGGGGGAAAGGGGGCTGAAGGCAGTGAAGAGCAGCAGCAGCAGCAGGAGGAGGGGGATAAGGAGGGAGATAAGGAGGGGGATAAGGAGGGAGGTAAGGAGGGGGGTAAGGAGGGGGATAAGGAGGGTAAGGAGGGTGAGGAGGAGCATAGCACTGATTGGTTGGCGAGCAAGCTAGAACTGGAGATGGCAGACGCCTCTCTCTCCCCCGGCCGCCGCTTCCTAGCCACCGTCAAAGCCGCAGTGCACCACTCTAAAACCACTGGAACCAACGCCACTGACACTGATACCACTGGGACCACCTCCCCTGGCACCAACCCTCGTCGTCCCCACCCCCCTCCCGGCTTTCTCTCCCCGGTCGAAAGCCTGCAGCTGATTCACTGTGACCTGCGCTCCCGCCCTTTCTTCCTCGCGCTCCTCGCCGTCTGCGCCAATTGCACCGCTCTCCACCTGAGGAATTGTCGCGGGCTCGACGACTCATCCTTTGCCGGGATCTCGGTCGCTACGAACCGTCGGATTGGCCGGCTGGCGATCGAAGGTTGTCCGTTGATCACGATGGGGTCTCTAGAATCCGTGGTGCTGGCGCTGCCAAAGTTGAGGCAGTTGGCGGTGAGTGACTGCGGCGGGGTGAGGGATGAGGAGATGGGGGGGGAGTTTGCGGATCGGATCTTCACTCTTAAGGAGCTGAAATGGCAGCCATCCGGGGGGAGGCTGGCTGGCACGGGGCTGTTTGAGAAGGGGAGGTGGCTGGTGCAGGGGGGGTGAGTGGAGGGTGCGGGATGGATGCTTGCTTTGGGGACTCTGAAAAGGGGGGGGGGGTGCGTTGAAGGGCCCAAGTGGGGTGACTCTTGAGTCGACTCAAAAGTCACTTCGTTGAAGGAGCCCAAATGGCAGCCGTTGAGGGGGAGGCTGCCTGGCACGGGGCTGTTTGAAAAAGGGAGATGGATGGTGCAGAGGAGGTGAGTTTGGGGAGGTTTTATTGAGGCACCTTGGTGAAAGATGCACTTTGAAAAGGCGCAAGCGGCAGCCGCTGGGGGGGAGGGTGGCTGTGACAGGGCTGTTGGAGAAGGGCAGATGGTTGGTGCAGGGGGGGGGGTGAGTGGATGGGGTGAGTGCAGGGGTAGTGAGTGCAGGGGGGTTGAGTGGAGGGGGGGTGAGTGGAGCGTGAGGCTGGGAGGGTGCGCGTGAAAATTCCCAAAGCAGGATGTTTTTTTTTTTCTTCAGCAGTTGGGGAGGAGACTGGCTGGCACGGGTGATGGGGCGGGTTCTTGGAGAAAGGAAGGTGGCTGGTACTAGCAGGGGCGCGAGGTGGTGTACAGAGGGAGGGTGGCTAAGGGGGGATTGTTTAACTAATTGCTCAAATATTGTAGTCACTGACTGCTGTTGTGTGGTGCTTGTTAGCCTGTTCTTGCCTAATTTGATATCCACGACATGAAAATGAGATAAGGGAATAGTACTGTATAAGCGTGCTACGCAATATGGTACAAGGAGCCACCGTTGAGGTGTACTGGCATACAACGGTTTTCTGTTCCCAAATACTATAATTGACATCACGTTTACTACTACTATTGCACTAACCTTCGCCAGACAAGAGTCCTCTCCACACGAAAAGCCCCACCACTACCGCCACTACCACTGCCACCAGCGGGGTTACTGGCAATCAACCGGCTGACAAACCCCCCCCTCCCCTCTCTCTGCTGCACCATTGCCACTAGCACTACCAGAACTGGTATCACCGGGAACTGTGCTGGTGCTGTTGCTACGGCCAATACCCCCAGCGCTAACCATCCCAACTACACCAACCTCCCCTGCTCCTGCTGCTGCTGCTGCCGCTGCTCCTGCTGCTGAAGCTGCACCTGCAGATACACCTGGTACAGTTGCTGCTTCATAAGCTGCTGCTGCTGCTTCTGCTGCAGCCAGGGCTTCGGCCAGGGAGGAATCGGGAGATGATAGAGTAGTGAAGGGTAAGGGGAGAGGCACATATATGGAGGGATGTGAACCCGAGGATCCTGCTGAGGCATGCGAGCTCGGTATTCCAGCCCCACTAGTAAATGAGGCAGTGCCAGCAGCAGCACCAGTACCGCCACTATCGCTGATAGCACCGCTACCACTGCCGTTACCATCAGCAGCAGAAGTTGCAGCGGACGCTGCTGCTGCTGCTGCTGCTGCTGCAGCTGAAGCCTCGTTGGCACTGCTGCTGCTGCTGCTGCCTAGAGTGCTTGCGGCAAAGCTGCCACTGTTGCCACTGTTGGTGAGCGTTGCAGCATTAGGGGCATAGCCACTGCTGGTGAGAAGAGACGAGTTGGGTGGGGCGGAAGGGCCTGCTCGGCTGCGGATGGTGGCTGCAATCTTGGTGTTCATGAAGTCGACCTCCTTGGTGATTGCTGTGGCCAGGGCCCTGGTGGTTTGGGGTGTTCAGGGGCGGACAAGGGAGAGAGGGAGAAGAAAAGGGGGAGAGGAGAAGGGAAGAGGCGGAAGAGAGATTGGTGGGTCTGATCTTGGTGTTCATGAAATGGACCTCCTTGGTAATTGCGGTGGCGAGAGCCCTGAGATGCGGAACAGGAGGACAAGCAAGGGACGGGATTGGTGGGCGCAATCTTGGTGTTCATGACGCCGACCTCCTTGGTGATCGCTGTGGCCAGGGCCCTGATGGTTCAGGGCGAATAAGAGAGAGGGGGAGACGGAAGGGGGCAGAGGAGCCAGAGAAGGATGGTGGCTGCGATCTTAGTGTTCATGAAGTCGACCTCCTTGGTGATCGCGGTGGCGAGAGCCCTGATGGTTTGGGGTGTACAAGGGTGGATAAGGGAGAGAGGGGGAAGAAAGGGGGGAGAGGAGAAAGAGACGAATGGTGGCTGCGATCTTGGTGGTCATGAAATCGGCCTCCTTGGCGATCGCTGTGGCCGGAGCCCTGACATGCATCGCGGCGGAAGGGGGAGAGGAAGACGAATACGACGACGACCAAGTCAAGAAATAGAGTGGAGGACCTGGTGGAGTAGAGTCAGGCCGACTCGAAACACGGCAGGGGGGGAAGAAGACGAATACGGCGACGACCAAGTGAGGAAATGGAGTGGAGGACCTGGTGGCATGGTGGCATGGTGGCATGGTGGCATGGTGGCATGGTGGCAGAGTGGCATGGTGGCATGGTGGCATGGTGGCATGGTGGCATGGTGGCATGGTGGCAGAGTGGCATGGTGGCATGGTGGCATGGTGGCATGGTGGCATGGCGGCACGGTGGCAGCAGCGAGATTCTTCCCCAGCTAAGTGCCCGTCCTTAGCCCCTTCTTGAGCCCCCCCAGCACCGCATGAGCCACCATCTTCTTCGCCGCCCTCCCCTCCACCGCATCGGTGTTGCCACTCCCATGCAAGCCGTACACACATGCACGCACACCCCTACTATCCTCACCTCTGTGGGCTCATGGTGGCAGCAGCGAGCTTCTTCCCCAGCTGAGTGCCCGTCCTCAGCCCCTTCTTCAGCCCCCCCAGCACCGCATGAGCCACCATCTTCTTCGCCGCCCTCCCCTCCACTGCACTCGGTGTAGCCGCCTCTGCCTCCCCATAAACCTCCCCACTTGCTTCCCCCCCGCATGCATATAACCCCTCTCCTTCCCCACACTCCTCCCCCCCCTCCTCCCCTAGAGCCCCCTCCTCATCTCCCTCCTCCACCTCAGGAAGGAGGGGAGTGAGAGAGTGAGGGTGGCTGGAGTGTGGTTCAAAAGCTGCTGTTGGGGAAAAGGGGTCTGTGCCGAATTCACCTGAGAAACCACCTGAAGAAGCACCTGGGGTACCAACGGTGGCAGTGTCACTGGAATAGCCAGGTTGAGAGGGCACCTGATGCCAATCGGCAGGTGCACCAGTCAGCTCCAAACCACCTGGTGACAAAGCCACTGTTCCTACTACTGCCCCAAATCCTCCCTGCTCTCCTCCTCCCCCCCCTCCTGCTGTTGCTCCAGTTTTAGACCCTTCAATTCCCGGACCTGCGAACACAGCTGCTCTGAAGCTGGCACTGCTGCCGAGGCTGCTGCTGTGGCCGCCGCTGCTGTGGTGGCTGCTGAAGCTGCCGCTTCTGCTAGCGCGGATACCAGGTTGACTGCCAGAAAGCGACCTCTCGCCAGCAGAGTGCAGCCTCTCACTATTCCCAGACCGGGCGGTGACTGTAGCTGCTGAAGCGTCTTGTGCTGCTCCTAATGCTGGCTTCCTCCCTGGAGTCACAGCATCGTGCAACCCTCCGGAAACGCTGGTGGAATTACCTGCGGTTGCGGCAGCAGCGTCAGCAGTGGCTGCAGCAGCAGTGGCAGTCGCACCAGCACCACCAGCACCACCAGCACCACCAGCACCACCAGCACCACCACCAACAGCAGCACCAGTACCACCAGCAGCAAAGCCATCGCCACCAGGCTTATTGCCCACACTCCAGCTCTCCCCCCGGCTCAAGCTGCCCCCTCTTACTGCTGCTGCTGCTGCTGCTGCCATGGCTGCTGTTGCTGCTGCTGCAAGCTCGGGTGATGTTTCTGACACAGCAGCTGACGAGGGCGGTGCTACAGCTGCTACAGCAGACGATGCTGATGCTACAGCTGGTGCTACAGCCGGTGCTACAGCCGGTGCTACAGCGGGTGCTACAGTTACCCCAGACGATCCATACGAGCCCAGAAGCATCGGCCCGGACTTGCTCGGTCCCTTCCGTCCCAAGCCTTCCAGCCGAACCAGACCCATAGCCGCGGCAACCAGAGGCCTCTCCCTCTCCCCGCCCTCTCTTCCCCCCTCCCTAAACCCCTCTCTCCCTCCCTCCGCCTTACTACAAGAGTCCCTCTCCCTGTTAGGGTCTTTCCTTAGACGGATTCCAGGCACAGAAAAGATATTGCTCCTGTGGGGGCTGGGCTTAGGGGGGCTGATGTCTCGCTCCCTCTCTCGAACCCTCCCCCCCTGCTCGTGCAAAGTCCCTACACCAAGCCCTCCCCTCCCTGCTCCGATTGCCAATGGAGGAATGCCTGACCCTGCACCAGCAGCTAAGCCCTCTCCAGTTGCGCCTGCCCCAGTTGAGCCTGCCCCAGTTGAGCCTCCTCCAAGCCCATCTGCTGCCGAGGGTGCTCCCTCTAGCTCACCTGACTCCAAGGAGAGCATATATGCGCCTGCTGCTCCTGCTGCTGCTGCTGCTGTTACTGCTCCTCCTGCTGCTGCTGTTACAGCAGCAAGGCTCGCTGCGTGTGGGCTGAGAATAGCAGGCTCCAACGTGGACCCTTCCCACGAGGCTGACTTGTGTCCTGACGTGGAGAAGACTGACGCTGATGTGGCAGCTGTTGGGGAGAGTACAGCTGGGTCAGCAAGAGCACCAACGGCAGCGGCAACAAGTCCAGCACTGCTGTTGTTGCCGTTGTTGTTGCTGTTGCTAGTACCCAGGTTGCTACTACCGAGGACGCTGCCAGCTCCACTACCTCCTCCTCCCAGCAACCCTCCTATCTTGAACACATTCCCATGCCGCTTCTTCTCACCTTTCTTCTCACTCTTCCTCCTCTCCTCCTCCTCCTCCCCTTCCATCCCCTCACTAGCCTCCCTCTGAGGCCTCGACTCCTTCCCTTCCCGCTTCCCCTTCCCTTCTCGCCCCTCTCTCCCTCCCTCTCCTACCTCCCTCCCCTCCTTCCCACCTTCCTCCCCCGCTCTCCCCTCCCCTTTCTCATCCCCCCTTCTCCTGAACTTGAGAGCCCCCACAGACTGCAATGCGCCCACACCTAACCCTATCCCCGCACCCGCACCCTTCTGCGCTGCCTCAAAGAAACTGCTCCCGATACCACCTCCCCCACTTCCACCCCCACCAGTACCACTGCCCCCACTCCCCCCCCCACTACCGCCACCGCCCTTAGCACTCCTACTTCGTCTCATTGCACCTCCAGTTCCTCCGCTTCCTCCTCCTCCTCCTCCTCCTCCGCCACCTTCTGCTGTTTTGTGCCTTGATTCCTCCTCCATAAACGAACGCCCTCTGACTTTGGTTGCGGTTGGCACATCGCTAGCAACGAACCCTACTGCAGCAGTGGCATCACTAGTAGCACCACCAACACTGGCAGCACCAGCAGCACTGGCAGCACCAGCACTACCCGTAGCAGCGATGGCAGCAACACCAGCAACGGCAGCAGCAGCACCAGCATCACTCCCAGTGTCCGAATCTTGGCTATCTTGCCGATACAGCAATCCTCCTCTCTCCTTCTCCTTTCCTCCTTCCTCCTCTCCCCGCTCCCTCCCCGCACTCGCATCTCTGTCCTTCGCCCTCCCTCCTTTCTCCTCCTCTCTCTCCTTCTCCTTCTCCCTCCCGCCCTTGTCCTTTTCTCTCTCCTTCCCTTTCTCCCTCCCTCCCTTCTCCCTATCCTTCTCCTTATCCTTCTCTCTCCCCCCACGGGTCCAAGAGGGGGGACCCCATTTCGGAGTAAATCCCTCCTCTTTCTCTTTCCTTCCAGCCATGGGACTGGCTGTTAACGGAGCAGACAATACCGAGGACGGAATGGAGGATGAGAGAGTGCGGGAAGGGGGGGTCGATGGCTTGCTGATAAGCAGACGCTCCAGGGTGGGAGGCGCAGCAGGGGAGGGACCAGGGGAGGGACCAGGGGAGGGGCCAGAGGGGGTGAGATTGGCAGGGACAGGGGCGAGGGCAGAGGGAAAGGAGGTCAGTGGGGAGGGCGAGGAGGAAGACGAGGAGTGGTATGTGGAGGGGGTGGTATGTCCTAGGGAGGAGGCTGTAGCAGGTGTTGCTACGGAATCTCCTGGTGTTGGTGGCATGGGATTGTAGAATGAGAACGAGGCTGCTCTCCCCATGCCTCCTCCTCCTCCTGCTGCCCCTGCTCCTGAATCCTCCACCCTCCCTTCTAGATGTCCTCCCTCCCACCCTTGCTCCTTCCCTGCCCCTCCAACCCTCTCTATCCTTCCCTTCTCTGCCATTCCCTTGTCTGCTGCCTCCCCTCCCAGCACGCCTTCCACCTGCTCTCCCTCCCACTCCTCCTCTAACCCCCCACGACTCGACGTTTCGGAAGTTGCGAACGAAGCTTCCTCGCTCTGCGCTGCTGACGTCAGCGTGTCGGAGAGAGAGGGCAAGGAAGGGAAGGAGCCAGATCCGAGGGACAAGGCACCAGCTGGTGTGAATTGTGCAGTACCCATTCCTGGTCCTATTCCAACTCCTGCTGTTGCTGCTGCTCCTCCTGCTCCTGCCCCTCCTGCCCCTCCTGCTCCTCCTGCTTCTTCTTCTGCTGCTGCTGCTGCTCCTGGCAGGCCCCCCAAACGACTCTCACCTGCCATTGGGCCCCCAAGCGCCCCTTCCCCCATGATCAGAGCATTAATCCTCTCACTCTCACACACCCCCTCACGGTCACTATCACTCTCACTCCCCGCTCCTCCTCCCCCTCCCCCACCCACCCCTGCACTTGCTGTGCCTCTAAGCCACTCCCCACTCCCTCCCCTCCCCTTCCTATCACTCTCCACGTCACTCTCACTATCGCTCTCCCTCTTCCCCCCTCCCGCCGCCCCTCCTCTCCTCTTCCTCCTCCCGAACTTCCTCCCCCAATCCCGCATCTTCCCCCACTCAGTGTCACTCTCTCCCCCCGTTTTACCCCCCTCATGCACAACCAGTCTGTCCACAAACCTCTCACTTCCTTCGTTATAGTCACCCCCTCCCCCAGGGTGCCACTGCTCCCGCTCATACTCACTCTCACTGTCACTCTCCCTGCCAGAGCTCCCCAGCCTGCCCCGAAGCCTACTCTCTTTCTCTCCCCGCTCCCCCGCTCCTTGCACCACTGCTCCGGCTGTCTCCGGCCGCTCTCCCTCCCTCTCCCTCCCTCTCTCTTTCCCTTCCAAATCCTCCCTGAACTCCCCAGGCAGATCTTCCGATGACCCCTGCAACTTCTTTCTCCTCTCCCGCCTCTCGCGCCGCTCCCTGTCCTTCTCCCTTTTCACCGCTCTTTCACGTTCCTTCCTCTCCTCCCTCTCCTCCCGCTCCCTCTCCTTCCGTTCCTGCCTCTCCCTCTCTTTCTCCGCCTTCTCCTTCTCCTTTTCAGCTCGCTCCCGCTCCTTCTCCCTCTCCCGCTCTGCCCGCTCCCTCTCTTTCTCCCTCTCCCTCTCTGCTTTCTCGCGTTCTTTCTCCATCCGCTCTCTCTCCCTCTCCCTTTCCCTCTCCTTATCCTTCTCCCTCTCCCACGCCAACACCCCAAAACCAAATCTTGACCGTTGCTCTGTCTCATCCTCCTCCTCTTCCCCAAGCAAATCCCCCACCCCCAGTTTCCTCCTCCTCCTCCTCTCCTTCTCCTTCTCCCTTCCCTTCTCCCCCTTCTCCTCCTTCTCCTCCTCCCTCCCCTCCTTCTCCCTCCCACCCGCCCTCATTCCTTCTTTCTTCTTCCAGATTTTCATCCGGCTGCCCAGCCCACCAAATACATCACCAACCACCCCAAAATCGAAAGAATCTAATCTCATGCCATCCATTACCGCCCCTTCCTCCACCCACCTCTCCATCCGAAACGCATGCAGCTTTGGACTCATCCCCATCGAATCCTGCTCCCGCTCCCGCCTCTCCTCCCTCTCCCTCCACCCCCTCTCATCCCTCAGCTTCTTATCCCTCTTCCCTTTCCTCCACCAATCCCCACCTTCCCCTTTCCCCTCCATCTCCTCTTTCCCTCCTCTCTTCGCCAATCCTCTCTCCCACACCTTCGACTTCCCTCGTAGCATCCGCCCCACGTCCATCTCATCGCCTCCCTTTCTCAGGTTAAAACTCGGGGTCCCGGGAAGCCTCCTCCCAAACAGCTTCCGCCTCTCCCCCCTCCTCCGCATCCGCCCCTCCGCATCCCCGCCCTCCCCTTCCCCTTCCCACTCCCCACCCACATCCTCGTCCCCTTCCCCCTCCCCCTCCCCATCCTCCCCCTCCATATCGTCCAAATCATGCACCTGTAACGCGGCTGCCGCAGCAGCAGCAGAGTCCTTATTCCCCCCTGTGGCCTGTATCAGCTGGGCATACGCCTCCTGGAGCACCTGATCTAGCCTCGTCCACTCGTGCATGACCTCATCCTTCACCTCTTCCGTGCTCCGCCCATCCCTAATCGCGCACTTTTCAACGAAAGTGAGCGCACGGGCCTCTGAGTTGCGGATCAGCGCAATGCGGTACGCTGCGAGGGCGAGAGAGGCGGCTAGCCCTTCCCGTAACTTCTCTCTCTGCTGCTCCCGCTGCTCCCGTTGCTGCTCCTGCTGCTGCTGCTGCTGCTCCTGCTGTTGCTGGGAAAACCTAGGCGATTGCGGCATAGAAGGCGGGGCACTAGCCAGCCCACCAGCACCGCCAGCAGCGGCCTCTGCCCCTGCTGCTGCTGTGAAAGAGAGCGATCGGGAGAGTGAGCCAGAGAGCGAGCTGGAAAGAGCACCGATGGATGCAGCAGTAGTGCTAGAAAGGCCCAGGATCCTGGCATGGTCCATGAGCCTACGGTGGGTCGGTGCCACCTCCCTCAACTGCTGCCCTCTTTCCCTTTCCTCCCCTCCTTCCTCTCCCCCCACTCCCTCCCTTCCCTCTCCATTACCACCACTACCACCTGCTGCCACTGACGCTGCTGCTGCTGCTCCTGCTGCTGCTGCTGCCGCTGCTGCTGCTGCCGCTGCTCCTGCTCCTGCTGCTGCTGCTGCTCCTGCCGCTGCTGCTGCTGCTGCGGCGGCGGTTGCAGCAGCAGCAGCTGCGTCTCCCTCCGCCCGCACTTGCTCCAGCTTCACCTTCACCCTCCTCACATGCTCCCACGTGAGATGCTTCTCAGCAACTTCCATGTTAGTCTGTTCCCGCCACCACCCCGCCTCGTCCTCCTCCTCCTCAGCCACCACTCCCAGCAGCCGCCCCACAGCCACAAGCCACCTCCCCACATGAACAACCGCATTCGCGAACCACCTCCTGAGCCCCCTCTGCCTGCCCACGAATTTCCGCTTCTCCCCTCCGAGCCCTAACTCCAGGGCAGCTACCAGCCCTGTGTCTCCTGCTCCTAGCCGAGCAGATCTCACTCTCCCACAGAGCTTGCACCTCCCACTCCCCCCTGCTTTCTTCCCCAAGCTCACCCCCACCTGCTCCCCCCCTTCCCCTGTAGCACCCCCCGCCCCTGCCCCCCCACTCACAGCCTCGTCGAAGAAGCAAGCCGCACAGAACCCGCAGCTGATCTGTAACCGTAACCACAGGTCCCTGCCCCCTCCCGCTGACGCCAGCAACTCCTGGTAGAAGGAAAGGAGTCGCTCCAGGTCTTGGGAAGCTTCCTGGAAGCAGCCGACGGACTGGTAGAGGCAGGCTCGGCACCAGAGCGCGTCGGCTCGGTGGGGCTCCAGGGCTGAGGCTCGGGAGCAGTCGGCGATAGCATCGGCGATGCGGCTGGAGGCTTGGAAGGCTGCGGCTCGGCGGAGGAAGAGAGAGGCGGCTAGCGACTGGGGGATGCCCTTCTTGGACTCGAGAACTGCAAGTGGGGGGGCGGGAGAGTTTGGGGCAGGGGTTGGGGGGGGGAGGGTATATAATCTGGGGCTCGGCGGAGGAAGAGAGAGGCGGCTAGCGACTGGGGGATGCCCTTCTTGGACTCGAGAACTGCAAGTGGGGGGGCGGGAGGGGGGGGGAGAGTTTGGGGCAGGGGTTGGGGGGGGGAGGGTATATAATCTGGGGCTCGGCGGAGGAAGAGAGAGGCGGCTAGCGACTGGGGGATGCCCTTCTTGGACTCGAGAACTGCAAGTGGGGAGGGCGGGTGAGGGGGAGGGAGATAGAGGCCGGTGAGGGGGGGGGGGAACAGGTAAGAAGTTTGAGGCTCGGCGGAGGAAGACAGAGGTGGCTAGCGACTGGGGAGTGCCCTTCTTAGACTCGAGAACCGGAAGATGGGGAGGTGGGGGCAGGGAGGGAGTTTTGGGTGGTGGTGAAGGGGAGGGGGGGGGGAGGGGGGGGTTGTTGGACAGGTTGGACGCTCGGTGGAGGAAGAGAGTCACACTCGCGCTTCCCCACAACGCGCTTCCCACACGCGTGCTTCCTGCTCACACGCATCTCCATACACATGCTTCTCACGCACGCACCTTTGGAGTAGTGCCTGACTGCTTCGGGGTATAGCCCAGCAGCAAAGGCAGCATCACCGGCAGAGCGGCGCCAGAGCAGGAAGCGGATGACGAGGATGAGGCGGTTTAGGGTTTCCACCGCAGAGGAGGAGGAGGAGAGGGGTGCTGTAGCTGCGGGGTTGGTGCCGTCATAGACTGGGAACTGGTCCTCGTCCATCAGCGCACTCTCCTTGCTGGGATCAGAAAGCAAGCGGGGGAGGGAGGAGGGGGGGTAGGGATTAGGAGGTGAGAGACTGGGCTGGGAACTGGTCGTCGTCCATCAGCGCACTCTCCTTGCTGGCCAAACGGAGAGGACAGGGAGAGAGAGGGGCAGGCGGACAGGGGATGGGAGGCGGATAGGGGAAAAGGGAACGGGGAGGGGGCGGATTGACAATGAGCATGAGGGAACCGACAGACGGGAATGCCGAAACTGAGGGGGTTCATTTACTGTGCTACAGCCTGTCCCATGACTCACGGCACTACAGCCTGTCCTGACTCACCGCGCTACAGCCTGGCTGAGCCTCTTGGCCCGTCGCAGCAGCACGAGCGCCTCATCCAGCCACCCCAGGTGGTACGTGGCCTGGCCCAGCAGCAGGCACTGCCACATGTCCGTGGCTGATTTGTTCTCGTCCTCAGCTGCAGGGCGCAGGAAAGAGAGCACGTGAGCAGCGCAAAGGATGGCAATCCACCATGAAAAGCTCATGAAATGCTCATGAAATGTAAATGAAATGCTCATGAAATGTTCAAGTTTGCTTGATTGACGATACACATGCTGCACTTCCACACTAACTTACGTCAAGACATTTCTACACTGCACAGGGGTTTACCGTCCATGATACTCACTCCTTTCATTGTAATGCATGCGGTTGTGTACGGTGGAAAAAACCCTTTGCCAGCATCACCGCCACCACCTCCTCGTACCGCTGCAGGCGCATCAGTGCACCTCCTTGCATCCCGTGTACTCGCATCTCATGTACTCGCTATAAAACCGCAACTCACTGTAGTGCATGGCGTTGTGCACAGTAGACAGATCCGGTAGGTATTCCGCCAGCACCGCCACCACCTCCTCGTACCGCTGCAGGCGCATCAGCGCGCGCGCGCGGATCTCCTGCAGGGAGCCCGCCAGCCACGGCGCGCGGTCCACCGCCGCGGATAGCTGCGCCACGCCAGCTGCCACGTCAGCGGGCGTCGCGCCACGTAGACTGGCCTTGGCTCGGACAATCAATTCCTTGGCAATCTGTAGGGTGAGGAAGGAGAAGAGTGAGGGCGAGGGGGGCTTTAAGTCGATCCAAAAGCTCCTCGGCGATCTGTGAGTTGAGTGAAGATCAAGGAAAATATCAGGGAGCGGGGAAACGTCAGAGAGAGGGGGAAATGGGGAAATGCATGAGAATGGGGAAATTTCAGGTAATGGGGGAAATGGCAGCAATGCAGTTGTGGGAGAGCCTAGCGGAGACATACCTCTTCTGAGTCCTTCCGGCGGAGCCATAAGACGATAACGTAGACGGTGACGGACATGACGCCGGCTAGCCCTAAAAAGCCAGCCAGAACGAATGGCAGCATTCTGACGATCCACCAGGCAGACGCCATAGCGCCGGTAACGGAGTTCCAGTAGAGCGTTTTTCCTGGCGGTGTTATTCTAACGTGTCAACAGATGATTGGCGGTATTCTGACGATCCACCATGCAGATGCCATAGCTTCCAGTCGGTTATTTTCTTCGCTGTCTATAACGTCTCAACAAAAGATTGGAGGCATTCTGACGATCCACCATGTAGACGCCATAGCGCAGGTAACGGAGGCTAAGACCTAATAGCTGCATTAACTACGGCGAATGATGAAAACTCGGCGAATCATTGTTTTCCGACGAATAATGGAAATTTGGGCGAATCACGACGATTTCATAGAGCTAACTGGATCACCATTGGACTAGGCGAAAGGAAACTTCGAAACTGGGATGATCGGGCCGCTTAGAAGGAAACGAATAATCTGGTTCTTGAGAATTCTCAGAAACCAACTAAACTGCTCTGGTTCAGAAGGCTCAGGAGAAGAAATCTCCAGAAGAAGAAAAAAACGGATGTACGACAACCGAATAGCTCATCATCGTCGCCTGACTATGGCAGGATAATGCACGCCGCGAATGGACGGGACATGTGTGGGATCGGGCTTTGTCCAATCTACAAATCTAAGAGGCGTACGCGGAGCGGCGAAACGAATAGCAAGACTGTCGACGCGAACCGGCATACCTAAAGGAACCGCCTGCAAATACTCGACGCGAAGGTCAACACCTAGTAGGAGTACAGAACATAGCAGCCTTGGTGCTGCATATGAAGCTGATGGATGCTGACGGAAGAAATAGTACAAGGGACCTGAACCACGCTTAGAGCTCCACCACTACGACGCTACTGATCAGTCAGCCATCCCACCGGCTAATTTTTCGTGACTAAGAAATTTATCAATGCCTTGAATTTCAGCCATGGCATGAGCTTATCTTTCTGCTTACCCCATGCCATGAATCATTTCAGGTGCTGTGCTTGTGCTCACATCTCAACAGAAAGCGAGGCAAAAATACAGGGCGCTACAAGAATCAATTTCCTGCTCGTTTACTACGGTTAAATGAGGTGCGTCTTGTTTAAAGAGAGGTGCGTCCAGGTGAGTAGGGTTCACGAACTTTTATGACATACCAAGCCAACCAAAATGGCAGCAGAATCTGAACCGAGGACGCCTTGTTCAGGGAGAGATGGAGTGCGGTGGTGGGGTGGAACCTGGATTTTGGTTCGGCGAATGAGAGCCTCATTGGTCAGTGACGCAAGTGATGGACGCCGAACCAGACGCAAGTGGTCTTGGCTTGGGAATGAAAGATCCCACCAATGTCGATGTGAATCCACGTGGTTCTGTGTGGTTCAGCACGGTAAAACCGAGGCATTGCCTAGGTCAAAAGCAGCTCCGAGACTGCCTAAGATACTGACGTCGTGCACAAGGTCCACTTGTAATTGTTCATGACTATAGAGCATTCTATGTAGTACCAAAGTGGATACTACAAATATAGCATGAGAACTTAGTAAGCTTGAAGGTTTGTGCACAATTTACCTCTAGAATTTTTCCCCTTGTAAAAACAAGCTGGGTGATCATAGCATGGGGTCAATTTACCTTTTACAAGAAAAATAGCGAAACCACGCCGTCCCTGATATACACCACCTCGTTATCCTCTATATCCATCACCACCTTCGTGTGCACCACAACACCACTCGCATCACTCGCTAAGAACGGCTCCTCGGGGCCGGTCGCAACACCTCCCCACATCAACCCCCCCTTCTCGGTCCCCATCATGTCAAAGGCGGATTTGCGGCCATCTTAGGGGATTTTGACTCCCAGGAGAAGCGGGCTGCCGCACTTGAAGGCGAGAAGCTGGTTTGGGAAGTGCGGCAGCCCGCTCTCAGCATGTCTCTTGAAGAGCAGCGCGTAGGCGCCCTCCAGCTGCTGCATCACCTCCATCACCAACCCCATCACCACCCCCATCGCCACCCCCATCACCACCCCCATCACCACCCCCATCGCCACCCCCATCGCCACCCCCATCACCACCCCCATCACCACCCCCATCACCACCCCCATCACCACCCCCATCACCATCTGCGTGAACGCCACGCACTCTCCACTGCTGTCGCCGTTGGCTGATGGGGAGAGCGTGTGGATGGTGGGAGGGGAAAGGGGAGAAGACATGACTAACGGTGAGAGGGGAGAGGAGAGAGGATAGGCGCCCGCCAGCTGTCCGCCATGGCCTCGCCGCCCTTTCCGCCCTCGGACTGCAGCAGATTGTCCTAGAAAAACTATTTTTTAGGCGCCTCAAAAATAGGCTCAGCAGATTGTCCTAAACTATTTTTTAGGCCCCCTAGACGAACTGGGGAGCTACAGCATCACCTCTTGCTGTCCCTTCCTCCTGCCGCCCCTCCCGTCCCTAGTACCCGAACCCCCTCGTACTGCCTGCCCCACCCCTACCTGCGATCTTCTTGCTCCTGACGCTGTTGGCTGTGCTCCCTTGCCGTTCGTCTCTGTTCCAAGTATTGCTACACCTACCTGCGCTCCCATCCCCTACCTGCGGTCCCATTCCCTACCTGCACTGTTCTTGCTCTCGACACTGACGCCATTGGCCAAACCCTCGCCGCCGTGCCCCCCCTCCGCTGGCGTGGTGTCCAAATTTCAGCCCTCGCTCATCCGCCGTCTCCCTCTCCTTACTCTTATTGCCCGGCTCTCGGCATGTTCTGATTGCGGAATGTGCTCTTCATCTTGCTCCATGTCACCACCACATCTCTCCCCCCCTCCCTCGACATCCCTAGTGGCTGCAGCTAGCTTTTCCTCTCGCCTCTTCGCGACCAGCTTTGCTGCTTTCCCAATATGATGGTCGCACAAAGAAAACCCTAGTCTAGGGATTCTCAGGCACACCCACCCTTTGCCATCCGTTCGGCTACAGTGCCGGGCCACTGGCTCACTCTCAAGAACATCTGGTCCATCTTGCTTCTTCCTCTCTATTCTCCTTCGCTTCTTCCTGTCTACTTTCCTTCGCTTCCCCTTCACAACGCATTTGTGCAGAGATCCCACCTTCCTGCTCTTTCCCACTTCAAAACAGCTGTCCTCGCTGTTCCCCCCCTCCTCCTCACTAATCCCACTCACACCACCTTCATTATAAGCACTTCCACTATCTTCGCTACAAGCAGCTTCACTATAAGAACTTTCACCGTCCCAACCACCATACTTCCCCTCCCCCACCTCCCCAGACGCATCTGCATCACATCCTGCATGCCCCTCCCCATCCCCACCCTCCATCACCCCGCCTATTTCACCATCGCCAGTAACCCTCCCCTTTAATCCCTCCTCGCCCCGCTTCTCACCACCTCTTCGCACCCTGCTGCCTAAAACCACCGCATGTGAATTTGAGGGGCAGAGCACTGCATGGGCGTCTGGGGGGTTAAGCGGTGGAGGTATAGGTATTGGCCGCTGTGTATGTATAGGAGGTATTTGGCTGTTGGGCTTGCGAGCCTGCCTGCTGCTCCGGGGTCGCTTTCTTGGTCTGCCACGCTCGGCTGAGGCTGAGGCTGAGGCTGACAGAAGTGTTGGAGCATCTGCCACAATTGGAGGCGCCGCAACACGAGGCCGCATCCTTGGTCCACCACTCTCAGGCCGCTTGGCTGGGGGTGACAAGAGCAGTGGAGCTGCTGACTCATCCTGAGGCGCCTCAGCACGAGGCTGCTTCCTTGGTCTCTCACCCTCAGGCCGCTCTGCTGAGGGCGACTGAAGCAGTGGAGCATCTGCCACATTTGGCGGCGCCGCAACACGAGGCTGCATCCTTGGTCTCTCACGCACAGGCCGCTCGGCTGAAGGCGACAGAAGCAGTGGAGCTTCTGCCCCATGCTGAGGCGCCTCGGCCTGAGGCCGCATCCTTGATCTCCCACTCTCAGGCCGCTTGGTTGAAGGCGACATAAGCAGTGGAGCATCTGCCACATTCTGAGGTGCCTCCGCACGAGGCAGCCTCCTCGGTGTGCCACTGCCACTCTCAGGCCGCCTGCCGGAAGGGGACAAAAGCGGTGGAGCATCTTCCGAGTGCGCTGCAGTCCTTGTTTCAGGCACACGCATTTCCAGCAGCCCTTGAGCCAGCTCACCAGGGTTCTCACCAGGGGCATCCCCCATACTAGCCCGCGCTCCCTTCCCTGCACGTCCAAGCACAGGGAACCTGTAGCTCACCCATTTGGCGGTCGAATTGCCCTGTGAATTCTCGTGCGAATTCTCGTGTGAATTCTCGTGCGAAGGCTCATGCGAAGGCTCATGCGAAGGCTCGCGTGAGAGAAGGTCGTTGATGAATTTCATCTGCACCCGGCCCACTCGCCGGGTTCCGCCTTTCCTCTTGGCGTGCTGGTGGCAGCTGGAGGGTTTGATTCGATCAGCTTCTGCTGGCTCATGTGTAGGATTGCGTTGCCGCTGCAGCGACAGGAGAGCTACCGGCTCAATCTCTAATCGTGGCTCTGAATGTAGCACCTCAACTGCTGAAACCGGTGGTGCTGGCGATTCTGACGCTGCTGTCGGAACCGGAGCTACCGCTGCTGCTGGTGCTGCTGATTCTGCAGAGGCTGCTACAACTTCTACTGCTGCTGCTGCTGCTGCTGATTCTGCTAGTTCTGCTGTTGTTGCTGCTGCTGCTGATTCTGCTAGTTCTGCTGTTGTTGCTGCTGCTGCTGCTGATTCTGCTGCTGCTGCTACTGCTGCTGCTGATTCAGGTGCCGCTGAAATTTGTTGTGGCTGTGACTGGAAAGCATCTGGCGGCAGCATTAGCTGTGGCTCTGAAAGCACCACCTCAACGGGTGCTGCTGACTCTGATGCTGCTGTCAGTGCTGCTGCTGATTCTGATGCTGGTCCTGGAGCTGCTACTCCCTCTGCTGCTGCTTCTGCTGCTGCTGCTGCTGGTACTGCTGCTGGTACTGCTGCCGCGGCTGTCAGTCCTTCCGTTAGTGGAGCTGTTAATGCAGCTGATGGTGATACTCGGGTTGCCTCTGCTGCAGCAGGATGTGCAGCATCTTGGAGCGGTTGGAGGCGGTTAGAAGCAATTGCCTGGCGCGATGGAGGGTCGCAGTAATCGCCTGCTGATGCTGCGTCATCGTGATGCTGTTGGTGATGCTGATGGGGTTTGCAGTAACCACGGCAATGTTGATGTTGCAGATGATGCTGCTGATGTTGATGTTGCTGTTGATGCCTGCACATGGGAGGCAAGGCGGCAGGACGGATGTTGAATGAGCGACAGAGGGAATGGGCGACAGAGGGAAGGCGACAGAGGGAAGGCGACAGAGGGAAGGCGACAGAGGGAATGAGCGACCGAGGAAATCAGCAACAGAGGGAACAGGCAACAGAGGTAATGAGCAACAGAGCGAACAGGCAACAGAGGGAATGAGCAACAGAGCGAACAGGCAACAGAGGGAATGAGCAACAGAGCGAACAGGCAACAGAGGGAATGAGCAACAGAAGGGAATGAGCGACAGAGCGAATGACTGAAAGAGTGGGTGAGCGACAGAGTGATGTGTAGCACTGCGCTGATGGCACATGAACCCGACTCAGCAAGAGATCGAAGAATGTATGAGAATGCATGTGTGCCAGTGCTGATACAGCATGGGAATGCATGTGTGCCAGTGCTGATACAGCATGGGAATGCATGTGTGCCAGTGCTGATACAGCATGGGAATGCATGTGTGCCAGTGCTGATACAGCATGGGAATGCATGTGTGCCAGTGCTGATACAGCATGGGAATGCATGTGTGCCAGTGCTGATACAGCATGGGAATGCATGTGTGCCAGTGCTGATACAGCATGGGAATGCATGTGTGCCAGTGCTGATACAGCATGGGAATGCATGTGTGCCAGTGCTGATACAGCATGGGAATGCATGTGTGCCAGTGCTGATACAGCATGGGAATGCATGTGTGCCAGTGCTGATACAGCATGGGAATGCATGTGTGCCAGTGCTGATACAGCATGGGAATGCATGTGTGCCAGTGCTGATACAGCATGGGAATGCATGTGTGCCAGTGCTGATACAGCATGGGAATGCATGTGTGCCAGTGCTGATACAGCATGGGAATGCATGTGTGCCAGTGCTGATACAGCATGGGAATGCATGTGTGCCAGTGCTGATACAGCATGGGAATGCATGTGTGCCAGTGCTGATACAGCATGGGAATGCATGTGTGCCAGTGCTGATACAGCATGGGAATGCATGTGTGCCAGTGCTGATACAGCATGGGAATGCATGTGTGCCAGTGCTGATACAGCATGGGAATGCATGTGTGCCAGTGCTGATACAGCATGGGAATGCATGTGTGCCAGTGCTGATACAGCATGGGAATGCATGTGTGCCAGTGCTGATACAGCATGGGAATGCATGTGTGCCAGTGCTGATACAGCATGGGAATGCATGTGTGCCAGTGCTGATACAGCATGGGAATGCATGTGTGTCAGTGCTGAATCAGCATGGGAATGCATGTGTGTCAGCTGTGCTGACTCAGCGTGAGAATGTATGTTATGCCACATTGTGTGATCTTGCTAACACGGTAGCAGCGCATGGCGAAGACACAAGCCGCTGGGAGGGGTTATGCCTCTCTTGTGGACACAATAAGGAGGTGACTTTTGAGTCAACTCGAAAGCCACCAGGAGGGGTTATGCCACACTTTCTTGTGGACATGGTAAGGTGCAACAGACCTGCGATGGAGGGTGGTGCTGGGGTACTAATTTTTTTAGGCGCCTCAAAAAAACAATTCTGGAGTTCCGGCACAAAGCAGATCTGGTCCATGATTTTGCAGGGTGTTTTTAAGAATTCTCCAAAACACCGTGCAAAGCAGACCTGGTCCTCCATGCCTTCGTCGATTAAAAAAACGCTGAAGGAGTTATGCCACACTCTCTTCTGGGCATCAGGAGCACGCAGACCTTGTTCTCCATTCCACGAAGGGTGCCGGTGTAATCACACACATGGCGTGTGCAGCTCACTAGAATCTCTCAGTCCCGGCCCCCTTTGTGGTGAATTTTGAGTCGACTCAAAAGTCAGTCCCGGGCCCCTTCGTGGTGGACTTACTGCAAACCCACTCTCCTCCTCTGCAGAGGAGAGTCGCACCTCCCCTCCCTCTTAACAAACAGACGACGATGAAAGAGAGAAAGGGGAGAGGGAGGGAGGGAGGAGTGAGCGGCGGGGGGAGCGGGGAGAGAGGAGCGGGTCGAATGAGCAGTGCCTCCGGGATTGCACGCTCAAAGCTGGCCCTTTTGGTGTGTTACGAGGTGGTTACCCGCTTGGGATTGTAGCACGTGGAAGCGTGACGTCAGCTGGGCGGCTTCTCGAGCTTTCCAAGGCGTCATCATGGCCGCCAAGACTCATCGTTTCGTGGCGGCTCCATTGATTCTGAGCCGTCTCATCAAACCCATCATCATGGCGGAATGATGATGCTCCAGCCGGCGCCGCCGGCTGCAGTGGCTGGGACTCAAAAGCTTGGCACTCGTGCCATGATCCCTGCCAACTTCTTGGCGGGACATCATGGAAAGGGTTGCTCCTATGACGTGCAATCGGATTGCTACTATCGCATTTATTACTACTACCGTGGTATGCAACCTCCGTCTGAGCTTCCCGGCCTTCCCGAGCGGCCTGATGGTCTTGAGCCGAAAATGAAGAAAGCCGGTCATAGTTGCAGGCTGAGGCGCCGGGGATGGTGGGGTGAATCCCTCCGGCCGCGGCGGCAAGCTGCGCAAGACGCTTCCGTATCCGCATGCCTGTCGAAAGCAGCGATGCTGCGAAGCAGCGACTCTGGGACCAGTGAGTTGTTACTAGTACTAGTAAGAAGAGACTTAAGTCAAATTTAGAGACATCGGGAATTTTCCGCATATCCGACCGGCGCATCACCGGCGAGCTAGTACTACTATCTCCTTTGGTGGGGATTGCATCACTCCGTGCTCATCCTACTTCAGTGGGAACTTCAAGACTCCGTGAACTGAGCCTGTTGCAGTTTGCTGGTTGTCTTAGTGTAGGGACTAGTCCTTGTATCTGGACTCTGCGGGACTGAGTACAGACAGGGGCAGGACAGCAGCAGCAGCACCCCAACCAAACCCTCGCTTTCAGTCATTGAGGAGGGATAGGGGGGACATTCCCTTGGCCCTGGGCAGAGCATTGAATGTGTGCATTGGAGGCTTGGCATAGCAGGGCGTTGCCTCGCAGGCTCGGAACGGGACAGAACATTCTTGGTTTTGGTTCGGTTAGGGACCTCCTTCTTGGTTTGCCAACATCAGTTGTTGCACCCACCATTTGCGGGTGATTGCGAGGGAGACGAGGCATTGGAGGGCCAATGTCGGATTTTGAAGCTGTGATCCGGCAGCTGGCCCATCCGACGTGGACACAACGGGCCAGGGGTTTGCCATCCACCTTTTGCCGAGAATCATACACATTTAAGTCCTTTTCAGGCCCAGTCATTTTCCGGACGGGTGCCTCAGAGTCGAGCGCAAAACTTTCACGGGCGAAATGGACCAATATATGGTAGTCTGGTTACCAAGTTGGCATTCTTCAGTCTAAAGCGGGTGATCATTGTTGTTTCTTATGCGTTCCTCTGGCAACAGTGTAAGGCCTCAGGACGTCCCATCTGCACGTTTGGAGGTCTCAAATTGGAGTGCATCGACGACTAGAGTAGGTATTTCATATGGGCAATTATTCCCTACATGCAAACTCGACGTACGTAGGAAAACATGTAACTAGCCAATCAGACACCGTACATGCATGCGTGCAATTGATGCATAGCTTTCAAAGTTTTTCATTCATGGAAATAATGGTATCTACGGATAGGCCGACGACCCACAGCGATCGCAGTCGGTTTACAACCGTCACCTACCAGTATTATATTTTTTTGTCCGCATCTAGGATTCCACAGGTTTCGAGGACAAGGCAATAACTCTAAGCGTCTTCTTTAGTGCATCGGTGTAACAAATATTTGACGTGTTTTGGGTTAGAGTTCTTGCAAAATGAAGTTGGTGTTTACAATCCTCAAATGAATTCGCTCTAAGTTCAATCACACGTCGGCTGCACGGAAGTTGTAAGCCCTAATAGAGGTGTATTTATTAAGACAAGTATCAATTCCCTTCAAAGGATCGCCTTTACTATGCCTCTGAAAACCGCCATCTATGAGTAGTCCGCCAAATACTTCATACAACGTATGTCCGTACCAGATACAACCTAAGGGTTATGCAGTTTTAGTTGTGCTACTTGTCTTGCAATGGCAAAGTTTTTGTAAAATTTTTAAAACTTGGTTGTACGACACGTTGCAAAAACCTAGCGAGCTGCCTACATGGACATGGTCGGCACAGAAGACGGGCTCCCCGCCCCTCTACTATACAAAAAGGACAACGTTCATATAACCTCGGAAGCATTTTGAAAAAAAATTGCATGGTTCATATAGGGGTGTTCTCTACTTGCAGTTTCCTACATCCTCTGAGCTTGCCCTAGTGGAATACGGCTTGTAACTGTTGGAGAGCTGTGTGACTCTGTGGGATGGGCCGTTGCCCGTATGTTCGAACAATAAGCATGTAGATGATCATGTAACATATAATGAATGAGTATTGAATGGAATAAAGGTGTACTTTGGTCCACCTGCACACCTCGGCACAGCCCCAAGCCAACCCAACCCAGCCTAGGTGCTGCTGTTGAATGCCCGAACAGTCAATTGAATTGATCCACTGCACAGTTCCCCTCGATCAGGTGGGGCTAGGGAAACGGTTGTGTGTGCAGAAGGGGAGCGGAAGCAGCATTTTGTAGCAATGGCGGGAAGCCAGCGTAAACACGGCAGGCTGAAGTCAGTTACTTTCGGCATCCTCCTCCAACTTCTGTTCACTCCTTTCTTGGGAAACTTCTCCACCCGGAAACCCGATAATTTGTTAACAGTAATGGTCTACACTTCTCTAAGAAGGCATTGTTCGCGCTTTGTTTTTCGAACAAGCAGTTTCTTGCTATTATGTTATGAGGATTTCCAAGTGCTTTATTTCGTTTGCATTCTTTCGTTCATGATTTTGAGATGCCCCATGTACAGCTGTACAGTACTTGACACTCTGCTCCCACCGCTGGGCATGATCCGAACCAATTCACGAATGTTCGTGAACACTGAGCGCTCCCCGCCTCCCCTCCCGCACCCCGCATCTCCTGCAACTCCCCCACCCTAGGTTTCATCTTAGCGGCACAACCGTGATGATTGGTGATTGATGAAGCAGGGACCAGTCACCAGACCAGACCACAACGAGGGCAACACTACATGCAGGCCTCTCGATGTGTTTCGGGGCACTCAGCCAGATCCGAGCAGGGGCCGAGCGTCACCCTGCCCCTGCAGGGTGAGGGTCTGCTCCTTGTCAAGATTTGGCCGGGTAATTAAACAACCCAGTCAAAAATTGCAGGGTAAACTTTCTCTAGCTCTGAATCGAACCTGAAATTTCCTCAGTTTCTTCTTTGTCACCTCTAGGGTCCGCTCGTCCTGAGACCCTGGCAAGCGGGCACATTCTTGTAAATTCGTTAGTTACAAGGTGATGCACTCGCTGGGCCAGACGGTGAGGTAGGGCCATAATATGAATTAGGCCAAATTAGGCCATAACACATTCTCTGTGAAACCAAGCCAAATTTCCAACCAGCATCTAGGGCGATGTGGAGGAGGACATGAGACAGAGAGAATTGCACCCAGAGTCTTCGATTAAAGAAATTCACCACTGGGCATTCCGACTGCAGGCTCAGCGCACACAGGGTCCCAGGTACACAAAACTCTGATATAGCTGGGCGAGCCCGTAGCATGGTCTGAATGTGACCGTACTCGGACCCCCTTTTTGCAGCCTCACTTGTGAAAATCACTCTGAAAAACAAGCCAAACAGGGTAAAATACACTGACTTCCTGGGGCCTGGCCACATGTCGTTCTGAGTTGGCTTTCGTGGATTCGCAGATTCGAGGTGGCATTGTCATCCTCCCTCACCTCTTCTCCTTCTCCAGACCAGCCAGCTGTCACTTGGTGGAAGAATTGTTTGCTGCCGCCTCACTCCTTGAAGAGTCTTTCATAACACAGTGAAGCCAGCAGGGATGGGCAGCCAAACAGATCTTGATCCCTATGGGCAGCGGGATCTGGAAGTTGAAGGGACAGCTGTGATGCCACGTATGCGAACAATGTTGCACACACTCCACACCACACAAGAAAAATTGCCCTAAATGATCCTCAGACAGGTTATACACCAGGTGGCACCGCTGGCTTTCGGTTTAGACAAACCGCGTGGGCGTAATGCGCGCACTTATTTCCCGAGCTTTCGCCACGGGAGAATGGGCCAAAAACTGGACACGGGTGGTTTCGTGAAAACGTAAATCTGGTGTCAAAATTTCTGACTTGTGTAGGAAGTAGTTCTAGAAAATGTCCCTTCTAGATATGTGAAGGGTGCATTACGGTGCGTCACGACGATGCGCGGTTTTTGTCAAGCATCCTTTTACAACTGGGACTTAGTCTCTGGAAGATCTGAAGGGCTTTTTCTCAGCCCATCATGGTATCAGAGCTGGTCAGATACCAAACTCCCAGCAACAACGCTCTATCTACAGTCAACACTTCAGCAAGCTTCATCGATTATAAGTCATGGACAACAAGGGCAAGAAGATCTCTACGGGCTCACCCAGCGCCCAAGACACTCAACCCGGCAACTCTGGACTACACACTTCAGGATTGCAAACCGAGACCGGCGTTGCTCAAGAAACCACAGGAAGAGCACCAGAAATGGTGACCTCATCACCCTCTTCAAGCGTGGACCCGAACCTTATGGAAAGGTTCTTTAGCTTCATGTCGCACTTCGACCAGCAGCAGCAGACAAGGACCCGACTTACGCTGCAGTCGCCAACGCCAAACCCACCGAGTGAAACACCTGGTTCTTGGACAGCTGTTGCGGCCAACACATGTGTTCTTCCGGACGCTTTGTGCAACGAGAGCGACGCCTCAACCGCGATGTCAGCATCACTGTCGCCAACAACGAGAACCTGAAAACAAACAGACAAGGAGTGGTTCAGTTGCAGTCCATGGAGACAAATGTCATACTGCAACTCAACAAGGTTCTAATCGTCGACAACTTTGGCTACAATCTGCTAAGCGTCAGCCAGCTAATGGAAAAGGGGAGCATGTGCAGTGTGCAATTGCATCTGCGATGATAGCCCCTTAGCTGAAGATCGCTTCCTTGCTTCTTTGCTACAGCTGCCCCAGAACTGCCCAGACTGTTTAGTATACTAGGGCCCCATTTTTTTCAAGAGTCCTCCTCCTGTCTAGAGAGGCTCCCTTGAAGCCCCCCTCTGCTATCTTAGCCTGTGGTTTTAATTGTCCTCACCCCCCCGCATCTGCTTCTCCATTCCATGTTGGCTTGGTGTGCAAGTAAGAAAGGGTCCACACTCCACTCTAACAATCCAGCTACCGTACCGCCCAGGAGGTCCCACATATTCCTGTCAACCTTGGTTGCCCAATGGTGCTCCCGTAAGCACAAGCCAATTACGTTCCTCTCGTCTCTACTCTACACCCAGAGCTTCCGTGTGATCCCATTCCCCTTGCCCTCCGACCATCCCTTCACCAAATCCACATCCTTGCCTCTTTCTAGCCATAACATTTCGCTCCTTCCAGAATCATCCTCCCCCTCCCCCCCTCCCCCTCCCCCTCCCCCTCCCCGTCCGTATCTTGGAGCTCCAAAAGCCTTCGCTCAATCCGCTCCCTATCGTGCTCCTGCTCGTCCCCCTCCGCCTCCCCCTCCCCCTCCGCCTCCACCTCTTCCTCTTCCTCCTCCTTGCCCTCCTTCCTGCCTTGCCTTCCCTGCTGCCGGTGCTTCATGGAACCTTCCTCCCTCTGCTGCTCTAGCAAAAACGCATCATCATTGGCCCCAGCAACAGCGCCAGCAGCAGCAGCAGCAGCAGCAGAGTCAGCAGCAGCATCAGCAGCAGAATCAGCAGCACCATCGGGTGCAGCATCGAAAGCAGCATCGAAAGCAGCACTATTGCCGTCAGCAGTGGCGGCATCAGCAGCAGTTAAAGCAGGTGCAGCCGTAGCAGCAAGGGCAGGAAGGTGAGTGGCAGAAGAGCCGTTGAGTTTCTGGAAAAGGACGTCCTTGTGGTAGCCCTGGGGGAAGAGGGGTTATGGAGGGGGTATGAGGGAGGGGAGAGAAAGCAATGTGGGGAGGGAAAGAGAGCCGGAAGGAGTGGGTAGTGGAGCTTCTGAGCTTCTGATCGAGGACGTCCTTGTGGTAGCCCTGGAGGGCGAGGAGAGGGCAGGGGAGGGGAGAGAACACGACAGGAGGAGAGAGAACGCAGCAGGAGGAGAGAGAACGCGGCAGGAGGAGAGAGAACGCGGCAGGAGGAGAGAGAACGCGGCAGGAGGAGAGAGAACGCGGCAGGAGGGAAGAGAATGCGACACGTGAGGGCATAAAGAGGGCGGGAAGGCTATTGGCAGAGGAGCCGTCGAGCTTCTGAATGAGGACGTCAAAGTGGTAGCCCTGGGGGGGAGGGGAGGTGAAGGGGAGGTTAGACGAAGGGAAAGGAGGGAGGTAGGTACAAGGAGTGAGAAAAGAAATGAGAGAATGAGAGGCCATTGGCAGAGAGGCTACTCGCGAAGAAAGCCGATGAGACAAGCAGAACGGGGGCATACTGAGGGGGCATACTGAGGGGGCATAGTGAGGGGGCATACTGAGGGGGCATACTGAGGGGGCATACTGACCTGCACAACGAAGTTGCGGCGCTCGCAGTCGAGGAACATGTTGAGGTGCCAGCCCGGCACGCTGCGGCAGATCTTGTCTCGCGTGTACCCGAAGCTGAGCTGGTCGCGGGACGTGAAGCGGTCGACCTCGTTGAACCACAGGCACGCCATGAGGTTGCTCAGCGGCGTGTGCTCCCTTATGATCACACACCCCTCTGGCACGTCTGGGTAGGGAGAATGCATGTTCGGAAGGAGTGGGGGGGGTACCAGAGAGTGGGAGGGCAGTGAGGAAGGGGAAGCGGTCGACCTCGTTGAACCACAGGCATGCCATGAGGCTGCTCAGCGGCCTGTTCTCCCTCGTGATCACACACCCCTCTGGCACGTCTGGTTGGGGGATGCATGGTAGGAAGGAGACGGCGAGGGGGGGGCGGGTTGCTGGCGGGGGGGGGGAGAGAGGAGGGGGGGGGTGTGAATTGGTGTTTGGGACGTGAAGCGGTCGACCTCGTTGAACCAGAGGCACGCCATCAGGTTGCTCAGCGGCGTGTAATGAGTCGATTTTTGAGTCGACTCAAAAACCCTCTGGCACGCCCCTCCATCAGGTTGCTCAGTGGCCTGTGCTCCCGACCCGAACTATCACACGCCCCTCGGGCACGTCTGGTTGGGGTGGGGGGCGTGGCGGCACAGGTAAGATGGCAGGGGCAAGAGAAAGTCGTATGTGGAAGGGGTTGAGAGTCGTTGAGCCAGAGGCATGCCATGAGCTTGCTGAGGGGGGCGTGCTCCCCGATTATCACACACCCCTAAGGCACATCTGGTTGGAGTGGGGGGGTATGTGTGTGTTGGGGGGGTTGGGAGGTGGGGAAGGGCAGGAGAAGAAAGGGAGGCGGTCTACCTCGGTGAATCAGAGGCGCCCCATGAGGTTGCTGAGAGGAGTGTGCTCCCTTATAATCACACACCCCTCGGGCACACCTAGTTGGGGTGGGGGTATGTGTTTGAGTGGTGGGAGAGAGTCTGTTCGGAGGGGGAAAGAGAGGGTGGGAGGGCAGGGAGGAAAGGGAAGCGGTCGACCTTGGAGAACCAGAGGCACGCCATGAGGCTGCTCAGCTCAGCAGAGTTTGTTCCCTTATTATCACACGTACCACTGACGGTGGTATCACCACTGATAAGCACATACCACTGATAAGCACATACCACTGATAAGCACATACCACTGATAAGCACATACCACTGATAAGCACATACCACTGATAAGCACATACCACTGATAAGCACATACCACTGATAAGCACATACTGCTGATGATGGGCATTTTATCCTCTGAGAAGGGAGGTGACTTTTGAGTCGACTCAAAAGTCAGCACATACCGCTGATAAGCACATACCGCTGATAAGCACATACCACTGATGATGGGCATTTTATCCTCTGAGAAGGGCGTCATCCCGTCGCTCCTGTACGTCTCCATCTGCTCGTCGATGCTCGCATTGCGGTACTTCCCCGCCGCCTTGTTGGCCTCGGCCTCCACAAACACGTCGAACCGCTTGTAGTGCTTCGAGATGGCCCACGAGAAGTTACCGCGCCACAGGAACCTGACACGAGAGAGAAGGTTGAAAACACGGGGAAGGGTGCGGGGGAATACGGCGCCTCAGGTCTCGCCTCTGCTTTCGAGGCGCCTCAAAAATAGACTCCTCACACGGGGAAGGGTACAGGAATAAGGCGCCTCAAGTCTCGCCTCTGCCTCCACAAACACGTCGAACCTCTCAACCATCATGTAGGAGTCCTGTAGCAGATGACCTTTGAGTTGACTCAACAGTCATGTAGGAGTCCTGTACCAGGTGACCTTTGAGTCGACTCAACAGTCATGTAGGAGTCCTGTACCAGGTGACCTTTGAGTCGACTCAAAAGTCATGTAGGAGTCCTGTACCAGGTGACCTTTGAGTCAACTCAACAGTCATGTAGGAGTCCTGTACCAGGTGACCTTTGAGTCGACTCAAAAGTCCTGCACCAGCTCCGGCTTGGTGTCATCTCATACTTCATACCTCATTGCACCACATTACACTGCACCTCACCTCACCCCACCACAGCGCACACCTCTCCAGTATCGTGTAGGGGTCCTGCACCAGCTGTAGCTTGGCTTCCACCCACACCCACAGCCCATAGCACAATATACCACAACATACCGCATATCACCGCACCACACACCTCTCCAGTATCATGTACGGTCCTGCACCAGCTGTAGCTTGGCATTGACGCACATGGAGAGCCTCCATCTCACGTACCCCTGAATACCTCCTTAGTACCCCACAGCACCCCACAGCACACACCGCTCGAGGATCATGTACAGGTCCTGAACGAGTTGCAGCTTGGCATCCTCTTACATACCATACCACACCATACCGCACATCACCACACCACACACCTCTCCAATATCATGTAGGGGTCTTGCACCAGCTGCAGCTTGGCGTCGACCCACATGGAGAACTGGACGTTGGGGAAGAGGCGGTGGATGAGCAGCTTGGGGATCTGATGAGGGGGGGGAGGGGAGGTTAGGAGGGGAGGGAAAAGTCTATTTTTGAGGCGCCTAAAAAATAGACTCCTCGCGCTTGGGTATCTGATGAGGGGAGGGGAGGGGAGGTTAGGAGGGGAGGGAAGAGAGGTCATGAGCCTATTGCAGCTTGGCGTCGACCCACATGGAGAACTGGACGTTGGGGAAGAGGCGGTGGATCAGCAGCTAGGGGATCTGATCATGTGTGGGTGCGTGTGGGTGCGTGTGGGGGTGTGGGGGGGGGAGGGGGGAGGGAGTGGCAATAAGCCTATTGCAGCTTGGCGTCGACCCACATGGAGAACTGGACGTTGGGGAAGAGGCGGTGGATCAGCAGCTAGGGGATCTGATCATGTGTGGGTGCGTGTGGGTGCGTGTGGGGGTGTGGGGGGGGGAGGGGGGAGGGAGTGGCAATAAGCCTATTGCAGGTTGGCGTCGACCCACATGGAGAACTGGACGTTGGGGAAGAGGCGGTGGATCAGCAGCTAGGGGGTCTGATAATGTGTGGGTGTGTGTGGGTGCGTGTGGGGGTGTGGGGGGGGGAGGGGGGAGGGAGTGGCAATAAGCCTATTGCAGCTTGGCGTCGACCCACATGGAGAACTGCACGTGGGGGAAGAGGCGGTGGAGCAACCGATTGGGGATTTCTGATAATTTCTCTCTGCGCTGTCTTATTTTGAGTTGACTCAAAGGTCGGCGATTGTTGAGAAATTCTCTCTATGCTGTCTGGCATCTAGCACTTAAAGCCCGAGTACTAAGTTGATCAATCCTATTGGGTTTGGTGCTACCTGGACATCGGAGGTTGTTCTGTGTTGTGTGGGAGGATTGGTTGGTGAGCATCGCGAGGTTGGGAAAACGCAGGCGAAGTGGCGAGTTTCAGAAAATTGGGTGTGGCGATCCTCCTGTCCGACGGTTTTTGCGACACTTTTGCCAGTGCGCCTGGGGTCCCAAACCCACCTTGCCAGAGCGCCTGGGGTCCCTGTAGGGCGGGTTGTAGATGACCACCAGGCGCCAAGGCCCCCACACTGCGTCGCGCTGGCTGGCCTTACACTCATAAGGCCGTTGCAAACCCAAACGGCATGCAAGCCTTCACACGCACCTTGGTGATTTTTGAGTCGACTCATAAGTCGCACTGGCTGGCCTTACACTCATAAGGCCGTTGCAAACCCAAACGGCATGCAAGCCTTCACACGCACGCATCTTGCCAGTGCGCCTGGGGTCCCTGTAGGGCGGGTTGTAGATGACCACCAGCCGCCACGAACCCACTCTCCTGTGCTCGACTGGTGCTTACATTTCAACCCCTCAAGGTCAAAACACCATCGTACCCTCGATTACTCACCTTGCCAGTGCGCCTAGAGACCCTGTACGGCAGGTTGTAGATGACCACCAGGCGCCACAGCTCCACTGCTCCTGTGCTCGACTGGTGCTTACATTTCAACCCCTCAAGGTAAACACATAACCACACCCACACCCACCTTGCCAGTGCGCCTGGGATCCCTGTAAGGGGGGTTGTAGATGACCACCAGGCGCCACAGCCCCACCCGCCTGGTGCGTGGCTGCTTGAGCGTGCCGTCCCGAATGAACTCGTTATAGGTAGTCTCGTCTACAAACATAACGAAGCACAGCTGCTGCCTCGCCTCCTCGCTCACGTTGCTGGGCTGCTGCACCACGTCGTATGCACCTGGGAGCACGGAGGGGAATGCAGGGAAGGGGTGGTAGGGGAGGGATGGGAGGGGAGGGATGGGAGGAGAGGGGCACGTTGGTATAGGGTGGGCACAATACAGCTGCTGCCTTGCCTCCTCGCTCACGTTGCAGGGCTGCTGGACCACGTCGGTTGCACCTGGTGTGGTGTGTGAGGGGGGAAAGCGCGGGGAGAGATGGGAGAGGAGGGAATCACGAGGGAATCACCAATGCGGACCATGCCATCAGCTGCTGCACTGCACCACGTCAAAACGCCCCTCATCTGATGTTTGCAAGGAGTGCGGGTGGGGTCGGGCAGGATATTGGAAGTGGACTGAAGAGAATGGCTTTTGAGTCGACTCAAGAGTGGTCTGAAGAGAATGGCTTTTGAGTCGACTCAAGAGTGGACTGAAGAGAATGGGTGATAGCTAGAGCATGGCAAGGATGCGCACTAAAGCACCATTTCGTAGCACTGCTCTTGAGACGACTCAAAATAAATAATGACTCAACTCAAAAGTCTGCTCTAGCTACTAGCGCTCATAGGCCGGTGCCCTCACCAAAGATAGCTGAGTCCACCACAATGCCGCAGCACCGCTCCGTGAACCGCCTGTCAGTCATTGCCCAATGCTCATGGGGGTATATATCTAGCACGCTTCACACTTCCTGTCACATGGGTGTGTGGCGTATGCCAACGATCGTACCAAATATTGCTGAGACCACCACGATGTCGTAGCACCGCTCCATGAACCGTCGGTCATCGTCCGACACGTCAAAGCCCGTGCCGTTGCTGACCTTGCCGCCCCACACAAAGCTGATGGGGGGCGCGGGAGGGGGGAGAGGTGGGGGGAGTTTTGAGACGTCTCAAAACGTGAGAAAGAAGAGTAGTTTTGAGGCGTCTCAAAACTGGACTCTGAAACATCAAAGCCCGTGCCATTGCTGACCTTCCCGCCCCACACAAAGCTGGTGGGGGAAGTGGGGGAGGAGAGCGGTGGGGAGAGTGGACCGTGGCAGCTTGACAGTCCAATGACTGCTGAATTGACTCAGTCCCCCCAACGCCATCCCCTCCTTCCCTCACCCGCAGTGCACTCCCATGCTCTACTGTATTTTGAAGGAGTGAACTCGCTGTTGCAGTGAAGTCAGCTTCGAGAGCTCTTGAAAGTGACTAGAGACCGTTGAGCCGCGGCCGCATGCCCGCCATCCTACTCACCCGCTTAATCTCCACTTACTTCCCCCTCTCCCTTCCCGCCCTCAATCTCCACTCCTCCTCTCCTCCAAAACTTACCCACCCCCTCCCTTCTTCCCCCCCTCCCCTCACCCGCAGTGCACGCGCATGCTCTCTTGGAACTTGGACGAGTCCTCCCTCTGCTACGGCGACTGATACCCGTTGAACCGCGGCCGGTTGCCCGCCCGCCATCCTAGCATCTCACTCACCCTCTCTCTTCCCTCCCTCGGTCTAAGTCTCCTGGAGCTTAACCCCTCCCCCCCACCCCTCCCCTCACCCGCAGTGCATACGCATGCTCTCTTAGATCTAAAACGAGTCCTCCCGCTGCTGCAGGGACTGGTGCCCGTTGAACCTTGGTCTGTTCCCCGCCCACCTAGCATCACACGCACCCCACTCACTCACCCGCAGTGCACTCGCATGCTCTCTTGAATTTTGAACGAGTCCTCTCTCTGCTGCAGTGACTGGTGCCCGTTGAACCGCGGCCGGTTGCCCGCCCGCCTGGCCGCCCGCTCGCTCGCATCCTCCTCGGTCACGTACGCCAGGTGCTTGAGAATCGGCTCCTCTGTGTGCCCGCGAGGGGGACGCGTGGCGATGGCGTCCGGGAGAGGGAGGTAGCACACGGGGCAGGCTGATTGGGCGAGGATGGGAGAGTGGGTAGAAGGAGGGGGTTGGGAGGTTTGTACGCCAAGTGCTTTGGAACGGACCCCTCCAAGTGGCTGCCCGCTCGCCTGGCCGCCCGCTCGCTCGCATCCTCCTCGGTCACGTACGCGAGGTGCTTCAGAATCGGCTCCTCCGTGTGCCCGCGGGGGGGGCGCGTGGCTCTGGCGCCAGGCAATGGGAGGCAGCACGCGGGGCAGGCTGAGTGGGGGATGGGGGAAGGGAAAGCGGGGAGGGGGAGAGAGTACGCCAGGTGCTTCAGAATCGGCTCCTCCGTGTGGCCGCGCACTGGGCGTGTGGCTATGGCGTCAGGCAATGGGAAATGGGAGGTAGCACACGGGGCAGGCTGATTGAGACAGGGCGGGAGGGAGAGCAGGGGGGGTAAGCCAGGTGCGTCAGAATCGACAAATCCGTGTGCCCGCAAGGGGGGCGCGTGAGTATGGCATTCGGGAGAGGCAGGTGGCACACGGGGCGGGCTGTGTGGTTCAGTGAGAAGGCGAACAAAGGGGAGGAGAGGGGGGGAGTGGGGGAGGGGAGAGCTTATGACAGGTGGTTACCATTGGCACTCACGTCTGGGTCCAGTGCGCTTCTTGTCGGTGGGCGGCGGTGGGAGGGTGAAATTGGCGCAAGGATGCGACGGGGGCAGCACAGGGTCTAGCGGGTTGATCTGAGGTGGCGGAGCAGGGGGAGGGGGAGGAGCAGGCGCGCGCACTTCCAGCCCCCGCCTACTCTTCTTCGGTCTCTTCTCCCTCTTCACCCGCTTCTCCTTCTTCTCCTTCTGCTTCTTCTTCTTCCGCTTCTTCTCCCGCAGTTGATACACTCTCGCCTCAGTTTCGATATCCACCCCCTCCTCCTTCACTGCATCTTGGCTCCCTGCATCCTGGCCCCCTAGCGCATCCTGGCCCCCTAGCGCATCCTGCCCCCCCAGTTGTTCCGCACCCGCATCCTGCGCCTGCTCTCCGTCCCCGTCGATCGCGGGTGGGGATTGGCTAAGAATGTTCTGGAACGACGGCGATTGCTCGATCTGACTCTCCTCCCTCTCCTCCCTCAGAGCCGCTGAGCGATCAAGGGAAGTCGACACTGGCAACTCTTCTTCAAGCCCGGACCCTGGATTCGTCGTCCCTGCCACTGTCGGTGAATCTCCGCCGTCCGTTTGTGCAGACGATGGCGAATCCACGGTCGATGGAGAGTCCGCGTCCTCCAGCAAACCGACCCTCTTGGTGGCTTCCGCTGTAGCAGGGGAGGAGAAACGGGAGACTGAATAAACACGATGCTCACTGCACTCCAGCAATGGAGCAAGTTGGCAGAATCTAGCGTCGTTGCGATGCAACGAGAATTCGCAGTTACCTGGTAACATCCCCAGCTGGATCCTTCTATGTACCTTGCGGTTGTTGCGGCTGGCTATAGAATCTAAGGTCCTTAACGACGAAGATGGTGGAGATAGAGACGGCCGCCAGGAACAGCACCATCATTGCCTTCCTCTTCCCTGGCTGGCTTCGTTTGTCGTTATTCATAGACGGCGACTTGGCAGGTAATGCGGGCGACGCGTTAGACGCGGAGTGACGCAGCGACTTGTTGGACGTCTTGTTCAGCGATCTCAGCGCGGTGAAGGACGACGATCGGTGTGCGACTATGTGCGACTCCTCCGGCGTCGCAGGGGGCGATTCCATGGCCGGATGGAGCAATTATAAGGGGAAGGTTGAGCTACAGTGTTCATGAAGCACGCGCATGCTTCAAAATCTGGATCCTTGAGACTAGGATAGATGTCAGTTAAAATGTTAGGTCAAAGGAGGCTAAGCGCGTCGATGAACGCACTGTGAATAGGACTACGACGGCCACATCACGGCAGTTCTTTTATGAAGCATCGTAGCCGTTGAAAGGACGGATCACGGATATCAGGGTGCGTAGTCAGCGTAGTGCGGATCCCAACAGGGTTCGTTAGACACCTGATATACTCAGCGCTCGGCTGGCTACTAGGGTTGGAACAAGTCAGCGCTCAGCTGGCTACTGGGGTTGAAACGGGCTACGAACTAGAACCAATGAGCTTATCGATCAGCTAGCCTCGCTGTTTGACGATTCTAACGATAGCTGCCGTCATTTCCAAAATGCTAGTACTGCTGTGGATCGGAATCTGGAGACTAGGGACACTGGAAGTTGGTACCTAATCAGAGACGGGAAACAAGCTATGCAACACAAGGAGAAGAATGGACTAACAAAGAAAGACGACTCGGACATGACATCCAGTTGCTAGAATGGCAGAAAGCTAAGTTGGCGGAGGCAGGCATAGATCAGCAAATCCATCCCAACAGTTCACTGTCCAAATGACGTGACAGGTGCTACAAAGGAGAGTTTCTCTAAAAGAACGGAGTGCTGAAAGATGAGCAGTGAGGTGAGCAATGAGGAACTCCCAAGGGGAAATATTTCAAATCGCCACATGATTGGTGGAGGCAGAAGCTCGGGCAGAAGCGCAGCCATTCACGACAGGACCTATCAGGAGGAGCTAGGGGCGTGGGGCCATGGGGGGAGGAAGCGCGCGAGTGCCGCGGATCGGGGGGCCAAGCAGGGGCCGCGGATCCGCGCGCACTGACACACTTCGGACGAGGAAGCGAACGTGTGCAAGGCCCACGCCCACGTGTAAGCTGTAACACCGTGAACGTAACCAGAACTTCGGACGGTCGAGCGAAAATTGTGAGAGTAAAGTGACGGCTTCGATGTGATCTTGACTGCACGTTTCTCGACACCTTAGTGGCGGGAACTGAGGATCCCAAGGCCGAAGACTCGCTATAAATTGGGCAAATGCCTGGATCTACAGTTGGGTTCACATTCAGATTCAACAACTATCTAGGGAGAAACCGGCATCAAGGCGATAGGCCGTCCTTCCTCGTTGTATTCGATTGATACAGGAGCACCTGCCATATCCAAACTCTTTCTTCCTGCCTGAGATGGAATATGCGAAGGCATCAGAATGGAAAGAAATAAAGGTATATATAATCGTTAAAGACAAGTGAAAAGGAAGAACAAACATTTAACAAGCTCAACATACCTCCAAAATTGTTGTGGTAAGGAGACACGCCGAACTTCCTATAGTCGCTATCATCTCGCTTGATTCCACAACTTCCGGCGTCAGCTTCTTTGAATTTATGCATTGAGCGGCAGTAACAAACTCCGCAATGCTGCGGTAACCATAACCCAACTGGCCAGCAAATCTCCCGGCTGCATCAGGGGTATACTGACGAATTTCGGATGAAGTGGCGTGGAGGAATAATGGAGAAGAGGTCCGTGAGCATGAAGAGCGTAGTAAAAAACTGCATCTTCATTCAAAACAGCTCGTGCTCATAAAGAGAAGAATATAGACAGTATGGAGCAATGAGTGGTCATACCTTCATGTACAGTGGGTTGAGTGTAGCAAAGCCAGCGGCATCAGTTGCCATGGTGAACCCTCTATGGGCTTGATCCACCCGCACCTCACCCTGCCACCATGCCACATGCAGGGATGCAGCAGTGCATCCATGCGGTCACGCTTTTGCCTTCTTATGCAGCAGTGCAGCTGTGCACAGGAATCCATGCGGTCACACCTTAGTTCCCCCATGTAGTGCGGTCATGCTAGGACATGCAGTTATGGCCATGTAGTGGCCCATGCCATACCCAGACACCTATAAGCACCATATGTCGAGGTGCCCGTGCGCCCATGCCTGATGGTCCAGAAAAAGGGGCTGTGTCCCATCAGCCGTGTGCCATGTAAAAAGTAGGTTCAATTTGAGACGACTCAAGATGAACCTACTTTCACATCACATCCCTGATGGTCCATGTGGTAGAAGCACTGTTGTATGCGGCGGGGAGAACAAGGGGCTGTTGTATGCGGCAGTCAGAACCTGATGGCCCATACCTGATGGCCCATACCTGATGGCCCATACCTGATGGGCCATACCTGATGGGCCATACCTGATGGCCCATACCTGATGGGCCATACCTGATGGCCCATACCTGATGGGCCATACCTGATGGGCCATACCTGATGGCCCATACCTGATGGCCCATACCTGATGGGCCATACCTGATGGGCCATACCTGATGGCCAATACCTGATGGGCCATACCTGATGGCCCATACCTGATGGGCCATACCTGATGGGCCATACCTGATGGCCCATACCTGATGGCCCATACCTGATGGGCCATACCTGATGGCCCATACCTGATGGCCCATACCTGATGGCCAATACCTGATGGGCCATACCTGATGGCCCATACCTGATGGGCCATACCTGATGGGCCATACCTGATGGCCCATACCTGATGGCCAATACCTGATGGGCCATACCTGATGGCCCATACCTGATGGCCCATACCTGATGGGCCATACCTGATGGGCCATACCTGATGGCCCATACCTGATGGGCCATACCTGATGGGCCATACCTGATGGGCCATACCTGATGGCCCATACCTGATGGCCCATACCTGATGGCCCATACCTGATGGCCCATACCTGGTGGCCCATGTAGTGGAAGTACTGCTGCGTGTGGCAGTCTGTGGGAGGGGCGATCCAGCTGGCAGTGTACAGCGCAGTGCCACATGAACCGCCCTTGTTCTGCCACTGGACCTGCTTATAGCGAGGACACAAGGAATGGGCCAGGGCGAACCAGACAGGTCATCAGGGCATGCAATTCCTCGCATGTGAATGACAGCACAGCATCAGCAGCAAACGACACAGACGTTTTGAGGCGCCTCAAAACTGGAGTGGGCGAACCAGACAGGTCATCAGGGCATGCAATTCCTCGCATGTGAATGGCAGAACAGCATCAGCAAACGACACAGACGCAGCCTTTGAGGCGTCTTTTGAGGCGCTTCAAAACATCCGGGCATGCAATTCCTCGCATGGGAATGAAAGCACAGCATCAGCAACGACACAGACGCAGCCAGAAAACACGCCATGAGTTTGGCAGCAGCGGTCGAGAGCTCACCATGAGTGTTATCACATCCTCCACATCCACCGCCCCACGAGCATCCCCCCTCGCTGCCTCTCCAGCAGAACTTAGGTCATCACACTGCCTCATGTGCACGTGCAAGTGCAACACAGCGCTAGCCAGCAACACCCAGCAGCGGTCGACAGCTCACCATGAGTGTTATCGCATCCTCCACATCCACCGACCCAACAGGATCTCCCTCTGCTTCTTTGCCCTCCACCAACCCTGCATTCTCCCCCGCTCCTTCTCCTACCCCGTTATCCTCCTGCGTTGCTGCTGCCCCTCCTCCTCCCCTCTCCCCCAACACGTCTCGCAGCACTTCGTTGGCCTTCCCCCTCGCTGCACTCGCCACCACCACCATCGGGCGAGACTGCCCCTGCACCGACCAGGCATGGAAATCTGGGAGGAGGGAGGAAGGGAGTGCAGAGGGGTTCAAACGGGAGGATTCAGGGATTGAGGAGGTGTTGCCACCACCACCACTGCCCAAGACTGCCCCTGCACCGACCAGGCGTGGAAGTCTGGGGGGTAAAGGGGAGTGCAGAGGGGTTCAGATGGGTTCAGGCTTGGGGGGGGATAATCCACCACCACGGAGTGGACAATATTGCCCCTGCACTGACCAGGCGTGGAAGTCTGAGAGGGAGAAAGCGACATGGAATTACACGTCGTAATCCGATTTCGGTAAAAACCTCACCCATTATTTTGTCAAAATCCAGGTAATTACCCGTGAAAAATAAGCCCTGCCGGGGACGCCCCCGCCCTCCGAAGACGCACCCGCCCTCCGAAGACGGCCCCACCCTACGAAGATGCCCCCGTCCTCCGGGGACGCCCCCGCCCTCCGGGGACGCCCCCGCCCTCCGGCGACGCCCCCGCCCACCAGGGAAAACCCCCTCCTCTGGGGACGCCCCCGCCCACCGGGAACGCCCCCCCCCTACGGGGACGCCCCCGCCCTCCGGGGACGCCCCTGCCCTCCGGGGACGCCCCCGCCCTCCAGGGTCGCCCCCGCCCTATGGGGGCTCCCCCGCCCTCCGGGGACGCCCCCGCCCTCCGGGGACGCCCCCACCCTCCGGGGACACCCCCGCCCCCCGGGGACGCCCCCCCCCTCCAGGGACGCCCCCGCCCCCCGGGGACGCCCCCACCCTCCGGGGACGGCCCCGCCCCCCGGGACGCCCCCCACCTACGGGGACGCCCCCGCCCCCCGGGGACGCCCCCCGCCCCCCAGGGACGCCCCCGCCCCCCAGGGACGCCCCCGCCCCCCGGGGACTCCCCCGCCCTCCGGGGACGCCCCCACCCTCCGGGGACGGCCCCGCCTTCCGGGGACGCCCTCGCCCTCCGGGGACGCCCCCGCCCTCCGGAGACGCCCCCGCCCTCCGGGGACGCCCCCGCCCTCCGGGGACGCCCCTGCCTCCGGGGACGCCCCCGCCCTCCGGGGACGCTCCCGCCCTCCGGAGACGCCCCCGCCCCCCCGGGACGCCCCGCCCCCCGTGGTCGCCCCCGCTTTCCGGGGACGCCCCCGCCAGGGACGCCCCCGCCCTCCGGGGAAGCCCCCGCCCCGCCGGGACGCCCCCCCCCCCGGGGACGACCCCGTCCCCTGGGGTCGCCCCCGCCCTCCGGGGAAGCCCCCGCCCTCCGGGGTCGCCCCCGCCCGCCTTAAGTTACATGTAAGAGTAACTCAGCTCCGCTCGTATAATTTCACCTCTGAACTTCCTTGCTAGGACTGGATGCTAAGTGGGCAAATTCGTTGGGGTCCCCCAACGTTTTGCGTAAATTCGTTAGCGTAATTTCGTGTTTGCGAATTTACCTGAAATTCGCGAAACGCTGAGGGGGAAATCTTCCGGGCAGCCCGGACAAAAAAACGTGAATTTTTCCACTCGATTCGCGACGACTTGGCGAAGCCATCCGTGGTCTCGCCAATTCGCGATTCTAACTTTTGAACGTCCAAACATGCTCCCAACCCCTCCCACGCTCCCAACTGCATCAAACCCCACCGCATCTAGATAACCCAACCCACCCACCGCAACCATATCAAGCATCTCAAACGCTACTCTACCAGACGTAGAGTAGATCTAGCTAATCACTCCGCGTCCTAGCTAGTAGATCTATTTTAAGCATGGACATTAGCTTACCTTACGAGTATGATGTTGCTGTATGTTTCATCCTGCAGGGCTGTTGTTGCGAAGGATTCCCCCCAAACGCTAGAACATTCTATTGCCATAAACTTTGAGAAGCAGTATTTATTTTGTGCTAAAACTTTCTTGCTTAAAAAAGAGTTGCCCTGAACCCCCCCACGCCCCCCTTGCCTGGGAACTTTTTTTGGGGCCTGCCCGGGCATTTTTTTCCTGCCCGGGCGGAACAAATTTCCCAACGAATTTGAAACAAGGCCCTGGCGTTCGGGCGAATTTACGCCAGCGTAAATTCCTCAGCGAATTTACGCGAAACGCGAATTTTCCCACTTAGGCTGGATGCCCTGGGGAGAGGGAATTTCGGGGGGATCGGCGTGTGGAGAAGATATGGTATCCGTGTCCGCCAAAACCTAACACGTCACTTCACGGGTTCAGGCCAAAATGTACCCATGAGAATGCGGATTTCATGAAATTCAAACACATCGTAATCCGATTTCGGTAAAAACCTCACCCATTATTTGGTCAAAATCCGGATAGTTACCCATGAAAAAAAAGCCCTGCCGGGAACGCCCCCGTCCTCCGGGGACGCCCCCGCTCTCCGGGGACGCCCCCGCCCTCCGGGGACGCCCCTGCCCTCTGGGGACGCCCCCGCCCTCCGGGGACGCCCCCACCCTACAGGGACGCCCCCCCCTCCGGGGACGCCCCCGACCTACGGGGACGCCCCCGCCTTAACGCCCCCGACTTCCGGGGACACCCCCGTCCTCCGGGGACGCCCCCGCCTTCCGAAGACGCCCCCGCCTTCCGGGGACACCCCCACCCTCCGGGAATGCCCCCGCCTTCCGGGAACGCCCCCGCCTTCCGGGGACGCCCCCCCCTTCCGGGGACGCCCTCGCCTTCCGGTGACGTCCCCGACCCTCGGGGACGCCCCCGCCCCGCCTTTTCGACGACGCCCCGGCCATCTGAAGACGCCCCCGGCCTTCCGAAGACGCCCCCGTCTCCCGGGGACGCCCCCGCCTTCCAAAGACGCCCCCGCCTTCCGAAGACGCCCCCGACTTCCGAAGACGCCCTGCCCATCCGAAGACGCCCCGCCCATCCGAAGACGCCCCGCCTTTTTGAAGACGCCCCTGCCCTCCGGGGACGCCCCCGCCTTCAGAAGACGCCCCCGACTTCCAGAGACGCCCCGCCTTTTCGAAGACGCCCCGGCTTTTTCGAAGATGCCCCCGGCCTTCCGAAGACGCCCCCGTCTCCGGGGATGCCCCCGCTTTCCGAAGACGCCCCCGACTTCCGAAGACGCCCCCGCCCTCCGGGAACGCCCCCCCCCTCCGAGGACGCCCCCGACTTCCAAAGACGCCCCCACCCTCCGGGAACGCCCCCGCCCTCCGAGGACGTCCCCGCCTTCCGAAGACGCCCCCGCCTTCCGAAGACGCCTCGCCCATCCGAAGATGCCCCGCCCCGCCTTTACGAAGACGCCCCGGCCTTCCGAAGACGCCCCCGGCCTTCCGAAGTCGCCCCCGCCTTCAGGGGACGCCCCCGCCCTCCGGGGACGCCCCCGCCCTCCAAGGACGCCCCCGCCCTCTGGGGACGCCCCCGCCCTCCGGGGACGCCACCGCCCTCTGAGGACGCCCCCGCCCTCCGAGGACGCCCCCGCCTTCTAAAGACGCCCCGCCTTCCGAAGACGCCCCGCCTTCCGAAGACGCCCCCGCCTTCCGAAGACGCCCCCGCCTTCCGAAGACGCCCCCGCCTTCCGAAGACGCCCCCGCCTTCCGAAGACACCCCCGCCTTCCGAAGACGCCCCCACCTTCCGAAGACGCCCCTGTCTTCCGAAGACGCCTCGCCCATCCGAAGACGCCCCGCCTTTTCGAAGACGCCCCGGCCTTCCGAAGACGCCCCCGGCCTTCCGAAGACGCCCCCGCCTTCCGAAGTTGCCCCCGCCATCCGAAGACGCCCCCGCCTTCTGAAGGCGCCCCTGTCTTCCGAAGACGTCCCGCCCATCCGACGACGCCCCGCCTTTTCGAAGACGGCCCGGCCTTCCGAAGACGCCCCCGGCCTTCCGGGGACGCCCCGCCTTCCGAGGTCGCCCCCGCCTTCCGGGAATGCCCCCGCCCTCTGGGAACGCCCCGGCCCTCCGGGGACGCCCCCACCCTTCGGGGACGCCCCCGCCTTCTAAAAACGCCTCCGCCTTCCGAAGACGCCCCGCCTTTTCGAAGACGCCCTGGGCTTCCGAAGATGCCCCCGGCCTTCCGAAGACGCCCGCGTCTCCCGGGGACGCCCCCGCCTTCCGAAGACGTCCCCGCCTTCTGGGGACGCCCCCGCCTTCGGCCCCCATCTTCCAAAAACGCCCCCGTCTTCCGAAGACGCCCTCATCCATTCTCCTGCTGACCCATTCACCCGCTGACCCATTCATCCGCTGGCCCGTTCACCCGCTGACCCAATCTCCCGCTGACTCATTCACCAGCTGAACCATTCACCTGCTGACCCAGCCACAGCCCAGCCAGGTGTGATTGGGCTCCAACACAGCAAAGCGATCAGGGAGCGCCAATGATGCCACAAAATTGCAATATGATGCACAATATGATGCCTTTTTCATACCATATTTAGCTGTTCTAGACGTTGACTACCTCACAAACGCCATGGAACATTAAAAACCAGACGTTGCAGCCCCCCCTATGCATCCCCCCCTATGCACCCCCCCCGATGCATCCCCCCCGATGCATCCCCCCCTATGCATCCCCCCCAATGCATCCCCCCCTATGCATCCCCCCCAATGCATCCCCCACTATGCATCCACCCCTATGCACCCCCCCATATGCATCCCCCCCTATGCATCCTCCCCTATGCACCCCCCCCTATGCATCCCCCCCTATGCATCCCCCTCTATGCCTCCCCCTCTTTGCATTCTCCCCTATGCATCCCCCCCTATGCATCTCCCTATGCATCCCCCCCGATGTTTCCCCCCCTATGCTTCCCCCCCCTATGCATCCCCCCCATGCATCCCCCCCCATTCTCCCACTGACCCATTCACCCGCTCACCCATTCACCCGCTCACCCGTTCACCCATTCACCCAGTCACCCGCTCACCCAGTCACCCAGTCACCCGCTCACCTGCTCACCCGCTGACCCATTCACGGCCCAGCCAGGTGTGATTGGGCCCAGGCCAGCAAAGCTATCAGGGGGCGCCAATGATGCCACAAGAGTACATTTGACGGCTCTTTCAAACCATATTTAGCTCTTCTGGACGTTGACTAGACCCAGCCAGGAAAGCGATCAGGGAGCGCCAATCATGCCACAGTTATATGCTTAGAGATGTCTGAACTGTAGATGTGTGGTGTGAAGTTTAATATATGTTACAATAGCGTGTATCATGATTCGTGGGTATGCAATGATGTTACAATAGCGTGTATCGCGTGGGTATGCAAGCCATACACACCGATGTGATGTGAGTTGAGGTAGAAGGAGATGTCCGAGCTCCTACCAGCCCACCCTGTTGAAGGAAGTGAGGGGCGAGTTTCATGTTTTTATGACTCAATGAGGGCTCAATGAGGGCTCAATGAGGGCTCAATGTGCGGGCTCAATGTGACGGCTCAATGTGAGGGCTCAATGTGAGGGCTCAATGTGAGGGCTCAATGTGACGGCTCAATGTGAGGGCTAACTGTGAGGGCTCAATGTGCGGGCTCAATGTGCGGGCTCAATGTGAGGGCTCAATGTGCGGGCTCAATGTGCGGGTTCAATGTTGAGGGCTCAATGTGCGGGCTCAATGTGAGGGCTCAATGTGCGGGCTCAATGTGCGGGTTCAATGTTGAGGGCTCAATGTGAGGGCTCAATGTGAGGGCTCAATGTGAGGGCTCAATGTGAGGGCTCAATGTGAGGGCTCAATGTGAGGGCTCAATGTGAGGGCTCAATGTGAGGGCTCAATGTGCGAGCTCAATGTGCGGGTTCAATGTTGAGGGCTCAATGTGCAGGCTCAATGTGAGGGCTCAATGTGAGGGCTCAATGTGCGGGCTCAATGTGAGGGCTCAGTGTGCGAGCTCAATGCGAAGGCTCAATGTGCGGGCTCAAAGAGGAAAGCATCTCACGCTGACTTCATTCTGTCAAGAGAATCTCATGACTCAACGAGGAAAGCCATGCCCATGCATTCTGAGCGCATCTCGTGAGGAGTATTTTTTAGGTGCCTCTCATGAGGAGTATTTTTAAGGCGCCTCAGAAAAAAGTTTTCATGACTCGACGAGGAAAGCCTTGCATTCTGAGCGCATCTCGTGAGGAGTGTATTTCTGAGGCGCCTCAAAAATAAATTTCATGACTCGACGAGGAAAGCCATGCATTCTGAGCGCAGCATCTCTCATGCTAGAAAGTATGCGCATCTCAAGCTGACTTCATTGTCTTATAGAATCTTTGAAAATGACAGCTTCAAACAAATCCCTAGACGACGTAGTTGAACAGAGTCTCTGCACAAAAGTTACTTGCCTGCAAAGGTATGCAGCTGCTTCTTTGGCTGACTCGTTGTGCTGGCAAAGAAGGCAAAAAGGGACCCAGCTCCCTGCTCGCGTGTGCTTACAATGAGTCGAATCACAACTCACCTGCAAAGGTATGCAGCTGCTTCTTCGGCTGAGTCATCGTGCTGGAGAAAAAAGCAAAGGGACCCAGCCCCCTGATGCGATCACGGGCATCTGACAGGCAACCAGGCAGGCAGCAAACCACAGATGTATCTTGAGCCGACTCAAAGTACAACGTCTGAGCCGACTCAAAGTACAACGTCTGAGCCGACTCAAAGTACAACGTCTGAGCCGACTCAAAGTACAACGTCTGAGTCGACTCAAAGTACAACGTCTGAGTCGACTCAAAGTACAACGTCTGAGCCGACTCAAAGTACAACGTCTGAGTCGACTCAAAGTACAACGTCTGAGTCGACTCAAAGTACAACGTCTGAGTCGACTCAAAGTACAACGTCTGAGTCGACTCAAAGTACAACGTCTGAGTCGACTCAAAGTACAACGTCTGAGTCGACTCAAAGTACAACGTCTGAGTCGACTCAAAGTACAACGTCTGAGCCGACTCAAAGTACAACGTCTGAGTCGACTCAAAGTACAACGTCTGAGTCGACTCAAAGTACAACGTCTGAGCCGACTCAAAGTACTCATAGTGCTGGAGAGAAATACAAAGGGACCCAGCCCCCTGATGCGATCACGGGCATCTGAGAGGGAAACAGGCAGCAAGCCTCAGAGAAACAGCGCCTGTAGGTCCAGAATTTTCTCAACGTATACTAGCATAGATACTAGCATAGGTACTAGCATAGATACTAGCATAGATACTAGCATAGATACTAGCATAGATACTAGCATAGATACTAGCATAGACACTTCCCACCCTTAAGCAGCAGCCATACTAGTAGGTGATTTTGGAGTCGATTAAAAAATTAGAGTATGCCAGCATACATAACCCCCAGCTCTGCTAGCAGCAGCCATGCTAGTATAGCTTTGAATTGATGGTGGGCAAAATCAGAGCAATCTGGAAGGAGTTTCTGATAACGTTACCAGCAGCACATGCAATGCAGAACATATGGCTCCGGTTCTGAACCATACAGAGCAGATCAACAGCAAAGCTCATGGCATGTACAGCAGGCAGGCATCAACCTCCGTGAATGGAATGAAATGGCTGAACTTAAGGCAGTCATTTAGTCAATTGACAAGTCACTCTGAGTGTTGAGCTGCCACTGACCTGTGTAGATGCGATTGAATCTCTTGTGAAACTGCAGGGTGTTTTTTATAATTCTCAACTATAAGATTTGAGCTGCCACTGACCTGTGTAGATGGGATCGAATCGCTTGTGAAACTCAACCGCCACGAGAACGCCTTTTTCCCTGTGTGTCGGGCAGCGGGAATCGAAACGTGAAGAAGAGAAACGGGAAAGGGATAGAAGTGAAGTTGGTTGAAGGTGGTGCTGTTAGCCAAGTTCGGAATGAAGCAGCCAGAAATCAGGGTATTTTTATTCTACAAAATATGAACTGAATGAAGCAGCAATAAATCAGGGTGTTTTTTTTATTCTACAAAATACCCTGTTAGCATAGAACTGAATGAAGTAGCGAGAAATCAGGGTGTTATTTTGTATTCTACAAAATACCCTGTTAGCATAGAACTGACTGAAGCAGTGAGAAATCAGGGTGTTTTTTAGTTCTACAAAATACCCAGTTAGGATAGAACTGAATGAAGTAGCGAGAAACCAGGGTGTCTTTTTCTATTTCTACAAAACACCCTGTTGGCATAGAACTGAATGAAGTAGCGAGAAATCAGTGCTGTGGGCCTGATGGGCAGGCAGAGAGCCTGGCATGCTGAGCTTACGCTGCTGCTTGCACGAGGTGGTGATGGTGCTGGAGACTCTTCACTGCTGGCTTCGCTATAAGCACATGGAGACCTATGCAAGGTAGGAGGGGAAAGTGTAAGCCGGTCATGTTAGATTTAGATGCATGACCCGCTCACGCAACAGTAGTATGATGAAAGGTGGGGGGCTGTAGGTGATTTTTGAGTCGCCTCAAAAATCCATGTAGACACATGACCGACTCACGCAACAGTAGTCCGATGAAAGGTGGGCGGCCGTGGGAAAATGGAAAGAAGGTGAGTAGCAAGTTGATTTAGTGGGCGATGTGGCATGCCGTGTTGAATGGCGGCAAGGGCGATGGGGTAGTGAGTGTGGGATCCGGAGTGAAGTTGGTGACCTCGTCGCCAGGTTTCAGCTGGCAAATGGGGCAATGATTTAGTTTAGTCCTTGCGGGACCTACCGCGCTGAATGGCGGCAAGGGCGATGGGGTAGTGCGTGTGATCCGGAGTGAAGATGGTGACCATGTCGCCTGGTCTCATCCCCGCCATGGCTGCCAGGTATGCCGTGTTGTCTTCTTCCACCTCGTCTGTTGGACAGACGGACAGACAGACAGACGGACACGAGCAGAGGCCCACCCACACAGGCACGCAGACACACAGAGGCAAGTGAAGATGGTGATCATGTCGCCAGGTTCTATGCAATGGCTGCCAGGTACGCTGTGCCATCTTCCTCCACATGGTCTGATGGGCAGACGGGCAGACGGACAGATGGATAGATGGACAGATGGACAGATGGACAGATGGACAGATGGACGCGCGCAGAAACACGCACAGAGGGACACGCGGAGACAAGTGAAGATGGTGACCATGTCGCCAGGTTCTATCCCTGCCATGGCTGCCAGGTACGCCGTGTTGTCTTCTTCCACATCATCTGTTAGACAGGTGTACAGATACACATAGACACATAAATACAGACACAAACACACACACACACACACACACGCACACACACACACAGTGGCACGAACCCAGATATCGAAACACACAGCCTCTGCACTGACCCAGTCATATCCTCCTCCATAATCACATCAGGTACCTGGTGGACGCGTCTCTATGGTCACATCCATGTCTCGGTACACGTTTTGAATTTTCTCCTTGCCCCAGCCAGTAGAGTCAGATTTTTGTCTCGGTATTACCTGCTGGGTGCGTCTCTATTGTCACATCCATGTCTCAGTATTACCTGCTGGGTGCGTCTCCATAGTCACACCCATGTCTCGGTATTACCTGCTGGGTGTGTCTCCATAGTCACATCCATGTCTCGGTATTACCTGCTGGGTGCGTCTCCTTAGTCATATCCATGTCTCGGTATTACCTGGTGGGTGTGTCTCCATAGTCACATCCATGTCTCGGTATTACCTGCTGGGTGCGTCTCCATAGTCACATCCATGTCTCGGTATTACCTGCTGGGTGTGTCTCCATAGTCACATCCATGTCTCGGTATTACCTGCTGGGTGCGTCTCTATAGTCACATCCATGTCTCAGTATTACCTGCTGGGTGCGTCTCTATGGTCACATCCATGTCTCGGTATTACATGCTGGGTGCGTCTCTACGGTCACATCCATGTCTCGGTATTACCTGCTGGGTGCGTCTCTAAAGTCACATCCATGTCTCGGTATTACCTGCTGGGTGCGTCTCCATAGTCACATCCTTATCTCGGTATTACCTGCTGGGTGCGTCTCTATGGTCACATCCATGTCTCGGTATTACCTGCTGGGTGCGTCTCTATGGTCACATCCATGTCTCGGTATTACCTGTTGGGTGCGTCTCTAAGGTCACATCCATGTCTCGGTATTACCTGCTGGGTGCGTCTCTATGGTCACATCCATGTCTCGGTATTACCTGCTGGGTGCGTCTCTATGGTCACATCCATGTCTCGGTATTACCTGCTGGGTGCGTCTCTATGGTCACATCCATGTCTCGGTATTACCTGCTGGGTGCGTCTCTAAGGTCACATCCATGTCTCGGTATTACCTGCTGGGTGTGTCTCTATAGTCACATCCATGTCTCGGTATTACCTGCTGGGTGTGTCTCTATAGTCACATCCTTATCTCGGTATTACCTGCTGGGTGCGTCTCTATGGTCACATCCATGTCTCGGTATTACCTGCTGGGTGCGTCTCGATGGTCACATCCATGTCTCGGTATTACCTGCTGGGTGCGTCTCTATGGTCACATCCATGTCTCGGTATTACCTGCTGGGTGCGTCTCTATGGTCACATCCATGTCTCGGTATTACCTGCTGGGTGCGTCTCTATGGTCACATCACATCCATGTCTCGGTATTACCTGCTGGGTGCGTCTCTATGGTCACATCCATGTCTCGGTATTACCTGCTGGGTGCGTCTCTATGGTCACATCCATGTCTCGGTATTACCTGCTGGGTGCGTCTCTATGGTCACATCTATGTCTCGGTATTACCTGCTGGGTGCGTCTCTATGGTCACATCCATGTCTCGGTATTACCTGCTGGGTGCGTCTCTATGGTCACATCCATGTCTCGTTATTACCTGCTGGTGCGTCTCTATGGTCACATCCATGTCTCGGTATTACCTGCTGGGTGCGTCTCTATAGTCACATCCATGTCTCGGTATTACCTGCTGGGTGCGTCTCTATGGTCACATCCATGTCTCGGTATTACCTGCTGGGTGCGTCTCTATGGTCACATCCATGTCTCGGTATTACCTGCTGGGTGCGTCTCTATGGTCACATCCATGTCTCGGTATTACCTGCTGGGTGCGTCTCTATGGTCACATCCATGTCTCGGTATTACCTGCTGGGTGCGTCTCTATGGTCACATCCATGTCTCGGTATTACCTGCTGGGTGCGTCTCTAAGGTCACATCCATGTCTCGGTATTACCTGCTGGGTGTGTCTCTATAGTCACATCCATGTCTCGGTATTACCTGCTGGGTGTGTCTCTATAGTCACATCCTTATCTCGGTATTACCTGCTGGGTGCGTCTCTATGGTCACATCCATGTCTCGGTATTACCTGCTGGGTGCGTCTCGATGGTCACATCCATGTCTCGGTATTACCTGCTGGGTGCGTCTCTATGGTCACATCCATGTCTCGGTATTACCTGCTGGGTGCGTCTCTATGGTCACATCCATGTCTCGGTATTACCTGCTGGGTGCGTCTCTATGGTCACATCACATCCATGTCTCGGTATTACCTGCTGGGTGCGTCTCTATGGTCACATCCATGTCTCGGTATTACCTGCTGGGTGCGTCTCTATGGTCACATCCATGTCTCGGTATTACCTGCTGGGTGCGTCTCTATGGTCACATCTATGTCTCGGTATTACCTGCTGGGTGCGTCTCTATGGTCACATCCATGTCTCGGTATTACCTGCTGGGTGCGTCTCTATGGTCACATCCATGTCTCGGTATTACCTGCTGGTGCGTCTCTATGGTCACATCCATGTCTCGGTATTACCTGCTGGGTGCGTCTCTATAGTCACATCCATGTCTCGGTATTACCTGCTGGGTGCGTCTCTATGGTCACATCCATGTCTCGGTATTACCTGCTGGGTGCGTCTCTATGGTCACATCCATGTCTCGGTATTACCTGCTGGGTGCGTCTCTATGGTCACATCCATGTCTCGGTATTACCTGCTGGGTGCGTCTCTATGGTCACATCCATGTCTCGGTATTACCTGCTGGGTGCGTCTCTATGGTCACATCCATGTCTCGGTATTACCTGCTGGGTGCGTCTCTAAGGTCACATCCATGTCTCGGTATTACCTGCTGGGTGTGTCTCTATAGTCACATCCATGTCTCGGTATTACCTGCTGGGTGTGTCTCTATAGTCACATCCTTATCTCGGTATTACCTGCTGGGTGCGTCTCTATGGTCACATCCATGTCTCGGTATTACCTGCTGGGTGCGTCTCGATGGTCACATCCATGTCTCGGTATTACCTGCTGGGTGCGTCTCTATGGTCACATCCATGTCTCGGTATTACCTGCTGGGTGCGTCTCTATGGTCACATCCATGTCTCGGTATTACCTGCTGGGTGCGTCTCTATGGTCACATCACATCCATGTCTCGGTATTACCTGCTGGGTGCGTCTCTATGGTCACATCCATGTCTCGGTATTACCTGCTGGGTGCGTCTCTATGGTCACATCCATGTCTCGGTATTACCTGCTGGGTGCGTCTCCATGGTCACATCCATGTCTTGGTATTAGCTGCTGGGTGCGTCTCTATGGTCACATCCATGTCTCGGTATTACCTGCTGGGTGCGTCTCTATGGTCACATCCATGTCTCGGTATTACCTGCTGGTGCGTCTCTATGGTCACATCCATGTCTCGGTATTACCTGCTGGGTGCGTCTCTATAGTCACATCCATGTCTCGGTATTACCTGCTGGGTGCGTCTCTATGGTCACATCCATGTCTCGGTATTACCTGCTGGGTGCGTCTCTATGGTCACATCCATGTCTCGGTATTACCTGCTGGGTGCGTCTCTATGGTCACATCCATGTCTCGGTATTACCTGCTGGGTGCGTCTCTATAGTCACATCCATGTCTCGGTATTACCTGCTGGGTGCGTCTCTATGGTCACATCCATGTCTTGGTATTAGCTGCTGGGTGCGTCTCGATGGTCACATCCATGTCTCGGTATTACCTGCTGGTGCGTCTCTATGGTCACATCCATGTCTCGGTATTACCTGCTGGGTGCGTCTCTATAGTCACATCCATGTCTCGGTATTACCTGCTGGGTGCGTCTCTATGGTCACATCCATGTCTCGGTATTACCTGCTGGGTGCGTCTCTATGGTCACATCCATGTCTCGGTATTACCTGCTGGTGCGTCTCTATGGTCACATCCATGTCTCGGTATTACCTGCTGGGTGCGTCTCTATAGTCACATCCATGTCTCGGTATTACCTGCTGGGTGCGTCTCTATGGTCACATCCATGTCTCGGTATTACCTGCTGGGTGCGTCTCTATGGTCACATCCATGTCTCGGTATTACCTGCTGGGTGCGTCTCTATGGTCACATCCATGTCTCGGTATTACCTGCTGGGTGCGTCTCTATGGTCACATCCATGTCTCGGTATTACCTGCTGGGTGCGTCTCTATGGTCACATCCATGTCTCGGTATTACCTGCTGGGTGCGTCTCTAAGGTCACATCCATGTCTCGGTATTACCTGCTGGGTGTGTCTCTATAGTCACATCCATGTCTCGGTATTACCTGCTGGGTGTGTCTCTATAGTCACATCCTTATCTCGGTATTACCTGCTGGGTGCGTCTCTATGGTCACATCCATGTCTCGGTATTACCTGCTGGGTGCGTCTCGATGGTCACATCCATGTCTCGGTATTACCTGCTGGGTGCGTCTCTATGGTCACATCCATGTCTCGGTATTACCTGCTGGGTGCGTCTCTATGGTCACATCCATGTCTCGGTATTACCTGCTGGGTGCGTCTCTATGGTCACATCACATCCATGTCTCGGTATTACCTGCTGGGTGCGTCTCTATGGTCACATCCATGTCTCGGTATTACCTGCTGGGTGCGTCTCTATGGTCACATCCATGTCTCGGTATTACCTGCTGGGTGCGTCTCCATGGTCACATCCATGTCTTGGTATTAGCTGCTGGGTGCGTCTCTATGGTCACATCCATGTCTCGGTATTACCTGCTGGGTGCGTCTCTATGGTCACATCCATGTCTCGGTATTACCTGCTGGTGCGTCTCTATGGTCACATCCATGTCTCGGTATTACCTGCTGGGTGCGTCTCTATAGTCACATCCATGTCTCGGTATTACCTGCTGGGTGCGTCTCTATGGTCACATCCATGTCTCGGTATTACCTGCTGGGTGCGTCTCTATGGTCACATCCATGTCTCGGTATTACCTGCTGGGTGCGTCTCTATGGTCACATCCATGTCTCGGTATTACCTGCTGGGTGCGTCTCTATAGTCACATCCATGTCTCGGTATTACCTGCTGGGTGCGTCTCTATGGTCACATCCATGTCTTGGTATTAGCTGCTGGGTGCGTCTCGATGGTCACATCCATGTCTCGGTATTACCTGCTGGTGCGTCTCTATGGTCACATCCATGTCTCGGTATTACCTGCTGGGTGCGTCTCTATAGTCACATCCATGTCTCGGTATTACCTGCTGGGTGCGTCTCTATGGTCACATCCATGTCTCGGTATTACCTGCTGGGTGCGTCTCTATAGTCACATCCATGTCTCGGTATTACCTGCTGGGTGCGTCTCTATAGTCACATCCATGTCTCGGTATTACCTGCTGGGTGCGTCTCTATGGTCACATCCATGTCTCGGTATTACCTGCTGGGTGCGTCTCTATGGTCACATCTATGTCTCGGTATTACCTGCTGGGTGCGTCTCTATGGTCACATCCATGTCTCGGTATTACCTGCTGGGTGCGTCTCTATAGTCACATCCATGTCTCGGTATTACCTGCTGGGTGCGTCTCCAAGGTAAGGTCACATCCATGTCGCGGTGCACGTCTTGAATCTTCCGCTTGATGGTGTCTTTGATGGCGGGGAAGTGCCGCCCCGACCAGTCACACAGCACCAGCCATTGGAAGCGATCCACTCACATCTTTATCATATTCCCGTCACCGTACCTGCTGGGTGCGTTTCTATAGTCACATCCATGTCTCGGTACACGTCTTGAATCTTGCGCTTGATGGTGTCTCTGACGGCAGGGAAGTGCCGCCCCGACCGGTCACACAGCACCAGCCGCTGCACCTTGCCGAGCCTTCGCAAGTCCATGAGAGTAATTGCGATGACGCTGGGAAATTGGGGTTGGGAGGTACGGGGACGGGTCTCTTGAACGGCAGGGAAGTGCCGCCCCGACCAACCTGTCACACACACAAACCGCCACTCCACCTTGCCCAGGCGCCTGAGGTCCATCGGGGTAATGGCGACGACACTGGTACGGTGCGTTGAGGGTGGTGTGGATGTGGATAAGGCTTATGTGGAATTGAAGGCCACATAAGGTGCAGCAACATCCGCTGCACCTTGAGGGGTCTTATAAGGTCCTTGAGGGTGATGGACGTGACACAGGGGATGCTGAGTTTGGGAAGTAGTTGGTGGGGAGAGGGGAGTGTTTCCAATGATAGGGATGAAAGAGACGAAAGACATAGAAACATGGTAAAAAAGGGAGCCTTTTTGTTTCTCACGCTTTCAGTCTCCCGTCTTGCAGTGCCAAAGAGCTTTTCATCAGCGTCATGCCTTGCCGTCAGCCTGTATCTTTCCTTCAACATGATCCTCTTTTCAATCAAAGCACGTAACCCTCCTTCAGACCAGACCATTTCCTTTCAGCACCATACCTTGCCACCCCCACACCTTCCCTTCAACCCCACACCTTTCCTTCACCCGCACACCTTTCCTTCACCCGCACACCTTCGCCTTAAGCGCCATACCCTGCAGATTTGTCACTGGCAGCTCCCTCCTTGGTCGGCACAAACCCTGAAGGAAATCGCAGGCAGTAGATGGAGAACAAGTCGCAGATAAGAATAAAAGAAAAATGGAAGAAAAACAAAAAAAGATTCTGGCCGAGACTCACCTACAGTGTACTCGCCAGCGCCCACCATAAGCACGTTGATTGGCTGCTCCATGCCCTCGACTTCCTATAATCAGCGACGTAGGTCTCTCTCTGCAATGCCGAGTTCCTTGAGAATTGGAGTAAAAGCCGACGAGAGCGAGCTCTGTATGGCTTAGAGATTTCGTCTGTCTCAACTCACCGTCTGATCCGACGGGGATGTCTACTCTCTACACTGTAAGACCGGGATGATCTTCTTTCGGAAAAGCGGGATCGATTCTGAAATTCAGAACGTCATTGGATCGTTTGCTTACTGCCTGGGCTTGGGGCTTCACCCTGCACTGATCCACAAATGTGGGTTGCGGTGCGGCGTTTCGACTTGGGTGACGAAATGATGTCTGGCACGTTCCGTCGGATTCTTCGTGTCGGCTGAGACGGAACTACGCCTAGTGCACAGCTTTGATCGGCCATGGAGCTCTCCCGGAATTCACAGATAAACCTGCCATTGACAGACCTCAAGTCGATTCTGCATGCGTTAATTGCGACGTCCACCTGCCTAAAAGAAGTATATCAGTGTTCCTTTCTTGATTTCACATAGATGGCATGATGACACAGTCGACCCACCCCTAATGAGCTTTTGCCTTCGCCTTCACTTTTCTCCTTCTACCTTCCCTCCCTCCATCCACCACCTTCCCTTCACTTTTCTTCCCATCTTTCGCTTCAGCTTGTGCCTCCACTTTCTTCTTGGCATTCACCATCGGAATCCAGGCCAGGGAGCAGAAGAAGGCGAGGAGGAAAAGCACTGAAAACCGGACCTCAATCCCATCCCAGGACTGCCTCATTGCGTAAAACGCCAACGCTGACAACCCTACCGTCCCCCCGGCTGAGGGACCTGCAGCGGCCATGAATCCCCCAGCAACCACCAGGAAGCTTCCGCCGATCAGATCAATGTCCTGGTCCTTGAAGTCCTCCCAGGATGTGGGGAAGGATTGGGCGTACGGATCCTTCGCGATGACTGTATCCAACGGCTCTAAACCGCGGCTCCATTCTGGTAACCTGAACGGCTTTCCGGAGATGGTTTCCTGGAAGCTTCGGACGAGATCTCCAGGGTAGAGCAGGCAGCGGAGGAATGTGTGAGGCGCTCGGCCATAGGCGTGAAGCTCCGTGACGACTATGTCAAGAGGGGTCTTGCAGCGGATTCCGGAGCATGGCAGGCTGCGAACAGCGATCAGATTAGGTTGGAAGTAAAGCAGAGTAAGTCTTCATGGCGGGGAGGAATTCAAGCGAAATTTGGGAGGGTTTGTCTGATTGTTTGCCAAACTCAACTCGAAGAACGGCGCTCGCAGGAGAATCAGGAGGAAGAACATGTGGCTGACCCGCGTCTGCCATGACCATTCGGCAGGTTTCCGTGGATCCATTCTGGTCAGATGTCAGTGAAACGCACTCAGGGGAAAGACATGAAAGGAACGCAGACGCAGCTCCACAGGATGTCTGTCTGTCTGTCGAGAAGAAAGCTGGAATTTCGGTGAAGGTTGGAAAGGTGAAGGATGTTTCTCCCACGCCACCCACTAGTGCTGTAGTCGGATTCGGCTGCTGAAACATTCTGAAACATTTGTTACATGCTGGGAACATAATGGATATAGCGGACACCTTCAAAAACATCGGAGTAGTGAAATTGCTTCAAAGAGATTGCTTCTATCGAGATTAAATCCACGTGGCGAAGCCGTGAGGTGATTGCAGAACACCAATGTTATCTCACCAGCTGGACATTTCCAACCCCACGCGGAAAGCACCCTGTCATGCCAAATCACCATCAACGCTGACTCGCCCGACACGTGCGTGGCGAACACGAAGAAATGCTGACCCAGATCTCGGCTGCTGCCATCAATCAGCGCTCAAGGTCACGCGCCCCTGTCACTCGCCCGTGTGTTCGCGCAACTCAACTCGCTCCAAGCGCGAACCGCCAGCCGGATACGTCAGACTCGCCCACAAAAGGCGGGGATACCACTGGCAGCTAACCCCCAAAACCCATCAGCCTCCCTCCAGCGCGAAGATCCGCCAGCGCCAGCGAGTCCAGTCCCGCGGGACGATCCCTAGGCTCGAAAATGATTGGCCACCTTTGGAATTTCCACGTCAGCCACCTAAAGAACGTCGGATCAGAGATCGGCAGCTATTCGCTCGAGGAATCACCAGCGAGACTCCCACACCCTAGCTCTTTTCCCTTTCCCCCTATCTCCCCCCCACTCCCCCCCCCCCTCACCCCCCACCCCTTCCCCCACGAACCTGCCTTCTTCCCCCCACCCAGTGTCAGTGCTGGTCACTGACCACTCTGATTGCTGGGGGAGATGGCATTTCTGATCAAGAGCCGCAATCCCTGATTAATCTGAAGTACATTGAGTTTGGTCACCTAAACTGATTCTTGTTCACAGCCTGGTCTGACCAGATCGGGGAAATCGAGTCACTTATTGCCTAAGCCTTGGTTTGAGATAAGCCAGCCGTGTCATACACACTCCCAGCAGCCATGGCTTCTTCAACGGCCTGTGTGTCCAGGGTGAATGTGTTCAACCCTCTGGTTCAGGGGAACGTGCTCAGTTCAAGATGTCCTAGCACTGGTGCGTTTCGGCCAATGCCACAATGTTATCCTCGCTTGTTGAAATTGTCGTTCGTTTAGTCGTCTAGATCTTTAGTCTGGGCTCCTTTGTTCCTCCCCGCTTTAACAGCCTTGATTGCTTCTTTGAATGTCTGTCGTTATTTCTCGCAGTCCGCCTGGCGGCTCCAGCTTTCAGGCCGTCCCTCCGAGCTTCAGCTCCCGTTACTCCTCGCTGCAGCTTCGAGGACTCGTCTTCGTCAGCAGCATCTAAGCTCGTCAAACGGAGCACCTCTTCCATGTAACTAGATTTTTTTTCCTAGATTAGAAGTTAAGCGCTTAACGCTTCACAGTTTTCAGCTCGTCTGAACATCCTGCGAAGCATGGGCTTGTACACATCGCATTTTCATTATGCTTAGTCAGTAATGCAAAGGAACGTGTCGAAACGACCCTGACTCTCTCGGGATCGCCCACAAACGGTGTGTTATTTCCCTGTCGCTTCATGCAGCGTCGCGCAAGCCGCTGAAGGTGCCGCTCCTGCTCCTGCCGCTCCTGCCGCGGAGCCCACTGCCCTGAAGAAGTTTATTGAGACCCTCACCACCCTCTTCCCACTCTGGGTAACCTTCTGTCTGTTCTTTTTGTTCCTACTCTTTATGAGTCCACTGAGCATTTTTTTGTCACGCTTCTCTTTGGACTCTGTCGCTGCCATTTCTTCCATTCAGGTCATTCTCGGAACCTGCATCGGTCTCGTCAAGCCTTCTGCTGTAAGCTTCCTAACCCAGAATCACTTGTGTAATTTGATCACTTTGAATGTTCCCTAAAGGTTCTGTCTTTCAGCATCTGTTCATTTCTGCCGCGTTCTCTGTCGCCTTTCGTGTTGCACCATTGACATTGATACGCTCGTCACGCCATGCTTTCAGGTGACATGGCTCCAAACCGACCTCTTCACATACGCTCTCGGTTTCCTCATGCTCTCCATGGGTCTCACCCTCACCTTTGAGGACTTCCGCCGCTGCCTCCGCAACCCCTGGACGGTAAGCATTCGATGCCGCAACACTCCCGCTTGGTCTCGGTGTCCGTGACTCCCGTCCATTTTTCATGCATGGAACTGTGTTAAGAAGAGTTCGTTGCACTTTTCCCTTCGTCGTTCGATTTTCTCAGGTCGGAGTCGGCTTCCTTGCTCAGTACTGCATCAAGCCACTGCTCGGTTACGCCATTTCTCTGGTAAGGATCAGGAGCAATGAACTCAAATGAAACCCTTGAAATCGACAGGTCTAATCTTGCGTCATGGCCTCACCTTAGTCATCCCGCAATCATCCATAACAGAACGAGCAGCGTTCCGCATTTCGTCTTGTCCTCCGCATTCCTTGCCCTTCGTTTTTTCTGCCATTCAGCTCCATCTCCTTCCAGTGCACTCCATTTCAACCCGCTTCATCCCGTTTCATTCCAATGCGTTCCCTTCATTCAATCTCTTCTGCGTGTCTACAGGCTCTGAAGCTCCCCGCTCCTCTGGCCACGGGTCTCATCCTCGTCTCGTGCTGCCCTGGTGGCCAGGCGTCCAACGTCGCCACCTACATCTCGCGGGGCAACGTCGCTCTCTCCGTGCTTATGACCACGTCAGTCCCCGCCCCGCTCCAAACCCTGAACCCGTTGTCCTCCCCTCCAATCTCTGGGAAACTCGCTTCGCCCGCATCTCCGCCCTCGTGGTTTCAGTTCGGCATGTAATCTCGCGCTCTTTGATAATATCCGTTTCATTCTTCTTTTCTCCCCCCGTGTGGCCATGGCAGTGCGTCCACCATTGGCGCTATCTTCATGACTCCCTTCCTCACCAAGATTCTTGCCGGCCAGCTCGTGCCCGTCGATGCCAAGGTACTCCCGCCCTTCTACGGCAGAACCGATTTGTTTTTCTTAACGGGTCGCTTTTCCACCTCTTTCCTCGCTTTTCCATCCCTCGTGAAAGGCGAACAGCGTTCCCTGTCTGCACACTCAAGTGTGTAATGAGTCGATTTTTGAGTCGACTCAAATCGGCTCGTTACAAACAGCGTTCCCTGTCTGCACACTCAAGAACTCATTTTGCTTGTTTCCTCTCCTGCAGGGTCTGGCTCTCAGCACCTTCCAGGTCGTGCTCGTGCCCACCATCTGCGGAGGTGAGAACCATAGGCAGTCAACCAGTTCACAGGCAGTGTGCTGAAATTTTGCTGGAAGCAGTGGTTGCTCAGTGTGAGTATTTCATAGATCACCCTCCTGACTGGCTGTTCTCTTCCCTGCATCCCTCTCTTTATCCCGTGCAGTCCTCGCTAACGAGTTCTTCAACGACATCACTAAGAAGATCACCTTCTTCACCCCGCTTGTTGGCGTCGTTCTCACCACCCTGCTCTGCGCCTCCCCGGTACTCTATCCAATGCCCACTCCCTCCTGCTTTCTCTTCCTTCTACCATGTTCGTTCCAGATGGAAATCCACTCTGCGTTCACCTATCTCACCATCTCAACAAGTCGTTACTGTTCAAACTTCACCATCTTGCCAACGGCACGTCTCTCCTCCATCTTGCCTCTCCCTCTCGTCTCCATCCTCAACAGATCGGTCAGGTGTCCGAGGTGCTGAAGGCGCAGGGCGCGCAGCTCATCCTGCCAGTGGCAGCGCTGCACGTGTTTGCCTTTGCCCTGGGGTACTTCCTCTCGAAGGTCTTCAACTTCAGCGAGTCCACCTCCCGCACCATCTCCATTGAGACCGGCATGCAGGTGAGACATTGGGATTGCCATGCGGGTGGTATTCTGCAGGTTACTGGCATGCAAGTGAAATGCCACGCATCTGAGGATGAAGCTGAGAAATGTCAGCTAGAATGTTACCTAGCACGTCAATTTACAACCCTCTTGGGTGTCTATTATGGAGCCTCTCTCTACTGCCCATCGTTCACTCTGGTCTTTTTTTCTCTCTGGTCTTCTGAACTGCTACAGAGCTCAGCCCTTGGGTTCCTTCTTGCCCAAAAGCACTTCTCCAACCCGCTGGTCGCTGTGCCGTCTGCCGTCAGCGTTGTCTTCATGGCTGTAAGTTGGATGTATTTATAGTTTGCTGTGGGAGGGGGATTGATTCTTGCTTTTAGTTGCTCCTGTTTGCCTGCACGTTTTTTATGAGCTTTCTCTGTGTGTCCCTGTCCTTGTGCAGCTGGGAGGAAGTGCTCTTGCTGTTTTCTGGCGGAACAACCCACTGCCCAAGGATGACAAGGATGACTTCAAGAAGTAGAGGGCCTAACATTTGTGGAACGTTCGGGGCTGCTAGCCCCTTATGTTTTTGCTATCACAATGTAGACGTTTTCTTGCTTAGATCAATGTGCTCAACTTTGCTATAAGCTCAGCCTATTTTATATGTATTTTCTGCTATTCTATGTCTTTGGATTGTTTTTCCCAGTCAGACCAAAGCAGTTGGGGTAGTTATAAGTTGCAATAGAGTAAACACATCGCGTTTGGCATGATGCATAATTCGTAAACCATGACATGATACCCAAGTTTTGTTTACGAACCATTTTGAACGTAAGAACCGCGTAGTGACGTTGAAATCTGACGTCTCCTGATTCACAATTTACAGCCTTAAAACGAAGACAAGGGGCAACCACAACTCAAGACGACGACGACTCAGCAGCAACACCTCCGACATCACCTCGCAGCTTCGTCACAGGGCCGACGAAACGATACCCCCTTCGCGCGACGCACAAATCTCAGGCGCCATAACCTCGCGGTTTGCCGTTGGAATATTTTCGTCGCACCCAAATTCGAACCAACGGAGTCAGCTGAACTGACCGAACCAGTCAACGGGCCCTCCCTGTCAGATTTCAGCCGTCACTGTCGGATTTTTTCGTTCCCCCTGCCCAGCGCCAAATGCACCCCCCACATTCCCAATGTGCTCGCGCAAGCGAAAATCTCCCCATTTCGCGAAATTTGTTGAGAGTGTCAAGGTGCGACTCGATTTGGAAATTTATCGAGTCAACCAAATTTGCCCCCCTCCCTGTCCCTCCCCCCACACCAACCCTCCTCTTCTTGCCATTGACACCCACACCCTCAAGACTCGCCACGCCATTGCTCTGCTGCACCCTCACCCAACCACTTCTCAAGTCAGCTACCTCTGTTCGTCCTACCTTAGACACATCAACCCCAGATACTGCATTCTTTCTTTTGTGCTTTACTCTGCCGACTATTTTGTTCCGCTGCTTTCTCCGTAATCTAAGGCCTCTAGCGGCTTAACTTCCAGAGACTGTCAAGGACACAGGAAAAACAGACATAGAACCTTCCAAGCACCACATAGGTCAGCACGTTGCGGTTCCAGCACCGCGATTTGGTTGACTCGTCAATTTCCCAGCCCGTGTCGAGCGCGTATCGCGCCATTTGACTCGACTCAAAAGTCACCGCGCGTATCGCGCCAATGGGTAGCTGCGTATCGATAGAGGAAGACCCCAGAGGCCGAGTGGGGCCCGCACGTAGTAAGTCATCATCTCACGCAACCCATTCAAACCGCATTGCACCGCAAAGCCCCTCCCCAGCAGGCAAGCACTTGCCGCGCAAACCCTCCCCGAGAAGATCCCTCTCGTCAGCTTCCGCCTCCGCCTCCGCTTCCGCTTCCGCGTATCGGTCCGGCGGACTCCTCCCGAAGTCCAACGAGAGCAACGCCAGTGCAGCCAGCGGAAGCGGGCGCGGATCCTGCCCCCAGACTCCGCGCGGGGGGGGCTCCGCGGGCGGCTTCCGCACGCCCCCGGGGAGCGGAGGGCTAGGATCAGGCCGGCGCGGCAGCGCGCTTGCGGATAAGACAGCTCAGGCGAACGGCTTGGGAGCGGGTAACGCTATGTCGTCGCTGCGCGAATTTTCGTACCAGGAGCTCTGGCTGGCGACGCGGAAATTCGGGAAGGAGGGGAAGCTGGGGGAGGGCGGATTCGGGAGCGTGTTCCGCGGAACGATCGAGGAGGATGCTAGCTCGGGGGCAGGCGCAGGGAGCGCGGAGGGCGGAAGGCGGAAGGTGGAAGTGGCGGTGAAGGTGTTAAACGAGGGGGGGCAGCAGGGCGAGACGGAATGGAAGACGGAGGTTCGGTACCTGAGCGAGGTTCGGCACCCGAACCTGGTGCGGCTGGTCGGGTACTGCTCGGACGGCCACCACCGGCTGCTGGCGTACGAGTACCTGCCGTACGGCAGCCTCGAGCGGTTCCTCTTCAGCCGTAAGTGTGAATTTTGTCTCGAGAAATGCTTGCTGGTACTATGGAGTAATTTTTTCGAACTCTCAAAAATGATTCTAGGAATGCTTGCTGGTATTATGGATTCACCAAGAAATGCGATATCCAACCCTTGGATTCGCATGAAAGTGCGCATGAAAGTGGCAAAGCACGGTGGGCAGAGACCGCACATTTTCCCCGCACCTCTCCTGTTGTTTCCCCCAATCACAGGCGCCATACAACCCTTGCCCTGGAGCGTGCGTATAAAAGTGGCCCTGCACGCCGCGCAGAGACGGCCGCTGTTGGGGCGGGCCTTTCAATGCCCCTTTCCCCTGCGCCGCTCCTGTTGTTTCCTTCGCGTTTCCCCCGCACCGTTCCTTGCTGTTTCCCCCACTCACAGGCACCATCCAACCCTTGCGGTGGGGCGTGCGCATGAAAGCGGCGCTGCACGCCGCCCAAGGACTGGCGTATGTGCACGAGGAGACGGACCGGCAGATCATCTACCGCGCAGAGACTTCCGCTGTTGTGGCTGGCGTATGAATGCCCCTTTCCCCCGCACCGCTCCTTGCTGTTTCCCCCACTCACAGGCGCCATCCAACCCTTGCCGTGGGCCGTGCGCATGAAAGTGGCGCTGCACGCCGCCCAAGGGCTGGCGTATCTGCACGAGGAGACGGACCGGCAGATCATATACCGTGACTTTAAAGCGTCGAACATTCTTCTGGATGAGGTGAGTGTGACATTAGCGGGTGTGATTGTAACGAGTGTGGCGGACCGCCAGATCATCTACCGTTCGACGTAAAGCATCGAATATCAAATGCCAAAATGTCCTACTTGATGAGGTGAGCATGACAGTGGCGAATTGTGCTCCTAAGGGGGGAGGCGTGTGAACTCGAGGGGGGATTCAAAGCATCGAAAGTCGAATACCGAGGCAGATCATCAAAATATCCTACTTGACGAGGTGAGCGTGACATTGGCGAGTTTTACTCAAAAGGGGGGAGAGGCATGTCGTGTCTCCACGAGGAAGAACCCCAACTAATCACCTACCATGCCTCCCCCCTCCTTCCACTCACCGTACCGTACCTATCCAACCTCCCTTGTGAACCTCTCCCCCTATACAACGCCAAGCTCTCCGATTTCTGCTAGGCAAAGTTGGGAACGCGTGGCATGACTCCACGAGGAGGCGGACCCCAACAAATCACCTACCGTGCCTTCTTCCTCCTTCCACTCACCTACCTACCTACCTCCCTCCCTTGTAAACCTCCCCCCCTCTTACAGGATTTCAACGCCAAGCTGTCTGACTTCGGCCTGGCAAAGGACGGGCCCGAGGGCAACCAGACGCACGTGTCCACTCGAGTGATGGGCACATACGGCTACGCCGCCCCCGAGTACATGATGACGGGTCACCTCACCGCCAAGTCTGACGTCTACAGCTTCGGCGTCGTGCTGCTGGAAATGATCAGCGGGCGGCGAGCCATGGAGCCGGAGTTCCCCAGGCGGCAGCAGAACATAGTCGAGTGGGCCCGCCCATTCCTGGCCGATCCATCCAAGATGCTGCTTCTGGTGGACCCGAGGGTGGGTGGGGAGTATTCTGTGAAGGGTGCGCAGAGGGCGGCGGTTTTGGCGCGCAAGTGCCTGAGCAAGGACCCACATACTAGGCCTTCTATGTCAGAGGCGGTGAGGGTGCTTGCCTCGATCCAGAATCTGACGGATTTCGCGAGTAAGCTGGAGCAGGCTCAACGGCTACATGGTGCTTAGTTAAGCGTTTCCTGCTGGGGAGCTGGTAGCAGGAATGCAGTAGAATACGGTAGAATGCGGTAGAATGCGGTAGGAAAGCAGGGACGGGAAGGTCAACTTGTGGTGGGAAATTTGTCACTGGTCACATGCTGCAGCAAAGCGAGCAGCTACCCACCAGACTAGTCACTAGTACTTGCTGCTCACCATCTGCCGAGTGAGCACGCACTCATACCGTGAATGACTAGTTTTATGACATTGCTATTGTTGGGCTGAGAAAAGCCCTTAGGATCTTTCCAGAGACTAAGTCCCACTTGAACACGGTGTTGGAGTAGTGCAGCGGAAGTGTTGAGTAGTTTAACCCTTGCACTAGTATGTGAGAGCAAGTGATTGATTAAAAGAAGCAAGCATACAGGAATATATAGAAAATAGGAAATAAAGCAGTTGTAGAATACAGTTGAATAAGCGGTTATCGAGTCGCACAGCGACTCCATCGTTGGTTCGGTTACCACCCTTGCAGTCGCAATGGTCAGGCGCAACCTCCAGTTGCAACCCTTCGAGTCCCTTCGTCCTTTCGTGTTCTTTCGTCCAACCTCCTCGTGTAACCTCCGTTGACTCGTGTACTCTATACGACTTTTCTTCGAGTGTAGTGTTACACTTCAGAAACGCTCAAGTCTTTGAGGTGTTTCCAACACTCTCCTTCGTTTCTGGAGTGCTGCTGACGTGTCCGGTTTCGGTGACGCTTATCTGCCCGGTCAGCATCATGCAGTAATCGAACTTTGCCTTCGCCAGTTTCTTCGTCAGGAAATCTGCAGCCATTGCTGTCGTGGGGCAGTAACTGAGTTGAAGTCTCCCCTTCGCGATTTTATCCTTGACGAAGAAATACCGCAGGGCGATGTGCTTCGTTCGGTTGGCGAACCCGTTTGTGTTCGCGATTTTGATCGCGGATTGGTTGTCGCAGAATAACGAGAAGGCGGGCATGGTCGTAATTTTCGCTTCCTCGAGCAGCTCCCGTAGGTAAAGTCCCTCTTTGGTTGCAGAGTAGAGAGCAATGCATTCCGCTTCAGCCGAGGAGAGCGCAATTAGTTCCTGCTTGCTTGATTGCCAGGAAATAGTCCCGATAGGCTCTAGTCGATAGATGTAGCCCGTTCTGGAGCGACGATTCTCCCTATCTCCCGCGTGGTCGGCGTCGACATAGCCGAGTAACTGTACGGACGATGGCGTTACTTTGCTGTAGGTAAGTCAGGTCGTCGGCGTAGAGACGAAGTAGAGTAGTGCTCGATTTAGCTCCTCGAGATCCTCTTGCTTCGGCTACTTCAGGTGTGTCGCCAGTTGGCTCGCGCTGTAGGACAGATCCGGTCGGCAGGTTACTGCTGCGAACAGTAGACAGCCGAGCTTCTGTTGATATTCCTGGATTTGTTTCGCGAGGAGCTTTGCGGAGGTTTCGCTGTTGTTCCCGTAGCGATAGGGAGTCCCGAATTTCTTCGCGACAACGCCTGCGTATTTTCCGGCGTGAAGGTAGAGCGCCGAGTCGTCTTCGACGATTTTTAGACCCAGGTACTGGCTCACGGTGTCTGACACCGTGAGTGTTACGTCACTCTTCAGCTCCCCTTCGAACCAAGTGACGACGTCGGTAGTGGAACCGACGTAGAGCAGGTCATCGACGTAGACGATGAGTAGGACAAAGTTCCCCCCCTTCTGTAGTCGGTACATTCCTTGATCGTGCGGCAGCTGCAGGAAGCCGATCCTGACGAGGCGGCCGTGAAGATGCTGTTGCGAGAGCCGCGGGGCTTGTTTGATTCCGTAGAGGGATTTTACCAGCTCGCACACTTTTGTGGGATCGTCGATGAATCCGTGGGGCTGCTCGACGAAGATTTCGGCGTCCACATGTGCGTACAGGAAGGCGTTAGCGACATCGATCTGGCGCAGTGGTAGCTTTTTCGTGGCCGCGACGGCGAGCACAATGCGCAATGAGGTATGTCGGGAGACTGGGGCGAATGTCTCCGTGTAGTCGGTTCCGTATCGCTGGTCGAATCCTCGTACGACCCAGTGAGCTTTGAAGCGGTCAATAGAGCCATCCGCATTACTTTTGATGAGGTACACCCATTTCCCCGAGAGCACATTCTTCCCGTTTGTTTTTGTTGCAGGTACCAGCTTCCACGTGTTTCGGTCTTGCAGGGCCTTGAGTTCTTTTTCCATTGCTTCCTTCCATTTTGCCTTGTGTTCCCCCCCCAGAGCTTGCGACAGAGTCGTTGGCTCGCGCGGCGACGGCGGCGGCGGGCTCTGGACAGCGACCCATAGTCCAAGTATCTGCAGGCCCGCGTGTGTGTGTCGAGGGGAGTTGTCATTCTTGGGATAAGATGCTTCGTCACCGTCTTCAGGGTCGGGTAAGAAATTGGGTCCGATGTGTTCAGAGATATTTGTGTCGACCGGTTGAGGTGAAGTGTAACCTTGGTCAGTGAAGTGGTAATAAGTGTCGAGGTTGTTACTATCGAGAGGATTGTCGTCGGCGAGTGGAACGGGCACGGAGCAGTAAGGGAGTGGTCTGACAGCTTCCGAGGCTTCAGGTACGTCTTCTTCTGCTGCGTCAGTTTCGGCAGCACGGTCGGCAAAGGACCGATGGCCCTCAAAGCCGTCGGTGGGGTCGTTTGTGTTGGCGATGTTGTCCAGGTAATGTTGCAGTGTCAGTCGCTCGTAGAAGATTACATCACGTGAGACCACGGTGGTTTTGTCTTAAATGACGAGAAGTTTCCATGCTTGGAAATGTTTTGCGATGCCGAGATGTAGTCCCCACCGTGCTCGTTGAGAGAATCGACGTGCTCGGGCTGTGTGGGGTCTGTACTCTACCATGCAGCCGAAGACTTGAAGTAATTTTGTGCTGCCCTGTTTTCCTGTCCACAGCAGGTGCAGTGATGCGCTGTTGGGAAGTGATGACGAGGACAACAAATTGTGCAGGTGGACTGCATGTGTCATCGCGTCAGGCCAAAGTGTGTTGGGCAGTCTCATCCCCAGGAGCAGCTTCCGCATCGTCGTCTGCAAGGTTCCGTTCATCCTTTCTGTGACCCCCTGCTGCTAGTGAGCGTAGGGCAGAGACACCAGGCGTCTGATGCCTCTTTCTGCCAAGTAGTTCCTGAATCGTTGTGACTGGTATTCCAGTGCCCCGTCTGATAGGAAACTCTTGAGTTGCGTCCCTGACTCTCGTTCAGCGATGGGGAGCCACATCGTGAATGCTTCGAACGCTTGATCACGTGTCTTGAGGTTGCAGTGCCAGACGTATCGTGTTGTTGCGTCAATGAACGTGATGACATAGTTGTACTCTGCTTCACTGTCATCTCGAGGCATATTTAAGATGTCGCTGTAGACTTTTTCCATCGGTGCGTATGCAGGTGCGCTTGGATTGTGGTGCGACGGAAAAGGTTGATGGGGAAGATCAGCTTCGGGAAACGTGAAGCATCGCGCGCGGGGTCGTCGAAGCTCCTGCCCGCTCGTTGTGAGAAGAGCGTCCTTTTCTAATACTCTGGCTTGTATGGTTGGTAGTACTGTACTGTTTGCAGGGTGTCCAGGGCGTTGATGCCAGATGTCGTCGGAAGCGTGATGGCCGGGTGAGCGCTGGTACATGTCGGCATTGGAGAAGTACGCGACAACCTTGGCGGGACTGCGGCAGACTCCTCGGGTGATGGGCATGAGCTGATCTCCTTCGGATGGCGGTCCTCGAATTGCTAGTGATGGCCCACGGCTTGGTCCAGCTGTTGTTTCTACAGGTGATGTTGAGGAAGGTGTACTTGTTGGTACTTGTAGTTTTTGTCGGATGACGGCTAATGCTCGTGTTCTCTCTGCTGCAGGGATGATGTTGGAGTACCAAAAGCCGTCTGGAGTAAAGTCGGGGTCAAGATCCGGCGGGTGCGTCCAGGCGGCAAACGACACGATGCCATCGCTGTCGGTAGTACCACGGTCGGGGACGAAATCCAGCACGAAGACGCCAGACTTCAGGAAAGCGCGACCGATGAAGAGGCCGCCCTTCCCCTGGTAAAGGCGAAACTCGTTGTCGTCCGAGTCGCATTCTAGGTGAATTCCCTTCACCATTAACTGGCTGACGCTTAGTAGATTGTATCCCAAGTTGTCGACGATGAGAACTTTGTTGAATTGTAGTATGTCGTTTGTCTCCATTGACTGAAGCTGAACGACGCCTTGTCTGATTGTTTTCAGGTTCTCGTTGTTGGTGACGATGATGATGACATCGTGGTTGAGACGTCGCTCTCATTGCACAAAGTGCCCAGAAGAACACATATGTTGGCTGCAGCAGCTGTCCAAGAACCAGGTGTTTCGCCCGGTGGGTTCGGCGTTAACAGCTGCAGCATACGTCGGGTTGACCTGGGGACCTTGTGAACGAGGCGGCGGCAGTTCTTCTTTGTCTGGAGCGTAAGTGGGTGGTGACTCGGGTCTGCAGCTGTCGATCCGTACCATGCAGTTGATGATGTTTGGTGTGTCTCGTGCAGGCGTAGAGGAGCGGCTTGGCGGATGTTCTTGAGTGGAGGCGACTTGCGGATCTGCTGGACGATAAACTCGAGGGCGCGTGCAGTTAACCTTGGAGTGCCCAGATGTCTGAAAGTTGTGGCAGAACGGTGGCATGATGGTGAGTCCTCTGGTGTTGTGTCGGTTCTGCTTATCACGTCGGTAGTAGTTGTTGTCGTTTCTTCGTTGAGTATAGAAGACTAACGGTTGCTGCTGGTTTCTTGGTTGTCTTTCTTCAAACATGTCCATCTCCTGTTGTTCAGCATGAAGCTCGGCGCAGAGGTGCATCTCGGAAATTCGTCCGTGGGCGCGAAGAAGCGAGCGCGTGGTTCTCCATTCTGGCCCGAGCCCGGCGAGGACAAGTGACACGAAGCTTTCTTCAGCGATTGTGCCTCCGCACCGGAGCAGGCGGTCGCGGAGTGTCTGGCAGCGACTCATATACTGCATCGCTTTTTCCTCGGTCTTCATTTGTATTGTGGTCAACTGCTGCATGAGTCTGCTTTGGGTTACGCTGTTGTTTGCTTGATAGAGACACTTCAGATGATGCCAGGCGAGTTCCGCGGAGTTTCCGTAGCTCCGGTACGTTCTGATGCTCTGTTGCTCTTGTGGTGACAGATTTCGCAGGAGAACTGTGTACGCCAGCAGCGACTGATAAGTGAAGATATCCTGCTCCTTTGCAGTGCCATTGCTTGGAAATGGCAGGGACCCGTAGAAGTATCCCAGAAGGTGCGCGGCCTCCATCAGCAGCTCGATCTCAAAACTCCAGGTAAAGAAGTCGTGCACGTTGAATAGTGAAGATGTCTTCAGTTTGATCATATGTAAAAACTGCGCAT